GCCAGAGGGTATTCTGCACAGCATATCCTACTACACCCTCAATCTCCTGCTTCTTACATTCGCCACCATCTCCATTCTTTCAATCATTGCGTTCCCCTTTGATGAATGGGAAGGCGATGATTCATACTACTGTTCCATCATCCTTCCCTCTTTTTTCATGCCATCCGTCTATCTCCTCTCCACCTCCTGCTGCCTTGTTCCAGGACGGATCGGATTCACAGACACTGGTATCAACGTCCCTATCGGCATGTCGATACTACTATGCCCTGCAGTAAGCTTCGTGCTTGTGTGTAAGGAATCAGAGTACCACCTTCTCCCTGCAATCTTATTTCCCATACTTATCCTGATCCGATTGTTCAAGGAGAAGTGCTTCCCATCTGAAAAGAATGCCCTGCCTACTGCACCATGGAGAACGGCTATCTTTGTTTTCATCCTCATCCTTTCCATCTTTATCTATACACTTATGGCACGTGTATTTGTGATCTCCCTCTATGACTATCTAAGCAGGACAGTCTTCTATTCAAACACCGCTCCCGTCCTCCGCCCAGACAGAATTCTCAGCCTACTATAACGGGAGAGTAGCTATCCTTGTCCCCACACTTTCCTTGCCCATCCATCTGTGCTATACCGACCCATAGCTTCTCCGGATAATCACTTCCACTTATTCAACAACCTAGAAAGCGCCCTTCCATCAAAAACCACCAAACGAACAATTCCCTGCTGCTCTGTCCACAAGCACCTCGTCAATCTTACGCCAATGCATGTATCCATAAATCAGCATAAAGCGTATAATGGATATCACAAACATCCGCTAGAAAAACAAGCCAGAAGAGATCGACTACTGCATCAGAGGACGTGCAGTGGAGAACAAAACATAAGCATAACAACACCTGCTTTATTCATCAACAAACAACACCACTCAGATCGCACATTGCCTGCGCTGAATCGTAAGACGACAGAGAACTTCAGAGGTGTCAGAGGGCTTCCCCCACACTACCTGGAATGTCTCTGTGTCTTTCACTGTTTCAGCCTTACTCCCGGAGGATACATAAACTTGTCCGCATCCTGGCACTCTTCATCCTCATCTATCTTCTCAACGTCACTTGCCTCACCAAACCCCTCCTCCACTTCTTCGGGTTCTCACCATCAAGAATACACCATATCCCATAACCTCTAATACTAGTATCCTGGTGCCCAACCAGTATGTTCACATATAACACCTTCCTTTCATTTCCTCAAATAAACAGACCGAAGGCATCCCAACTGCCATCCCAGAGTTAAGCACACATGAATCGACAAACTGCAAGATAATCCGAAACGGCCCTGTCTTGTCCATATCCTTCACACTTCCTATCTCTATGTACTACACATTTGGAAACATCCGCTTCAACAAAAAGCCCCTTTCCAAAGCTCACAACCCTATTTCTTCCTTACCTGTATCATTGGCACGGAATCTTCCCCTCCTCTATGAGAACTGAAAGGCAGGCCTCAGACCACCAGACCGACTCCGCGAGGCTCTCTGCTTCACTCTCAATATCCTTCTTGCCATCTTTGCTGCTTCCCTATCCTTTCAGTCATTGCATTCGCTGCTGACGAGTGGGACGACAACGAGGCCCTGGTCCACTGCGCCGTTTCCCCCTCCCCTTCTGTGTCTCGAGCCTATATACTATCCACACCCTGCAACATCGCTCCAGTTCACAGACACCTGCATCGACATCCTTATTGGCCTGCCGATACTGGTATGTGATGCAGTAGCCCCGAGGTTCTTGTTCGAAGAATCCATGCCTCTCCCCTACTCCGCCTTCATCTCTCTTGCCACCACCGCAGCAAGATCGCTCCGAGGATGCCATTCCTCAGAAGCTGTCCACCCAAAGAGTGGACATACAATGTGGAGAGTGGCTGTCTTTGTCCGTCTCGCCCTTACCGTGCTTGCATACTCACTCACAGCACAGGAGTGCTCAATCTTCATCAGAGTCATGCGGAAGAGATCCCTTCAGAACACCCCAATAAATAGCCATCCCAAGATCCAGCAACCACACTCGTTGACCACAACGTTCCATTGCCCAAATCCAAAGGCCATCCACTAAACAACTCTAGGGGTGTCGACTCCATCACTGGCATCAACCCGTTCTCCTATTAAGTCCATATCCTCTTTCCTCCTTTACCCTCCTATGGACACCATCCTGGGAATCCTAAACGTCCAAAAGCTACACACAACCAGCAAGCACCAAGAGAATAAGGACAAACCACCAGAGACACGGCGGAGAGGAACCATCAACAGCATCCTTCTGGCCATGTCCACCGTGTTCCCAGTGTTTGTATTCTTCACACACAGGGAAGACGGCTTCGATGGAAACATCCTTCTCAGGTTCACTACACTAGTCTTCCCCTTCTCATATTCCGCGGCACAGCACTTTCTTCTGCTCTCCAGCAACTGGGGATCAAGCTGCAGGTCATCCTCCGGACTGTACCGAGCACTCTGTCTCGCCCTCAATGCTCTCCTTGCTGTGTTTTTTGTCATTTCCATCTGTTCACTCATTCTGTTTACTGCTGACGAGTGGGACGACAATGAGGCCCTAACCATCTGCTCCATGCTCTTCCCCTCCTTGCTCCTGTCGTCCACCTGTCTTCTGTCCATCTCCTGCAACTTCGCCACATTCCAGTTCGTCGATTCCGGGCCTGACATCCCCATCGACTTGCTGATATTCCTGTGCCTTGTAATACTGCATAAGACTTCTCCACTAGAAGATTACGAATACCTCCCCTACTTTGCCATTCCTTCCTTTATCCTCGTTCTTGTAAGGTCGTTCAAGGAGCGCCTCCTCCCAAGAAAGAGCTCCCCACCCGCTGCTGCATGGAGAGTAGCTGTCTTTCTTCTCATCCTCGTCCTTACTATATCCGTGTATGTATTCATATCACGAGTGTGCTGGGCCGTCATCGAAAGCAAGTGGGAAGCCCTAACCAGCGACTAGCATGTCCTAAATAAACCGGTACAGTCTTCCATCTGCCAGCATACAGCCGTACTTGGCAAAGGAGACTCCTCACGCATACCCCCCGATCAATAACAGCAGTAGGCCTACAGCCATGATCTGTCTACTCCAAAGCCCCGGTACAATACTAATCTCCCCATCACACTCTGCATCGAGGAGACAAGAAACGCCTCTCCAAGCGCGCCAGAAATATATATAGACCAGTATGCTTCACACACTTTCCTTTAATCCTAGACCCAAAAAGACAAGAGATACTCCTAAACTGTTGTTTAGCAATATTCACCATCCAACAAGGTGTATGGCGGCACTGTCGATGCTAAGGGGTATCGCGGCGCTGTCGGTGTTGGAACGGTCGATGCCATCTCCGTCGTTGCTAACTTGAACATTCTGTCCATCATGTAATACCCAGCCGTAGTGCACCCTATAACGAGCATCATCTTCGCAAGCAATCTAAACCTCTTGACTTTCTCCTTCGATATCTTGAGATTGCGAATAACAACATCTTCAATATAACAGAATGTCGTCCCAACGAGCATCAGCAGCAGCAAAGCCCGGAGTAGCTCAAGTGGGGCAACAGCATCATTCCCGTAATCAAACGTCACTGCTAACACTATTGCAAAAGCCATTTGCACCACAGTGAGCGAAACATAGTAGGCTCTTTGCGATTCCATCATCTGCTGTGAATCTAGGAAGTTCCGAGATGCCATCAGAATCCCCAGCGGGTTGCGAATAATGACATCCGCTATATTTCCTATGGACCCCGAAAACACAAAGCTGTTGCAGACAAGAAGAGTGAACATGAAGAGATGCAGAAGCAGGCACATAATCGCCATAATGTCACTGACATCGAGTCCCTTGTCCCTGGACTCCTCAGACTTCAAGAACAGCCTCCTGATCGTCGAGTAGACAAGATATCCTAGGTTTCCCCATCCAACAATATAGAAGAAAAGGTTTCCAAGAGCCCTTTCAAACAGAAGCCTAAACGCCCACACAGTAACAGTTGAAAGAATCAGCAGAGCATCAATGTCGATCGAACTCTCAGATTCCTCGGCCTTCTCTTCCTCCTCCGGGTATATCACAGGCCTCTTCACACTTTCCAGGTCCTCAGTTTTTCCTTCATTACTAATATTGACAACCGTATTCATTTTGGGGGTGCTCGGTGCCATATTTTATCCATCTCCAGAGGGATATCTGTGAAGACTCCCATGCCCATTCCATCCGAGCATGCTCCAGGTCCCCCGTTGTCCTGGAGACAACCACGAGCTGTAAGCAGCCAGTTCAAGGGAGCTGCTGTACGGAGCCGTGCTTCCTGTTGCCCAGCTCCCTTCTTCTGATGCAGCTGACAAATTCGTTGTCCCTTATATAGAACCGGAGCTTCTTCTCCTCCCACTCTCCGCAGTTTCTGATTCCAATCCTCCGCCCTGCAACTATCTCCGGGTCTGCAACCTCCCGGCCCTCCTCCAGCCATATCTTCTCACTCCCCGCAATCCACTCCTTGTCGATCTCCCTCCGCGTTATTCCCATTGCAATGCACAGCTTCGACGGCCCGTTTGCAATGTCCCGGTCCTTGACCCTGCCTCCTCTCCGCTCCCTCATCTCCGAAACCCCGCACAGCGGCTCCAGTGCCCGCACAAGCACGCCAGCCCCCGCCTCAACAGACGAGATGTTGAAGCACTCGTATCTCCCGTATATCCTATACACATAGCATGTCCCGGCCTTCATGTACATCGCAGAGTTCCTCTCGGTTCTCCGCCCTCCGTACGAATGGCACGCCTTGTCCTCCTTCCCCAGGTATGCCTCCGTCTCAACAATCATCCCCTTCGTTGTCCTTCCCTCGATCCTCCGGCACAGCATCTTTCCCAGGAGCCTCCGGGCAAGCTGTGAACAAGGAATGCCCATGTCCATTTGCCCAGCCCCGTCGCTTGCATTATAATTCCCGCCAGACCCCCAGCAGGATGCAACACCCTACCGGTCACCAAAATCGAAATAGAACAATCACTAGACCATCCTTTAATAGCAGATCACATCAAGATTGCGAACCTTGTCGTCGTAGCTCCTGAACCTAAGCTCCCGCCCAACCTGGTTGCGGCAGTGCTTGCAGACCTCGTCAATACTCTTCAGATCCTCCTCGCAGAATCCAAACTCCATGTCTATCCTCATCAAAAGCTCGTTCACCTTCAACGACCTCTCAACCACCTCAATCGCAAGCCTCTTCCGGACCTCAAAGCTGCAGGCGCTGTTTCCAGCCGCCTCCCCAAACTCCGCTATCTTCCTCCCAAGCTCCAAATACTCAAGCCCAAGCCTCTGGCACATCTCCTCCACTTCCCCGCCGGCTTCTCTTTCCGAGCACTCCCTTATGAAGTCTGCCACCTCAGGCCCGCACACATACTTCATGATCCGGCTGACCCTCTTGGCACTCGACTTGATGTTGCTATATGCCCTTCCCTCAGTCCTCTCCCCTCCACTCTGTGAGGATACATCACTCTCCGGGTGCACGGGGATCGCCCCCCTCATCCCACCGAGAAGCCCGATAATTCCAGCAATTCCCAGTATTCGCATGTCCCCAGTTGTCCACCCATATAAATCCCTTGAACCTTCCAATTATGCCCTTTATGGACACATTGTCGAGAAGCTCGCCCAACTCATTCTCGACTCACTCCACATCGTCAATCCCAGGTCTTCCCAGCTGCGACAGAAGCACTTGGTCCTTGAACATCTCCTCGAGCTCCTCCCATCCAACCCACTCAGAGTCGCTCTCCCTCCTCAGCTCATTCCCCCGCAGGTCGATCTTCTCCAGCATCTCGCTGTCGAAGAGCATTTCTGCAACGCTCCTCCTCACCCTCTGTATCCTGTTGCCTCTCATGTCAAGCTTTTCAAGGCACCGCATCCTTCCCACCACCTCTGGTATCTCCTCAAACAGATTGTTGCTCAGGTCGAGTTTCTCGAGATACTTGAATCTCGTAAATGTCTTGGGTATGCTACATAGGTTATTACCTCCAGCAAAGAGTTCTTGAAGGTTTGTCATTCCTCCCATTCTGATAGACAGTCGTCGAAGCCTATTATTACTTACATCAAGCCTGTTAAGCCCGCGTAAATCTCCGATTTCTACGGGCAGCCAAGTAATGTTGTTGTTACTTACGTCAAGATCCTGGAGTAGGCATAAATTCCTGATTTCCTGAGGTAAAGACGAAATTTCGTTGTTACGTAAGTAAAGTCTTCTTAACTGTCGGAAGTTTCCTATTTCTGGAGGTATTTTACATATTCGGTTTTCCCGAACATCGATTTCGAATATTTGTGAGAACAGTGGCTCCTTGAAGATCTCTTTAGGAATCTCGGTGAGATTCTGGTCTCGATAGTTTAGTTCTCTCTGCAAACCTTCCCTCTCGCTTGGTGAAGGACCTTTCATCCTACACTCAACAGTGCATTTAATAAATGTCTCGATGGCTAACCCAATAATGATCATTTTAGGGGATCTGTATTCGCTCTACTCACGATTGTTCTGCATTAACAAATGACAGAATGAACAAAGACAGGTAAAGGTTCTCAATATCTCAATTTTAAGAGTATAATTACTTCATGTATTAGGATATCTAGTCTTTCTAGCATATCTGGACAAACGAGAGGATACCCTGGGAATACTATATAGAGAAGTATATGACGTTGTACGATTGGATATCTCTTTCCACCGCGTTATTTGTGATTTACGAATTCTGCATGGAACGGCAAAAGTCTTACGAATGTGTTTACATTAAAGATGAAAGATTGATTGATGCTTTATATTAAAGGCCTAAATGATTACCTGTCATTCTGAGTCTCTATTTAGATTGTTCTCATACGAAATTCCATAAACCGAGATTTTCCTCCTGTCATCGGTGGGCTTTTGTTTCTTACTAGGAAGAATTACTCCTGTTGTAGACATGTGCCTCATGTTTTTGTTTGCAGGGAAAATATTCTGCTGGACTCCACTACGATCGTTACAGGCCTTATCGGCTTCAGCGGATGTGTCCCTGACCTTAAGATAAGAGTGGCTTGCTAGTGATTTGGCATCTGGCCTTATGAGATGACTGGGCTGCAGTGCTCTCAGTAGAAACTTTATGAGCATGTTATCATCTTCCTTTGAATTGCCTTTCGACCTGATCATTTTTTTCATATCCTCTAAAGTAAAGTTCGATGGTGGTCCCATGAATCTGTATCCGTTTTCTTTTTCAAAGAAGGTGCTCGAGTTCTTTCCGTGCTCGAGCATGAACATAGGTAAGGATCCAAATAGCCCATGAATTCTTCCTATTTGATCCATGTTGTCTTTACCTGGGAACAACGGATGCCCAACATATAATTCATATCCTATACATCCAAGAGACCATATATCACAACTCGATCCATATGGAATCCCGAGGATAACCTCTGGGGCGCGATAGTATCTTGACTGAACGTAAAAGTGGGACCCCTGGGGAGAAGTGACGGCCGATCCAAAATCGATGATCTTTATCTTGAAGGTGTCATAATCCGCTATCAGGATGTTTTCAGGCTTCAGGTCACAGTGAATGATTCCCAACAGTGAAAGCTGAACCATTCCTTCAAGTATCTGATGAAGTATGGTTCTGAGGGTAGGATGGTCCAAGCCCTTGAACCTTGTCATTTTCAAAAATGTATACAGATTCCTGCCTAGTAGCTCTTCGACAATACAGAGGTGCTGCTTGTACATGAAAACATCCTTAATGGTTACAAATCTATCATTTAAGTTGTTGTACAGCAGTTTATGGAGAATCCGGACCTCGTTCATCTCGTAGTTGTAGTATTTCGGCTGATTTTTTACTACCTTAATTGCGACTTCCTCTCCATCAGAGCCAACGCACCTGACAACTTGTCCAAAGGTTCCTGTTCCCAGCATGTCGATAATCATGTATTTCTGGCTTTTATTCTTTGCTAGATAGTCTCCTCGGGCCATCACAAGATCAAATTCTTCATTATCAGACGAGAAACCTATCTTTTCAGATGGAAATGTCAAAACTTTCTTCTTCATCTCCTGAGCTAAAAGGATAAATTACAATAAGTTTTATATATAGAATTATTTTCAATTCTTAGAGTGCTATATGAGTACTGATAGGAAAAAATTTACATATTTTTACAGCATTCTTGAGGTTATTAGACATGGTTTTGTAAAGGGGTCCAAGGCGATTCCATACTACTCTTTTTTTAATTAACATTGGCCTTTCTTCAAAAGGAAGAGAAAAGCTACTTATAGTCGAATGCCCTGCTACCTCTGCACATTATTTCTATGCACTCGTCCGAGTCGAATCTTATTGGGCACACAAGGCTCTCGACTTCTTCTGATGTGATGTTGAGGCATCCCTTTCTGGAATTCTTGACTTTTTCTGCAGCTAAAGCCAATTTCTCAAACATTTTGGGATGAAACATTTATGCAATGCTTTCTGGCTTAAAAACAAAAATTTACCCCTACATGTCCTTACGCAGGAGGCCTCTATCGATGACGTTCACACGGAGATAGAGAGATTGCTAGGTTGGAAATCCAAACCACTGCAAATTCAAGTCTTATGTCTTTCGTGGCATGAGCCCCCTCTCAAGCTTTGGGAGGATGCAATTTTTGGAGTAGGCTTTTGAAGCCTTTATATTAGTAATGTTTCTACTTTCCGCCCATGACTCCTCAACACTATTATCCTCAGAAAAATAGAACCCATCAGGGTAAAAAGTTTAATGGGACTTTGTAGGAAGTTGCTTTCTTTTTGAGGAAGCCGCAGAGTTCATGTATAGAGACTCTGACTTAGCAATGTACTTAATTTTATAAGTTCCTGGGCTTAGTTGTATCTTCAAGTTCTGTCTCAGGCGCCCTGTTATGGGGGGCTTTTTACAGGTTCTTGGAAGAAAGGGGGCGTCTGGCTTTACGTCTTCACAGGGCGTCAGCGCCTTAAACTTTTCCACGTAACTGTCCCACTCCTCGTTCCTTCCGGGTTCCATCATTCCGATTTCAATAGCATTCTTGATTTTTCTAAAGCAGTAAAGACCCTCCCCAGAATCAAACCTGTGCACCCCATAAAGTGAATCGAGTGACTGCTTGTTTTCGGTCAGGGCTATAACCTGCTTTTCTATCTTCGAGATCATCTTCTTTATGTTGTAAAGCTTGAATCCTTTGCACTCTGTAAGTTCCCTAATTCTATCCTCAAAGGCATATCCATCGATGTTCTTCTTAACAAACTCAAGGCACAGATTCTTTACCTTGGCATACCTAGAGGCAGATTCGTCCTTCGAGCTAGAGTCGTCTGCAGACAAGCCGTCCAGATTCAGACCCTTGATTTCCAGAAGCCTTTCGTACACTATGATAATAAACCTGAAAATGCAAAGCAATGGAAAGTCCGAAACAATGGTGAACTCGTTTGCCCCGAGCTTTTCGAAAATAGACTCTAATACGGAGTCCATGTTGGATACAAGCGTCTTCTTTCCATCTGCTTGGTTGACCCTTATATACGTCTTGCAGAGATCCATAACATCCGCCATTACCTTTTGGTCATCTATCGAGACTCTTATTCCTCTCTCACCTGTTTCTACGATGTTCTTCGTAGTAAAAATGCTTTTTTCCGAAGACTTATATGACGGTCCCATGACATCCAATGCCTTGTGATAGTTTCTTTCCATGACTTCTCTCCATATCTTCCGTCTTTCTCTCATGCAAAGTCTAACCTTCTTGTTCACCATATAAAGTCTTTTAATTACAATCGGGATTGCTATGTGTGGCTTCATTAAGATTCCCTCGAGTATTTCTGGTGCAGACTTATCGTAAATGCTCTTCAGAATCTCCTTTATGATTCCTGGCGACATCTTTATGTCCTTCATGCTGATCTCCGAATCCTTGTTGAGGTCGATTATTTGCTCCAGGGCATTTATGAGATGCTGGATTCTTTCTATAGCCAGATCAGCCTCCGATCTTTCGTCCTCAATCCTGAACAATGCTTCTTCATGTACATTACGCTTCAAAAACACATAGTTTGAATCTTCAGACTCAAATGTGGGGCATCCTACACATGTGAAGTTCAGTACCTCCTTGGCTATCGGGTCTTGCTTTCCTTCCTTTATCTCTTCCGGAAGAATCCTGTAAGACCCCTCTTTCCTATACTTTTCAAGGCTCTTTGGTGTCTCTCTCAAAGGCTCCTTGTAGTTGATAAAAGCCTTGAATCCCCTGATAAGCTCCTCACTTCTCAAAAGAGGAGCTACCAATTCCAGCAGATCCTTCTCGTTGATAAACTTCTGGTTAAAGTAGTTGATGCATTTCAGAAAGTCGTCCAGGAGATTCTTGCTTTTCAGAAGCTCCTTGATCCTTTGAAGAATACTTTTTTCGTCAGACGGCATGTGCTTTCTGATAGGCACAAAATTTCTTTCAAAATCTTCGCACAGGTCAGGGCTTTCCCACAACAGACTGTTCACCTCGGCCTTCATTTTTTCAAACAACCCGCTTTTCACCTGATGCGACTGGAGAAGCTCGACAAAGGACCTATAAACGCTCGGGTTGTGTGAATAGCGCTTCTTGACTCTCTGGATAAAGTCTTGTGCCTGCCTTGCCTTCATTCTCTCAAACTCCTCAGATCTTCTTTGGTCGTAAGGCATACGCTTTCCATTCTGCCCAGATACCTTTACAGACGAGTGCATAATGAGGGGCTGATTTATGTAGCCCTGATGAATCCCACGCTGAGGATTCATATGCGAAGGCCCACTGACTTCCGCCTGTGGATGAGATGTCCTACCTCCATGTACGCATGGCCCGCCTCTGTACTGTGGAGAAGATCCTACAGCCTGTGGCGGCCTATCATGCAATCTGGATCCAGATCCTTGTGGTAAGCTCCCATAAAACTTCAGATGGCTCGGCAAATAATCATTGAATGTTTCGATAAGATGAGGCTTATCCCTAAACAGAACCCTGACGGCTCTGCAAACCTCCTCAGCATCAATCTTTCCAAACTTAAAATCTCTCATTGTTTCCAAGAAGTTGTCATAGGTCACCATGTCATTCATGTATTCTTCCTTGATTTTGTTTAGAAACATCATTGCATCGCTCAGGTCTGCATCCTCATGCGGAATTCTGGGTGGGGGAGACCTTGCCATTCCCCTAGAGTGGAATCCGTGATCTATGGTAGAATCTCTGTTTTTTCCTGCCATACTAGAAGGCATCTGGTTCACATCGGAATAATATCCCCGAGCCCCACTTCGCATATCCATCGGACCCCCATACCTTGACATACTCTCTTCGGAATATGACTTTTTCCTTATGCTGCCTGTGTCCTGCCACGGCTCGCTTTCTTGACTGCCGAGATTTTTATCATGATCTCTTGCCATGGAGGGGTGCTTTTTTCTGCTAATTTGTTTTAACTTTCCATCCATCACCTTAGGCTCTATCAAACATATTCGGAATGGAAATCATCATCAGAAGAGCATGTCGCAGGGACGATCTTTGTCCTATCTGAAATACTTAATCGCTTGATTAATGCACAAGTTCGCCTCCACATAAATGTCAAAAAGTAGGTCATTATTTCAATTAAATAGAATAAATTATTATTTATAGAAAAGCTAATATTATATTTAAGGTTCTGGCCCATACATCTTTTACCCTCTCCTTACCAAGGTTAATGAAGAAATTCCACTTCAATGTCATCGTAACGGTTGTTTCCTTCTTTGTCTACAAATAGAAGCTCAAAGCACCTCTTACAAACAAACTTCTTCTTCTCAGGTAAAATGGGATCGTTAATTACCTTTAGCCCTGCATTATTCTTCAGACAACATTTACACAGCTGCGCTCTTCCGTGGAGGCGCTTCACAGATATATATGGGCTTATCTTTCTGTGTGAAAAGAACACGCGGGTGATCTGAATCGACTTCAAAAACCTCCCGTCATGAAAATGTATCTCTTTGGATATATCTTCTATGCATCTATCAGCTCTGATGTCCCATTTCTTGATGCCAAAAACCTTCAGCTGAAATACCATTGTGGCAAACCTTACTGAATTATTATCAATGTCCCTCAAGTAGATCGTCTTTCCTATTGCAAAGAACACCTTGCTCGACAGGACATCACCTCCCACCAGAAGTTCTGCCAAATCAGAAAGAAGGGCATCTCCAGATATGGTAAACCGTGCAACCATCTCCCCTCCCAAAAGACATTGAGCCTCGTAATAGACATTATCGGGATTGTCCGTTTCGATAGGCGTACTACCGCACTCTCCAACAACAGAGTTACTATATTCGGATTCCTCCCCAAGTTCACCTATAAACTCCTTAGGATACAGTATTTTGTGGTTTGTCGAAAAAGTCTGATCCCAATTAATTGAATATGTTCTTTCAGTTATTATCAAGCTATGTGTTTTATTGCGGATGGTCCTTTTTCGCTCTTCGATCCTATCTTCCGGAACCACTTCTAGAGCTCTTCGAACTCTATCAATATAATTCTTCTCCATGAAGGGCTTGCCGAAAGATGATTGTAAGGGCAATAAACTACGAAAGCCTTCATATCGACGACCGATTTGGGAGCATAGAGGAACTAAAGACCAAGATAAGCCAAAAGTATGGCATTCCCATCAATTCCCAGCACATAATATTCAACGGCAAGTTCTATGTCCTGGGCATATTCGACTCGCCTTTGACAGTTTCTTCTGACACATACACTAATCCACTTGGATGCTTTGGATGCCCTGATAGTCTTTTTAATGATCTTGCAGGCAATGGTATGACCACCGACGAAATCAGAGAATATGCATTTCCTCACAAGGATGACCCGGCAAAGAGGGAGGGCCCGGACTTATCCAGTGTCATAGACACCAGGGCTATAGCAAAGAGGATTACTGAGAATCGGTACGAAGATGCCTATAAAATACCTAATGACCTCAGTGAAAAGGAAAAGACCATAATTATGGAAAGCTCAGGCGAATACATTGATTTAGTTTTGAAGCAGATCAAGGAGATTCTTCGTTCTAACACTAAATATTAGGGTTACCTATCGATGAGATAGCAAGAGATACAATGGTGTTGTATGACAATCCGCCAGGGGCGTTGGGCTGGAGAAATCCTTTTGGTAAGTAAATTTTTTTGGTAGGCTCCACAACTATTCTTGGAAGCTCTTCTGGGTCAAAGTAATCACTAATAATGCCGATTTTCTGCGTTTTGTTGCCGTCTTCCGAGGCCAGTCCATATCCCTGTCTTTTTCTGCCTTGGAGAACATTCTTGGTCTTGCCCGGCATGACCTTTGGAGTGGGATTAAGAATAGAATCCTGCCCCATCTCTTGTATCTTCTTTACTTTTTCCTTCACAAGAGACTCATTCTTCAGCTCTAAAACCTCAAAAACAAGCTCTTCAAACTTCTCGAGATAGTCGTTATACTTTGCAGAGTCTCCGCCAAACTCCTCCTCCTCCCTCCCAAAGGCCCTTAGGAGAATCCTCCGAACCTTGCATTCCTTCTCGACTGTTATATCTTCAAAGGTTGGCTTAATGTAGTTTATCTTCCTTAGTATCGTTCCACATTCCGGGCATGGTGCCTGACCCCTACTAAATATCCTAAACATACACGACTCGCACATCCTGTGGAAGCAGGGGCTTATGTATATTACTATGTCTGGATTCAAGTAGATGTCGCTTTTGCATACCGGACACCGTCTTTCCTCCATCCAGGGTATAGCCCAGGGATTTATTTAGCATAGACATTTCCACAGACGCAGTATAAATTTTATTCAAGCTCCATATTCCTCCATTCTTATCTTTTCGAGCAGAAGCTCATCTCCCATCCCGGCCCTCCGCACCGTTCCACCTATGTCATAGATCGTAGTCTCTCCAGTAACCTGCCCGTATTGATCTAGCACCGCAAGCACAATCTGCACAGACGCCTTGTCAGACGATGCAATGGGTGTTTTTCCTAAAGAGCAAATTCTTCTTTCAAAAGTCATTTTAGGGCTCTAACATTTTGCATTTAAATAATTGCAGTGGATACAGGGCATTTTATAGATGTATTCACAGATATGCAGAACACCATCACGTCTTCGTACTCATCTCACTTGAAATCATACAAAAGTCCATTTTCAACGAGGTTCCGCCAATCAAGAAACCATCTATTTCCTCTACATCGAGGATAGTTTGGCAGTTCAACATCGAGACAGACCCCCCATATATCACACGCCCAACAAACCCCATGCCCGTACCCCATCTCTTAATCCCAGAAACCACCTCTCTGATCTGATCATTGGTGGGAACCTTCCCCGTTCCTATAGCCCATACAGGCTCATATGCAATGTCAATGCCTTCTCCCCCAATCTCCTCTCCCAGAGACAGTAACTGGTCCTTTATTACATCCAAGTGCCTTCCGTCCTCCCTGCATTTCTCGTCTTCCCCAATGCACACAACAATCTTCAGGCCCTCACTCCGAGCATTCCTAATCTTTTTTACTACAGTCGCAGACGTCTCTCCAAACCACCTACGTCTTTCAGAATGGCCGATTATCACATACTCAGCACCCATCTCGCTCACCATGGATGCAGAGACTTCACCTGTGTACGGGCCACTTTTAAACTGACTGCAATCCTGCGCTCCAACCTTGATGTACTCAGGAAACATCTTCTTCGCGACATGAATATAAGGAAACGGAACGGCAATAAACGTATCGTTTCCGGCAAAGAGATTCGCTCGGAAGCTTTTAATTATCTCAAAAGTTTGTAACGACGAACTCATCTTCCAGTTTCCTGCAAGAAGTTTGTTTCCCTTCATTCCTGGGCCTTGCTAATAAACAATTTTGGTAAAATCACGGTACATGTCAACACAAACATATATTAAGGAATGTTATGTGTTTGCATAGTAGGCCAGAAGCATCAACCACCTTCTTTTTCCAGGCTGAAGCCTCCCGAGTCGAATATAAAATTTTTAAAACCCATTCCCAAAATGGAACAGATTCTGGAGTTGGACAAGGATCTCAACATTGAAGTCTTCGATAAGGTTGTGACGAATGCAAACTGTCCAGACAACAGGAAGAAGGAAGAAGCTGAGAGAATTCTCCTGAAGTTCAAGGAGCTTCCGAACTCATGGACAAAGGTGGACTACATCCTAAACAATAGCAAACTGCAGGAGAGTCATTATGTGGCCCTCCAGCTACTGGAAAGTATCATAAAGACGAAATGGTCATTGTTTGACGAGGGAATGAAGCAGGGGCTCAGGATGTATGTATTCCAGCTTGTCATCGAGAAGTCCAAGGCCAGAGATAAGGAAAACTATGTACTGCAGGAGCTGAATACCATTCTCATTGAGATTGCAAAGAAGGACTGGCCCCGCAGATGGCCTACATTTATAACCGACCTCATCAATGTGTCTCAGGGAATAAGCATGGAGGTCTGCAGGAACAGCCTCAACATACTTAAAAGACTCAACGAGGAAGTCTTCATCTTTTCTGAGGACAGCATTACGACCGTCAGGAAAAGACTCCTGAGGAACCAACTAAAAATCGAGTTCCCGCAGATATTTGGGTTCATAAAGACGATTCTTGAATATTCGCGGAACACGGAGATGGATGAAAGCCTTCTCGAGGCGACGTTGGAGTCTTTTCAGTGCTTCTGTGAGTCAATGCCTCTTGACTTCATTTTCCTCACAGAAATAATTGACCTTGTCCTGGAGCACTTAAACTCCATGCACAGCGTTGCATGTCTTAGCTGCTTGATTGAAATTGTTGATCTTGGAAGAAATAGGAACCTTGCCAGAACCCACGAGATCGAGGGTGCTGAGAAAGAAAGGATTCTTTCAATCCACGGGCAATGCATTGAGTTTCTAAAGATGTATTTCAACAAGTTCCAGGAGGAGAGGATATATGAAGTGTATGGAGGAATGGACAAGGCTGAAAAGATCTTTGTTCTTAAACTTGCACAGCTCTTGTCTTCTCTCTACGAGGTTTACATCAGCTTGCTTGAGGCGAGAGACATGGCAAACACAAAGATCGGGCTTGGATATCTCATACAAATATCCAGGATCAACAACTCAAACATCTTCTCAACTGCATTTGAGATGTGGAATAAGTTCGTATTCGATCTATACTCCGAGTTTCCATTCACCAACCAAGATTCTACAAAGAGACTGAGAAGATCCAACTACATAGGCGTTTTGAATCAGCTAATGGGAACTCTTGTTGATAAGATGCCTCGGCCTGAGGAGGTGTTCATTGTGGTTGATGAGTATAACGAGGTGATAAGGAAGAAGATGACGGACACAGACCAGATAGAGTTCTACAGAAAGATGAGGGGGTGTTTATATCACCTGGCGTTTCTTATCGAAGACGACATGAAGAAGTACTTTATAGGCAAGGTTGGGCTTCAGCTTGACGACAAGGAATGGGACTGCAACTATCTGAACAGGCTGTGCTGGGCGATTGGATCGATATCAGGGGCGTTCTCGGAAGTAAATGAGAGGGAATTCTTTGTAAACATCCTCAAACATCTACTGGCCCTATGCGAAATGAAATCGTTTAAAACAGACAAGGCGGTCATAGCCTCGAACATCATGTTTATAATCGGGCAGTACCACCGATTCCTCCTCCACAACAAAAGCTTCTTGAAGACAGTTGTTAAGAAGCTTTTTGAGTTTATGGACGAAGACCATGAGGGAATTAAGGACATGGCATGCGACAACTTCTTCAAGATAGTAGAGAAGTGCCCTGTGGAGTTTCTGACGCAGAGAGAAGGAGACGAGATCTTCATCGTCTACATATTGAAAAACCTACCTGCAATCACCGGAACCCTGGAATTTTACCAGAAAAGAATCGTCTATGAGGCACTTCTGATGGTTATAAGAGAGGTTCCCAAGACAAGAGATTACAAGTCCAGGGTTTTGAGTTATGCCGACCTCCTTCTTTCGTCCCTGCTGAACTTTAACATCCTAGCAGATGAACACATAAACCGGCTATCTACCATGATATCGAATGTCGATGAGGCCAAGATGATTTCCCATGTTCTTAAGTCACATGCACTAACCTACAGATTGCTTCCAGAAACATGTTCTTCCAGCTGCATACAGATATTTCCAAAATTCTTTACGATCTTTGACATTTGCAACTCCATAACTCTTGAGAACAAGGAGGGAACAGCATTTAACAATGCCAAGGCTGTGAAAGCAGAGATTATTGAACTCTTTGCCACAGTCATTGACTCAAAGTTTGTACAGAACGACTTCGTGAACATGGTTTGCGAAAAGGTCATTTTCGACTACAAGAATAACCCAGTCTATAAGGAGCCTGCAATACTATCCTTGGGGTCAAGCATAGTACGCAACGTAGAAAATGACGGATCCGTTATATACTTACAGAGAGAGGCATTTATGATCTCTGCCCTCATAGAGCCTTCCATTCCCTTTGTAATGCAGGCAGACGAGAATCTGGAAATATCCAAGAACTATCTTCTTCTTATGGAGAACATGCTCTTGTTTTCATTCAGCTCGTTCTTCTCATCTCTGTTTGGACAGCCATCATTCCGTCAAGTGTACAACACTCTCTTGTACTCTTTGATATGTATAAGAGATGTGTCTGATCTATCTCTGAACTGCCTAACTATTATCTTTAAGAAATGCCACGAACAAAAGATCTACCAGTTCTATGCTCAGAACTACATGTCGACCTTGGAGAATATCCTGGGGATAATATTCGATAAGGACATGAAATATAACTTTGACCAGCAGTGCCTTCTGTTTGCATTCATGATCCGTATAAGCAAGGATGTCCCGAGCCTCGACGGAATCAATCCGAACATCACCATCCTTTCAGAGTATATAGTTGGGTTGTTTGTGAAGTCGTTTCCAAACATAACCCAGGAGTCTGTTAAGATATTTTCTGTCGGGCTATTCGAGCTATGTGGAGATGATGAGATCTTCAAAGAGCATGTGGAAGACTTCAGAGTCAAGGTCTACGAGTTTGGAACTGACGAGGATCTTCAGGAAGAAATTGATCTTAAGAACGAAAGAATTAGACGATGCAAGAATTAAACCATTTTATCGCCTTACAACGAGCATCTTTCGGATTCTGGGGTGTCCTTTCCTGTAATTATGTCTTCCCAGAAGAGAGAGAAACTAGAGTATCTGAAGACTATTAATTTAGATGGGGAGAGGATGTGTATAGTAGGGTGAGGCTTATCCGCTTCTCTTGAAGCTTATACGAACAGGGATTAATATCTGCACAGCTCAAATAAAACGATAACAACCCAAGAATAGGGCCATCTTTATTCCATTCACTACCTGGGTCTCATTTAGTCTGCAAAAACTTCCTTGGCACCCCTCCCCCGTACACCATACAGTAGTCGCGTCCACACACCAGCGACACTCCAGTCAAAACCGCCATACTCATCAGAAACACTATCTCCCCAGCTCCTTTAGCAGTCTTCTCTTCATCTCCAGGGGCATCGGCATACAACATAAGAAGTGCCAGAGCTGCAAACACAACAACCCCGGCGCACATCCACCGGCGCCACTCATAGCTGTCCAGAAGCATCTTCCTGTCTCCGGCAGCACACAGAGCCCCCAGCCCCAGAATCCCGCCAGCAACCATGCACATCTGCCTCGTGGGCATCTTTCGCGACGCAAGGCCCTGCACACACACCGCGGCAGCCACGATCCCCACTACCGTCATGCTGTACACGCTACTCCTGATCACGCCGCCATGAAGCAGCGCCGCGGCCATTGGCACAATGCACCCAGCTGCAGTCCACTCCTCCCTCAGCATCTCAATCACCCCGTCGTCGCGGTACCTCGTTGCCAGTCTCCACGCCTGGTATGCAATACCCCCGACCACTGCAAGTAGATACACCCCGGTGTTCCAGGACCTCGCCGCTGTGGTGTCCTCCTCCCCAAGGTACAAGAAAATTGCCAGACTCCCTATAAACACAATACACAAGAACTCATAGAACCCAAATCCCAAGAAAGAAGGACAGAGGATCTTCTCAAGTCTATCGATCCTGTACCTTAGATCGGGTAGACCCTTGTTGACTTTGCCCAGCATTTGATTAAGTTCATCGAACTTGGGACCAAATAATGCCCCATTTTCCCCAATATCAACAACGGCTTGGTCATATGCTATTCTAAGATTCCGAAACTTCTCAAAAAGGGAATCCAAAGAGTCTAAGATATCATGAAGTGCATCTCGTATTCGCGCTCCTTGGCCATTAGGAAACATGCGTCTGCCAACTGCTTTTTCTAAAGTAGTTAATTCTTGTAGAATTTCGCTTAAGCACTCAAAAAAAGTATTATTGTTAACAATATCATGAAAATACTTATCAAGAATATAAAGACCTAGGATATTTACCGTCCTTCCAAAGATCCTTAGGCAACAATTAGGCCAATTATTATGATTGCCTTCCTCACCGCGGTAGTTTTCTTCTATGAGGCCAAGGAAGACTGCCCTCAAAGACATTACTAGTGTTGGTTCCCTCACCGTAGAATATCCTTGAGTATCCAAGTCTTCAATGTATGGAAACATTTTCTCAACTGCATTTTTAAATTCTCGAAATAGTTTCGGAAATTTTTCATGCAAATCATCAATACTGTGGAAATAGTTAAGAAAGGTTCCGAAGCGGCTTTCAAAGCAACGATATCCAGAGAGATCGGAAGTAGAATCAGGAATCTCGCCTTCCACAAGATCTGACAGAGCTTTCAATGCTTCAAGGGCTGCATCAACAGCAGCAATACCTGCAGAATTTCCCTTGCTCTCTAAGTCATCACGGATACTATTGAGCGCTTCTCGATAGAAATCCAAAGCTGGTGTTAGGGCAAGACCATGGTTATAATAATAGTATACTACATACTGCTGTATCTCTTTTAGCTCACTTGCACGAACCTCACAATCAGGACTGAAATTAAGTCTCCCAAGTATATCTCTGATACGCCTAATTTGTTCCATCAGTAGGGCTGCTGCCCATGTACATATTAGCTGTGTATGAAGTAACAGCTAACTGTGACTAGGAGTCATGTAGTAGACTAGCAGATTGCCGGAATTACAGGTATCACATGTGAGAACATGCCTGACAGCCAATGGGGTGTAAGGAGGTAGGAGGGAGAGATGGGCAGACAGGATAAATAAGGGCGTGACATGACATGTGTGCTCGATGTCCCGACATCAGTGCACAACAGCCCTCCAGTGTGGTAGCCAGAGATGTGCAACGTGATGGAAACAGCCGGGGCTCGTAGACATCCCCACTCTCACGAGATGGGTGGAATCCGCCAAAATCCTGAAGCCCCTGATGATTGAAAGCCCAGCAATAAAGAGGTTTGTAGTTGATTACTTTATCGAGCACAGCCAGGAGGACATCGACGAGATGGTGGCTAGCATACACCGGCGTCTCCTGTCGGGATTTGTAGTGAACGAGGATGTGTGTGTCGTTAAGTCTGGGGAGTGTGGGCGGGTTGTTGGGGTCCTGGGGCCCAGATATGCAGTGATGGTGCAGTCTCCCTGTGGATGGCGTGAGGAGGACTTCGAGCTTTCCGAGCTGGCAAGGCGAGAGGGGGTGTCTGGAGGCAGGATCCGGGGGTACCTGCTTGGAATAACGATGGAGACGCCCTTTGGGAGGGTTTTGAAGGAGAATGCATTCCGGAGCATAAGAGACTCGCAGGAGGTGATGCGGTGCAGGGTTCCGCAGAGCCAGTGCTGTGAGGCACCGAATCCTGTTCCTGGGGGCTCTTCGGGAGGCAGAGGCGGTGGAGAGGAACAGGGTCCAGGGCAGCCAGGGTCCAGGGGGGCGGAGAGGCAGAAAGGCTTGTCTTCCATGGCAGCAGATGTGGAGTCGATTCTGAGACTCTCTGAGGAGAGGATTGTGAGTGTTGAGGGTCTTGGGCCCTGGGATGTCGAGGCAGTGATGAAGATCTTTGGGGCACTGGCAACCTTTGGGTCTGTCTTCAGGATCAGAAGCGTGGATGCCTGGTCGCTGGCCTCGGCTATTAGTGATCCGGCGTATGGGTCTGACATGATGCGTCTTGTGCACGAGAAGTTGGTTGGGGCACTTCGGAGAGATATTGAGGAGAACGGGATGGACAGGTTTGTGGAGAACGTCAGGCCCTGTGTGGGGGTAGCGGTGGAGGCGATGTGTTCAGCCGAGGGGCCGCAGGATGTGTTGCAGGGCGGACAGCAGCAAGGGCCTGTGGAGGACTGTGGAAAGGAAGGGTGGAAAGACGATCTGAGGGAGTTTATTGGATGTGTGTCGAGGGGGCTGGACACGGACATTTCGCAGATTGTGGAGTGCATTTCTGCAAGAGACGGAGAACTGTCTCGCCGGGAGGCTCGGGGCAGGATTGTTCTGCTTGAGCTACTGCTGAACATGTTCTTTACAACGGCCTGGTTCCGGGAGGTGATGTCTGAGAAGATGGAGGAGTCTCTTGAGCTTGAGAGGAAGAGGAGGGAGCTGGGTGTGAGGGCCAGGAAGACAGGGGAGACAGGGTGCGATGGCTCTGGGAGTGAGTGTGGCAGGCCGAGGAGTGAGTGTGGCAGGCCGAGGAGTGAGGCGGAGAGGGATGCGGTGTGTGCAGCTCGCGAGATATTTAAGCTGCCCACGAGGGTTGTTCTTGGGGAGATTGGCGGGATAAGGTTTCTGAATCTGGGCAAGAGGATCTATGCAGCCAAGGAGGGGGAGTACTATCTGGTGGGGAGGGATGCACTGGTGAGGCTGTGCAAGAGATACCGTGGACGGAGCAAGGGCGAGAAGGCCACCATGGCGAACATAGAGCAGCATGTGGAGGCTCTGCAGATGTAGGGGTGTTTGTTTATTGTGTGCGGGAGGAAGTGATTTGTATTCTGGGGTAAACAACTACACAGATGAACAGGAGGAGGTTTGCGAATCTGCTGAGGAGCAGCAGGGACACTCCGCCGCCCGAGCACAGCATGAGGCTTGGGAGGCATGCAGTGATGGTTCGGAATCTCAAGAAGAGGTACCTGGCAAACAGGATCACGGTGGTGGACATCTACAGCTACTACAGAACACCGCTGTCTGTAATACACGTCACAGAAGATGAGGAACGTGTTCATAACGGGGTCTCTGTGTCTGACAGTATATCTTACATCGAACATGGATGTGCTCAGGAGCAATGAGGCTCCGAGTGTTGGGATGAACTTCTCATCTGCAACACTGGTGGTTGGCGGAGTGTTTGTCATGAAGGAGGTTGTGTCGTGGATGATCAACCTCAAGAAAATGATATCCATATTCTACATGTACAGGTATGTCCTGAGTGGAGACATGGAGAAGAAGACCAGGTTCAGGGATATAGTTGAGGGAGTAATTAAGTTAGAGAAGGAGATTCATAACAGAGACCTTAGGAGGGAAGATGTCCGAGGCATTGTAAGCCGCGGCAATCTCCTTGTGCTCTTGATAATGAAGAAATTCCCCTCTATATTTCATCCCACATGCTCTAGGTTTTTTCTTTACATTCTCCATGCCTATGTCCATAAAATAGAGGAGGGGCCTGTCGAAGAGCTAGGCAACGAAATAAGAGTGGTTTCTGTAGTGGCATTCATACTGTCACCTGTTATCTCTATATTTCTCATTCTGTACTACATTGCTAGAATCATAGAGAAGTCCCAGAGCAGTATATTCTATGTGTTCAGGAAGGCCCACAGACCATCGTTCAAATACTTCATGAGTAAAAAAGATGAGTTTCCCCACGAGACACAGAAAAGAATACGGAAGGGCACAAGATATTTGAATGCATTTTTTCTGTCAAAGAAAAGAGACTGCATAGTCGGAATCTGCTCTGCAATTTCGTTCTTCTTAAGCTGTATGATATTCCTTGTCGTCTACCTGATTCTGAACACAATACTTGTGTCCAGGCCGAGTCTAAATGGGGTTTTGTACCAGGACATCAGTCTCCTTGGAAAAACAACAAATGTAATGTATCTCTCCTATTTCATTGGTGGGATATCTTGCTGCCTAAGATGCCTCAGTTTTGATTATGCAACCACAAACCGCCGGAGGATGTTTGTCAAGTGGTGTGTTCTCATGGAGCAGAAGAGTTTGGTTGAGTACTCTGGAAACCGGGGATACTTAACAGCTCTTATATCAAAGTTCTTTGTCCCTCGCATCTATTTGTTTCTGGTAGAGATCATCTCTCCGTTTTTTGTCCCGTTCCAGCTTGAGAGGCTAAGAGCGAGACTGGAGAGGATCCATATAATGTTAAACTCGATGGATGAACTGGAGGAGCATGATACAGAAACCCAGGGCGGCAGAGCCTCTATTCTCGACTTGTAGAATCAGGAAGTATAAATAGATCGTGATTATTCCGGTTTTTTTATTGTAGCTGCACTGCTCAGTCGGGGGTCCCTGAGCATGTCACTAACAACAGATGGCCTGATCACATACTTGCTACTAAACCTCTTTATCAATCTCTCGGTGCCTTCATGGTGAGACATCTCTTCTCTAAGCTCCTGTAGAAGCTCCTCCGGAAATGTTTCACGCTCCACTAGTGGGAGTGAGATCCAGGAGGGCGAGAATGACGGTAGAATGTTGAATCTACATGAAGGAAATGAAAGAGATGGCTTTCTGTTTGTTCTTGATGGCCCTGTGTTTTCTGCATCCATTTCTATCCACTCACAGCTGCTCTCTTCTTCCTCTTCCTCTTCCTCAGTGCTTTCAACGGACTCTGCATCTTCTGCATCTTCCCACTCAGATTCATACTCATAGTCCAGAACCTGTGGGAGTTTTGAAAGGCTGTTTTTTACATAGAGTCTTTCTTTCCTAAAGCCATAGAGGGGTGGCTGAGGCCGATCCGAGAACTTAATGAAGAATAGTCTCTTTGAGTCATGCACGTCCTTCCTCACACGCACCGTAGAGCCAAGTGCATTTGTAGGTGTGGTGATCAAAACCTCGTCATCAAAGCGTATCGGAGTAAACTGCCCGAGAGTCTCTGGCAAAGGCTTTTTTCTGTTTTCTACACAGACAAACTTCAGCATACCCGGATTCGGAGTTTCTTTCTTCATTGCATTATCCCTAGGATCCAGAGACTTCCTATCGTTCCAGATTTTTTTAAGGCTTTTTCTCATGGTTCTCAACAAGCCTCTAGTATCCTTTGAGACTATCCCAAGGTCACTCAGCAAATAAACAGTCTTATCCTCTCCATTTCCTTCGCCAACTAGCTCAAGATGAAACTTGGATTCAACGGCTTCTCTAAGAATCCTTATTCTGTCATTTTTTCTCTTCGATGTTTTTTTGTACAAATACAAGACCTTGTCCATCCACTCATAGTCCACCTCGGACTTACAATCCACAAGCAAGGCCAATAGATCGGTTGGCGGCTCTTGTCCCTCTCCTTCTTTCCATTCACACAGAATCTTCAGCACTGCTGGATGAAATAGGATTTCCATGGATCTAGGGAGGTCTGAAAACAAAGCTGGATAAAGATCCGTTAGACACAGCAGCTACAAGTTGAAGCCAGGTGAACTTCATTATATTGTACACACTCTCTTTTATATATTACTTCCTCTTGATGTCATCTAGATGGTAGCTCTAGTGTTAATGAGGTTAGAGAAAATGACGATCCATTTCATTAACCCAGACCTCTAGAAAACCATCCTATCCGTCATCCCATTTACATAGACAGATATTGGTTTTCACGGCCCAGAGAAAACTACAATAACTCAAGAATAAACAGGCCGTTTTTATTCCATTCACTACCTGAGTCTCATTTAGTCTGCAGAAACATTATTCCCCCGGCTCCTTCGACAGTCTTCTCTTCAATATAGCTTTTATAGTAATAATATATTATTCCATTTCAGGGACAGTACCCACTTAAGTTATTGTACATCGAATATCTTTCGACACGCATCATTCCATACAGAGATAATTGGAGCCTTGAAAGTGAGCAGCATATGTAGGAGTGTGACCACTGTGTGTTTATCGTGTAAACGTTAGTATGCGCACTCGTTCTCCAAAAGAAGATAGAATGGGGTCGAGATACAGAATGTTGGGTACCAGATAGACATGCCATTCTAGACCTCTATTGCATTTGCAGGGAAACCTCCATTCAACAATTAGTTGTGTATGGAAGAACAGTTTAATATATATAATAACAACCCTGTGGTGGGATGGAACAAATCGAGCGTGTTAAAGCCATACTCGCTAAAATCAATCTCAATTGTAATTCCGGGACATCTTTGCAGACTCAAGCAGTAAAACGTTATAAGGGTATAATATTATGTGGATGTTCTTTCTATGTGGAAGTACTTGATAGTATCCGTGATGACCTGCTGAACGGGTCAGACCCCGAAGGCATTGCTGCTGTTGATGCAGCTGAAAAAGCGCTTCAGGCTTTGTTGGATTATTTAGGCCATAAGACTTCTTATCTCAAAGAAGAGGGCGACGATACTCTTCTGTTTAACCAACTCTTTGGAACCATTCCTAACTTCTTCCAAAGAATTGATTACCTGAAGAAAAACTATCAAAAACTACTTCAGGAATTCAAAAATGCACTCGAGAAATTACTACCATATGTTAATGAGGACTTGGTAACTAAAAGAGATGCGTGGATAGTACCTAAGGGAGTGCCTCTGAGAGTAATCTTCTCTAATCTCTTAGAGACGCAGAAAGGCTACAGTACTTGTGTTAATAATAGACTTCACACCTTTCCTGAACGTCTAAGTAACCTAGGTCTTGAGGTTTTTGAACTGCATTTTTCTCCTGCTCTTGATGGCGCTTCTTCCGAGTATTTAGAAGAAATTGGACGAGTACTAATTGCTTTAGAAAAAGAAGTCGGTAAATGCAACCTCTCCAAAGGCCAAGAAATACAGTTACAAAAGATTCTCCTCGGGATCCAGAAAACCATTGATTCTCTTGTCCAAAAGCTACGGGATTTTAGAATAGCATATGACCAAGCCGTTGTTGATATTGGGGAAAATGGGGCATTATTTGGTCCCAAGTTCGATGAACTTAATCAAATGCTGGGCAAAGTCAACAAGGGTCTACCCGATCTAAGGTACAGGATCGATAGACTTGAGAAGATCCTCTGTCCTTCTTTCTTGGGATTTGGGTTCTATGAGTTCTTGTGTATTGTGTTTATAGGGAGTCTGGCAATTTTCTTGTACCTTGGGGAGGAGGACACCACAGCGGCGAGGTCCTGGAACACCGGGGTGTATCTACTTGCAGTGGTCGGGGGTATTGCATACCAGGCGTGGAGACTGGCAACGAGGTACCGCGACGACGGGGTGATTGAGATGCTGAGGGAGGAGTGGACTGCAGCTGGGTGCATTGTGCCAATGGCCGCGGCGCTGCTTCATGGCGGCGTGATCAGGAGTAGCGTGTACAGCATGACGGTAGTGGGGATCGTGGCTGCCGCGGTGTGTGTGCAGGGCCTTGCGTCGCGGAAGATGCCACGGAGGCAGATGTGCATGGTTGCTGGCGGGATTCTGGGGCTGGGGGCTCTGTGTGCTGCCGGAGACAGGAAGATGCTTCTGGACAGCTATGAGTGGCGCCGGTGGATGTGCGCCGGGGTTGTTGTGTTTGCAGCTCTGGCACTTCTTATGTTGTATGCCGATGCCCCTGGAGATGAAGAGAAGACTGCTAAAGGAGCTGGGGAGATAGTGTTTCTGATGAGTATGGCGGTTTTGACTGGAGTGTCGCTGGTGTGTGGACGCGACTACTGTATGGTGTACGGAAAGAGTGCAGGACCTAAGTACTGTTCATTTTGATTGGACTGAAGACTGCTTGATTATCTTTGAGTGCTAGCTACTAAATATTTATGTAAATTATGCGAATGGGATTCCAAAAGATCCGAAATCACTCAGGGTCATGAATGATCCCCAGATCTTCTGTTCTTGACACAACAAGGAATTACCAAATGATAAATAACATCTGGAAATCTTGAGGCTCTAGCTCCTACTCACAAGTTATCAAGAGGACTATGATTGACATAATTAGCAAGCAATAATAAATGTTCGAACCGCAAATGTCAATCCTGTCAACCTCATCCATTAAGTCGTTAATACTTCCATTGTTGTATATAACTTTCTGAGCCAGCTCTATTTTCTTTGCTATGGGAAGCTGGAGGGCCAATCGCTGCTCCAAGTAGTCTATCTTCCCCCCTCTTTTAATCTGGAGTCTCTCATCGCATGTAACCACTATTGTGTAGAAGTAGTGATGGAGATTCAGCTCAAACAGCAGCGGAATTTCTATAAATATGACTGGATGTCCCATTAAGAGTAAATATGCTATTTTTTTGGCTATTTCTATGTATATCCTTGGCCTCACCCTTCTCTCATGGGCTGCTCTGAACTTCGGGTCTGTGAAGAATCTTCGGCGTATACCTTCTATGTCCGAGCCTTTCAGCATTTCACGAACCACACTGTCGCTGTTGATCGTTGCATAGCCCTTGGCTTCCAGGAGGTTTAGCAAGGCTGTTTTTCCAGTCCCAGTACTCCCAGTTATAGCGACGATTCTCATATCCAGAGGGAATTCAAATCACGCAAGTAAATAAATAAACAGGCATGCATTGGAAAAATTTTAGGAGGGCGCCTAAATTAGGTTTAATACATTCCAATGCAGTCATTTAATCCCTCTCTTGTCTTTGATCTTGTTCAGCTTAAGCCTCTGAAAGTCCAAAAGAACCGACAAGCCCTTGACATCACTCAGAGGAAGGTCTTCGATGTTATCGATATATGTCATTAGAATCTCCAGCACCTGAATTTCTTCGTCGCTTAGGTCATTAGGCTCCAGACACATCATTACCATGTAAGTGAAGTTCTGGTGACTTGGCTTGAAGTCATCCTTTGCCATAACCAGGACTCTTTCGAGGAGGGCAACAAGCATGGAGGATGCAAGATGCTCCAGACACGATATCTCGACATTGGAGATGAAGGCCTCAAGATTGGCCTCCGACCCTTTGACAGCAATCTCTGCCGCCTCTTCAATCAACCCTTCGGAAATAAGGCTTTTGATTTCGTTCTGCTTGTTGAAAGAGCTGTGGAGGCAGTCTACAGCCTTCTTGACATTTTTAAGGTGGTCGTCGCTGTGAATGAGCCGTATTTCACTTATTATCTGAATCCGAATCTCATCCATTGCAGCTTCGACCGCAGGAACCAAGGTTCCAAGAATAATTTTCTTGACACAATCCAGAACCTTAGACTCGTTTGAGCTTTCGCTTCTAAGCCGGGCCCCAAGACTGCTCAAAATTTCCATCATCTGATGCAGTTCACCTCTTGACAGCTCCTGTGTACCGTATTTCTTCTGAAGTTCCTCAGGCCTGGACATCATCTCTACCAATCTCTTGAATCTCTCACTATTGTCTTTCTCAACCTTATTCATCTTCTCCACAATGTCCTGTTGAGTCTTTAGCATTGCATTTATCTTTTCGCTTAGAAACTTAATCTCTGCAGAATGGCTTCTATCAGGTACGTATGGGCTAAAGTCATCTGCAGAGAACCCTAATCCAGATAAGCCATTTCCTCCTTTTGTTATATCATGATAGCCTTCTTCCGTTCTTTCGTGACCTCCCAGCAACAAACTTGGATAGGGAGAATCGTCAAATGATGGAAACTTTACATCAGACTGGATGCAGTCATTGTTAGAGTCTGCCTTTTCATCTCCGACCTCAGGTGAAGTAGCTTCCACAGGCCCAGAGCTCTTCTCAATAGAGCTGCCCAACGCGCTGACAGAGTCTTTTGGGGCAAAAGAACTTGCTTCTCCAGAAAGCGAGGCTTCATCTCCAACTATCTCAGATATTCTTATAACGTTTTCCTTCAGATAAAGGCTTATGTATAGCGGGGGTGTTTTTAGAGCAACTTCCTTCGCTACAAACAGATTCCCGTTAGATTCAGCAATCAGGTACAAAGCCCTACGGGCAACTATTCCAACAATGTCGCCCAGAGGAAACAAGTCGGTAGAACGCCCTACTGCCGGAATTTCTAGCCGGCTAACCACGGTATATTTTTCGTCCAATAAAAAGAGCCAAAGGTCCTCTTCCTTCCCATCCAAGACAAGGATTTTGCCTCCAATCTCGCACATCTTGTTTCCCTGAACTGGAAGCTCTTTTCCGTCTTCCCTCTGGAATACAGAGCCAACATTCAAAAACAGTGTCGAGTTGGCATAGAAAACACCAATGTCAGGCTTTGACTTAATTCCAGAGATACACATTCGTCCTCTGAGAGTCCCGCCATCTTCCACAACCATATTTATGTATAGAAGCTCATTCTTGGTGGAGACATAGAAGACTCGGTTTGACTGTTTGGTGACCTGTAGTACATTTCTCGAAATCACATATCTTTCCTCAGAGGGATATCCATCAACAAGCAAGGAATACTGCAGCTTGTTGGACGTGTCTAAGGTTATGAAATACACCCTATCTCCACTTCTGTGGAATATTGCTCTGCGCAGAGGAAACGGAAGAAAAATGTATGGGGATGCCTGTTTGGGATCAAACATCAGATCTCTTCCATCAAAGGTGCAGAAGTAGTATCCATCGTCCGCCTCTATGATGGGGCATGCTGCAAACTTTGTAGGATCAACCTTGGTCACAAATTCGTACTCCACATCGATATTTGGCATGGGCTCTTGGATCCCAGGCCTTTTCTCCTTGAGCAATGCCTTGAGATCCTCACTGGGCACCATTGATTTCCTTTTAACTACTTCCTCGATCATCCTGTCCATGAGGGTCTTTCTTCTTTCAGAAAAAATCTTTTGCATATAAGATTTTTGGATGAGAATGTCTTTTGGGACCAGGCGGCCACGTCAAGCACCAAATTCTCTGTAGGTCCATAGAAGTAAACATAAACAATCATGAAACTATAAAACCAAATGCCTGGAACCGGCCAACAACAATGTCAACAAGAGTGGACCCTTTGCTTGCAGCACTTATCTCTACCCTTCGAGAGTTACCAGTCCACGAAAGGGAAAAGATAATACTGAGGGAAAGGCGCAAGATGGTCTCCTCAGCCGAGACAGAGCCCCATATAAGGCATTCCAACGTACTGAAATCGATATACATGAAGATGCTTTCCTATAAAGTTAACGAAATCGACTTTTTGAATGCATGCGAGTCAAATGTGCCAAGGATAAAGAGTGCTGGATATCTTGGACTGATGGCAATGGAAAGCGACGAATATGTCATTATGGCAGTGAATACGATTATGAAGGACTTGGGAAGGAAGGAAACAAGAAATGACGCACTGACTTCTATCTGCAATCTCAACAACGACAGCATGGCCCTTGCCAACCTTACAGGACACATTTGTCCCAACGGCCGAGGGGATCCATTCTACAAGAAGGCCTTAGTGGCGTTTTCTAGGCTGAATCCCGATGCCAGGATCTCTGTTGTGGGGCAGGACTCATCTGAAATCTATGTTAAGTCTCAGATCCTGGTGGACATCTTTGGGAAGACAGGAAGGATGGATCTCACAGAAAACGACGTTCTGTTTCTTCTCTCGCTCTTCATGAAAAGCGATGATCCTTTTCTTAAGGTTAAGCTCCTGCAGGTCTTTGGGATACTCCAGTCAAAGAACCAACTGTCCCTGGACAAGGCCTTTCTTGATTCCATTGATGCAGTGATAATCCCCTCGAAGGACAAGGTACGCCTGCAGATAGAAATAGCACTGGCCATCGAGGCTGTTGAGTTTCTACTGAAGGCCGGGAAAAGCACGCCAAGAGCTGAGGCATTTGTTCTTAGGCTTATTGAGTCACAGAATCCTAACTCGAGATACTTTGGGTTCAAAATGGTAAGAAAGTACAAAATCCACAGGGACATAGCCATAGATCGATGTATAAAGCTCGGACTCCACCACGATCAGTGCCTCAAAACACTCACCTCGCTCATAACAAGAAGCAACCACAGGGCAATACACAAGAAAAAAGAAGAGATGGTGTTCTACATGGAAAAGGGGAATGCGGACAAGCAGATGGTGAATGCAACATTGGCCCTGGTGTTTTCGAGGCTTGTTCAGCATGCAAAGGATGATCTTTTGGTCAAAATGTACCAAGAGGTTCCGGAGATATGCCTGAAGACACCCTTTGATAAGAACATACCCAGAGGTTATGTGCTAAAGCTGTTTAACAAAATTTGTGTGACCGTCAACAGCAGATACTTTCCGTTGATATACCAACTACTGCAGCCGTGGATGGGAAACGACGAGTTTTACACCACGATGTTTGAAAGGCACCTAAACATCCTGTTGGCAAGAGGAAAGAGAGACTGTGAAATCACCACCTTGATGAAGCTACTTGACTGCATGCTAAATTTTGGAATACCCAATCGCAACCGTGATATACTCATCTCAAGCTATGGAGAGACTCTGAAGAAAGGAGGTTCTGAAGACATACTTGACATGTTGCTGAACACGGTGTACCTGCTCAACGTCAGGCTTGAGAGCCAAGCGATTCATGTTGCTTCGGAACACTTTATTTACTTTACTTCGATCGGGAATCACAGCATTGAGTTCAGAATGGGCCCAGAACTCGAAATAAAGTCTTTGGCTGGCAAAGACTTAAGGATAGAAAAGGCATATAAAAGGTCCTCTGATGGAGTCCAGATCTTTGCATATCACATCAAGAACCTTTCCAAGCTGAATGTAAAGGTGTCTGTAGGCACCCAAACTCACACGCTTTTTTTGGAGATATGAAACAAGCAGCAGGACTCTTGCTTTGGGGCCTTCTAATAAATAAACTCGCGTGGAGCAGCCGAGAAAAATAAGAAGCTTTATTAAAGAGGGGTATTAGTACACAATCCTAAATAGCATCAGGAGTTCAGAACCCAGAGAATGGAGTTCCTCTCCTCGTGCGCTTTTGATCTTTGCCCTCAGGTTCTGGACTATCTCCTTTGACTTTCTTGGCAGATAGGGACGGAACAGGTAGTTCTCCTTAATTATCAAACCTAATAAAAAGTCAAGGGTTATCATCTTCAAATCGTTTGGAAAGAAAAGGATGTACGGCTTGCCAATGCCCTTCTCCATTATTGCCAGAACCACAGGAAAAAGCTTGTCCCTGATCTGCTCCTTTGTTTTCTCATCGTTGTCCAGCTTGCTGCAGTCCTCGTCAATATCCATAGGCTCTACTCCGGTGTAAATCTTCAGAATCCTAAGTTTAAGATCTTCATATGCTAGGTTGTGCACAAGAATGGACTCGACGTTGTAGCATTTGGATTTGAGATAAAAAGCCTTGTCGCTAGTCAGAATGACAGGATGGGCCTGCCTGGATGCAAAGTTCAAGATCTCGTCGTCGTTGTTCTTCGCATTTGGTATCAGCTTGGCAGAGTCCACAACATCCATCGCATTATCCCTCAGCTTCCCCTCTAGTTCTGTTATCGGGGCGTTGTACACCTTCTCAAGAAATCTTATGGCCTCTCTAGCCTCCACCATCTTGCCTTTATTGTAGTCTAGCTCTCTCAGAACAACTCTTGATATGGACATAAACACATCCACAGGAAACTCGTCCTCATAGAGTCCCTTGATCATGTCCAGATGCGATATGAAAACATTCGTGTCTGGGATGATAGAGATCCTCAGCATTAAAGGGTACTGAAACGCAAAACAAAGAGCTTTGCGGCCTTTATCTATTTTTAAATTATTCTTCCGGCTTCAGGCACTGGCTCTTTACATTTTTCTCCTGGGCCGCATCTACCACGCCTCGGAGACCACAAAAAGGGCATTTGTTTTGTATAGCCCCACACTTCGACAGATTGTTGCAGTTGGTGCACTTAGCAATATTCTTCGGACTCTGCTCGGGGCTTGGGGGCTCCATCCCAAGGAGGCACTCGACCTTCCTGTTAATGATGGACGTATCTCCTATCGGCTTGGAGCACATGGGGCAAGTGTAGGTTTCCTTTATAAACTCGTTGAAACACCTTTCGTGCAAGGAATGTCCGCACCTGAGAAGAACAAGAACCTCCATGCTTTCAGACATTTCCTCTGCACATATAGGACAATTCCCAGAAGCAGTGTTCTCCACATGGGTGTGGTCCCTTGGGCCTCTAGTAACAAGACATGTCTGGCAAATGTCGCAATGGAAAGACGACTTAGGATCTCCTCTTCTGCAGACATTACATCCGTCACAATGGAAGATCTGATCATCCGAGCTATCCCACAGATTGCACTTGGAGCAGAAGTACTTGGATACAGCTGCAAGGCACTGTAAGCATGTTTGAGTTTTTGGCTGCAACAGATTACAGGTGCCACATACAATCTGGGAAACCTCATATCTGTTAGCTCTATGGGCCTCTGCCTTATCATGGCAGAGCCTACATGGATATAGACTTGAGCAGCACTCAAATCTAACCAGGCAGTTGTTTGAATAATGTTCGCAGGACATATGTGACTGTTTTCCACGCATCCAGATTTATCTGTGTGATGAGACGTGTTTTATGCGAGCCGTGGCGCCTTCCATTCAGACAAGAAACGATAGTTGGTTGACCCTGCCATGGAGGAGTTTGAGTTGTTTGATCTAGGCTTCGAGGGAACGACGATCAGAGATAGCCTGCGATTCCGAAGAGAAGGAACCTTTAATGCGATAGTCTTTGATAGCAACAACTCCTATGGCTCTACATACCATGGATACTCTGGCCTGAAGAAGAGTAAGTATATCGACGAGTGTGTCCTCAACAAGGGCACCGGAGATGCAAGGCTCTTGCTTGAGGCATTTCCTGCAGTATTTCGTCCAACAGACAGGCATATTCCAGAGCTTCAGGAGACGGGAATGATGGAATTTCTTCACCTCATAAAAATACAGAAGCATTTCTATGTCGATCCATCAGGGAAGACATACAGGATACCATACACCAAGACAGAGATTGCAGACTCTGACGCCCTGAGTCTCAAGGAAAAGAACTTGGTTGGGAGACTACTTAATGGGAAACTATCTCTTGAAGAGCTTTATGAGTCGCTGTCTGAAAAGACAAGAGAAGTCTTAACGAACGGGGTTGTCTGCGATGGCAGGAACCACAAAGAGAGGATGGCGAGGTACATGAGAAACTTCGGAGATGTTCCGTTTCTGTACCCGCGGCATGGCCTCAAGGAGATATCGGAGATGTTTTCGAGGTGCAATTCGATGTGTGGCGCTGGGTATGTTCTTGACAGTGCACTTGTAATTTCTAATAAGACCAAGGAAACGCTGGACATGTTCTCTCTGAAGCAGAAGGACGGAAAAACGGTCCCGCCTGAGTATATGCACAGAATCGACACCAGTTACGGGACGATTTTTACAAAGAGGATTATAAGGGCCGAAAACAAGGAGCTTGTAAGCCATGTAAGGGCTATCAATACCGAGAGGGAGGTGCTTGCCAAGACTTTTTTTGCATTTGTGCAGCGAGAAACCACCTCAATGAAGGTGATTGGGTTGAGCTCAGACACCGAATGTTGCCCAGAAGGAACCTACCTCACGTACGTTATCAAAGCAGACGAGCCAGTCACAGAGGAAGACCTGAAACTTCTGCATGTAGAAGAAAAGGGTGTGATTGAGGATATTTCGTACCAAACGAAATTTTCGTTTGAGTTTGACTCTCTAGACGAGTGATTTGCCTGTAGTATATGCTCAGGGTTGCCCAGAGGCACAATGAAGCAAGATTATGCTCTACTATTTATTCCAACCTTCTTTATGCTTATTCAGCCAAATAAAATATTGCTGCTCGCCCAAGGCTAAAAAGAAGTTCTCGTCGCTGAGCATATCATTAATGTTTTCGCTATTCAGATGCTCTAGGACTGCTAAGCACTGGGGATAAGTCAGAAACCTCGAATATTCAGGGGACCTCCAGTATTCTAGATACCTCAGATAGCTTCTGAACTCCTCTGATTCGAAGTGGCCCTCACGGGTTAGCCATCTAAGGTAGTCAGGGTTACAGAGGAGCTGCACGAACTCCAGCTCTCTTTCGAATCTTGACCCGCTCATGGGGATAGATGGGCTATTCAATATGAAGCCGGGGGAGGATGTTCATGGACATGAGTTCCTGAAACAGGAGCTTGCATGCATACGGCATCTTTACTTTTACGGGCTTTGTGCCCTTGCAAGCGACGCAGCAGCCCTTAAAGGCAAGTACCCCGCACGACCTGCACACATAAGCCTCGAATACGTCTGAAGATGTCATTAGTCTCTCTGTAATCAGAGAAGATGCACCATACCCTATCAGGCAATCGCGCTCCATCTCCCCCAGTTTCAGGCCTCCATCCTTACTCCTACCCTCCGTCGGCTGCCTCGTAAGTATTGCCCTAGGCCCCCGGGCCCTCATGTGGATTTTATCTGCTACCATGTGCTTGAGTCTCTGGTAGAATACCGGTCCAAAGAATATGTATGCAGCTAACGGGGCTCCCGTAGTCCCGCTTGTAAAGCAGTCTTTCCCCGAGTAGCTGAACCCATGCTTAATCAGAAGCTCACATGTTTGCTCGACAGAATTCTCCTTGAATGCAGTGCTGTCGAGGATTTGTCCTTCTAGAACGCCGGCTTTACCCGAAATCAGCTCCACAATCTTCCCGACAGTCATCCTGGACGGAAATCCGTGTGGATTCATAATGATATCTGGTACAATCCCCTGGTCGTTGAATGGCATGTCTTCTTGCCTAACAAGGAGCCCTACTACTCCCTTCTGTCCGTGTCTACTACTAAACTTATCTCCTATTTCTGGGACTCTTGTCTGGCGCAGCATCGTCTTTATAAGCACCTGGTCCTGAGACTTTGTGATAAGGATCTTGTCAATGTATGCAGGGTCCCCTCTATGAACTTTTCCCGTAAACTTGTATGTCCCATCCACAGGCGACATCTTGTTCACATATACAGTTCCATCTCTCACCATTTTCCCGGGCTTCCCCAGTCCGTCTTCATCCAAGACACTTTCCTTCGGATTGGGCCAGAGAACGTCCGACATTCCGTTGCTGTGCTTTTTCAATAGGGTTGTTGTTGTCTTGTACACCTCTACTCTGAAGAGCCCTCTTTCGACAGATGTCTTGTTCAGAACAAGGGCATCTTCTATATCGTATCCAGAGTAACTCATGACTGCAACCATCGCATTTTGGCCTGCAGGTATCTCATTATAGTTGATAAGATCAAGTATCTTCGTGGAAACCATGGGCCGATGAGTGTATGTAAGCTGCAGAATAACAGAGTCAAATCTCTTCTTGACATTCAGAGATATGTGGCCGATGGCTTGCTTTCCCATTGCACACTGATATGTGTTTCTGGGACTTTGGTTGTGATGCGGAAACGGTACAAGACCGGCCACATATCCCAAAATTGCAAACTCAGAAATCTCAAGGTGTGTTGTTTCCTCTCCTATGTCCTCAGGCTTGAGTGCAACAAGGCAATCGTTTTCCTCGTTGACATCGAGATACTCAATAAACCCTTCCTCCAGAAGATCGGTGAATGACTTGTACTTGAGATAGCAGTCAAAAAGAGACTTTCCGCTTTCTATTGCCACCTTCTCCGAAATGTTCAGGGCCTTGAGACATTCGTCCATCTGGTTCGAAATTATCGTCTGGTTTATCCTGTTCTTGTCAATAATAATCAGTGGACGGCACACTCTGCCGTTGTCAGAGGCTATGTGGATAACCCTTTCAACCGTCACCTTGTAGATGGACACGAACTTTCCAACAAGCCCCTTTCTCCTGTGTAGCTTGAACTGCTCCACAAGAAAGTCGGCCCTGTTGGTTATTCCGATGATGTCACCATTAAGGAATACGGAGAACATGTCTTTCTGGTGTATCTCCCTAGTATAAACAGAGTTGATGTCGACAACTCCAAGCTTGTACACCGTGTCCAAGATAGGCTTCGTATCCGAGTTAGTCGTTATCTCTGCTAGTAGGGCAAGGTTCTTGACAAGACCGCATGACTCTCCCTCAGGCGTGTCAACAGGGCAAAGCATGCCCCAGGACGACGTATGAAGAGATCGAGGGCCACTGACCTTTCTTGTCTTTTCGAAATGGGAATTGATCTTTGTCATCATTCCCAGTGCAGATATGTACGAGTGTCTTGACAGAACATGCGTCACCCCGCTTCTCTCCATTCTGAATCTCTTCAGATTCCAGTTCCCGGTTGAAATTGCCCTAGCAAGGGTGGATGTTATCATGTTGGCTTGCAGGTTCAGGAACGTCAGTGCATCAAACTCCTGGGCTCTGGACCTTTTGCTCAGTATCTTGTCAATCGACTTCTTCAACTCAAAGTTGAATCTCTTGAATGTGTCTTCGAAAAGAATCGATAGTAGCTGCCCTGCAAGCTCGAATCTTTTGTTCCCAACAAAATCCTTGTCGTCTTCCCGGAGTATATTGAGCTTGGTTTGTGCGAGCCTCCTGACCATCAGTGCTATATAGATCCCCTTCTTCCGGAGATCGCATCCCTCTATCTGAACATTTGGGAGCACCTTTTCGGACAAAACAGTAAGAACCTCCTCTATCCTGTTGTCTTCCGGCTTAAGCTTTATGTAGCTGCTTATGTAGAGAAGCGCTTGTTCTCTGGTGAATATCCCCTTCGACATGCACTCTCCAAAACTGGGAACCATAATCTCAAAGTATTCCTTTCCAACACATTCGGCCACCTCCCTGTCCTGTACCAGTCCCAGGGCCTTCATCATTATCACCACTGGAACCTCCTCGCTGAACATCGAGTTTTTCAAGTAGTAGCAATCATCTCTAGTAGTCACCGATGTCTTGCTCTTGTGCTCGTCTGTGGAGGATGTCACTGAAGCAAACAACCCCTTGGGGCCCGACTCAATGATGATCCTGTTTTTCGAAAGCTGCTCCTGTATTAATACTACTCTCTCGATTCCCCTGACAATGAAGTATCCTCCAACATCAAGAGGGCACTCCTGGGACTCCCTGATTCTTCTATCTTTTGTTTTCCTGCCTTCCATTGGTCCTTTTGTCTCTCTTCTCAGGTGGCACCTGCTACTTCTTAGCATCACAGGCATCTTTCCGATACAAACATCTCTCTTGACAATAATCTGTCTGTTTCGGACGTACTCTATATCAACGTAGATGTTTGCAGAGTATGTTATGTCTCTCAGCCTGCATTCTATTGGAAACACATTGTAGTTAACCATGTTTTCCTCCACGCTCGGCATTGCAACACGGATGTCCAGATACTTGAGATAGAATGTATGGTCGATGTCTGAGTCGACAATCTGGTTTGCCCTTACAAGAGCCTTTATCTCGTGGTCTACGAAGTAGTCGTACGACTCTATGTGCTGTCTGACAAGTCCCTTTTCGTTGAAGAAAAGCTTTATCAACTCGAGTCTCTGGTCTTCCCTCATCCGGGATTAACTCCAAAAATTTTACTGGATATAGAGGCCGACTGGAGTGCAGATTCTGCTCAGCAAGCCGTTGTTGGCGTCAAAGCAGAGCACAGATATTTGTTTTGTAAACACGGGCCCAGAAGATGCAAATAAAAGTCAAGACAATAGCCGGAAGAGACTTGGAGCTAATTGTTGATCCCGAGGAGACAGTGCTGGATCTGAAGTTGAAGATAGAGAGCATTGAGCTGATACCCGTGGAGCAACAGAGGCTTGTGAGTAATGGAAGAATACTGATGAAGGAAAAGGACACGCTTGCCAGTCTGAACATAGTTTCTGGAAATGTCGTTCACATGGTGCTTGCCCTGAGAGGGGGATGACAAGTGTATATGTTCTGCTATTACGGCAGCATGTTCTAGATATAAAATAAATCCAAACGGGTTTAGATGTCTGTGCTGTGGGGCTATTCTTGCTTGCATTCATCAAAATGTTGGCACAAGAGGGATTCGAACCCCCGCCTCAATGAGACTGGAGCCTAATTCCAGCGCCTTAGACCGCTCGGCCATTGTACCTACGTTGGCTGCAGAGCCATCTCAACAGGTGCACGGTAGAGTGCCTTCAAGTACTGGAGCACAACTTTTACTTTTCATCATACACCTTATAACATGGAAAGATCCTCTAAGGAGGACTTCCGGGTCTCCAGACCGAACCTGGATGGGGAGTCTACGGGAAGGGTGTACTTTCCTTTTGACATCATAAGATGCAGAATATGCTTTGAGGTTTTTCATGCGAAACACCACAAAAGCCATCCATGCTTTCTAAAGGATGTTGACAGGCAAGGCGATCGGGAGACAGGAAGTATTCTTGCGGAGGGGAGAAATGAAAAGCCACGCTCAAAGGGGTCTCTGAAGAGCATGGAAAGCACGATAAACGTGGAAGAAGACTTCTTCAGGGATCCAGGGTATCTTGCGGAAGCTCTCAACATAAGCCCAGTCGTCAACAAAATCTGGAGATTGTCACGCGTGTCGTTGTCTAGGGAAAAGTCCTTGGTAGGAATAGATAGACGAAAGTACAGAGGAAAATGGAAGGTGCTTGTTCCGCAAACTCAAAAAACAATGGGTGGTGACCCATCATGGACAAGGCGTTGACCCAGCTGTCAGAGACGCTGAGACACCCAAGCGACCTGCAAACAAAACTGGATAGCATAGAGAGATCTACAAAGGAGGCATACGAACACCACGATGGAAATCTCTCCGCGATGATATCTAAGTGCTACTCAAACATCCTGAATATATCGAAGAGGATATATGGACTTGAAGAGCATCTCAAGAGCTTTGTGGAAGGTAAGGATAGGAATGTCCGCGTTTTAAAGGGCTTTTTTTCCCTTGTCAAGGATTACCGATCTGTGAAGATGATGTGCTTAGCCCACTCGAACCTGTGCAAGGTGATTGAGTTTTCGGATAGACTAAACGACATAGGAGGTACTGTGGAGACAGAAGACATTATTGCATACCACACGAAAGTATATGACGCGGAGGATTTTGGGTGCCAGCTGGACATGTACAACACCGATATATCGCATGACGACTACGTCCAGGTTAATAAGGCACTCAACACAATTGAGAAGAACTCGTTGGACTTTACTGCCAAGGTTCTTGAGATTTCTGAAGAGTTTATCGAGAACCACGAAGCCATGGATAAGATTGTTCAGATAGTTGAAAAAGAGGAGGCTCGCGATGAATTAACAAGAAAGGTCCAGGAAGGCGAAAAGAGCGACAATCCCGTTCTCAAGGAGTTCTACAGGATGTATAGAATGTATGCAACCAGGAAGACAAAGAAGTTGAAGGACAAGGTCATAAAGTCGATTGAGGTGTCTGTCAAGGGCAAGTTCGACAGACTGAGAAACGAGGAGATATTTGTGAACAGAATGGACTTTGTGCTAAAGGATCTGTCCTTTATTAGGGAGAATATAAGTCTCAGCTTCTATTCGTTCGACAACATCCTTACGCTGTACCACAATAACCTAAAGCTTTTTCTTGACGAGAACACAGAAAGACTGGATGCTGGGGAAATACTGGCCATCATCGAGTATGTCGGCAACTACTACAACACTATTGAATCGAAGTTCAACAAGATAGCCGATGCGCTAGGAGGAAGACTCCTCAGCAACGAAACTGAACTGCTAGAAAAGTACACAAAGACGGCACAGGAAAAGCTGAAGGAATGGGTTATGAACATAACCAGGATTGAGGTGGAAAAGTTCTATGCCAGAAACGAAGAGCTTTCTAGAGACGAGGAGGACAAGCTTGTGAGCCCTGGATTTGTCAGTCTCCTTCAGATAATCAGGATGCAGCTGGAGCCCATTGCATTCAACAAGAGGATATTTGCACATATAACAAGGACGATTACAAAGTACTGCGAGATCTTCAAGGAGAATCTTGTCGAAGCAATGGACAAGGACTTTAAGTCGTCCTGTGAAATGAGCAGCAAGGCTGGCTACGAGGACTTCTGCATCATGTTTGGGAACAGCGGCCTCAAGATAGCACAGTACATCACCTCCCTGCCGTCTTACCACAACGACGAGGTCAAGGAGCTGGGAGACATATTCATCGACATCCTGAAAGCTTCGAACACGTTTCTGGCCGAGTTCATTATATATGCATGTCAGCCTGCAATAGACAAGATCTTCACAGACGAATGGTGTGGTGGTAGTGTCACCAAGGTTGTGGTCCTGACCCTACAGGACTTTCTTTCTGACTACCAGAACACCATGAGCGAGTACTCCTTCGTTACATTTATTCACGAGCTTTCCATGTCCATTGTGCTAGCCTACATGAAGCAACTGGGGAGGAAGCGAGCCTCCATAGCCGAGGAATGCAGCAGAACCCTGAAGTCGGATCATACCAAGCTGTATGAAATGCTTAGCGGGTATGGGGACCCGGAGGATGTAAAGACATGCCTCTCTCCCATCCTTAAGATCATTCCTCTCATGGACACAAGAAATGATGACCTCTTCATTGTGGAGGTGAAGTCTCTGAAGCTTATATATCCTGACATCAAGAAGAGCTTCATCAAGACAATCATAAAGAAGAGGCAGGACCTTACGGAGGACCAGAAGAAAACCCTCGCCGACAGGCTTAAGGAATGCTTCACAGACGTTGCGAGCAGGGAAAAGACGATCTTTTCGCGATTGCTCAATCTGTAGACAGACACATCGGATTAAAATGAAATGCACTTTATTTCTTTTCTTTATAGAGATACTTTTTTAGAAGGTTTCCGATGATTGTATTCGAGGATGCCTTTCCCCTTACAAATAGAACCTCGTCATTTGCACTCAGGCTCAGGAAAAAGCAGAAGGGAGTAGTCCAAACCAATGCAAAGTAGAGCACAATTTCTGCTCCGTAGACAGCAGACTTAGAAAAAATCAACCTTATCACAAGAAAATGGTTGAAAAGCGAGGCAATCGTTCCATACACAAAGTATGGATTGTCCATCTTCACAAGAGGATAGATGTCGAGGAGGCAGTAGAATGCATACTGTATCGACAGGCTGAAGAGGATTTGAAGGATAGAAACCCCCCTCAGCAAGAGGATGACGTGAAGCCCAGCCGATATCTGTATTATGGCCTCTATGTGTTTCTTTGCAGCATATGCCTTGTCCTCGATGTAGTCTATGGCCTTTACAATGCCTATTCCAAACCCCACGAGGCCTCCGACTGACCCAAGAATCAAGAGCAAACTTTTCAAAAAGACTGAGAGCATTTGATGGGGATGTTTTTGTGGGAATATAAGAGCTTATAGCTCCCATGTGACACAGGATGGATCAATTAAACCATCTGAAACCGCCGTATGACACAGCGCTTCAAATAGGCCAGCTGCATGACTGCCAGGCTTGCTAAGAACTTAGAGAGCATTGAGTTACAGAAGATAGGATGTAGTTTAATCATTGGCGCTAGAAGTTGCCAGGGGAGTTTCTTCCAATGAATATTGCATTCTCAATGATCTTTCTATCCTCTTGATTCTGGATCTCTGGGATGCACTCACTAGGGCTTGCTGACAGCTCCATCGTCTTCACCTGGTTCTTGAGAATGACCTGCAAGAATCGATGCAGCTCCTTTCTGGAGTTGCTTTCAACCAATTTTCTTAGCCGTTCGACTGCCCCAATGTTCACGCACATGTCCACGTCCATGACCAGTCTGATGTCTCGGTCTTCAAGCTCCATGGGCGTCACTGTCTCGATGGTGGTGTAGAACATCTTTTTCGAACCCGTCGAGAAGTAGTAAAGAAGCATGTATGCCTTTATAAAAGCGCTGTTTTTTGTAGCAGGGCTGTAGGCAAGATAGGGCCCAAAGTACATCTCCACCATTTCTGGATTTTCTTTCTTTACACCACTTAAACAAAGCGACTCCACCTCGCTCAATTGTTTATTCATTCAAGCCCTGACTAGAGTTTGTTTTCTGATAAAGCTTTGGAGCCACTTTGTGAGGGGCCTTCTTTACCCCCAGGATGGCAGCATCTCCAAAGCATGCCTCTGCACAGGCCGAAATTAATGGCCACTTACCTCTGAAAGGTAGTGACATTGGCGCAATAGGTAGCGCGCTGGTCTCATAATCCAGAGGTTGCGAGTTCGAGTCTCGCATGTCGCATTTTGACCCATCCTGCCTTGCTAAGTTAAGCCACATGCTTTTATTACGGATCTTATCATGCTGTTCTGAATTTATTTCCTTCTCTACCCACAAACTTTTTTCTCGTCAAAAGATCGACAAATATGTTTATCTTCTCTCTTGGTACCCCTGGAATCTCCTTGTAGATCTCTTCCATTGTGATTCCCAGGCCCCTTGAGATAAGGTCGTACACCAGGAACAGGCTCTCTTCGTTCCGAAATGCCGGGGGGAGCATGCTTGGATTGAACGGAAGTATGCCATCTGATGACTCTGATTCTTCGTAAGGTCCAAATGCTTTTTCCTCTGCCATTGGAACAAGGCTTGACGACGCACTTTCTGCATTGCTGGTGTGAAACCTCGCAGAAAGATTCCCCAGAAATGTCTTGTTCAATACCTCGGACGATGTGCTATCAATAAATGGATTTCCTGGTGATGAGAATTTCATTGATTCGGGGCTCTCCCCTGCAACACATATGTTTTGGAAGTTAGACTCCTCCTCAATGCTCTGGCTGCCTTCAGAATGCAGTGGCTCATTTTCTGTGCTGTCCTCCAATTCCGCTGAGAAGAATCTTGTCCATGGTACCAGGTCTCTGATCATTTTCTGGTTGCTCCTGTCCATCTTCTCGACAGATCCTCTGATGCTTCTCAGTGTCCTGTTGATGGAGGAAAATGTGCTGTCTATCTCCTCTATCGTGCGGATAATCTCCTCCTCAACCTCAATCATCAGGGTGGAATTGTAGAAAAGAAATTATCTACCAAGGCAAGCAAATGCAAAGAAAGTTTCCAAACCCAGGAATTCTTACTGGCAAACGGTATCCTGTGTTTGTGTTTCAGCCGAGAGTAGATTTTCATAGATGCTAAATTCCAAACAGTTTTGGCATTTTCCAATCGTTCCTCCTGACCGCAGAAAATAAGTGCTACAAGCTTCACAACTCACCTGATTCATATATAAATGCCCTAACAGAGATCTATGCGGATGGACACGCTTCACTCGTTTTTCGGCAGAAAAATGTCCAGAGAAGCCGACGTGGTGCTTTTGGGCGTGGGCAGAGAAAAAAACGAGGAGCTTGGGCTAAAGATGCATCTGGAAAACTCTGCAAGAGATGCAAACTCGCTTGCAGTATCTGCATTCTGCTACGAGTTTGGAATTGGCACTAGTGTCGATATGAAGAAAGCAGAGATGAGATACACTAAGGCTGCGTTGAGCGACAACGGGCTTGCGCTAATTAGACTAGCATTTATAAGGCGGTTTGGCAGGCCTACGGCAACAATAGATCGGCGGGAGGCTAAGCGGTATCTCGATAAGCTAAAGCGCCTGGGCAGAAGAGGGGTGGAATGGCTAGTTTATGCAAACAAGCATGGAAACCTTTATGCCAGGTACTGCTTGGGGGTGTGCTACCAGGAGGGATATGGTGTTCCTGTAGATCCGTTACTAGCTGTGAAGTACTACAGTGAGGGTGCATATGAAGGAAATACCTGCTCGATTGGAATCCTTGGATACTGCTTCCTAAAGGGATTTGGAGTGGAGAGGAACGAAGAAATAGCCGTGGAGCTCTTCAAATATGCGTCTGAAAAGAAGGACTCGACGGCGCTGTACAACATAGGTTTCTGCTACGAGGAGGGGCGAGGGGTTGAGAGAAACCTCATCAAAGCCTTTGAAATGTACAGGCTGTCTGCAAAGATGGAGAATTCGTATGCTCAGAATGCATTGGGCAACTGCTATGAGGAGGGGAAGGGAGTGGATAGAGATCTCCAAAAAGCCTTTGAGCTCTATAAGAAAAGTGCTTTGCAAGGATATCCGTCTGGTCAATGCAACCTTGCGTTCTGCTACCAAAAGGGGATTGGGACGGAGAGGAATTTGGAAAAGGCCTTCGAGTGGTACAAAAGGGCTGCCATCCAAGGACTCAGCAGGGCAAAGCATAACATTGGATACTGCTACCAGAATGGGCTGGGGACCTCTCCGTGTATGCGTAGTGCCGTCAATTGGTACAAGGAGTCCGCAGCTGAAGACAATAAGTATTCAATACATGCACTAGGGGTTTGTTACCAGCATGGATATGGAGTACCCAAGGACGAAAGGCTGGCTGTAAGGTATTTTAGTGAGGGTGTCCGGGCCGGCTTTGACGAAGCAATCATAAGCCTTGCATTGTGCTACAGATCTGGAATAGGAGTCCGGATCTCTCCGGAGAAGTCCTTTGCGCTGATGAAGAGAGCAGCAGAAATGAATAACTCCTCAGCACAGAATACCTTGGGATACTACTACGAGGAAGGATATGGAACACCCAAAAACCTAAGAAAGGCAGTGAAATGGTATGAGACAAGTGCCAAGCGGAACAACTCATGGGCGCTGTTCAACCTAAGCACCTTATACCTCAATGGAAACCATGTTCCAGCAGACAAAGAGTTAGGGATAAGGCTCCTGATTAGGTCGAGAGATTTGGGTAACCCCAGAGCAATGAACACCCTGGGATACTGTTTTGAGAAGGGCATTGTTGTTGGGAAGGATCCAAGGCTTGCCTTTGAGCACTACACACAGGCATTGATGAACGGATACTCGAAGGCAGGGTATAGTCTCGGAAGGTGCTATGAGAGCGGTATCGGAACTGAAGTTGACCTGGATAAAGCTCTGTACTATTTTTACAAGGCATCTTCTGCCGGAGAAGAGGCTTCTCTACAGAGACTCAAGAAGATACTGTCTTCATTGGTTGAGCCAAACCACATGACTATCCCGCCCTGCGCCTGATTAAACATATAGATTTACTTGAATTTGTTCTTGTGGTTATGCCACAGGGTAGTCCTGTTTCTGAGTCTCTTCGGCACAAACTTGAGGCTGCTTCCCCTTACATAGTCGACATACATCGGTTTTCCTCCGATTCTGTGCCATTTTCCAGATATACAGTCTATGCTTGCACCGTCTTCCAGCTCCACAAACGCATATCTGCTAAGCACCCTTATGTCCTTTATAGGGAGTATTTCATGAAAGGCCTCTTCTAGGGCCGTCTTTGCTGCTGCCCCAACCACAAATAGCCCACCTTTCCCTCTTGGAGCTTTCAAGTGTTCTATAAATCTGGAAACCCCCTCTATCCTTGGAGGTGCTCTTCTTCTACTCTGCGGAATGTAAGGTATCACAGGCGATAGAAACTTGTCGAAAGGAGTCTGTTTAAGTAGATCTTTCATCTTTCGAAGGATTTAGGGGCTTGATTTATTTATGTCGACGCTGTCTTGAGGAATTTTAAAAGGCAATGTTATTGGTAATCTTCTGGTACTGGTCGTACATCCAAGTTCTAAACTTCTGTGATGACTCTGCTATCAAGGACAGCACGAACCTTCTTGCGTTTTTGTCGGACAGCTCAAATCTGAATCGCAGGATGAAGTTCTCCACTGCATTTCTCCTGTAGCAGGGCAGCTCGCTGTCAACAAACGAGTCGACCATCATAACAAGGTCCTTGCTGCGCCTTCGAAGTGCCAGAAACCCTTTGACCATCAGCTCCTGATAGATCTCAAAGCCCTTTCCAGATGTTCCTCCAAGAAGCTCCTCGATCTCCTTGGTCAGCTTCAGTGGCGCTTCTATGTTGAGGTTCCCTGGAGACATCTCTAGCATATACCCAAAGTCGATGTGGATCATCCTGCCTTGGTCGTCTATCATTATGTTTCCATTGTGTCTGTCCTTGATGTTGAGGAAGTATCCAACCAGGGAGTATCCTGCCAGACTGGAGGCAAAGTTGCAGATTGCTGTGAGGTACCCCTCGCTCTCCTTAAACCCGAACTTGTATTCGAAGTACTCCAGCAGGTTGTTGATGTTCTCCTTTCCTATCTGGTCCCTCGACTTTGAGTTTGGAATTACCTCTATAATCCCGGTTCCCGAAGATGTGGCCATGACCTTGTACGGATATAGAAATATGTCGAGATTCGCCTGCTTGAATATCGATTCAAACATCGAGATGATCTGGAGAGCTAGCATGTCCTGTCTGCAGTCATCTCCAGACTTGAATATTAGCTGCTTAATACTTATTTGCCCCCCTGGATCCTGGACTCTAAAAGACGCCATAAAGGGAACCTTAGAATGACTCTGAAGGGCTCTTGCAGATCCATTCACAATTTCGATAATCTTGAGATCGGGGTAGAACGGAATATAAATCCCCGGATGCAGCTTGATTCTAGAGAGGTACTCATTGATCCGCCTTCTCTTCTCGTCCTTCGACGATCTGAGGTGCGGAGTAAGTTCGGAAGAAATCTTGGTAAGGCTGCTGATGAACTCCTCCTCTTTAAGAAATATGTCTCTGCTCCCGTCCGGCATCTCCTTCATAATCTCCTCTATACACCGCACAAACGTGCCGTGGTAGTTGTTCACGGCTGCCCTGCCGTCAACATACAGGTTTGCCTTCAGGTTCCAGATCAGCTGGTGGGCGACATATTCGTCCTTTGCCAGTTCCTTCAGTGTAGAGAACGCCATCTCAAACACCTTCTTGTATCTCAGCATCTGAACAAGCTGTGGGACATAGAAAAGCATCTCGTTCTTGGACTCCCTGAGTCTCTCAAAGGCTCTAGACACAAGGCTCGGGTCGTCCAATCTTCTGATTATTGTAAGGCTGTCGATAACCCCCAGGGAGTCCACGTTGAAGAAGTAGGTTCTGTAGGATGGGCTCCGGGATCTTTCAAGCAGCTTTTGTACCATCTTCTGCTTGAATGTGTTTTGTATATGCACAAGGTCGGCAGTGTCAAACCTGGAAACCAGTTGGGTTCTTTCTGGAAACGAAAGATCCTCATTGCAAGGGAGGTTGGAGACTGCTAGGTGGAGCGCCCTAAAAAAGAATCTGTAGAATCCGTTTGTTTCCATGGACAACTTGTAGCATATGGCAGGGTCGGTTTTGAAGTCCAGCCCTCTGTGGAGTGCATGCTTCAAAAATTCCTCGGAATCGTTTTCTCTGATAGACAGGATATTATAGGCTTTCAGAAGGATGTAAAGGTCCTCATACTCAAACTTGTTTCTGAGTCTTAGTTTTAGAAGGTCCAGGACCGTCCTTATCGTCGAGCTCTGACTTCTTCTTGTATATATCACATCGATAAGCCACGAAACAGACTTCTCCCTCTTTCTGATGCCTTCGTCCAGCATCTCCAACCACGCCTTGCGAGAGATCGACGGCATGGGTGCTGAGCTGTGCAGCGAGATGCTTCCCGTAGAGCTCTCCAGGCTCATTACGCTGTCGTTAGTACCTGTGCGAATAATGTCGTACATGTTATGTGATTTGGTCTCTCTGGGCTTTGTCTCCTCTTCTTTTCCGCTGCCACATACCCTGTGCAGGAATGGCCCAGAAACAGCCTTGTCAGTGTTTTCGGAGCAGCTCCACCCGTGATCAACCATGAAGATATCCGGAAACCCCTCCACCACTCCCATTCTGGATAGCGTATGGTTGTACAGGTCGTTGAATGACTTGAAGTGCCCTCTTGGAAACTCCCCATCAAAAAAGGAGATGTCTGCCAGGCAGAGAACAACATAGTTATAGAAGTTCGGTGCACACTTGATCCTCTCCACTATGCTCCTGTATAGCCTCCGATACGAATCAGAAACTTCGTCACTCAGAAACCTTTTGCTGCTGAGGAGCACAAAAAGCTCCTGGAACCTCTGGTGAATTCCCTTCATGAATATTATTTTCTCTTCCTTCTCAAGAATCCTTCTTAGGATAATCTCAATGATAACTAGCGTTGTTTCTATTGTCTTCGGCTTGAGCGCAATGGTCAGAAGAGAATTAACATATGAAAGCGTGAACTCGTGGGATCTGCTTATATAGCCACTGTGTATCAGCTCTATTACACCAACCAGCCCATCCCTGGACATCCTTATGCCATCTTCGTCCTGTATGTACTCCAGTATCCCCGTGTAGTTGAAGTTGTACAATTTCTTCGATTCACAGTAATACACAATGCCAAGAAACACGACCATCCGTGGCTCAACGTCTACAAGACTTAGCCTTGTTGCCAAGTGCCGCAAGTATCGGACGTTGTAGTAGATGCTCGAGGATATCCCAACCAGCGCCGGTGTCTTAAGAAGGAATAGCCCCACATGTTCAATCACCTCCTTTTCAAAGAGAAAGGAGTATATTTCGTACAGAACATAGAGGACCTCGCGCTTCGACGGAATGTATGGAACAAGAGGAAGGATTCCAATGAGCTCCTTGTTCTTAGTGGCCAGGAAAAACTTGAGGAATTCGGAAATGAGCTTGTCCACGTGGGCTTTGTCGTGCCTCTCCTTCCGAACCTTATTGAACAGAACAGAGTAGAATCTCTTCATAAACCCGAAGCTGGAGATTCCGTGAAGAGTGTGGAGAGGAAAGTCGATCTTGTTGATGAGAATGAAGTTAGAGTACAGCTCGATGGTCTCGGGATACTTCACGATGAATTTCAAGAAGATGCTGTTGAGGTCTCCCATGTCCCTGCCCATCCTAATCCTCGACAGAAAGCTTAAGAAGTTCCAGATTAGTCTCTCTCTGCCTCTTGACTCAGAGTCCTGGAGGCTGTGAAAAATCATCCTGAATGTCTCCATCACATTGCCGATCCTCTTACCTCCACTTCCCCCATCCTGCTCAACCATTGCTATTAAAACCTCAACAAACTCGTTTCCATATCCTGTGTCCAGGGAAACAAGGCAGCTGGTTGTGAACACAGAGTACAGCAGGTCATTCAATGCACCATCTTCACTCATGCACACCTCTGCCATCTGGATATATATCCCGAACATGTTTTTCTTCGAAATGGGAAGGTCCTCAACAATCGGGAACACCTCGCTAATCCTACCGGCCACCTGTCTTGTTACCAGGGCATCAATCGTCAGAGATGCTCTAAATACAAAGGCCATGTCGTCCTCTAAATCCTTCGTCTCGCCAAGAAGTGCAAATGCTTTGTAAAAGTACTCCTTAGCAAATGCGAACGTACTCTTCTTCTCTATTTCGCCTTCCTCCTTGGTTTTGTACTCCACCATCATTACGATGAGTCTCAACGACAGAAGCAAGTAGTCAAACTTTGTGTTCATAATGTCCTCCTCTTGCTTCCAGGAGACTATTTCACAAAGAAGGTTGCTGCTCATCTTCCTACACAGGTCCTCGACAAACGCCTCATATCTGCCCACGACTTCTCCCTGCTCTACCCTCCATATCAGAGCCTCAATAAATGCATTAATAAGCCCTACTTCAAGAAGACTATAAGGTTCCATACCGCCCATGTCCGACATAATTTCCTTCGATGTGGCTGTGTCATCTAGCATTTTGAGGAATATGGCTATGTACATCTCATAGAGCTTGCTGCTGTACTCTAAGCACACGGTAGAGTTCTTTAGAATCGCATATGCATTCAGCCCAGAGCTTATATCGTACACTTCCACTTCAGATAGCTCTCTAATGTCTTCCAGAGTTGTCTCCTTGATGAGAGGTATGCAGATCTCTTTCGAGTTTCCTTTTATCATTACCTCTATCCTCATATTGGAAATGTTTGTTGGGGTGTAAGGTATTTGCACCATATCATCCAACAAAAGCCCTGGCATGCATCCACTTCTTCAACTGGAGCATCAGATGTCCAAACTGGTCAAGTAATAGTATGTGGAGTAGAATCGCACAATTTATTGCATTTCAGGCTAATTCCAAGCTAGCGCATCCAGAAGATTGGTGCAGGCCCTAGTGTTCATATCTAACATCCTCAAAACGGTTCACCAAATCCTCTATTCTGTGTCTTTGGGTCTTTGACATCGTCATAAGGCTTTCCCTTGGAATAATGCTATCTACAGAAGCAAACGGAGAAGCATGCCTGGGGAGCCTTTTTCCCACGCAATAGTTCTCGACACACGCCCTTTTTCCCTGGTTCAGCGAGTCAAATAAGTACTGCGGCTGGACATACGTTACATTCTCTACCATTTCATCGACCTTTTCCGAGACATGGATATCTGCTTCGCATGGACTCCCAACCACACTTCCTCCACAGCTCAGTGCAATAAGTCTCAGGCTATCTCCAACTACGTCGCTTTCAATGTAGAACTTGACCCCGGAAAATATTCCCTTCAGACTACTACACGGCTTATACACCATCTCCATTTTGTAGAGGACCAGTCTACAGTGTACCATGAGAAGGGGGATAGAATGCGACAGAAGAGAAACGTCTATCTTTCCGGGATCGTTGCAAACAGCCTCCATTTCACTTGACTCCGAGGACGACTCCTCTTCAGAAGAGGACACAAAGTCCAGGAAGTTAGGCTCGCTCCACTCAAACTTCTGTGGCATGTCCTTCTTCTCCTCGACTATCTCCTTCAGCGACACACCCGGATATGGAACAAACCAAACGACTTTTATCCTCCCGAGGGTTATCTGGTTGTAAACCCCTGCTTTAGACATGTACGAGTATTCAAGCAGAGACCTTCTCCTAACAAAATCCTCAAACATCTCAACGACCTCTGCTATCCTATCGTCCAGCTCAAGCATTCTCCCCAAGTACAGGCTACTCAGTGTGTAGTTCAGTTCGTCCACCGCCTCTCCCAGTCCTTTGAATCTGCTCTTGATCAAGTCTACATACCCGTACTCCTCATCGCAAATATTCCTGATCTTGTACTCGAACCCCGTTCCACTATACCTTTTCTTTTTCTCTTCAAGCCTCTTGTTTTTGACCAGAGTCCTGTAGACATCGGAGTGGGCAAGCCTGTTAGCATCCGATATCCGATAGTAGAACCCATCTCCTTGGTCGACCTTCCTGTTGTCCTTCGGAATGTATGGATAGACCCCACACAATGCCACAAGCTTGTCGAATTCCTTTTCCCGAAGGCCCAGATTCTTCATGACCAAGCCTTTTGAAATGTACTTCTTCTGTGGCTTTATATAGTTGCTTCCCATTGGGGGAGGGAATTTCCATGGGATTTGGATAGCGCGATTGCCGGGGCATGGAGCTTTACGGATTGATGATGGAGCGGATTCTGCCGGTCAATAAAAGGACAGGTTCGAACCCTAGAAATGAAGGACCTAAGGACATATCTAGCAGAAAACAAGGTGGAGCATCTGTACAAGATATTTAAGGGACTGGGGATAGACGAGTCACAGCTACTGGCAAAGCTCAAGTACTCCGACCTCGAAAAAATTGGAATTGAAAATCTCATAGAAAGAAGGAAGGTCTTCGATATAATCAATGAGATAAATCAGGACATATACAATGAAGACATAGAAATGAATAAGAACGACTCGTACGAAGACAGCCTTCTCTCTTCCGACTTTGTCTGCAAAGGTACTGATAGACCTGGATATCGGATCTTTCCCGGCAGCCTTGCAGAGAAGAGTGGGGCTATGTTTGGGAGCGGTGAGACTATAAGCCAGAAGTTGTCTTTATGCTCGATGCCAAGAAAGAACAGCCCCAGGAAATCTCTGATCGGGCTAGATGGCCTTGATATTGACGGCAGTAAGCTAAATACTCACGGAGCCTGCAATGAGAGTCTACTTACCTCCTCGGACACTGGAGGGCTTGGTGTAAAGGAAGAAAAGATAGTTGTGTGCGTTAGAAAGAAGCCCTGCAGCAACCCAAAGATGGATGTGGTTGACATCGAGGGAAGAAGCGTCGTTGTCAACGAGGAGAAGTTCAGGGTTGATCTAAGACCGTATGTAGAACAGTATAGGTTTGAATTTGACTATTCCTTTGATGGAAGCCAAAAGAACATGGATGTATATAGAGGATGTGTGAAAAGTATTGTGAACCATGTCATTTCTGGTGGGCTTGGGACTATTTTGGCGTATGGGCAGACGGGGACAGGGAAAACATACACCATGCTGGAAAGGGACACCGGGATGATGTACCTGGCAATTAAGGATCTCATGGCATTCAAAAGCCATGGGGCAGTGACATTCTGCGAGATATATATGGGACAGGTATATGACCTGTTAGATAATGGGAAAAGAGTACAGCTACGGGAGGTCAATGGGATTGTACATCTGTCGAACTCAAGAGAGGAGAAGTTTGAGGGGTATGAAGAGGCGCTTGAGATCATTGAAAAAGGAATGTCGCTGAGAAAAACTGGAGTGACTGGAGCCAACTCGAAATCCTCCAGGTCTCATGCAGTGATTTTGGTGAATTTTTCTGAGCACAGAGCAGGCAATGAAGGTTTTCAGGCCTCTGGGTCTATTGTGTTTGTTGATCTTGCAGGTAGTGAGCGCGGGTCTGATAGGAAAGAGATGGGGTCAGATGTCAAGAATGAAGGTGCTGAGATCAATAAAAGTCTCTTGGCTTTGAAGGAGTGCATCCGTGGAATGGAAAAAGACAAGAGGCATCTTCCATTTAGACAAAGCAAGCTAACCCAGATTCTTAAGAATTCTTTTATTGGTACGTCCAAAACCTGTCTGATAGCTACTATATCTCCAACACCCGAGAATGTCGAGCACACTCTAAATACATTAAGATATGCTGCAAGGATAAAGGAGAGCGTTGTGCCCAAGGGAAGAAGAGCCAGAGATTCGCTCGGTGGCAACGGTATTATAGACCAGGCAAGACCGCCTCCGACAACCTCCAGGAAGGAACCTGAGGAGGAATCCTTCGAACACCCCAGACTTGAATTATCTAGGAGCAGGGATGTTCTTGTGCGTGAGATTCAGAAGGCATTGTCAAGGATCGAGTCCAAGATTCCATTGCTAAGAGGATCAGAGGAATTGGAAAGAATGTTAAGCCTCTGCATTGAAATGGAAGACATAGTGGATCACAGGACGAACAAATATTAAATTTAATGTCAAAATCTTTGATACATCTCCAAGGAGGCTATTATTACAAGGGCTGCTTTATTTCGATCTTTCGTACGATGCAGACACAAGCCCGGTTATCAGAGGGTGTGGGCGGTCAGGCCTTGCATTGAACTCAGGGTGGAACTGCACCCCAACAAAAAACGGGTGCGATTCAACCTCAAAAACATTTATCTTCTTCCCTCCACTGCTGAACCCCACAAACCTCACTCCGTGCTGCAAAAGCCCGCGCACCTTCTCCTGCGCCACCTCAAACCGGTGCCGGTGCCTCTCCCGTACAGTCTCCACGCCCCCATACAGCTTCTTCACCAGCCCGTCACGCAGCTCAACCCCATATCCCCCGACACGCAGCCTCTTGTCCACCACCCCGTTCTCGTCGCTGATAAACCGGACAACAAGATTCTTCCCCGAGGGCTGGAACTCCTCGGAAAATGCATCAGACATCCCGAGAATGTTCCTGCACATCTCAATCACAGACAGCTGGTACCCGAGGCAGATCCCCAGAAGCGGAACCCCGTTCTCCCGCGCATGCCGGATCGCCTCAATCTTCCCAGAAATCCCCCGCGCCCCAAATCCCCCAGGTATCACAACCCCGTCGCACCGCTCAAAGTCACACACAGAGTACGACTCAGAGTTAATCCACACAATCTCCACATTCACCCCGATGTGCGCCCCGGAAAACTTCAGTGCATTCACAAGAGACGTGTAGCTGTCAAACTCCGGCGCGTACTTCCCAACTATCCCAATCCGCACCCCGTCCCGGTGTCTCCTCCCAACCATGGAGAATATGTCCAGCATCCTCCGGTCCATTCCCTTGTCGTCCAGCCCCAGAATCCTGTTCAGGGCCTCGACAATCCCGTGCTTCTCAAGAAACATCGGCGCAAGGTACACAGACTCGAGGTTCGGAAGCCCCAGCACATTCTCCTCCTTGACCCAGCAGCTTGTCGATATCTTCCTGCGGGTCTCCATGTTCGGCTCCCTCCGGCCCCTGCATATGACGATGTCGTAGTTGAGCCCAAACCTCCTGAAGTTCCTACACCCCATCTGGATGCCCTTTGTCTTCTGCTCCCCGGTCTCCAGCTCCACGATGTAGTCCACAGACACAAATGCACAGTTGGCCTTTCCGACGACGTACTGGAACTTTGCCAGGGCCTCTGTGTATATCGACGACTCGTACTCGCCGACGGTTCCCCCGAGCTCGACGACGACGACGTCTGGCACTGCGGCCTGGCCGCCGCCGAAGCTCTCGACAGGGGTGTCTGCAACAGCCCTGATTCTCCTGATCACCTCATCTATTATGTGCGGGTTGATCTGCAGTGTCTTCCCAAGAAAAGACCCCTCCCGCTCGCATTTTACAATATCATGAAGTAGCCTCCCACCGGGTATACTGTTGGCACCCGAGAGCTTTATCCCATTGAATCTTTCGTAGTTCCCAAAATCCATATCACACTCATGTCCATCATCAAGGACATAGACCTCCCCATGCTCATATGGGTGCATCCTTCCAGCATTGTAGTTCAGGTATGGGTCAATTTTAAAGTGTGTCACAACATGGCCCCTCGACTTCAGCAGTGCGCCGATACTGCTGCTGACTATGCCCTTTCCAACGCCAGAAATAACTCCTCCGGAAACAATAACGTACTTCATCTTAGGGATATCCAGGAATCAATTTATTTCTTTGAATCTAGGCACTGAATTAATTAAAATTTATCAAAGCTTCCACATAGACGTCTATTAATTCATTCCTCCATTTTACTCAATAGAAACCTCCTGTCTTCAGATTCTCGGAAGGCCAGGGAGCAGAGAGAGCCAAACTCCTCATGGGAAACACAGAGCTCACCATTTCTGTAGCTTTTGATAAGTGCTTCTCTGTCCAGAGACAGCACCTGCTTATAAGATCGGAGCTTGTCTTGATTTCTTATCGCCCCGGTAGGAAGATGGAACGAAAGGTCGAGGACATAGTCTATCAGTAGAACAAGATTCCGAATGGTGCTGCTTTTTGCCATCCCTAGCCCCAGAATCTTTTCCATCAACCCCTCATCGAGCATCTCGAAAAATTGGATCTCAAACAGATTTCTGTTGATCATTGGCACGAACGATTCCAGGTTCTCGGCAAACTCTACATGCTTTTCCTTGAAGTACAGTTTGAGAGTCACCAGAGATTCGCTCAGGCTCACATTGACTCGGGAAGATTCTCGGACAACATCAAAAAACAGCATCTCTTTTCTTTTTGATAGTTCGTCTGCAAGGGAATATCCGGGATAGGTCCTTAGGAAATGTGTTATATCTGCAAACTCAATAAAGTGGCTGTATACAGAGGGCTCATATCTCTTTGGATCAAACAGCTTCATTATAGCCCTGTCAACAATCCGGGCACCTTTCTCATGTCTTTTTGACTTCAGTGTCCTAAACAGCTCAAAGCATGCCAAAAACCTTTTGTAGCTTGTGGAAACAAACTTTGGCATTCTGTCCGAGGATTCGAGAGTCTCAACTGCATCCATGCTTCTTGGCCCCTTTGTCATTTCAATAATCTCCTTCATAACAACGTCAAGCCTCCACTCAGGGATATTGTGGATGTAAAACTCCGTCTCTCTGAAAAATGCATTACTTCTCTCCACCGACTCATCAGAAAGACTTCTTTCCACAACCATTTCCCTCAAATTGTCTCGGAGGGCCCCAAAGATCGCATGGGACGTCATTTTGTACTTTGAAATCTCCTCCGGGCCTATTTCAACAATCCTTCCAGCAAATGGATGCTCTGAGGACTCTGCACTATCGCCCCTAAACACAAAAAACAGTGCTCTTTCATCCTGAAAGACCTTCATGTCTGCAGGTACAACACCTTGGATTCCCCCATGCACTGTCGACTTGAACAAGAGGTAGCATTTCTTCTGCATTTCGGGATATTCAGCAGAAACCTGAAACAGCCTCTCCACATCTTTATCTACCCTGAAGGCGAGCAGCTCACCATCGCCTGGGAGGTTGTGGATTGCCTCTATACCTGCCTGGTCGATGCCGATAAGAACAACCGAGCATCTGAGAAACTCCAGCGACTTCTTCATCAGCACATCTATGTCTGTGATTTTGGAGAAAACAGCCTCCAGATCTTCTATGCTTCTGCACTCCCTAGAGCTGAGGGAAAGCTTCTCAATGCTCTCAAGAATGCCCTGGTACTCGCTGTTGATCTCTTCTATTTCCCTTTCCAGATCCGTTGCCTCGGCTCTCCTGATCTCCTCTTCTATCCAGGCCATATCCTTCTCTATCTCAGCCCTCCTGTTCTTAAGAGACAGATATCTTGCATAACACTCCCTAACATCTCTAATTTCATTAAACACCTTATCTATCCTCTCCATCCGAGGGATGTAATCACTATTAAGATATTTGCTGCAAATCCTTGGGGAGAAGAGATGGATTTCGACGAAGACACTCTGTTTGTGGGGAACATCCCCAGCAGCTTTAGCAACGAGCTGCTTATGGAAATACTAAACATTTTCGGCGAGGTTAGGGAGTTTAGGCGCGGCAGGAGCTTAGAGGGGGCTGATTCTCCATGGGCGATCGTGAATTACCACGAGCCTGCATCTGCCAACCGCCTCTATGGCGTCCTGCTAAACAGAGCTCTCGGGCAAAGCAGAGTAACCATTCTTCCTGCGAGAAAGGGATTTGAAAGATGGGAAAACTCAGGCGATGTGCTCAAGAAGATCGAAGACATTAACAGGAAATACCGTGAGGAGCTCGAGAGAGAAGATCTTTTAGACAGATTCATTTCCAGTTACAACCTACTGTATGGCAAGGCAGGAGACGACAGGGTATTCTCCTTCACACTGAAGAAGTGGCTGAAGGAGGAGGCGGAAATACGCAAAAGATGCAGGAAAGCCGAGCATGATTTTGAGAAGAGCACAGAAAGGAGGAGGCAGGAAGAGTACGACTACCTATCGAACTATGACGATGACAGGTCGAATGATCTATTTTATCTTGACAGGACCTCTTGGATATCTGAAAGAAACAAAGACAATGTTAAATAGGCTTGAGTGGATTGGGTGCTTCCTGGGATTTATTCCACTCTAAAATTTTGTCGATGGAGGGTAGTCTTGAAGCAAGGATCTCCGATGTCTTAAGAAACAAATTCCACCCGTCCGACCTAGATGTCAAGAACACCACCAGAGATCACATGATGCATGGAAATGCAGGATATGGGGTGAATCTGGAGACCCACTTTTATGTCAGGATAAAGTCTGCTGCATTCAACGGAATGGTAAGTGCAAGCCTTCTATAATTTAAGAAGCTGATGGACAGGCACAGACTTGTGTATGGGGCCCTGAGCTTTGCTTTTAACAGCGGCCTTCATGCAATTGAGATTGACTGTGACTCGGATGGCCAGAGTTATTAGATAAAAGCCTTTAATTTGAAATTTAATTTGCTGTCGGATTGGAATCCGGTTTTGGAGTTTGCAATTTACACTCTTTTGGAAAAAAGAACAATGTTCCTCGTCATGTTTATCTTTAAATAATAGAGAAGTTGTATAGCTATGTTACTTTGCCTACTATACTTTACATCTTCCTGGTGCTCAGGAAGTGATGTCCCTGACGTGTGCACAAACTCTGGAATGATAGCAATAAACTTTGTGGACGGTCCTGTCAGAGGCGTGACCGATAGGATTCTCAACACCCTAGATGAGCTTGGCGTGAAGGCCACCTTTTCGTTCACAGTGAACCAGAAGGCTGTTGGGAATGTGGGGCAGCTGTATAGAAGAGCTGTTGAGGAGGGCCATAATGTGGCGCTAAGGGTGGATCCCTCAATGGACGAGGGATACCAATGCCTTTCCCAGGATGCCCTGGAAAATAATGTGGATAGGGAGATAGATACAATAGATGGGCTTAGCGGCACCGAGATAAGGTATGCTGCGGTGCCCATATGCAACGGACAGGTGAACTCGGAGATGTACAACATCCTCACCGAAAGAGGAGTTCTTCCTGTGGGATACACCTTCTGCCCGTATGATTATGACGATCCCGTTGGAGAGTTTGAGAGCATGATAGAGGGGTCCGATCCAAAGCACCATTCATTCATCATTCTGATGCACGATGGGCAGGAGGCAGACACCTCACGCCTGGAAAATATGGTGAAAATAGGAAAGGACAAAGGATATAGGTTCGTCAACATGGATGAGTGCCTCCAAGGATACAAGGGTGCACCTGGAGATCCTGAGCTCAGCCTGAGAGGAAAGGGCGTTGAGAGCATAGGAAAGGGATTCCTGCCTTTTTTCCTCATGATGTTAGTAAGGCTTCTGTAAAGCATAAATAAATATACATCCTAATGGATATGTGCCTCGAACTCCACGGGACGGCTGTGTTAGACACAAGAATTTGGATGCTGCTACCATAATAAACTTTATAGACCTGCATTCTCCGGAATGCTCCATCTTCCCATTCATCGAGGTTTTCCATCCAGGTGGCAATCCCCGTCTAGAAGACTCAGATGCTGGGGCAGTGTGAGATTACAATTGGGACAGAACTGCTTGTTCTCTTCACTGGCATCGTAGTATCCTGGATATGGCTGATACGAAAGATAGAACTTTCCGTCGCTGCTCTCCACAAATCTATATCCTTCGTGTATTGACTGCTCGATATCAAATCCATTCACATGGTTGAACTCCGGGCTGAAGAAGTACCTGTTCATCAGGAACTCCACGTCGGAAACCCATCCGCTGTATGGCCCTGGTGATTTTCGTGCATAATACTTCGCCCCTTCAATCCCCAGCCAGTGAAATGCATCTCTTACCCACTGCAAGGCAAAGTTGAAGTCCTCATCCCCATCTTCTATTTCCGTGCTCTTGAGGCAGTAGTTTGCAATGAGGACAAACCTGTCCAATGCAGAGAAAAACTCCTCGATCAGCTGCTTCAGCTTGAGTTCCTTTTTTAAGCTCTTAGTCCTCTGTTTGAAATACAGGTCACTTAGGACCATGGTATAGTTGCTTCCTCCCTCGATATTGCACAAGAACTTTGGATTCGGATGGTTCATTCTGCTCTTTTCCAAGACCATGTCGGAAATCCTCAAAACCTTAAGGTTCTTGTACAGACTCCCAAGGCCCTTGACATGGTACATGCTCTGAAGCCCGCTACACTCGTCAGACTCGTCACTGTCAAGGCTACTGTCTAGATCACCTGCAGAAAGGCCATTGCACTTGTCTGTTTTGTCTCCAGCCATAGATGGTCTTTCCTGGGCAGTAAAGCACCCAGCTGCAGTGTCTTCTTCCTTAGCACCCTCCGTCGCCGCTCTGTCCTTCCATAGCGGAGGCATCTTTGCTCTTTTTGGAAACGGACTCTGCATTCCCGATCCACTGTTCGCCTCAGACACTGCCCCGCCAAGAGAACTCCTAATGCTTTCGACGCTTTTCCTCTTTCCTCCGGAAACTTCCATCAAGGGTTGGAGAGGGTGTCTGTAAACGCTATATCTGATTTTGACCTGGAGGGCAAGAACCCATGGGTGTTAGAGAGTCGTTCATCAACGTCAGAAGATCGTGCGGACCTTCCGAGGACCCGGACAATGATGACCATGAAGAAGAATACTACAAATGGAGGATACGAGACCTAAAGAGGAAGATAAGGGACATCAAGAAGGAGATAGCTAAGGCCAAGAACATTGGAGACACAGATCCTAGAATTTATTGATATCGATGAATGCCCTCAAATCGTCGTCGGTGACTCTTTTCCTGGACTCTTGGTACCTCGACACAAACTCCTGTATTACAACAACGCATTTTTCCTTCATTTCCTTACTAGTAATCTCTCCCTTGATGTATCCCGAGCGATACTTCTCAAGCTCCTGGTCATCGTCCAGGAAGTATTTCAGATATTCAAACGGGACATCCACGTCAATGTCTCCCCCCTTTTCTCTGTGCTCCTCCAGCGTCTTCCTGCCTCCCGAATAGGCATATGCGATGATTTTCTTCCTTATTGTATCCTGGGCATCATCCAGATATATGGAACTGTTTGGATCGCTGGCAGACATCTTTCTGTTCACTCCCTTAAGATCCGGGAGGAGTGATACATATATGGACGAGGGCTTCTTCTCTCCTAGCGCCTTTGCTTTGTCTCTTGCCAGCCTAAAGAACGGGTCCTGATCGACTGCTGCAGGAACGAGGCACATGGCCCCCTTTCCGATGAATCTGAAGGAGCTTGAGAAGCAGGGCGCTATTTCCTTTGCCGGAAACCCCACCTGTCCTATGTTGCTCGACATATCGAATCCAAAGACCTTGATCGCCTCGTTGAGATTGATTGTCTTTGATATCTTCAAAATGTTTTCCTCGAAGTGGTGGGAGGCCTCGACATTGGAGAATATGTATGTCAGCTTTGGATCAAACCCAAGTGCCACAATGTCCTTGATGTTTTCTCTTCCATATGCCATGGCGTCCTCGAGCCTCATGCTTTTCCACAGGAACTTTTCGTCGTCCGTTATCTGGATCACAAGGCGTATCTTGAAGGCATCCTGCATATACTTGCATAGAAGAAAGGGAATGGTGTGCCCGATATGCATGGTTTTCGAGCTGGGGCCTCTTCCGGTGTACAGATAGAACGGCCTGTTGTTGGCTATCTCGTCAAGAAGAAGGTTGAAGTCTCTATGTGCAAAGACTATGCCTCTTCTAAAAAAATAGTGTGCCGGCTTGCCTGATAGCTTTTCCAAACGGTCCGCAAGGGCCTGGTTAAACTTCTCACACCCAAACTGGTTGATTATCTTGTCGTAATCAATGGCCACAGGCACTTCGTCTGTAGACACAACCTCGACGTCCCACGGCGTGATTCTCTGCTCTGCCATTGGGGGTATGGCCGCTTGGATCAAATATACCAGAGAGATCTAAAATCCGCAAAAAAAAATTGCTTCCTTCGAGAAATGTCAAACGCAGATGCTCCGAGCAGGAAGTTTTCGTCGAGCATAATAGGAATAGATCTGGGAACAACCAACTCTTGTGTGTCTGTCATTAAGGATGGAAAGCCTGTGATAATAGAGAACCAGGAGGGAGAGCGCACAACGCCTTCTGTTGTCTCGATACTCAAGGACGAGGTTGTTGTTGGGACTCAGGCAAGGAACAGGATACTGATGCATCCAAGAAACACGATTTTTGCGTCGAAGAGGCTAATAGGAAGGAAGTTTGGGGACCCTGAGGTCGAGAAGTATGTGAAGGGGTTGCCCTTTGACACGATGTCCCACTGCAATGGAGATGTCTGGATAAGGGTTGATGGGAAGAAGTATTCTCCTGCACAGATCGGAGCATTTGTGCTTTCGAAGCTCAAGAGCAGTGCAGAGGCGTTTTTGAGCCATCCTGTTGCAAGATCTGTTATAACAGTTCCTGCATATTTCAATGACAGCCAGCGGCAGGCAACAAAGGATGCCGGAAGGATAGCAGGGCTAGATGTTGTCCGGGTCATCAACGAGCCGACGGCTGCAGCGCTTGCATACGGTCTTGACAAGTCGGCCAGGGGAAACATTGCAGTCTACGACCTCGGAGGAGGGACCTTTGACATCTCGATTCTCGAGGTGGAGGACGGGGTGTTCCACGTGAAGGCAACCAATGGAGACACGTTCCTTGGAGGGGAGGACCTGGATAATGAGGTTGTGAAGTTTATTGTCGAAGACTTCAAGCAAAAGGAGGGAATTGACTTGAGCAATGACGTGGATGCGCTAGGGAGGATCAAGGAGGGTGCCGAGAAGATAAAGAAAGAGCTGTCTGTATCCTGTACTTCGAAGATGGAGATCCCGTACATATGCAATTCCCAGGGAGGGCCGAAGCATCTGTGCAGGGAGATTACCAGGAGTGAGTTTGAGCAGATTGCGAAGAAAATTGTAGAGCGCACGATTGCACCGTGCAAGAGGGCGCTTGCAGATGCGGGACTGGACAGCTCTGACATCAAGCATGTGATATTGGTTGGGGGGATGACACGAATGCCATATGTCAGGAGAGTGGTTAAGGAGATCTTCGGGATTGAGCCCTCAACAGACATCAACCCCGATGAGGCAGTTGCAAATGGTGCAGCACTCCAGGGTGGAGTTCTTATGGGTGAGATTGACGATGTGCTTCTCCTTGATGTTGCTCCGCTGAGCCTTGGGATTGAGCTTCTTGGAGGAGTGTTTAGCAGAGTGATAAGGAGAAACACAACCATTCCGTTCAAGGAGACACAGGTGTTTTCCACGTCTGAAGACAACCAGACGGAGGTCGACATCAAGGTGTACCAGGGAGAAAGGTCTATGGTGGCGGACAACAAGTACCTGGGGCAGATAAAGCTCAAGAGCATCCCTCCTCTTCCTAGGGGTGTGCCTAGGATTGAGGTGACGTTTGAGTCTGATGCCAACGGGATATACAGGGTGACTGCCCAAGACAGCATTACAAAGGAGCCGCAGTCCCTCGAGATAATACCGTCTAGCGGGCTAACGGAGGCGGAAGTAGAGAGAATGGTAGAGGAAAGCGAGAGGCTCAGGCACCTTGACGAGATGAAGAGAAGAAAGGCAGAACTCATTGTTTCTTCTAGTGAGCTTCTCAGAAGGCCTCCTACCGAGCTGGAAAGGATTCCCAAGAATTATCTGGACAGACTCGGGAAGGTGGTGAAGGGAGAGGACTTTGATCTGAAGGAGATGGAGGAAGTGCTGTTGAGTGCAAAGAAGAGCATGTCTTGATAGGGGCGTTAGGGACCTGCATCGATGTGGAGCACGATGTCGATCCTAGAAGTGATAGCCATTGGGTCTGAAACAAGCTAGGATCGAAAGTACGGTGAAACATATTAATAAACTAAGAGCCCTGGAAAACAAAGACCCATGGGCATGAATTTCAACAAAGAAGTTAAAGCACTTCGGGAAATAGAGGAGAACAAAAAATGTGCCGACTGCTCTGCACCGAGCCCGCCATGGACATCGGTGACATACGGGATATTCATATGCTTTGACTGTGCTAGTGTCCACAGATCCCTTGGGGTTAAGACAAGCTTCGTGAAGAGTGTGAATCTAGACATCTGGGACGAGAAGGAGTATCTGTTTATGAAACATGGATCTAACGAAAAGTTCAGAAGGTTTCTAGAGCAGCACAGACTTGTTGGGCGCGAGATGAACGAGATTTACAACAACAACCAGATCAAAAGATATGCTGCAGAGATCAAAGGTCTTGTTGTGAAGGAGATGGGAGAGGGGGCGTTTAATGGGCTAAGGACCAATGCGGTCCCTAAGGGATCTGAGGATTCTGAGGGCTGGAAGAGGTCTTCCATGGATTCTGTACATAGGAGCAAGCGGGAGTACAACACGCTAGGGCTTGAGTCGATTAGCAGCGGGTCGCTGCACAACTCCATTACATCGACCCTGTCTATTGTTGGGAATGCGATTTTCACGGGTGCAAAGACCATCACCAGCAAGACAGTGGAGTATGGAGGGATTGTTGTTAACTCCACAAAAAGCATCATCAAAGATAGCTCTCCTTCGTTAACATCTATCTTCAAGAAGAAGGAACCAACTCCAAAGGATCACTCGAAGGTCTCTGGAAGGACAGAGGCCTGTGGAAGGTCGGACAAATGGGACTGAACCTAGACATCTAATTAAAGCTTTTAAATGCCAATTTGAGGACTTCCGTGCTGTATGGAACTTCAGGGTTTATTTACGATGAGTGCCATGAAGTATCTGTAGACAAGGAGCACATACAAGGAGACTTTGCAGAATGTCTCGATCTTTATCCGCTGCTTCTGCTTGAAGAAGTCCAGAGCACTGATGGTGGCTCCAGACCCCTTTTTCTGGGCCTCGTAAACAAACAACAGAGCAACAAAAAATGATGTATAGCACAAGGAAAGGCATTGCGCAATCACCATTGCAGTAAGCAACCTGAACTCAATATCCGTAAGCCAGAGTATCCGGTCGCATGCATTATACGATGACGCCCTCTTGCTCTCTGCATCCAGTACGGCCTCGATCTTATAAAGCTCGACGATACAGAGCACAGTACTCAGTACAAGGGAAATAAGGAATCCTATAGCCCTCATCGCTGGGGTAGGTGTATTTGGGTGTTGAAAACCTGCTTTATTCGTCTCTACCCATTGGGGTCTATTGGGTGAAAATATACCTGTGGATGGAGTACAAAAGGCTGTAAATGGTGTTTTCCATGATACTCTCCTCGCACTTCTCGAGAAGACGTCTTCTGTAATCAATCCTACCGACCTTGGCCATATCAGGATTCTTACCTGCTAGGTTCTTTTCCTCCTCAAACGCCTTTCCATAGCTTTCAATGAGCTTCAAGGCCTCTTCCCTCTTGCTTCTGACATCTCCAAGCTTGAGGTTGTCTGCCCATGTCTTTCTATGCAGATTCAGTAACATCTTCTGCTCAAAGTCATTTTTCCTGCATGTAATGTTGAAGGAGTAGTAGTGCTTGTTGAGCCCATGAATTATAGATATAAGCGTCGGCGTCTTGAGGTATCCTATGTTGGATGTCACCTGCCTTGGCTCTCCTCCGAGAACCCCCAGCTGGTTGTCAATAAGCCTAAACGCATCAATCACAACCTTCCCCTTGACGCTTTGGATTGGATCAACAACGACTGCAACGGCCCTTTTGCACAGCTTCTCAAAGCTCTGCTGGGTGCTTATGTCGACAGTACTGAGCCAACACCCGAATCCAGGGTGGCTGTGATACCACCCCACCACCGTCTCGTGCCTTCCAGTTGCCTTCAGTATGCTCATCATCTCCATCTGGAAAATGGGGTCTACAGATTCGACTGTGACATTTGTACCGCTCTGAGGCATGGCAAACACGTCGACGACCTTCACAGTGTATTCGTCAACAAACTCTCCAAGCATCAGTCCCATGACCTCGAGGGGAATCCCTGCCCGCCCATGCTTGAGCATCTTCAGTAGCGCTAGCGAGGATATCTGCACTGTCTCAGAGGCATCCGACGTGGGCTCTCCGTCGTCAGGACCAACAAATCCACTGAACATTTCGGGGCTTAAATTTCTCACTTTTAAAAGCTTGGAAACCTAGACTAGACTGTACTTGAAGACCTCACAGCTCGACGTCTTCCAGCTGGAAGATCAGCTCCTCAAGCAGATTCTCCAGTTCTTCAACGTTTTCAACTATGGATGCTCCTCCTCTTGATCTTATTCCCCCGTCCAGGCTTCTTACAAACCTGTTGTAAGCTCTCTCGATCTTCTCCTTCATTCGGTAAAGAGTAGTACAGGGCCTGGCAACACGGAAAAGAAAGAGCTTGGCTGAATAACCTCCCTTTATTACATGTTCTTTATAGGCATAAAAAACATTATGATGGAAGAGGCCGTCAACGCAACGACCATGGCCCATGCATCGGGTATCAGCCCACAGTGCTTTGTCTCAAAGTCTACTCGGAACCGCATCTCCTCTTTTTCCCCAAAGTACTGGGTGGCGTCAATCAACTCAAGCTTCCGAGGCTCGTACTCCTTGACACTGTAATGGTAGTATCCAGGAAAGGAGATCTTAACCGAGTTCCAGCTGGATGCATCATGCATAGCAGAGGATATGTATGTGTTCCCCACCTTGAGTGTGTCGAACGAGTCTCTTGGTATTTCAATGTTGTCTGTAAGTATCGGAACCAGGAGTAGAAGAAGCATCTTAGTTGCAGGGTTGCATCCAACCCATTGATCAAATAATAGCCATGTAAACAAGGAGGGTGCTGTGTCTCCCTGGATGTCTTATTCCTTGTCAGGACTTCCGACCCATGAAGACAGAGGATGCTGGTCAAGGCACAGGGAAGAAGTTCAAAACTCTTCTTGCAAAAAGAAAGAAGCTTAGTAGGCAGATCAAGGCCATTGAGAAGGATATGTTTAGGCATGAGACAGTGTATCTGGAGATGACCCAGGGATCTCCCCTCACAAGAAACGTAGACTACTACGTCTCGAACAGGACTGAAAAGAAAAAGCATAGCGTTGATGACAAAATGAGGATGTTCAGCAGAGGCTTTCCAAGGACCGATCAGTAGGAAGTTCTGTCAGTATATTTTTGGAGGGCTGTGGAGGCCAAAAAAGTCCGAAGTTTCCTTCCCATAATGAGCAAAGAGCCTCGGATCAAGATCTTGAACGGTCAGACTGTGCAGGTGAGGAAGGAAGACCATACAATTATGAACCCACTGAGATGGTGCATAGGAAAGAACTTCACGGGCGAGAAGGTGGAGCTTGTGGGATACACCATCCCACATCCTTCGGATGATATTTCCAACATAACAATCCAGCTCTGTGACGAGTCACTGCAGACCCCTCCCAACCTTCTCAAGAAGTTGGTAGAAGGCTTAGAATGCATGGAAGCCATTGGAGCCAAGATAGCAAGTGAGATAGAGAGGTCCAAAGGTGGATTTAATAAATAGATGGGCTTAGCTGCAATTCGTCTTGGAACTCGGGCCGCATCCGGGTAGAAAAAGGATTATCCGCTGCGCGCATAGAACAGCATTAGCGGGTGCCCACGAATCTCCTCCATTCTTGAGACGCCCCTTACCCCGTCACTTTCATATCCATACCAGTGATCACCGTCCTTAACATAGCAGCAGCTCACAGTGTCTCTTTCAGTGATGAAGGAGTAAAGAGAAAACGAATGGCCCGCGACGTCTATACCTGTATTGCCCAGTAGGTTGAGATTTCCTTGCTCCTTCACAACAAGCACAAGGACTGCTGGCACCTTCGTTATCTTCTTTTCGTTCTCCAGCCAGGAGTCAAAGGCCCTTTGAACACTGGAGAATCCCTTCAAAGATATGTCACCCTTTTCAAACGAGGCCTCCTGCTGATTGAAGAGTACCTTTCCTTGGAACATCTCTACAATCGGAGAATAGTCTCTGTAAAGCGGCTTGGTCTTGGTGCCTTGGCCCTTGTCCATGGTGCTCCACACATCCTCCTCAAAGTTGTACCACTCGGTGAGTTCATTGTGGATGGCCCTCAGAAGCTCCGAGTATATGCCTTCGTACCTCTTCGAGTCGGGCTCCATCAAAAGATCGCTTGCATCGCCTCTTCTGCCTTCTACCATCAAGCCGAGAATCCTGGAGATCCTGTCCATTATATGGCACCTTCCGATGTCCTGGCCTCTCTCTTTAAAGTTCAGCACAAAGTTATAGAAGGGAGGAAGCCTTGTTAGACATACAAGCAGGTTGAATATCTTTTCATCAGACTCTACGTATTCAAGATCCACAACCCCAATATGCCTCTGAACGAACAGCTTGTGCCCCGTGAGTAGAACTCTGCTTCCATTTAGTTTTCCTGCAGGCCTCCTCTGAGGTTTTGGTGCATGTCTGCTGACAATTTCATACTCTTCCTCGGGTGCCATTTTATCCACAAAGAAGACACAGGACTCTGCTTTTACTTTCATTGTCTCAATTCTCAGGATACAAATTTTTGTACCATTTAAGAAGGCGATGAAGGATCGGGCGTACAAGCAAAGCCTATTTGCACGGCAGTCAAGGAAATTTAATTGGGTGTCAAAGGAGATTCAGAGACGCAATCATGTCAGATATTTCTTTTCTGTCTATTCTGGCAGAGGACGACACCGATTCTTGAGTGCTCATGTCGAAGTAACTGAACAAGTTCAAGATGTGCAGGACTATTGGGCTCTTTAGTGACAAGCTGTGCAGGTGAATATCGGAGTTCAGGTAGTCTCTTTGGTTCAGCCCAAACACACTCTTGAGATGTGCCATGATTGCTGTTTGCACCCCTAGAAGCTTAAGGTAGTGGGCGTCATCTATTCCACTCACGTGAATCAGCATATTGGATCTTGAGTAGAACATGATGCTGTTCTTCTTGAATCCTGCTCCGAAGGAGGATAGCCTTCCCAGGTTGGTCTTTATCTCTGCCCTCTTGACAAGCCTTGCCCCGTCCATGCTTATGATGTTGTTTGGAGAGTAGGTGTATCCATGGATTGTTCCTTTGGCGTCGCAACACAGCATCGAAAGCTCATTGCCTGTGCTGAGAAGCTCCGTGGACGTAGCATTCCGAAGCGGCTCGCTGGAACTTATCAGGTGGAGTCTGATCGGCTTGGACTGGAAAAAGAAGAATGAGAGTCCTCTGTAGATGTCAGATGCAAGGATGTAGTTCTTCACCACAGATATGGAAGAGGTGAAAATGTGTAGGTCATAGAAGCCTATAGGTATTATGCCGCTGCTCCTGTCAATCTTGTATATCATTATCTTTGTTCCCAAGCACAGTGCAATCTTCCCCCGGACCTCTTCGCACCGGACAATCGATCCCTTGGTCTTCTCAATTCCAAGAACCTTGAGCTTGCAATCCTTGAAGGGGCTTTCCAGCGACGGAACAACAGATATTATTTCCAGCACGTGGAGCCTGCCCCGAGCGGGCCGATCCTCTCCCTCGATGAATGTTGTGCAAACAAGCAGAAAGGGCGACTTGCCGTAGTTTCCCTGCATGTCATCCAGAATAAGATACTTGATGTGGAAGACATATTCATTTTCGTCCAGCTCGTAAGTATCTATGTGTTCGTACTTTTCGGAGTATAGGTCCACATAAAATCTGTACGTGTCCACGGGAATGCCGCTGTCCTTCTCGCCCTTTGGAGAGAATCCAGCCTCTTCGCACGATCCCACCACCATGTATCTGCCTGCACACTCAATATGCTTTGGGGTTCTGAGGACGCGATTCTTTTTCCCTACAAGTCCATTGCCGAAGACATATTGGCTGGCTCCAACGCCGAGGACATTGCAGACCATCAGGTATCCTTTAGAGAGCTGAATCAACTGGCCTCTGTGCATGGCTATTGAGCTCAGCGTATACCGGCTCCTGCACAGAAAGTGCCCCTTATCTGTTGGAATCATAAACATGTGTGGAACCGCCTTTATGAACACCATATCTCCCACGCTGTGGAATGCCTTGATGTCGGGCGCCAGATTGAAAGAAACATGCCTTGGAAGATGTGTCTTGAAAAACACAATCTCCGAAGAGAGGCTGTTGTCGAAGAGCTTCATTAAGTCCAACGATTCGTATGCAACCATGTAATTTCCCCTCAGTCTGAAAAGCATCAGAATCTTGTTGTCTGTCAGAGACATGCTTATTTCTGTAACAGAGTCATCCTCCTCCCCCGCCAGATCCATGGCCGGAGAGGCTTCTGGAGAAAATCTAATGGCATACGGGAGGCCTTTAACAGAGCAAGGGAGGAGCTGGCTTATTCGTTTGTCTATGTCGAAGATGCCCAGAGAGTAATCCGAAAGAACAAAGATCTTATTCTTGGCATCCGCAAAACATGTGACCGAGGGGATGCTGAAAGCCATATTCATCTCTCTATCATAGAATGTAAGCCTCTTCTCGGAATCTCTTACTGCAAGAAATAGACCATCGCGGACTGTTCTCGCCTCAATCGCTCTACTAGCAAACTCCACTCTGCCTAACATCCTAAGGTCTTGGTCCATCCTTAGGCAGTATGAGGGCGTTACCTGGACCACCTCATTTCCAAACTCCACAAAAAGTAGTGTATTCACGCTCCTGGTATATTCTCCACTAACTTCCAAAAGACCTTCTTCAGACCACCTGAAAACCCTTGTATCAGACACTCTTCCTAGAATGTAGAAGTCCAGAGCCCTTGAGCAGTATAAATATCTTCTTATCTTCTGGGACTTCACTATCTCAAGCGGAATCGTGCTGCTTACGGTGCATACACATGGCTCCAGTCCTTCAACAGCGAATGCTGCCTCGCTATCACTCTTCATGACTACTCCGTTCAAAAGCCCGATATTTGGAATCTCGTCAACCTCGTGGAGTGCGAAGTCCTCACCGCTCCTTGCTTCGGACCCTGCATTGAAGAGCTTGGCATACTCCTCGTCCTGCCTCCTAACCTCTTGCTCCTTATTCCCAAACAGTTTCGAGTATTCGTCAGACAGAGTACCGCCTTCATCAGGGCCCACGCCCTCCGAGGCCCTGGGCAGAAGGCTCTTTATCTCAAACACCCTCGAGCTGTCACCGACAGACCCAACAAACAGGAGATTGTTCACATGCCCCACGCAGCTGACCGCAGGGCCCTTCCCCTCAAACTCCAGAGATGCCCCTATAATCCTTTTTATGTCCATCGATATCCTTAGCCTGTATCTATCTCCGTTCCCATTGAATATCAGGCATCCATTTCCTCTTGAGAAGCAGTTTACGTCAGACAAGACTATATCCTCGACTATCTTGTTCCCTCCGTATGCCTCAGACATCCTGTTCAGAGGAATGGTGTATGAGCTGCTTGTGGATCTTATCAATATAGAGTTGTGCGATATAAATAGCAGGACAGGCCCTGCACAGGTCACCCTGAACGTTCTTGGAGGAACCAGGAACTCATCAATAACGTGGAACCTTCCGGCACCTAGATCGATGGAAAACACTATGGCATTGTAGTTCCTTAGAATCGTGTACTTTCTGGGCAGAGAGTCGTACACAAGGCATACCGTGGGAATCGAGTAGTTCTCTAGGAAGACGAAGTCAATCGGGTTCTTGATTTTCCCATCTATCTCTATAAACTTGAAGACCTTTGCACTGAATGCACCTGGAAACAGCGGAAAGATGCTAAAGTGGCGCTTGCTCATCTGAAACATCCCCAGGTCAACGCTTATCCTAACATTCCCTATGTCCTCGTCCCTGATGTCGAACTCGTCCTTCTCGAAGAACTTGAGTGATATTGTTCTGAACTCGTTTGCCTGGGAATCAAACCTTGCAAGAGAAATCTTAGCCCTGTGGAACAGGAGAACCAGCCCGTCTTGCTCGGAAGATATCCTGTACTTTTCTACTTGGCAAACCTTCTCAAGCAGCATGTGCTCCTTTACTAAGACCAGCCCGGAGCTGTACTTCCAGAGTCTGACAGCATTTCCGTTGTATGTCAGAAACGAGCATGTCCTAGGTATGAAGAGCCCTGCAGAGCATCCCTCGGTCGCATTCCACAGGCTCTCCTGTGAATACAAGTAGTTCATTGGGGCTTACAATTTCCCAGCTCCAAACCCGTGGTTTTTCGGCAGAGCGGCGCTGCATGCAAGTTTTGTGAACATCAAAACAAGATATGGATTTAATGTGAGACTCTATCCGCCGGCCTTGGACTTATCGCTTGTTGTAATCGACAGAAAGCTGATTCCTAAGGCCTCCTTGAATGTGATTATTATCCTCAGAGCCACCAGGAGATAGTACATGGAAGAAAGGAGAAAAGAAATGGCCACAAGTGTTTCCCGGAACTCCTTGAGATACTGCAGCTGTAGGACGGCAGAAACCGTGAGATACATCAGGTACGGCGGCGTGAACAGAAAAGGGTCTCTTCTGATGATGTAGGAGCATACCTCATTCACGTACTTTATCGAAAATATCTGCCCAAACATCAGGATGTTCAGGTGCCGTATCCATAGGCTTTCTGTGCTGAGAGTGTTGTGCAGGATGACAAACGAGGTGACAAACGACATGACCCTCAGAATGGTGGAGTACAGCAGGAGCCTCCGAGGGAAATGCATTTTGAACTCTATTGATATCAGAGTTGATGCAGTGTTGAAGACCAGGGCCGTTCCAATGATTACCGAAACAGCACTAAAATTGTCGGTTCCCAGTATTGAGGAGTAAATCTTCTTGACAGGCCAGAGAAAGTTGTCCGAAAAAAGATGCCGGAAAAGCCTCTTGCCGCATAAGAAGGTGGCCAGGTGTGCCCCCATGGCAAACACCACGCCTTCAGAGGCTCCACTTATCCTCCCGAGAACAAAGCGCCCGGTGAACTTCTCCTCAATTCCAGCAAGGTAGAACTGTACCATGACGGCCAAGGTGAAAATCAGAAACTTCGGAGACAGGCCGAATCCAAATGTGGAGGAGAGGGCTATGCTTGTGATGAGGGCACAGCATGAGTCCACCCCGTGGTCAAAAAGCTGGCCCAGCGAGGACCCGGATCCCGTTTTTCTAGCCTGGGCGCCATCCAGGTTGTCGCACGTAAAGTACACAAACATTAGAAGAAAGTTTGCTAAGGAAAGGAAGGCTGGCGGGCTGCACAAACAAGGGTCAAATGCCAGGGTTAGGGCCAGGCTTGCTACCATTGCAATGAGCCCGCAAAGTGTCAGCATGTTTGGGGCCACGAATGCCGGTATCTTTTCCAGCATCCAGTTTGTGTAGTGGTGAAGTACATACCTTCCGAGGATGGAATTGTCTGTTCCAACAAATCTATGCTTTCTCAGACTTGAAACCTCGTCTGGCTCCATCTTCATTCTGAAGAATTTTGCTCCTAGCATCGAGGGGAGAGGGATGATTAAATATATATCGGAAACTGCTGCTTAACGCTTTTGATGGCGATTGGATGGGTGGAGGTGTGCAGCTGCGGTATCAAGAACGGGATTGGGCAGCCACAGAGGTGTATTTGCCAGAATGCAAACCCCTGAAAAGTTGTGATGGATACTGGTAACGAGAGGAAAAGCCAGTGCAAGCAGTCGTGTCCCGTGAAGATCCCGTTGGTGGGCCCTCTCAGAGACATGATAGGCAAGGAGGTCGGAGATAAGGCCTCTACTGTTATTGATATCCTTGAGGGGATTATACCCACAGTACCCTCTGAAGACATGTATGGTGAGCTTGTAGAAGCATTGACCCCTGTGATAGAGCATAAAGCTAAGGGGGTGGTAGGGAAGGTTATGGCATACAAAAGAAAGCCCTGCCGGGACGGAGGTGAGTGCCGGGCCAAGGGCTGCATTTTCCTGCACGACCGGGACCGGAGGAGTGGAGAGGGCTCTCCTGGGCGTTTGGGGCAGAAAGGCAGGGAAGAAGGAGACGCTGGAGATGCAACAGGGAAGAGAAGAAGAGCCAACGAAGCCAATGAGAATAGCGAGGTAGTTTTCAACAAGGTAAACGAATCAAGGCACAATCCGGAGGATCTCAAGGCCTATGCAGCAAGGTTTGGAAGGATTGTGAACTTCAAGAGGCTCAATCCAGAGAAGTATCTTGTTGTTTTTGAGGATCCTTCGGCAGCCTGTGAGCTAGTGAAGTCACCTGAGGCGGTGCTTGAGGACCCCGGAATCAAGAAGTTCTATAATGTCATAGACAATCTTGTCAAGGTCGAGCTTAAGAAGCTGTTTGAGGAGCAGGAGGCTGTTGTAGACAAGATGTCCACAGAGTTTTCTGCAGCGCTCCTCGGGCATCTGAGAAATATAAACATCAGAATAAGGAGCCTGGTTCTGAAGGACAAGTCCAAGGACGGCGGTGGAGTGGACGGCAAGAAAGGGTTTAACCAAGAAAACAGCCTCTACTACAACTGCTTTTGAGAATGGAGTCCAATTTCCATATTGATGCTCGGATGACGGAGGCGCCATTACAGTTAATCTCGTCATCCCAGGGCCCTGATGAATAAAGACAAAAAGAAGACCCAGCTGCTCAGCGACTTGGGCAGATTCAAGGGGAAAAAGATAACAGTAACCTTCATTGACGGAAAGTCTGTAACTGGGAAGCTTGCGTCGTTTGACGATGTTGGTAACTGCGTGCTAAAGAAATGCGGAGAGTGGAGCTATGGGAATACTGTAGTGTGTCTAGGAAGAAGCATAGTTCTTATTTGTTTGAATACTCCATACGTCTTGTGATGGATGAAGCTGGCGACAGGGTACCCTTGGCCCGTGGGACGGATGGTCAGTCAAATAAAGCATGTTTTGCATATTTTATTTTCTCCGCACCCAGGTCTCTTCTCTCTCTGGCCTAGCCGATGTCATTCAAAGAATCTGTAGAATAGATAGAGAATGTTGAGGAGAATGTACATTTCAACAAGAAGCACGGCTGCCCCTCTGTCCTCAGAACACTCAACAACCTCCTTGCTTATCTCCTCCTCCTCGTACAGTATCCCTATCCTGGATGTCCAGCACGGCTTTGGCGAAGAGGACTTGAGATGCTGCTTGAAGTCACTCAGAGACCTTCTCCAGTCAAACCTGTAGATCTCTATAAGGAACTTATGGCTGCTGTCTGGAACTGTGTCTTCGGAGAGGGTCACCTCAACCTCGGCATGCTGCATGGGTACTATCAGGCCCATGTTCGGCCTTACTATATAGTCTCTGGGCTTGGTTGTCTTGACCTTGTATCCCACGCTCTCCATTGAGTTGTTCTGTACAATGAACATTGACGACCTCTTGTTCCTTTTAACTCTAATTGTTGTCTGAGGTACGATCTTTATGTCCAACATTCCAAGGGGAGCGCCTGCACCATTTTAGTTTGGGCATGCGTCATTGTTTATTGTAAAACTTTGCAAGTTCGACATATGAAGAGGTGAATATAGAGGATGGCGGCTTGTTCTCAGAGCAGTCGCCAATAAAGTGTTTCCTGGATAGACATATTGGGCACGCCTTGTATATGGTGCGCTTCGACGTGTTTCTGTTGAGCTTGTATCTTTTCCATGTCCTCGGACAGTCTTCGGTACTATGGAACCCTGTCGGACAAGCCTCGCACATCTTCGATCTGTCCAGACTTTCGGGCTCTAGACAGTCATCTGGAGAATGCCCACATCTCCCACATCTTGGACAAAGCCTGTAAGGGCAGCAAAGGCTCCTATGGCCATCCCAGCTGCACAGTTCGCATACATCCTTTCCTGGTGCTTTGGGACATTCTCTGATTCCATGCCCCGTCTCTCCACACCGGAAGCATGCAGCTGCATCGCAGAAGTACCTCTGCTTTCTATCCACCAGATTACTTGGAACACGGGCTCCATCCTCAACCATGGTGTCCTCGAAGTGGTAGATTAAACTCAACACATTGTACAGGGTGTTTGCATCAATGCTCTCCAGAGACACCTGCGGGTCGAACAGGTGAATGTCCAGGTCCAGCAACTCAACAGTCTTGATTCCGTCAACTTCCTTGGCATAGTCAAGCAGGGAATGCGCCCTCTTCATTGTAGCCCTAGGCCGCCAAACATTTTTTGGTGTCCGGAGATCCCAAGAAAAGATAAATGTTTATTGTAAGTGCTTTGAGCCTCTTTACTTTTTACGAGACATCCCCATCTGCTTCTTCCTGGGTTCTCCACTACTAATGAAATCCGTCGGCTTGAGAACCTGAAATGAACACACAAGATCCTTATCTACATCCATAATCGCTCCTGAGTTCTCAAACTCTCCGCAGTAGTTTGGAGCAGAAAACACAGTGACCAGTGATCTGTTTGCAAAGAACTCATACCCGTCCTCCACAACCTGGTGTGCCCTGCATATCAGGTCCAGATTATGTGCTTCGAGAAACCTCTCCACAGTATCCGGCCCAAACGTTACAGAAACCCCTCTATCGTTCTCTCCCCATCCCCTCACACTGGGATCCGGGTCACTCCACAGAAGATCGCACAGCAGACCTTCATCAGGAACATCTGTGGGCCTTGCAATCCCCTTGATCTGGTCCATGCTCTTCAGGTCAGGCGAAATCCCGCCGTGCATGCAGAGGATCCTTCCGTCAACAAGGGCACACACCGGAATCCAGTTGAAGCACTCGGTGAACATCTTCCACACCGTTGTGTCATATCTCCTCTTGCACTCGTCGTAAAAACCATATATCCTATTGATGCTGGCGCACTCGTGATTCCCTCTCAGCAGGAAGAAGTTGTTTGGAAACTTGATCTTGTATGCCAGCAGCAAGCAGATCGTCTCCAGAGACTGCTTTCCCCGGTCCACATAGTCGCCGAGAAACAAGTAGTTGCTCGAGGGAGGAAATCCGCCGTGCTCAAACAGCTTCAGAAGATCATAGTATTGCCCGTGCACATCTCCACAGATCTTAACTGGAGCCTTCACCTCAACTAGAGTTGGCTGCTGCTTGAATACATCAGTCGACTTTTCACACAAGTATCTCATCTCTGCCTCTGCAAGGTGGACTAGCCTCCCCAGCTTACTGTTCCGGACAGAAAGAAGCTTTTCTATTATCGTGTCCAAGTCAACCCTTTCGTTACTCATCCCCGTAACCCCTCAGAAAAATTTAAAAAAATCAATATGTCCCTGCAGATCTCCTCTGCTCAGGCTCTTTTCTTCTGGCTTCAAACACCGGTCGAAACTAGCAGTTTATTCGAAACCAAAGGCTACTCCACAAGACCCTTAAGCTCGCTTTTCAGCCTAGGCTCCTTCAGAATCAGATTCAGCTCCTTTACGGACAGCTCCTCTCCGCTTCTCATTCTGTCTTTCAGAGCCTCGATCTCTCTGAGGACATTCAAGAGATCGTCTCTGCTCCTCCTCGGCTTCTGTTCCACTGGCTCCTTCTTTCTGGGCCCACTGCTTCTCGAGACCGCCTTTGGTACAAAGGTATGGATAGAGGGAGGAACGTACTTCTCCTGCTTCTCGATGGTCAGCTTCTCCGGCTTCTCAAGCTCGACAAATCTCTCCTCTTCTCCATATCCGCAGGCAGAGAACAAAGACTTAAACTGCCTTTCATCCACCTTTCTTCCATAGTAGTCATAAAGCGTTATTTTATTGTCTTCCTGGAAATAGCTTGTCGTAGAGACGTAGAAGTACGATCCACTCTCCTTCCAATCAACCAGCGAGGCTCCGAGCACATTGAACCTCGCCATAAGCTTTCTTGATGGAACATGAAATACCTCTATGTCACCGGAAAGATTATCGAATCCTGCAAACACCGCAATGTTTTCATGCTGATTGAAGAAGATTCTGTTCCTAGTCCCTTCTGGAAAGTTGTACCTGAGCTTGCCATCAAGACCATGAACCGAAACGCTACTGGGCTGCGGTCCATGGCACACTGCAAACCCGCTCGAGAGAAAGGTGTATGAGTGGACAGGAGAATATCCAAGCCCTTTGAAAGACCTCTTTTCAGTGTCGTAGAGGTACAGCTCAGACTCTGCAAAGTAGCTGTTGTTCACATAAGACGTCATCAGGAGAAGCAGCGTGTACTTGTTTGACACGTGTGTCTTTAACGAAAACCCCTGGAGCTCCTTTAGGCTGTGAAGAACCTCTACCGTGTTCTTTCCTATCCTCAGGACTCTGTGCATTCCGTCCTTCTCCAGCTTTTTTGTGGCAAGAAAAACAAACTCGCCGGAGATGGAGAACTCCAGCATGGAGACCCTGGAGTTGTGGAATGGATGCTCTTCTATCCTATCTCCATCAATCTGGTGGATGTAGAACGAGGAGCTCGAGACATATGCAACCAGAAGGTCGGAAATCCTAAACTTGGACACATTCTGCATCCTTAGGCTGATGCCGTTCCTTCCAAACACAATCATCTCTCCCTTTCCATTGAGTACTCCCACATTGCTACCGTTGTCAGATATCTCGATTTCTCTAGGCCTGTCCATCTCCATCTCCAGAATCATCCTTTCCTCCTTGAGGTCATAGTACTTCACTTGGTTATTTCTGGTCCACACCACCTTGCTTGCCTTCAGGGAGTAGTAGTCACACTCAATCCAAGCCGCATCCTCGGCAAACACGTCAAATGAAAGTCCGCTCTCGCTGTGGGCCGCAACAGGCATCAGGGGTCCAAAACGCGTGTGGATCACTTCAGATTGCGGGAGACAGAATCTCTGCAGCACAGCAGAGTAGTCCACGGGAACAACAGATACCATTGGTTTAATTCATTATGGTCTGTGACATCCTGACATAGAGCTCCTTATCAAGATGGATCTCTGGATCAAAGACGCTCAAGCAGGCCTTGATAGACGACTCGGGCCATGTCCTGACCCTACTCATCAGCTTTCTGGAAGGCAGGGCTCCATTCTTGCATAGGGTAAGGATCCGAAGGAGCACCATCTTGGGGGAGAGCAGCGGAATTTCTTGCGCCTTGATGCTGAAGTTGCTGCTGTAAACCTTCTCGATCCACAGGCATATGTTGCCTCTCACGGCTCCTCCATCTGCTCCAGAGAAGTTCTGCTGGAAGTGCAGTGGGTTTGAAAGCCTTTCTATAGCACCGTTGTTGAACTCGACAGTCTCCCTTTGGTTTCTTAGGAGCAGATCCATGGCCACTGCTTCTCCTTTGATGTTCTTCAGCTGTTCCTCAAGAATCGTCCCCTTCATTTCCGGCCTTTCCAGCTGACTGGAGAGAAAGCTGACGAACATTTCCTCGTCAAAGAGGCTTTCAAAGGACAGGTTGAATATAAAGTCAATGCGACCTTCGGGATCCTTAAGCTGGCACTTTGTTAAGTCTTCAAACTCAGCAAGCTGGTCTCTCTTTCTTATCTGGAATCTGTTTCCAAACACATATTGGTTGCTATCTGCGAGTATCGCCAAGCTCTTCATGGCCTGCAGATTTACTACCACATCGTCGTCTCTCTTGACCTCTGCAAGCATTTTGTAGGCTGTGTTATAGTAACCCAGGTAGTATAGGCATTGGGAGGCAAGAACCCTACTTCCCTCGGTGTCCATGCGCCTCAGAACCCTCAGCGCCTTCTTGTACTTCCTTAGCTTGTACAGTGCATAGGCCCTCTCAAACGAGTTCTTCGCTGCATATTTTAGGGCCTCCGAAAACCTTCCCATGTTGATGTATGCAACCGCCCTAAACTGACCAAGCTCCGGGTGCTCCAGGCGAGATATCTCTTCGTGCCGGCCGTTTTTAACCAGGTCACGTAGATTCATCAGGGTGCTGTGCCTACAGAATTTTACCATCATTTTGCAAAGCCATTCTGGGGATGCAGAAACACTTGATCCATCCCCCCTCAGCAAGGTGTTTCCATAATCCCGAGAATTGCGACGGATCTATTTAATCTTGCTTATTGATTGTTTACAAAATAAGGGAGATGGTCCATGCCAAGGAGCAAGTCAAAGCAGTTATTCTCGTAGGCGGATATGGAACAAGGCTGAGGCCGCTAACATATACAGTTCCAAAGCCTCTTGTACCTTTTGCAAACAAACCCATTCTTAGGCACCAGATCGAAGCCTTGGTCAAAGTAGGCATCAAGGAGATAATCCTGGCACTCAACTATTATTCCGAGTTCATAATAAGGGAGGTTCGAGACTACTCAAACGAGCTTGGCATCAGCATCGTCTACTCCAAGGAACAGGAGCCTCTTGGAACAGCAGGTCCTCTGGCGCTTGCCAAGAAGTATCTCGAGGGCCACACCTTCTTTGTGCTCAACTCAGACATAACATGCAGATTTCCTCTGGCAGAGATGCTTTCCTTCCACTACTCGCACGGAAGGGAGGGAACCATTCTTTCCACAAATGTGGACGATCCGAGCAGGTATGGCATCATTATCACTGAGGAAAGCACAAGTCTTGTGAGGTCTTTTCTCGAAAAGCCCAAAGATGCGGTGTCTAATAGAGTAAATGCAGGGATATACATACTCAACCCCTCTGTGCTAGACAGAATAGAGCTGAGGGAGTGCTCAATTGAGAGGGAGATCTTTCCGCGGATGGCCGAGGAACATCAGCTCCAGGTCTTTGATCTTAAGGGGTTCTGGATGGACATAGGCCAGCCTGCAGATTATATCAAGGGCCAAGGAATGTATCTGAGGCATTGCCAAGAGGCAGGCATTGACAACCAGTTAGACGCAAAAATGTTTTCTATCGAGGACAATGTCGTGATAGGAAGAAACGTGAGGATCGGAAGAAATGTCACAATCTCGAACAGTGCTATCTTCGACAATGTGGAGATAGGTGACAACGTAGTAATAAGGGACAGCATTGTGGGGTGGAACACAAAGATCGAGGACAATGCTACCGTAAGCACCTGCTGTGTGCTGGGATATGCAACAACCGTTGAAAGATTCTCCACCCTAAGCTCTGTCAAGACGCTGCCTACTAGGCCTGCATTCGAGCCGTTCGAAGGCATCTAAGGGATATTTTGCAGGGCTGGACTGGACCTAGGAGAATAAACCCAAGATTAAGTTCTTTTATTCTTTGCAGAAAGAATGCTCACATTGGCTTCCTGGTGAGTTTCGGGACTTGGACAATCCGGAGGGTCCAGGCTTGTGTTCGATAGAACCGTATATGCCGCAAGTGCCCTTGATTGTATGTAGGGAGAACCGCCATTTTCCTTGGAATTCGAACAATATATCCTAAGAAATGCATCTCTGACTTTATCCTTGTCCGTGCTTGGAGTAACGTCCAGGACCATTTCAGCCTCCATTCTCGACATCCTGTCTCTGAATATGATGTCTGAAGCCGTCTTTACAGCTGCCTTCCAAAGTACCTTGCTTCCTTCCCCAAGGAGCACCATTAGAGCTTTCCCAGCTTCCATAGGGGCTCCAGCCCTCCTGCGTTTCCTTATATCTCAATACAGTCTGCTGCGTCCTTGTACGTCCTTCCGCTGAAGAGATACTCAAAACAGGTATCCTCCACGTCCTCTTCCTCCTTGGAAAGTGCAACACGCCTGGGACTCGTGGAAATCCATCTAGAGCTAGGAATGGACACAGGCTCCTTCAGATCCACATACCTCTTAAGAATGGCCTCTACCTCATTCCTATTGCCAGCAGCAATGAGCTTGCGCAGCTTCTCCTTCTCACACATGAAGTCTATGAAGTGGATCAGAAAGTTGGACGGGCTCTCGACCTCGAGACACGGCTCCAAAGAAATCCAAGCATCCTCCAGGTTGCACCACACGCTGAACGATGCTCCTTTATGCACCATAGCTGGCCATTCCTTTCCCTCCTGCTTCCCGTTTCTCTCGATGAGTACAAGCTCTTCCATAAACAGCATAAATGTTTCAAAGGCCAGAAACGACAGACTCCTATCTCTGCTTCCAAAGAAGGTTATAAAGTAATCCAGATTGTGAAACATTCCAGTGTGGACCATGAGCATCATCTGCTTCCTGGCAAGCTCTCTGCTTTCCAAACATAGGAACTCCAATGCCCAGCCTCTCCTGGACTTCATCAAATCAAAGAAGCTCTTGCACTCATAATGGGGCTTGTGCAGCAGCCTCAGCAGGATAGAATCGAACAAACGCAGACCTAGCTTGGACACTAGTGGAAACATGTACTCTCTCAGGTAAGAGTTTTTGAAATGCCTTTTTAGCGTGGACTCAGGTATTTCTAACTCCACGCTAACACAGCAGAGGAGGCGATATGCCATCGAGAGCAGCTGGACATTTTTAAATGTGGCCAGGGCCTCTACAAGTGTCTTCGACACCTCAGAATGGCAGGAGGGGTTCTTCGCCAAATAGTTCCTCGAACTTGTGAAGAACTTTTCATAGTCAGATGGATCTGCATGATTCTGCTTGATTTTAAGGAAGCTCCTTATCCACCGGTCCATGGAAGTGTATTCGTGGAGGGCCTGGGAAGAGTTAGAATTAACGAATCCTGTCTTGAACTCGCCGGTTTCCCTGCTGCTGCCGTGCTCGTGCCGGAGGCGCTGAAAAAAATTGCCGAGAGGGGCCCTCGAAATGGATGTTGAGATGAAGAAGCAGGACATAGATGTAGCAAGCACCATGGAGACCATGAAGGTCTGCATCGATATGGCAAGTCTTGAGGAGAAACAGATCAATAAGGTGTGCAGGGAGTTCTATGAGTATGGAAAGACATTCATCGATGACCTGCAGCGCGAGACAGTCCTACCCAAGAAGGTCGAGAGCATAACAACCCTAAGAAATCCGTCTGGACAGGGCACGAAGAAGTGGAGCAGGTATAAGATGATTGTGCACCTTAGGAACTTCTATCTGGAGGCCACACACCAACAGCTGGAAAAGGTTGTCCAATTCCTTAGGAACTTTCCCCATGTCGAAATCAATCTAAGCATTCAGAATTAAAGTTCATTGAGTCATGTTTCCTAAGATTTTATTGGCGGCGAGGTCATATCTAGAGAGCTCGCTCCTGGTGTCTTCATCCGTCGTTATCTCCATAGTGGTCGTCCTCAAAGGACCTTTCGAACTGGAGCTTTGCGTTTTGAAAGAGCTTGATCTGCTGGCTGTGAAGCTCTTCCATGGTTAGGCCTGAGTCCTTGAACTTGTCGATCTTGGATGGCTTCTGTTTGATGTAGCTCTCATAGTTCTCGTGTTCCTTCATGCAGCTCTCGACATAGCTCTCGAACCCGAGGTTCTTCAATGCCTTGTAGACGTGTTCATAGCTTATTGTCTTTTTCTTCTCTTCCTCACAGGCTTTGTTTGCTTCCAGAGTCAACATGTTGAGGAAGTAGATGCATGCATTCTGAAAAATCTCCTTGGACTCCTTTGGAACGACAGAGTTTTTTGGAAGCATGGACGACACCATCTTGTCTACAGTGGCCTTTGGTAATGTGTTTTCGTCATCGTTTTTCTCCATATTCATGATCCTTTTCCCACCGGATGGTATTTATGGTTTTGGAATAAGTTTGTTTTTGTAGGAAGCGGGTGTGGGCCATGCTGGATATGAAATGCCTCTCAATACTTCTGGGACTTCATGCCTGGCATGGATGCTGAGTTCATAAGTGGAGTTGTGGTCTCGTACTCCAAGCTTCTAAGGGAAATGCGCGCCATCAGAAAAGAGCTTAAGGAGGTTTTGGGGACTGTGCGTGCTGTTCTGTCGCTTGTTGGCACGTCCTGCGGTGCAAAGCATGTGTCTTCTAAGCCGCCTGGTTGCAGGTGCCTAGACAATCCGGTAAAGACGTGCTTTGACGAAACGGCCTTGTCAGCAACATACAAGAAGGCTCTGGAGAGCCGTGTAGTCTTGGCAGAGAGGAGAGAGGGTAGCCGCAGCAAAGAAATGGGTTCTAAAAGGCAGGTTCGCAAGAGCTCGTTGGGGACAGCCGATCACCATCTTACCTTTTTCCAAGAAGTCGAGAGAGATGTGTGCCATGCACAATGGGAGGAAGATGGGTCTTGTTGGGCCCAGCCCCTGGTGTGAGAGTAGCCTGGGCCTGCAGATAATTTCCCCAGATTATCTTGCCCCATGAGTGGGATCCAAACGAGGTCTGTTCCCATCCATCCCAGAAAGATGAAGAGTATGAAGGATGAGTGGATGAAGATCTATACTCCGATAGTCGAGATGTGCAAGGTCCAGATCCGGATGAACATCAAGGGCAAAAGTGTGGACATGAGGACATGCGAGCACACGGAGGATCCCTCCTACTTAGAAAGGTCGGCACAGTACATTGAGGCCATCAACATCGGGTTTCCCATTGAGGACGCAATTGCACTACTGAAGTTCAGCGATGTGTTCCTGGACCGCTTTGAGATATCGGAGGTCAAGACGCTGAGGGGGCTGCACATCGAGAGGGCTGTTGGGAGGATTATAGGAAGAGAGGGGAAAACGAGGGATGCTATAGAGGAGTTCAGCAGATCAAAGATTATTGTCCAAGGTCAAACAATACATCTTCTTGGGACGGTTGAAAACACAAGGATAGCAAGGGATGCAATATGCAGGCTGATAATGGGGTCTCAGCCGGGAAGTATCTTCAACAGACTCCGGATCATCAACTCAAGACTTAAGGAGAAGTACGGAGGGATCCAGACGGTATACAGTGAGTTTGAAAAGAGGTAGGAGGCATGGCATGGCAATAAACGGTTCGGGTGTTTCTACTATTTTTAATTGGGGCCGGGACCCTGGATGGGAATTTCTGGGCTTCTGCCCATTGTGGCTCCCAAGCTTGTGAAAAAGCACATATCAAGCTATAAGCGCCAGAGGGTAGGAGTTGATGGACATGCGTGGTTATACCAGATTCTTCCCTGTGTAGCCGAGGAGATGTTTTTCAAGGTCCCTACGAAGAGGCATGTCGATCTGTTTGAGGAGAAGGTGAAGCTACTGGAAAGCTACGGGATTATACCTGTCATTGTTCTGGACGGAGATTTACTGTCCAGCAAGGAGGAGACAAACAGAAAGAGGAGGATAAGAAAAGAAAAGAGCAGGAAGGAAGCAGAGTACTGGCTGATGAGAAATGACCCAGCAAAGGCCAAGGGATTCATGCGGCAGTGCATAGCGGTTACAAGAGAGGTTGTGTCGGACATTGCAAGGATGCTGGAAAGAATAAATGTCGAGTACATTATTTCGCCCTATGAATCAGATGCTCAGCTCTGCTTTCTGCAGAGAATAGGATATATAGACTGCATTCTGACAGAGGACAGTGACCTGATTCCCTATGGATCGAGCAAGGTGCTATACAAATTCGACAGCGCCTTTGTGCAGGAGTTCAATAGAGAATGCCTTTCAGAGGTAAAGGGCAAGGACTTTGAAGAGAACATCCTTGATATCTCTATACTCAGCGGCTGCGACTATCTGGCCTCTATACAGGGCGTTGGGGTTGTGACTGCCCACAGGCTTCTTTCCAGGGAAAAGACCGTCGAGAGGGTGGTCGAGTATCTGAAGTACAGGAAGCCTGTTCCAAGCAGCTACCTGGAGGACTTTTCCAGGGCAAAGAAGACGTTTCTGCACCAGATTGTGTATGATCCCATACAGAAGAGAAGAAGACATCTTCAGGATGCAGGGGAGAAGCTAGATTTCTTGGGCACCCTGAAGGAGGAGGAGTATGTGGTTGAAAGTGCTCTTCCGGAGCTGTTCTTCAAGCCTTCAAGCAGAGCAAAGGCCATCAAAAGGCACTTCATTCCACTGGCAAGGAGGGAAGGCTCTGAAGAGCTAGAGGCGAGGAGGGACAAGAGAGAAAGGCACAGCCAGAGAGTGGACATGCACACGCATTCTCCATACTTTAAGTAATAAAATCGAAGAATCAGAGGAAAGTTTCATCAACGCTCAGCCAGGGATAACTTTTCATCATCACTTTCTCGGGGTAACTTTCCTGGTTTTTCTTTTAGCTACTCCAGAGCAGATGGTGTCGGACGAGTGGAGACCACCTCTGCCTTGCAAAGGCTGTGGAAAATCTGCTTTATTGTCTTGAATTCCTGCCAAAAGCATTTTGGCTGATGTTTTTGTTAGGAAAGGCAAACTTTGCTCCCAGGAAGATGTGGTCAGAGGGAAAGTGCATGTTTGGGAGGCCTGCAACATTCTCTGTGTATTCATCCTCCACGGGAGACAGCACTGATGCCAGGCTTATCCCGCCACCATAGAATATGTAGTCAATAACGCCCTTGAACCCGGGAGTAAAGTTGGTGAATCCAAGGTCCTGGTTCGAATATGCATCGTTAAGCCCCAAGCCGTCACCAAACTGTTGGTTCGAAAGATGCTGCATGGTGTCTCCAAAGTCTGCGAAGTCTATCACCGGGGTTGTTATCGACTTGTAAACCGACGAGGATCTAAGGGAGTTGAAGTCTCCTTGTAGAAGCAGGCATGCATTCGGATGTCTTGAACTGACCCTCTTGATTTCCTCGACCAGCAAAAGTACCTGAAGCAGCTTGATGTCTGGGTAGTCTGGATCCCAAAATATGTGAGTGTTCATCACCAGCACTTGCTGCCCATTAGGCCTCTCGAGGAGAGCCCCAATGGCTATGTTATCCTTCTTTCCGTATCTGTCAAGTAGCTCCTGGTTGGTGTTGAACCTTGTGTCCTGGATCACCTTCTGATGGAAATCTATGGGAAACTGAGCAATCAGACGGAACTTACTCCTTCTCCAGAAAATTGCGCATCCGTCCACATTCTTCTTGTCCGGGACGCTCTTGACTCTTCCCCGCGGATAGATAATCGAGTCATAGTTGCATCTCATCTCAAGCTGCTCCTTGTAGAAGTCGAAGAAGCTGTACAGTTCGATCTCCTGGAGGCACAGTATGTCCACGTTGTACAGAACTATTTCCTGCAGAACACCCTCTCTTCGGAATTCAGAGTTGATCACCCACGACGGTGCATAGGTCATTCTTGTGGCATAGATGTTTGAGAGGATGTTGAAGGTTCCGACGCTTACTGTGTCACCATAGAAGACATTTTTGCCTGTGCATTCTATCCACAGCCTGTCGTTTGGAGGAGGATATCCTGTGTTGTGCTCTCTGCAAAACTGGAGAAGCTTTTTGTCTCTAATAAGCGTGTTGAACGGTACTATCAATGGATTGTTGGCTATCTCAAAGACCTCAAGGTTGTAGAGCGTCCCCATCTCCATGGGAATGTTCGAAATCAGATTGTCACTCAGATTTAGTTCCCTTAGGCTGACAATCTTTCCAATCTCCGGAGGAATGCTTCTAATCTTATTCTTGCTGAGATTGAGCACCTCAAGATGCCTCAGGTTGCATATCTCTCTTGGAATCACCTCTATCTCGTTATTCGCAAGATTTAGCGTCCTGATAAACCTCATATCAAACAGAGACTTGGAGATATTCTTTATTCCCTGAGAGCAAAGATCTAGGCCTGTCCACATCTCACTGCGAACCTCCATGGCCTTCCCGCCAAACTTCTTTCTCGACACCAGGCACTCTTCCGCCATCCTCAAGGGTCCTCTCCTCGCGCCCTTTGACAATCACAGTAAAAATTTGCATCTGCCACAAAGCTCCCAAAGGCCGGCCAGACAACAAAACTTAAGATCCCTAGGTGTTTTTAATTCTTGGTGTGATGGTTGACATCAACAATGTAGTTCTTCCCAAGCAGCCCATGAAGCGCCGCCCCTATGGCGTCCATCTCTGCTCTACTCAAGGATGTCCTTCTTTCGAGAAGAACATTAACAACCATGTCATCAACCCCGCGCACGTCTGTTCTTGTTCCCGTAAGCAGAAACGGGAAGCAAGCATTGGCAAGCCAGACCTCCTCAACCTCCTTCGCCTTGCGCTTAGTCATAGTCTTTCCACCCCCCTCGGCCTCGAAGTTTCTAACAAACATTATGTAGTAGTCGTGGAATTGCTGCTTGGCTGCCTTGATGATATTGCTGTAATTCATCTGCACCCCATGCAGAATGCTTCGAGGAACCTTAACAACCATAATCTTCTCTCCGCCATCGCATATTATTATCTGAATCGATATCTTATCAAACACCTCAGGTGGGGCAGAGATATCTTTTGCATGCTTTCTGATTATCCCTGCAATGCTCATCTCAGCCTCGGTTTGCGTGCTCATGGACAAAGGGTGAAATTTTTTCATCTTTTAGGGGAGAGTTACCGGTCCTCAACGCCCATAACGAAAGCCCACAAACAAAACAATCTCCTTTATTCGCTGTTGAAAACAACAACTCTGCGCAGCGCCTCCTCAAACTTCTCGTAGTTGATGTTCTCCGTGATTATCGAGCCTCCGCCGCTAGGATTGACATAGTGGTGGAGAATCCTCTGCTGCGACTTGTTCTGCTCCGTAATGCAGAACTGGGGCGTCGGAAGTCTTTCGTTGCACAACAGCCTGGCTCTTTCCTCGCTGCTTTTTAATATGTCCTTGAGGAACTCATACTCCGCTTGCTCATGGTATCCTTCTCTAACCCACTGAGCGACATACTCTCCCCTCCACACCACAACATTGTGGAATGTGTCCAGCACAAGAATCACATCAGGTTCCAGAGACTTCGAGTCCACCTCCACCGCCTCAACCCCTCCCTGGTAGTGATATGAAATAAGGGTGGGCTTGATAAGCTTCAGTGCATCCGATACCCTCTGGTTGTACAGGAGTGTGGAGTAGTATGTTGTCTCGTCCGGGGAGTTGTTTCCTGTCTGCACCAGAAGGCTTCTTCTGAAGAAAAACATATAGTTCGGATAGTATGCCATCGAGTCTGGAAGAGCCAGTGAGGACGGCTCGCCCTTGTCATATCTCGCAAATGTCTTTGTAAACCTGATGAGGTTCTTATCAATCATTCTCTCGCAGTCTTTAATCTCCTCATACTTCTTCAGAAGGAGAAACCTTGCTTGGAAAACTGCAACGGCCTCCTGGTCAAACCCATAGATCACGTCTTCTCTCGAGTCTGTAAACATCCTGGCAAACGTCGTAACCTTGACAAGGAGCCTTTTGTCACTTCTCTGGTACTGTGTAATCAGCTGGACATATCCAAACTCTCCGTGCTTTGCATCGGGCTTCTTATCAAAAAGAAGGGAGATGTTGGTGGACGGGAACATCGATCCCATCCTCCAACTTCCCCCAAAGGATCTCCCCTGCCCAATGACACCTTTATACTCCAGGTTCTTACTTGTCTTGACATGCATCTTTGCATTGAACCCTTGCACCAAACATCCCTCAGAGCTTCTATCCAATATCTTGCTGCAGGACGAGATGTAGATGTCTCTGTCAAAGTCTTGTGCCATTATAAGCATCCCTCCCGTCATCCCGGTCAGGCGCTCCATATGGCATATCCCAACATCAACAATCGTGGCTGCGAGGATGTCGAGGCTATGCCCCACACTGTTCATCCTCTCGGCAAGCCCCGTATAAAACTTCCTGGCCGGCCCGGCATACATGGGATCGTTTTCCTCGAGATGCTCGTTCCTACCCTTCTCCTTAAACTTTATGGGCGTCACTGTCCCAGGCCCAAACGTGCAGGGCCCTTGCGTGAACAGGAGATACTTCACAGCCATGTCTGGAAAGCTCGTTTCCAACAGTGAGATTGCCAGCGACACTGCCGAGCCCGTGCACCGCACAGGCTTGTATGCTGGGAGAACAGGGAAAGGATCTCTTTCAAGGCTTTCCACCATGTTGTACAGGAGCTCCTGGCACTCGTCCTTTCTCCGAAGAAACCTTCCCACAATCTGTGACTCTGACTTCGAGGCCCCACCCAAGGACTTGAGAATCTCCGCCGTGTATTCTTTCCTTCCAGAAAACAGATGCGTCCTTCGTGGCTGCTCTGCATTCAGCTCCAGAAGCTCGATATTCGTTCCGTACTTGACAAATCCAACCAATGCATCCTCCGGTATCTTTTCTAGAACCACCTTGAGCGTGTCCTTGAGAAGTGTGTGTCTCTCCCCGTCAAACGTGCATATGTCAACAATAAGGAAGAACACTACAGGAAAAACACTTTCTCTGCTCAGGACATACTCGACCGTCGAGTTCTGCGGCAGTAACTCGGGCAGAAGATTGTCCGGCGTTATTCCTCGTGCATGGCTTGGGAGGGTTGTGTTGTTGTTGCATATCACACAATTCCAGCTCTGCCTCCCAAAGTCAATGTTGCAGTGTGGATTCAAAACACTGTTGCAGCTCATGCAGTATATCGGTTCACACTCCAGGACATCTGCCGTCTGGTGGATGTTATACAGACACGCCAGTGGAATCTTTGTAGTGGCATCTCCCTTTGCAGGCCATACGTTCCAGGTAAGCCTGATTCCATCGTTTTCCTCTATGTTTCTGATCTCCTCTTCCATGAAGGGCTACAAAAATTTCCGTAAACAACCTGAGTCCAGGTCCTTCACCAGATTATACTGCAATTCCACAACTCTTGAGCCGCCAATCCGCTGCCATTGCAAAAGGCGTTCCAGGGGAACCGCCCTGCAAATGGCTACACAACTATCTTATACATCCCTGCCCCCTTCTTGATAATCAGCCCACTGTGGTTCAATGCATCCACAAATTCGCTGGCCGGCCTGCTAGAATCGAGGGTTGCTATTAGCCTGCATAGCTCTTCGCCACTAACAAGACACCCCTTTTTCTTCCTGCCATATTCCCTGAGTGCCTCGGTAAGATCCTTGCTCTTCTTATTCCTCGCCACCCCTTCCTTAGAAACAAACGTTCTCTTATGGAGCTCAATACAGAACATTGCATCTGCCTTTGTTGCTATACTCCGAAGCTCGACCTTGGCTCTTGCCTCAGTCAACCTAACAAGCGATTCCAGATCCCTTGTCGAAACCCCTCCCCGACTTCTCATGCCCACATAGTATTCCTTTATGGCCTCACTTGCCGACTTGCTAAGGACAGGAAACACATTTGCACGGGCATAGGAAATGTACTTCCTCACGATGTCCATGGGATATACACATCCCCCACTTCTGATGTCCTCGACAAACATATCCCTCCTAACCGTCTCCACAACGTCGTCAAATCCACCTTCTCCTGGAGAGAGCGTCCGTCTTTTCTTCAGAATTTGTCCAGATATCATGTAGCTTTCCTTTTCAGAAAGGTCATCCAGAAGAAGGAAGATAAGGTCAAACCTCGACAGAAGCCCAGGATCAAACCGTATGTTTTCCGCCATTGTCTTGCCTCGGTCGAAATGCCCGTGCCTTGGGTTGGTTGCTGCTATCACCGTGGCCCTCGTCGGAACACTACAAATAACCCCGCCCTTCGCTATGCTTACTTTCTGATCCTCCATCGCTTCAAACAAGGCAGCATGGTCGTCTATCTTGTCAAACTCGTCCAGGCAACATATCCCGTTGTCTGCTACCACAAGGGCCCCTGCATCTGCCATGTACTCTCCGGAGACAGGGTCGTGTGTTAGGGATACCGTCAGCCCTGCCGTCGTGGTAAAGCTCCCGCTCACATAGCTACTTTTCGGAAGAATCCCGCATGTGCTCAGCAGCAACCTGCTTTTTCCAAGCCCTGGGTCCCCAACTATAAGGACATGTGTTTCAGACCTGATACTGTGTTGTCCAGCACTCTTCTTGGTTCCTCCAAACAGAGAAAGGACCAGCCCGACTTTTATCAGCTCATTTCCATACACTGCTGAATAAAGCGAGCAGACAAGCGAGGCCAGCGTGTTTCCCGCCCCTGCTATCTTCCTGAACTCAGCGAAGTCTCTACTCTGGTACTCAACATCCTCCACAAAGAAGTTCTTGTTCTTGACTATCTGCAGGTTGTTTATGTGGACAGTCAGTTTGTAGAGGTTGTCATTTTCCAACTCAACTCCAAGAACTCCAACAATTTCCACAATGTCGCCAGGAGCTAGGGTCCCTGCAAACTCGTCATAAAGGATGCAGTCCACAGCCTTTGGGATTCCGTTTCCGTCTCCTTCGGATCCTCCGTAAAGCTCCTGTATCTTGATTTCCTGGACATCCCTGTATTCCACTTCCGGGTGGTTCCGTACGGGAGCAAAGCTTCTGGAGTTGCAGGAGCCCCTACACGTTCTAGGAGGCCTGTAGACATTGTTCTTGACATCCACACATACTGTCTCCCCACACTTCGAGCATTCAAAAAACATCTTGGTGCTAACAACTCTTCTGAACCCTACTCTGCAAACAGTGCCCGTCATGAAAACAAGCTTTCCTAGGTTGGCTCTATCAATGTCCCCGAAGCCGCCCTGGTCACGTAGCGTCTCAACCCTGGTGCTAATCTTTATTGAGAGATGCCCGCTGTCATAAAGCAGCTCGGAGACAGCACACGAAATGCACAGGAGTAGGTTCCCTGCATTCGTGTCCAGAAGATTCTTTTCAACAAGCTTCTCGAGAGACTGTGCAGATATATGGTAGACTCTGGTCTCCAGCACCCGGCCCAACCTGTCACCAAGTAGAATGCTCTGCAGCTTCTTCTTTGTCTCGAGTATTACCTGCACAAGCTCATTGAATGCAGTGAGCTCCTCCTCTGGAAAGTACATGCCCCATGTCTCGATATGCATCCCCCTCAAGCCCAGGTCTTCATTTAAATATTCCCTCGGATAGAGAAACGCAAGGAAACATGGATAGATTTTCAGCAGGTCATGCACTCTTGGTGCAAGACAGCGGAAGAGCCTTTTCTATAGGACACAAAATTGCTAAAATTTTCTCCCCTGCAAAATGCCTCAGAATGACTTTGTGGAAAGGCACATAAAGAAGTATGGCAGGCGCCTGGACCACGAGCTCAGGAAATACAAGAAAGAAAGAAGAAACGAGAAGCTGGTGGCAAAGACAGCCAAGAGGCTCTTTGGGCTGAAGGCAAAGCTGTTTGCCAAGAAGCAGCATGCAGCAAAGATCCAGCTGAAGAAGGATCTGAAGATGAAGGAGTCCAAGAAGAAGGGCATGGAGGTTAGTGTGGAGGATAATCCTCTGCCACACTTCCTACTTGATAGAGAGATGCAGGAGAGGGCCCGGGACATCAACGACAAGATCAAGCAGCAGAGGCAGGAAAAGGGATCGAAGTACTCTGTTCCACTACCGAAGATCCATCCTCTCCCTGAGAAGGAAGTGTTTGGGGTTGTTGCAAGCGGAAAGCGCAGGTCGAAGCACTGGAAGAGGATGGTCACCAAGCCGTGTTTTGTCGGGAGCGACTTTACCCGAAAGCCTCCTAAGTACGAAAGGTTCATAAGGCCCATGGCAATGAGATTTAAGACTGCACATGTAAGCCATCCGGAGCTGAACTCCACATTCAATCTCAAGATAATAGGACTGAAGAAGAACCCCCACTCTGAGGTATATACAGGGCTTGGGATATTGAGCAAAGGGACTGTTATAGAAGTGGATGTCGGTCCTCTCGGACTTGTCAATGGCTCTGGGAAGATCATATGGGGCAAATACGCCCAAATAACAAACAATCCGGAGAACGATGGATGCGTAAATGCTGTTCTTCTGGTATAACCATAAACAGATCCATTCTGGCAGCCTGTGCAAACCGCCCGTGCACAAAAGATAAAGAAAATTGTTAGGATGCATCGACTTTAGTTAAACTGATTTAGTTGTCCTTGGCTTTCTTTGCCTCATTCGTCAGGATCATTGATGCCCTGCTCAGTGATTGCAAAAACAGCTTCGGATTCGGGAAGGCATGGAGAGTCGTATATCTTGCATATCCTTGTCTCCCCCCTTCCCTTACGCAGATACAGCCTTGTTGTGCTTGCATGTGCCATGATGTTTCCTCCTATTGGCTTCTTGATATCTCCTGTGAACATGCCAACTGCTCCGTCTACATTTGAAACCACCTGGTTGGTGATGATGACAGCAATGCGGAACGTCTCGGCAAGATTGACAAGGCTGCGGAGATACTTTGCCAGATGCAGCTGCCTGGCTCCAAGCTCTCCCCTTCCACTGAAGTCTGTTCTGTAGAGTGCAGTTGCGGAGTCAATTATAAGGACAGAGTACTTTGACTCAGACATCATTGCAGATGCCTTGATCAGGAGCTGGGACTGGTGGTCGGAGTTGTAGGCACGGGCATACGATATATTGTCCATGACTTCGTTTGGATCCAGCCCAAATCGCTCTGCTATTGGAACCAGCCTCTCAGACCTGAACGTTCCCTCCGTGTCTATGTACATGGCTTTTCCTCCTCCGCCACCCTGCTCTGGAGGGAGCTGGCACGTCACTGCAACCGTATGGCACAGCTGTGTCTTTCCGGTGCGGAATTCCCCGAATATCTCTGTTATGCTCCCAGACTCGAACCCGCCGCTCAGCAGCTTGTCAACCTCGGAAGACCCAGTAGTGAGGTAGACAAGCTCCGACCTTCTTTGGTGGTATGCAGACGCCGTTGTAAATCCCATCGGAACTAGCTTTGCTGCTTCCTTGATGAGCTTATCCACCTTGATGTCGGAAAATCCCTTTATCGAGAGAAGCTGTCTCTTCGGAGCAAATGCTAGCGATTCGACCGTTGTAAACCCAGCTTCTATCAGCTTTGCTATGTCCACAGCCAGAATTCCCCCATTTTTCAGCTCGGATATCGAGATGCTCTCGGAGTGGTACTCCGTGTCCTGGTACTGGTACTCCTCACTCATGGGCAATTTTTTCCCTTCTGCTTTATGCGTCTTGGCATTTGTTCTCACACACTCTGTCCACCCATCGAGGGCAATATAAAACAGCACCTGCACAACCCCATGAAGGAGGAAGAGTTCAACGAGCTCAAGCAGAATCTCGACAGCTACACCCCGCTACTCCCAGAGTCGGTGACAGACTACTTCATGGAAAAAGCCGGCGTGGTTACTTCCGACCAGAGTGTGAAGAAGCTCGTTTCCCTCCTGGCTCATAAGTTTGTGACAGACATCGCTGTTTCCTCTTTCCAATATCACAGGATAAACCAGAAGGCTGCACAGAAGGACAAGCGATTTGCAAAGGAAAAAAAGCCCACCTTCCAGCTGGTGGATCTTGAAAAGGCCCTTGAGGAGGTGGGAATAAGCATATCAAGACCTCATTATTACATGTAAAGAGGACAGCTGACAGGAAATATATAAACATCTAAGCTCATTGTAATCTTTATCGTTCACTAATCAATATCTCAATGTCCCTCTTCTTTGGCTTTGGCTTTGGCTCCAGGAAATAGAACTTCTTCAGGGACTCCACCACGTTAACGTCGCTTCCATCTGTTCCCTTCTTCTTCGGATCTGCATCCTCAAAAGCCTTCCTCAAATCCTTCCAGTCAATCCCCTCCATACTCCCGTCGTTTGAGAACGATATCTTCTTCAGGATGTCTACAATCCTAGACTGCACCATCCCGCTGGTAAGTCTGACTAGGTCAGCGTATCTGCTTGTTATTTCCTTCTTACAGTCCCCGAGGTATTGCTCAAGAATCTCGAGCCTCTCCTCATCACTTGGCGGGGAAAACTCATAAACCCCAGAGAACCTGCGCTTAAAGGCATCGTCAAGGGTGTCGTACAGGTTAGTGGCTCCAAAGAGAAACACAGTGCTGTTCACCTTGTCGCATGCTCCCCCAATCGTATTCAGAAACTCCGTCTGCGCCTTCAGCGTGTAGTCTTGCGATCTGTCAGACCTTTTGGAGAAAAACACATCCACCTCATCAATGAACACAAAGCTGGCCCAGTACTTGCCATCGTTTGCACTTTGAAACAAGCTGCGGATGTTCTTTTCTGTCTCTCCAACATATTTGTTGTTCAGCGAGGACGGCGTCACAAAGGTGATCCTGGTAAGCGACTCCATCTCCTTGGCCCTGATAAGCTTCTCGTTGTGGTCCATCCTTTCAAACTCCTCCTCCCCCATCTCGTTTCTCATCTTCAGGAACTTAATGTTCAAGTCCACAAGATATATCAGCTTCTTCATGAAAAGGGTCTTGCCCGTCCCGGGAGGTCCGTGGAACAAGAAGTTCCTCTGTGTTGTTTCTATACTCTTGTGAAGGTCCTTTTCCGGAGTGGTCCTCAGGAGGTTGACTATCTTAGTCACCTGCGAAATCACGTGTATCATCAAATCCTCCTTTCCAAAATAGGAAACATTCTCAAATGACGATCCCTCTTGGAACGAGGGCCTTTCTCCGCTCTCTGTCTTCTCCTCCCTCCCCTTATCGGGCTGCTCGCTGTATCTGTCTCCCGAGCTGATCACTTTATATATCACATATGCAATCACAAAAACAATCACTACAAGATAGATGACATCCCTTGACTTCGTTGGCTTGCTATTCTTGTTGGTTTTCTTTTGCTTTATCCCGTAGTCTCTTAGAATCTTTCTGTATATCAGCGCTCCAAGAATCTCGTTGTTGATGTTTTTCCTCTTTCCTTCTGGCTTGTTTTTCTTAGTCCTGTCTCTCATTTCCTCATACTCTTCCTCATCTTCGTTAGTCTTCTTATCTACTTTGTAGCTCTTAGATGTTTCGAGATCTCTCATAGGCTCCCAGTACTATGGGTATTCTAAAAAGATTTCAAGAATCAATGTGGCCACAGACTCCTGGCCTCAGCCCATATTATTTTCTGTGGATTCCAATAGAGCTACCTCCTGGTCTCGACCTATTAGAATCTGCGCAAGGCGCGGTCGCCTTAGCTCTACTCCTTTTCGACTCCTTTGAGGGTTTTCTCTCGTCAGGAAAATCGGGAGGATGGAGATGGACAGTCTTGCCGAAAGACTAAGGGAGCTGGATCCTGTATGGGTGTCTGGCTTCAAGAGGCTGGAGAGCTGCGACGAGTTCTACCAGAGGGTTAAGTTTCTTCTGCATGCTTCAGAATCGGTATACATTGCATCATTGTTCTTTGGGGAGGGCACGAGGATGGCAGAGATTCTCGACATTCTTGAGGAAAGAAAGAGAAAGGGACTTGTAACAGTCATCCTCATTGACAAAAACAGAGGGACCGTCGGCAGAGGGCTGGAGTCCATAAGAAGGAGGGGGCTGGAGTTCATGTTCCACTTGGTCGACCTCTCCACGTCCAGCTTGCTTCCTAAAAGGCTGAACGAACTCCTCAGGGTGTTTCACACAAAGGCCCTAGTCTTCGACAACATCGTCATATTGTCCGGTGCAAACATGGACAACTCATACATGATAAGTAGAGTAGACAGGTAAGTGAAGCATTTTAATTTCAAGATATCTTGAGGTCCAGAGCGAGGAATTAGCAGATATGATCAAATCGAAAGTCTTTGGAATCAGACACCTGGATGCCAGGAGAACGCCACTCCGCGGTCTTCCCGTATGTATAGGGATGTTCAAAGAAGAGAAAGAGCCATCCATAGTACGCTCGTTTCTGCAGGATTTCGACGAAATACACATCTCCACGGGATATCTGAACCTTCCATCCAGCTATCTTAAGATGTTCAACGGGAGAAAGATATCCCTGTATGCACCATGTCCAGACGAAAACTCCTTCGACTCGTTCGGATTCGTGGAAAGGTTCGTGGGCCCTATCTACTCATACAGCTTCCGTAGAACCCTCGAGTCCGTCCCGACCCTTTCCATCCACGAGCTAAAGGAGGACGGGCATTCGTTCCACTTGAAAGGTAAGTAGACAACACTAATTTCTAGGACTCTGGGGATTCAAGCACTGCATGGCTGCAACAGTCGTGGGCTCATCCAACTTCAACAGAAGAAGCACAGAGAGAGACGACGAGACAAACTACCTGGTAGTCACATCGGACCAGGAGCACATTCAGAGGCTGAGGGCAGAGGTCGAGTGTCTCAGAAGGAGTTCAAACCCAAGAACCCTGAACCAGCTCAGAGGAAGGACATACCGATTGATTGCAATCATACTTTTTCTGATTTTCAATAGGTTTTTGTGAGTGTGCCGTTGCAGAGTGCTCAATAAATCAGGATCTATTTCTCAGTCTTCCGAACCTTGGCAAACATGTGGTTTGCTCCCTTCAGAAGATCTTCCAGGGTCACCCCCACGCAGTATCTTGCATACTCCTTTCCAGTCCTGCACAGGGTGTGGTAGAGAATGTACTTTGCATTCTGTCTCGACATACAGCTGGTGTAGTGAATGAAGCAGGGGGTGTCGTTGAATATTGAGACATACGATTCCCCAACAAGCTTGGCGACATTCATGAAGTATCCTGCACATAGCGACGGAAGAATCCCGCTCTCGTCGGACTTGCACGGCGACCTGAACATGGAGCACAGCTGCTTCTTTATCTTCACAGTCTGGAGCATCGTCTTGACATTCAGAAACCATCTCTTCAGGTGTGATATCTTAAACCCCGTCTTCTCCCATCTCCGATATATCTTAAGAAGCAAGAAATGATCTCCCCTCTTATCGAAGTGTGCGGCCCTTGCACCGAGAAACGCCTTGTAGGACTGGCTGTACCTCGGGACGTCCAGCCACACATTCCCTACACTCAGCATCGCTGCTATAATCGAGACATCCTCGAGGCACCCAAGCTCAGAGGACACAATCAACGAGACCGCCAGCTCAGGATCCAGGGGAATTGTGGATGCTTTGACTCCAATAGATGTTATCTTTCCGTCGCCCCCTATGGCTCTGAGATAGTACAGCATCTCCAGAGCCTTCTTCACGTTTGAGGCATCCGGCTTGTCTATGAGGTTGAAGTTCACAATGTCGTCCACCCCAATCGACTTCAGCTCCAGCACGATCTTCCCAAGGTTGCAGCAGAAGATCTCGGGAGTCGTATTGTCGTCCATTTTCTGGTACTCCTCCTTCGAGTACATTCTGAACACTTTGCCAGCCTGCGTCCTCCCCGCCCTTCCGGCCCTCTGCTTGGCCTGTGCCTTCGAAATCCATACCACCTCCAGTATGTCCATCCCGAAGGATGCAGAGTACCTCATCTGCTTAGCCCTTCCGCTGTCAACAACATACCTCACACCCTCGATTGTTATCGACGTCTCTGCAATATTCGTTGCAAGGACTATCTTTCTTTTCTTTGTCTTCCTAAAGACGGCCTCTTGCTCTTCAGGAGAGAGGGTGCTGTATATGCAGCACACCTCGGCGTCGTTTCCAAGAACCTCCATGAGGATTTCACGCCCGCTGTTTATTTCGTCCCTTCCAGTCAGAAACACAAGGATGTCTCCACTCTCTTCGCCCCTGTGGATCTGGACCACAGTCTTCATCGCCTCGTCCACATAGTCCGCGACATCCGACTTCTTCAGAAAAAATATCTCCAGTGGAAACATTCTGTGGCGAATCTCGACCGTCTGGCACCTGAAGAAAGATGCAAACTTCTCGGAGTTGAGTGTTGCGCTCATTATAACCACCCGGAGATCCTTCCTCTCAGAAAGAATCGACTTCAGATATCCCAGAAGAATATCTATGTTGACGCTCCTTTCGTGTGCCTCGTCAATAATCACAACATCGTACTTCTTAAGATGCTTGTCGTTCTTTATCTCTCTCAGAAGAACCCCGTCGGTCACATATTTGAGCCTTGTTCTTCCACTCGACATGTCGTCAAATCTTATAGAATACCCGACATCTTCTCCTATCTTCCCCTTCATGTCCACTGCAACCTTCTTTGCAATGCTCACTGCGGCTATTCGTCTGGGCTGCGAGCAGACTATCTTTCCATACTTCCTAAGAAGATACTTTGGAATCTTTGTCGTCTTTCCGCACCCAGTGTCTCCCTGAATAAGCAGCACCTGGCTCTTCTCAAGCTTGGCGAAAATCTCGTCCATCTTGTCCTCAACACTCACCTCCCCAGATCCTCCCTCTGTCTTCTTGATGCTCTCCAATAAACTCATTATATCCCCTTCTGCCATCAAATCGTCTGTGCCTTTGACGGCAGGAAACAGCCCAGGAGGAATCTCCCGGTTGATGCATATCTCTGCCTCCATACTCTCGGCTGCTGCCATTTTCTTCATAGACAGCCTTGGGGGTCCACAACACAATTCGTCCTATCTTCAGGGCATCATAAATTTTCTGAGCACACACCCCTGGCCGCCTCGCCGATAAGTACGAGTCTTTTGCCTTTTACTGAAGACTCCCATGGCCAGGCAGTAGTGCCCACCACAATTTTTGGAATGCTGACTAGCTCAGCTTATGCCATAAAGTCTACAAGCAGCTTCCTGCTACATCAGAAAAGAACGAGCTTTATTTTCCTGTTCTCTTCTTCTGCCTGTTTGCATAGTCTTGGTAATTAGATATTATCCTGTTGACTATGTGCTCTGCAGAGAGGTAGTTGAACCTATTTTCGGCGTAGCTGTGCTCCACTACGTCCTTAATCCCGTCATACCTCGATAGATCCTTTGAATCGAAAGAAGGCGCCACAACATCGATTCCATGCCTCTTAATAAACTCGCTCCCAACCAGATATGGCGATACAACAATCTCATCAACGTATCTACACGCCATCAGTGTGAGCATCCTTTCTTTCGTGCTTAGCACAGGATAGCTCCTAGTGTACTCCTTTGTGGTCTCGTCGTCGTGTATCCCAACAATCAAATAGTCTCCCATTCCTCTTGCTATCCTCAGCGACGCAACATGCCCTGCATGGAACAGGTCAAAGTTTCCGTCCATAAAAACAACCTTCCCCCTCTTCTCCCTGCCCATGGAGCTCATAAATAGACTAAGCAGCCTATCATGGTACCCGGAATCCTTGCTGGACTCTCCATTTTCCCCATCCAGCCAGCTTCCTCTGTTCTTCAGCATCATCCTGCCAACTATCTCCGTCGTCGATATCCCGAAGGTCCTTTCAACTTCTCTGAAGATCCCCATTCTCCTGACCTGGCAATATGAGTCCTGTCCGCTTGAGTCGAGTACTATATCATTCCCATGCGCCACTATGCTTACTCCATACTCCTTAATCATGCTTGTCTGTGTGACAAACGGAGCGTCCCTAACCACCTCGTCCACATACCTACATCCCTCCACAACCTCGTACCTCTCCTCATCCTCCATCACCGGCAGTCCCTTTTCTTGGTTTATGCTGAGTGACGAGTGGACGCCAGCTATCAGGTAATCTCCGAGCGCCTTCGATTGCCTCAGGGCGTTTGCATGCCCATAATGGAACATATCAAAGCATCCATCGGCCCATACCTTCTGGATCTCGTGGGATGCCATTTGTTTGGGAGTGCTCCTACTTATTTATAGAGGGAAATTAAATGTTTTAAATTAAAATGAGATAGATGCCCGAGAGTAAGCCTCATTCAGTTGGGCAGACCCATACCTAACAGCATTATTCTATCTCGATGATGAAAGAAGTCATTTAAGACTGCCCTTTCGGCATCGTCCGAGGACTTTCCATAGAGCTCCAACAGGTGCTCCAACGCTGTTCTTCGGACATCCATGGGTACTTTTTGGAATCCCCAGAAATGCAAAAATTTTCGCTGCAACCAGAAATGGCTCCTAAATAAAAGATGCATATAAATAAAGCCGAATTCATTTCGATCTTTCGTACGATGCAGACACAAGCCCGGTTATCAGAGGGTGTGGGCGGTCAGGCCTTGCATTGAACTCAGGGTGGAACTGCACCCCAACAAAAAACGGGTGCGATTCAACCTCAAAAACATTTATCTTCTTCCCTCCACTGCTGAACCCCACAAACCTCACTCCGTGCTGCAAAAGCCCGCGCACCTTCTCCTGCGCCACCTCAAACCGGTGCCGGTGCCTCTCCCGTACAGTCTCCACGCCCCCATACAGCTTCTTCACCAGCCCGTCACGCAGCTCAACCCCATATCCCCCGACACGCAGCCTCTTGTCCACCACCCCGTTCTCGTCGCTGATAAACCGGACAACAAGATTCTTCCCCGAGGGCTGGAACTCCTCGGAAAATGCATCAGACATCCCGAGAATGTTCCTGCACATCTCAATCACAGACAGCTGGTACCCGAGGCAGATCCCCAGAAGCGGAACCCCGTTCTCCCGCGCATGCCGGATCGCCTCAATCTTCCCAGAAATCCCCCGCGCCCCAAATCCCCCAGGTATCACAACCCCGTCGCACCGCTCAAAGTCACACACAGAGTACGACTCAGAGTTAATCCACACAATCTCCACATTCACCCCGATGTGCGCCCCGGAAAACTTCAGTGCATTCACAAGAGACGTGTAGCTGTCAAACTCCGGCGCGTACTTCCCAACTATCCCAATCCGCACCCCGTCCCGGTGTCTCCTCCCAACCATGGAGAATATGTCCAGCATCCTCCGGTCCATTCCCTTGTCGTCCAGCCCCAGAATCCTGTTCAGGGCCTCGACAATCCCGTGCTTCTCAAGAAACATCGGCGCAAGGTACACAGACTCGAGGTTCGGAAGCCCCAGCACATTCTCCTCCTTGACCCAGCAGCTTGTCGATATCTTCCTGCGGGTCTCCATGTTCGGCTCCCTCCGGCCCCTGCATATGACGATGTCGTAGTTGAGCCCAAACCTCCTGAAGTTCCTACACCCCATCTGGATGCCCTTTGTCTTCTGCTCCCCGGTCTCCAGCTCCACGATGTAGTCCACAGACACAAATGCACAGTTGGCCTTTCCGACGACGTACTGGAACTTTGCCAGGGCCTCTGTGTATATCGACGACTCGTACTCGCCGACGGTTCCCCCGAGCTCGACGACGACGACGTCTGGCACTGCGGCCTGGCCGCCGCCGAAGCTCTCGACAGGGGTGTCTGCAACAGCCCTGATTCTCCTGATCACCTCATCTATTATGTGCGGGTTGATCTGCAGTGTCTTCCCAAGAAAAGACCCCTCCCGCTCGCATTTTACAATATCATGAAGTAGCCTCCCACCGGGTATACTGTTGGCACCCGAGAGCTTTATCCCATTGAATCTTTCGTAGTTCCCAAAATCCATATCACACTCATGTCCATCATCAAGGACATAGACCTCCCCATGCTCATATGGGTGCATCCTTCCAGCATTGTAGTTCAGGTATGGGTCAATTTTAAAGTGTGTCACAACATGGCCCCTCGACTTCAGCAGTGCGCCGATACTGCTGCTGACTATGCCCTTTCCAACTCCAGAAATAACTCCTCCGGAAACGATAACGTACTTCATCTTGGGGTATTGCTTTTACTTCTTTAAATATCCCCAGGCTTTGTTCCCAATCAAGGAGGTTCAAAGATAGATCCCTGTCAATTCCTAAAGATAGACTTTCATATCAATAAGCAGGCAGATTCTGTTTTCCTGGGTCGGAGGCTTTAATGGCAAATTTGTCGAGACCCCTCCAATGAAGAAGTTCATAACAAGCGCTTTACCTTATGTGAACAACCAGCCACACCTTGGAAACATCATAGGGAGTGTCCTTAGTGGAGACGTGTACAGCAGATACTGCAAGAAGAAAGGAGAGGTCTCTGTGTACATCTGCGGAACGGACGAGTATGGGACGGCCATCGAGATGGAGGCCATCTCGCAGGGCGTGACTCCTTTGGAGATATGCGAGAAGAACAGGAAACTCCACAAGCAGGTCTACGACTGGTTTAACATTGACTTTGACTACTTTGGTTTTACATCCTCGGCCACCCACACAGGGCTGGTGCAGGATCTTTTCATGAAGATGTATGACAACGGGCACTTCAGTGAGGTGGAGATTGAGCAGTTCTACTGTGAGCACTGTGGGCTGTTTCTTGCCGACAGATTTATTGTTGGGGAATGCAAGTTCTGTGGCGATGGGCGGGCAAGGGGCGACCAGTGCGATTCGTGCGGACATACATACAACTCTCTCGAGCTTCTGTCGCCAAGGTGCTCGATATGCAGCTCTTCCCCTGTTGTAAGAGCAACCACGCACCTGTTTTTTGACCTGGAGGCATTCAGGCCAAGTCTTGAGGAGCTATATAGGACAAATGGACACCTATGGAGCCAGAATGCACAGAACATATTCAGGCAGTGGATTTCGATGGAGTTCTACCCAAGATGCATGACAAGAGACCTTAAGTTTAACTGGGGCGTTCCTGTTCCACTGGAGAAGTTCAAAGAAAAGGTTTTCTATGTCTGGTTTGATGCACCGATAGGATACCTCACGTTTCTGAAGGAGCTTGTTGGAGAGGATTTTGGGGAGTGGTGCAAGGATGCAGAGCTTGTGCAGTTTATGGGAAAGGACAATGTGGCATTCCACACGGTGATCTTCCCTGCAATGCTCTATGCAACTGGAGAGAAGTATCCGGTGGTCAGAAGGCTATCTGCAACGGAGTACCTGCAGTTTGAAAACGAGAAGTTCTCGAAGAGCAGGAGACATGGGATTTTTGGGCTGGATCTTGTTGGAGGAGGTCTTGGGAAGTCCTGCATGTGGAGATACTACCTGCTGAAAATACGTCCCGAGTCGACAAAGGACTCGAACTTCACGTTTTCAGACTTCCGGCAGTCTGTCACGGCAGACTTGATCAACAACCTTGGAAATTTTGTGAACCGGGTGCTGAAATACATCCAGTCCAAATGCAACTCAAGGGTATCGTTACTTGAGCTTGATAGCGGGGACAAGAAGTGCATTGAAGATGTGAATGAGCTATACTGCAAGTACAAAGCAAAGATGGAGGAGATAAAGCTGAGAGAGGCACTGCAGGTTGTGATGGAGATTTGCAGGCGAGGAAACGAGTATATCCAGGAGGGTGTTCGGAGCAGGGATAGAAAGGGGCATTTCTTCTGCCTTGGGTTTAGTATTATTGGGCTGGTGGGGACTCTCTTGCATCCCTTCATTCCCGTTACCTCGCTGGAGATACTAAGGATGTGTAATCTTGAAGAGACTATGTTTCCTGAGTCTATGAGGATAGTTGATGGACATACGATGGGGAGCGACATTCGCCCTCTGTTTGAAGACTTTACCACTGAACAGATTGAGGAAATGAAGAGGTACGATCGGCCCCAAAGTACTGGGTGTTCTAAATAAACTGTCTTCTATTTGTTTTGAAGCATCTGTATCCTTGTGAATGGAGGACAAGGGTGAGGATTCGAGAAGATCGACGAAAAAGGCGTCTGTATGGGACGAGGACAGAAATGCGTCCCGGGGGAATGTGAGCAGGTGGGAGGTTACACCAAGGACGGCAACGCAATCTAAGCGATTGAAGTGGGACCAGACGCCGCTTGGGTACATCAGAGTGGAAGACGACCTGTGGAGCGGAACTAGGATGGATCCTGGGGCAATTTGGGACATGGAATACAGAGACTCGATGAGAAGCGCCGAGTACTCCGAGATGTCTCTGAGAGAGATAAACATGTGCTTGCCTGCTAGAGGGTACAAGAGATATGACTTTCACGGATATGCTGGAAACGGGGAACTGAGTGTGGAGGATTTACCTGATGTTGCCGACGACGAGAAGGACTTCTTCATGCCTTTGCTTGAGGACAGGGGTGGAGATGAAGTCGACGTGTACAGGGGCATACTGCTTGTGAAGAATGGAGGGAAAAGGATGAGGATGGAAGGCCTTAGGATACTGAGGAAAAAGGAGGTGAACCGCGTGCTTGAGAAGGTACTTCTCATGGCAATGAGTCTTGAGCTTGATGATAAAGGTAAGGAGAAGGTGGTTGGACTACTCCTGTCCCTTCTAGACGGTGTGGACATGGGAAAGGTGAGGTATGTGAAGGAGATACTGTTTGTGGTGGGGTCATACTCCTATTTCCCCTCCCTTAAGAGGATGTGCATGCCTGTGCTTACCCTGGTTTATAGATGCGGATTTGGCTTCTCTGTTAGCAGCATTGAAGGGGACTTCACAAGCAAGGAGCCCTATGTAAGAGAAGTGGTTGGGAGCGTGGTAGGCACCTTTATAGACCACTTTAGAATGGAGGAGGTCAACTCCCTTCTGGAATCTCTGGCAGGAAGCCGAAGCAGCGAGGGCAGAAGAACCTGCATAAGGTGCGCCACAAAAATCTGCGAATTTTCTGGCAGAAGCCGCATGTCCTACGTAGGGCCGGTGTTGAAGATTCTCAGTAAGCTTGTTAAGGATAGAAGTAGATTTATAAGGATGGATGCAGCCAATGCAATGTCCTACGTGTTCAAGCTTGTGGGTCCACTGAGGACAGGCCAAATGGACGAGATATTCTGTCTTCTCAAGGAAGAGGCCTCACAATCTGGAAGCATTGAATTTGTCTCGCTGCTGAATGCCATGTCTTATTTATGCCATGACAGCAGGGAGCACTCGGAGGTAGTGTTTAGCCTACTGAAGACCTCCAAGGAAAAGGGAATTCCGGATCTCAAGGTTTTCGAGAGAATCTGCGACAAGGTCGGCACGGATGACGCCTGGAAATACTTTGACCAGGTATCATGCATTCTTTTTTCTCCAAAGGGAAGAGAAAGTGCAGGCCTGGCCTCCAGTATTTGCGCAAAAATGGGCAGCGACCCCAGAGTGTCCAGAAAGATTCTAGAATACTATAGTGATCCTCCAAATGCGGGGCTGGCCTCGAGAATATTTAGTAGGATCCCGAGGCTAGGATTTGGAGAGTCTGAAGTGGAAAGATACTACAGGAGCATATGCAATGCCCTTGCACATGACGACACCACAGTTGGACTTGTGCTCCCGCTGGTATCCAAGGAGTTTTTGGGCCAGAAACACACGTCGATGCTCATTTCCGAATCGCTCAAGCTCCTGAGAAGCCCTCCACCGGATGCTCGGATTAGAGGCCTTAAGACGATGGGAAGTCTTGCAAAGATCCTGAGTACAAAGGAACTGGCCTACTGTGGAAATATTCTGATGGAGAACATAGACGGAGATGACCAGGAGACCCTACCCTTCGTTCTTAAGGCAATATGCAGCATATACAACAGCCATAGGTTCAGACCAGCGTCTGGGATTATCCCAAGCATCCTCCCGATTCTGAAGTCCAAAGAGCAGAAGATTGTTGCATCTGGAGTGGCGCTTCTCCATACAATATGCATGAACTCTCCCGAGGAGTGCGAAAAGATCGGCGTGAGGGAGTGGATGAGAATATCCTATGGACTAGTTGACTCGCTGGTCTCTTGGAATAAGGAAATGAGAAGGAATGCCACCGAATCTCTGGGGTGCATCTCCCGGATAGTTGGTCCCCAGGAGATACTGGACATTCTAATGGATGGCCTTGAGTCCGAAGACAGGCATCAAAGGACGGGGTCCTCACTCGGTATCTCGGTTGTGGGAGAGTACAACGGGCTGTTTTCTGTTCTCCCGACCCTTCTGTCGGACTACGAAACTCCAAATGCCTTTGTGCAGCAGGGGATACTCAGGGCCATGTGTCACTTTTTCCAAAGAACACATCAGGCATCTTTGAAGTACGTACACTCGATGCTTCCCATGATTGAGGATGCGATGACAGACGAAGATCCGTCATACCGAAGTCTTGGGATGAATCTTATCAGGCATATAGTTCTGAACCATCCACCGGCAACCATGGACATAGAGCTTGCAATCCACCTGCTCAACTTGATTTGGGCAAACATCCTTGATCCCATTCCAACGGTGCAACAATCCTTTGACGAGTGCATGGAGTCCTTTGCCACAGTACTCTCGTCGCAGGCCATGTATAAATACGTGCAGCAGGGTCTTTTCCATCCGTCAAGCACAGTCCGAAAAAGATATTGCACTGTTCTGGAGATAATGGAGCACTTTGACAGCACCACCCTCTCACAGTGCCTTTCCGTGGAGGAGGAGCTTCCTGAACTTGCAAGATAAATTCCAATAAATGACTCTTTTATTACCTCACCCGGGACTATAGCAGAATGCCTCAGCTGCCTCTCCATTTGCGTGCCTAGTTCTTGTCCGAACAAGCCTCTTGAAGATCCTCAAGGTGTTCCTTTCTCTGGATATGGAGGCATTAATCTTTTCGTTGTACTCGCTCTCTGTGTATCCAAAGGGCAGCTCAGCTAGGAACTTCTTGTCCACCTGCGGCACACTTTCGTTGATTATGATGTGCGATCTGTTGAAGTCCTTTCTGTTGGAGTACTTGATTCCCTCCACAACGTTTCTTACGGTGTTGCTCTTTGTTTTGATCACCTCCAGCCCAGGCCCGGCCCACTCTCCCCATCCAGGAAGAACAACCTCCTCTACCCTCGGTGCCTCTCTGTTCACAATCTCCCTCTTCTCCTCTTCGAAGACCCTTTCGTTATCAGCGGCGTCGTCCTTAAATGCAAGCCTGACTAGCTCCTCCTGTGTGCCTTCCTCTACCTCCTCGTCTCCCCCAAAGCTAAGTATAGGCGTCTTTTCGTCGTCCTCCACCTCTATCTCCTTTAGAAGTATGTCTGGGACTCCTCCATGTCTTTTGTCTTCGCTGCCCAGATGGTTTTCCTGTGTGTTCTCCTCTTCGGGCATCTTACTCTTGAGTCTGCCCTGTCTTCGGATCCTCCTGTACGCCTTGCTTTTGATCCTCTTGATTCTCCTCATCTTCCTATCAAACTCGTACTTGAAGTTCTTCTCAAAGACTACTGCCCCCGGCTCCCTTGCCTTCTCTCCGTGGAGGATCCTATCCATAGACTTCTCCAAGCTTGTCAACGGGGTAATCTCATAGAAGTCCTCCTCCCTCTTCCTAGGCGCCTTCTTCCTCCTTTGCTCAACTACATCGAAGACCTCCTCTCTCACTGCTGCATACACGGCGTCCTGCCCCTCTCCAAGCTCGCCAACATCAATTCTATCTCCCTCCTCAAACTTGACAAGATCTGCAACAGAAATCTTGCTTGCCGCCATGGGCTTCGAGGATAGGCCCTACATCAACTTTTCACCAGGAAAATAATCCCAGGCACCCAGATGGAATACTACAGCCCAGATGACATTCTACTTGGCGAGTCGAGGATACAGGTTACGTTCAAGCACAAAATACGGAACTTCGGGTTTCTTGGACCGAGACCCAAGATCCTTCCGGAGAATAGAAGAGTAGAAGTCCCGTATTTCCTGGTCAGCTTTCTCCTGAGGAATGGCCATTGCGAGCTGGGAGAAGGCTTTCTGAAGGAGTCCCTGCTGGAGGACATCAGGGCAAAGCCCTCTACAGTTGATCTGAGGTCGGTGTGTCCCTACTTCTTCTATCTGTACGCCATGCTGCTTGGAGAGGGGGCAGGCCTGCCAGAGTTCTTCTATGAAAGAGTGGGAGACTACTCATCTCTTGTTCTCAAGAAAACGTTTTCTGAGGACGATGTGTGGAGGCTTGATATGGTGGAGAGGAGCCTTGTTGTGGGCAGCAGAAGAAGGTTTCAGAGGTTCTGCGCCTTTCTTGTTGCTAGACACTAGAAGTCACCTGGGTCTGGCATGTTGCCAGTGTCCTTGGAATAAAATAACTCGAAAATATTTGGCCATGCTGAGATACGAGTGTAGACTCCATTCCAGGAAGTATCCCAGAGAGGGGGAGATTGTCATAGGAAGGGTTGTGTCAATAGGAGGAGAGGGATTGACCCTGAACCTTCTGGAATACGGGGACCTGGAGGGACTTGTGCTGCTGGGAGAGCTCTCGAAGAGGAGGGTGAGGAGCATACAGCAGGTGACCAAGGTTGGAAATATCGAGATATGCAATGTTCTGAAAGTCGACGAGGGAAGGGGGTACATAGACCTGAGCATGTCGAAGGTCACCGAGAATGAGAAGAGTGAGTGCAGAGAGACCAGTGCAAAAAACAAGCTTGCATACCATATTATGGTCAAGGCAGCAAAGAGGCTGGGGATGGAAGTATCTGAGCTATATGAAAGGATGGGGTACGACAAGGAGGAGGAGTTTGGGTCCCTGTATTACTTCTTTGCGAGAGTCAAGGATAATGGAGACATCATGGACGACGATGCAATTGGGGTAACCATCAAGAAGCTGATCAGAGAGCAGTTCCAGGCTTCCACATATAAGGTCCGTGCAGACATCGATGTTGTATGCTCGTCAAGGGGAGGCATAGTTTCCATAAAGAAGGTGTTCAGCGATGCCCTGAGGCTGGATCCAAGGCTTGAGTTCTGCCTGATCAAGACACCCACGTATTCTGTGACGCGTGTATCTAGCAACAAGGACAAGGCATATGAAGTAGTGCGGGAAGCATGCAATGTTCTGATTTCAAACATTCAGAAGGAGGGAGGGACTGCCACGGTGATAAGCCAGCCCAAGCTGTATGGTGAGAAGTCGAGATACAACCTGCTGAACTTTGAAGAGAACGAGGAGTCTTCCTCGGAGTAACGCCCTGTCGCTTTGCATTGCGGTAATAAAGTTTTTTGCCACCCTTCCATGGATAGAAAGTTCATGTCCAGCGGGGTGTTTCAGTTCCTGGACGAGGTATATGAACAGAGGGGCCCTCTGTTCGACTACGGCACCCTGGTAGGAAGTGGAGAGCTAGCCTTTGACGAAGCACTGGTGTCAGATGGCGCAAGCCTCCGTAGCGTCCTTAAGAAAGCCGGAAAGACAAAGCGCTCGAGGGACGGTCTAATGGATTGGTAAGAATGTTTAGTGTATCGAAATGGCAGTCCATTCGTGAACTACTCAAGTGTCTCAAGTACTTTCCTTAGGGTGTCGCTTCCATCCATTTCTAGAAAGACACAGGTAAATCCATTTGGAATGGAAGATTTACTCCTGACAAAGACATACTTGGTGCCTCTGTCCTCACAGAGTGCAGGGAGGTGGGTGATCAGGTCCATGGGTGTTGTGTCGGCGGTTAGAACTAGCAGGCCCTTTGACCCCTCGAGGACACGCTTCTGGCATTTCTTGATTCCTGTGGCCAGGCCCCCGCGCTCTGCCTGGCTCCTCACCAGCTTGGCTATCATCTCCTCGGTGGACTCTGATGCCAACGGGCTTGCTATTGGGATCATTTCTGGGCAAATTTTTGTGGAAAATATGAAGAGAGAGGATGATATACGGAATAACCAGAGCCCCTCATGGCCCCGAAGAACTTTATGACTGCCAAGGAAAAGGACTATGTCGCCGAGTGTCTGAGGAGAAACATGCGGTATTTCCGGTCTGATATCGACTATGCATCCCTCCTTGATCCCCGCCAAGGGAAGATTGAGATGAGGTGTGATGATGGGGAGCCGAGGAGGAGTATCAACTTGGTATTTGGCAAGGAGAGCAGGAAGTCTGCGAGAAGGCCAAGGCCGTTTTGTGGTGCGGACGTGCAGAGCACCAAGGAGCCCCTCCGAAGCATGTTTCTTGTAGACGAATTGATTGACTTGTACACGGTTAGAAGGTACTGCAAGCTTTCCGACGAAGACCTGAAGGAAAATATCGGGCTCCTCAGATCCAGGCTTCTCTCTGGCTTCGATATGTATATCTCCACCACAAAGTTCCTTAGGTTTCTCGGCGAGTACCTTCCCTTTGTAGAAGAAGATGAGAGGAAGGAAATCATGGCTCTGCTTCAGAAGACATTCCATCTAGTCAAGGATGTGGACGAGTTCTACAGCTCCATTGGGGCTTTGATAAGTGCCATGCCGGAGACTTCCGAAGCAGAACTGGAGGCTGGATTTGTATCTACATTCCTCTTTTTTCCAAGCGGGGTGATTCTGGCGACCTCTTTGCTTATACGGAACGAAGGCTTGTGCGATGTGTTCTACAGGACCGTTCTCGCCGAGCCGAGCTGGCCGTTTACGAGGGGCAGATACGGATGGCAACTCCTCTCTGTCATGATCTCGATGGTGGATGAGGAGAAGCAGAAGTCCATTGTGAAGAGAGCAAAGCCCTACCTATTGGAGATTGCCAGGAGTCCTAGTAAAGGCGAAATAGATAGTGCCAGAGTGTTCCTAGACACAATAGGGGTCAGGATGGAAGACCTTATAGGGAGGAGCGGATAGCTGCACAAACCCAGGGAATTGGCATTTAGAGATAAATTCTTACAGTGGTTTGTTTAATCGACATTTTTCCTTTTGGAAAGGCTGAGCCTGTCTTCTCTATACGAGCACCCTTGGAGTCCAGCGCTGGAGGCGTCCCTACGAGCCTCATGCTCAAAGTATTTGCTCCCTACAACCTGCTCCACAGTTATTCTTTTGGAGGGGTCGAGGCAAAGCATCTTGCTGACCAACTCGACTGCGGACGCATCATGCTTCCTGATGATGCCTTCTATTCTCCGGGGAGACTGGGGAAGCCTGAAGTTGCGGAATCCAGGGAGGTCCTGCACTCCTGGATAGCTGTTTTCGTTGATGGATCCGCATGCATGGATAACCATCTCCAGCTGCAGCATCTCCGTGCTTCCCTGGAATATCATGTGCCCCAGATACATCTCGGTTAGTATGCACCCCAATGACCAGATGTCCACAGCATACGTGTAGCTGGAGGACCCCAAGAGTATCTCCGGGGCCCTGTACCACAAAGTGACCATTCCTGGGGTGTATGCTCCTGTCTTTGTTGTGTACCTTGCCATCCCAAAGTCTGCGATGCTTGCATTCAGCTTTTGGTCCAGAAGAATGTTTGCACTCTTCAGGTCTCTGTGCATGATTCCCTTGCTGTGGATGTAGCACACTCCCTGAGCAATCTGATAGAATATGTGCTTGATCTCGCTGCATGTCATCTTGTTGCTTCTTATGAATCTGTTCAGATCATATGGAAAGTATGGGAACACCATGTAGATATCTCCGCCAGGCTCGACAACAACCTCTATGAGTCTTACTATGCTTGGATGGCCCATTGCCCGCAGAACCTGGACCTCCCTGATCGTTGTCACCGACAATCCCTCCTTTTCCTTGCTTACCTTCTTCAGTGCATATCTGGCCCTTCCCTTTCTTGCAAGAATAACCTGTCCGAAGGTGCCTTCCCCGATGATTCTTATCTTCTCGTACTCCATCTTGGTTGCAGTGAACCGTCTGTGTGCCAAGATCTCCCCTTCCTCAGCAGGCTCCATCGCCTGGGTGGAGATGCAATAAGTTTTATTGTTGCAGGCGCCCCAATGGTGGGGAAAAGAGATGGGCAGATCCTAATGAGGGAGATTGGAAGGGCAGATCCGTTGCTCAAAGATCTCCTTTATGTGTCCAGCTTTGCCTCTGTATATCGCCACGCCAATGGCGAGTGGAACAAGCTGAACATCGAGGGGACTTTTGTGATGTATACCAGAGCATTGTGTCCTCCTGTTGGAATCCATGTCTTTAACAGAAAGAGTCTGAAAGACTTCACCCTCTATTTGACAAAGGACATCCGTTTTGGAGTGAAGGGAAACTTCATGACCCTGAGCGACGACGAGAGTGGCGAGGTCTATGGGCTTTGGCTCCACAGCGACGCCCACCCTGGGGAAGTTCTGAGGTGCTTGGAAGAGCTTCTGTGACTCCTGGATGTCTATCTTGTGTATCCTGCCAAATAATTAAAGTAGAAAGCCGTAGCCCTACAATGGCGATTCTTTACACACAGATAGTGAAGCTCCCCGACCACAGGATACTGTCAGGCGAGTATTCCCCGCAGAGCAACTCCCTCAGGCCTGGAAACGACATTGTCAAGGAGCTCCGGGACACCATCAAGTCTATTCCCAGCGGTGGGACAACATCATTCTACACATTCAACTCATCCGACACAAGATTTGTCTTCTACTTTAAGATGGGCTCTGGGATTGTTTTTGCGGTGATTAGCGACAAGTACACCTCGTCGAAGCTGGCCTCTGGATATATGGACCAGGTTGTGGAGAGCTTCATGAAGATATATACAGACAATCCGAAGACAACATACTACACCTTTGACCCGACGATCAAGATGCTTTCTGACAGGTTCAACAGAGACTCGAACTATGCACAGGGAATGGCGGTTGTTGAGGAGACCAAGGGGCTTCTGGCAGAGTCTCTGAACATGATCATAAAGAGGGACGAGAACATAAACAACCTGAAAGGCCTTGCCAGCAGGATGACTGTTGAGGCACAGATGATGCAGAAGAACATCCAGAGGATGCATCTGAAAAGCATGCTGAACAACTACTGGGCTTACGTGGTGTTTGCTGTTCTGCTTGTTCTTTTTGTGTACTACATAACCCATTAAATAGTTTCCAAAAGTTGGATTGTTTCTGTTGTCCCTATGAGAAATCTCCCTTGGCCTTTCCCTTGAACAATGGAGGCAGAGAGTCCGAAGGAGAGGGTGCAAGGTGTGTCTGGAGAGAGCTGGGATCCAGAGCGCGGTGTGAAGGAGAGGGAGGATACGTCCTCGAAGAAAGGAAAGGGTGTGGACATACCCCAGGTTCTGGTGTCCCAGTCGTGTGCTGCTAGAGAGTGTGCAAAGGATGAAATCAGAAAGTTTACCAAAGTTCCTGTGGAGATAGACACGGTTGGAGGAAAGCCATTAGTGTTCATGATGTGGGCATCTGAGGAGAAGCCTGTGCACAGAAAAAGGCTCCATGCCGAGGCGTCTAGAGATGTCTTCGGATGTGAATCCTGCGAAGAGGTGTTCGACTCCTTCAAGAAGCTTCAGCTTCACAAGGCCCAGCACAAAGGTACCTCCACAGAGCCTAGCAATTCTCTCTTTTGCCCTGTTTGCAAGAAGACATTTGATGAGAAGCGCAAGTTGATGCTTCACTCCAGGTATCATAAGATAGATAAAGATGGCCGATGAATTGTGGGGCAGAAAGTGGTGGGTGCTTTTGTATCAGACCGAAGATCATTCATGCCAGACACACCATGATGCCAGGACACTGCTCAGAGGAGGAGGCAGAGGCAATCGTCATGGAGCTCTTTAACATTGGAAAGCACAGAAACCCCGAGTTCCTGTGTGTATTTCCGGGAAGGGGGTTGGAGGCTAAGAGAGTGGAGGCAGAAAGATGTTGCATATGTCTTGAGGACATTATGGGATCCAGGGCCGCGGTTAAGTGCGGGCATGCCTTCCACTCAAAGTGCATTTACTCGTGGCTCGAGGTCAAGAGAACATGCCCGAGCTGCAGGGTGAGAGTAGAGTGGAATGTGTGAGACATTGTCTCAGTGCCTAAACCCCTGAATGCCAAAGGACAAGTATAACATCCTGGCAAAGACACGGTCAAGCACAGAAGGCTCTCCGGCAAAGGAAGGTGATCTGACACTGGAACTTGAGGCATCTCTGGTTCTCTCTGGAACAAAATACCCAGAGCCAAGGACCCGGATTGCATTCAGTTTTATATCCACATCCAAGCCCGGAGTAATCAGGCTTTTCTTTGTCACGATAACTCACTCTAGATCGAACAGGGAGTACTATGGATTCGATGCGTCTGAGAGCTGTGTGGTCATCTCCCCAGACAGACTAGAGGCTGGAAAGAGGTACGAGGCTTATGGAAGGCTTGGGAGGAAAGAGCCCAAGACTCTTTATTGCGTAGACGTCAAGGAGATATGCTACAGGAGGCTGTGCTACGAAATATTCTAGATCATTTAATTTACTCTTTCCAATAAATCTATCCGTAGAGGATGGTTACTTAGAAACAGGACTTTTTTTGGCTGCCTTCCTTACCGATGTTTTTCCAGGCTTCTGAACCTTCTTGGCAATGCTTTTCGCAGCCGCCTCCCAGTTAGGCCCTGTCCCCCACTTCAGCTCTCCCCCGCCAATGTCAAAGACACTCTTGAATTTCGATTTTATCATTTCGAGAAGATTTTTCGAAGAGTCAAACTTGGTGTGCATCCATCCATACCTCACACTCTTCTTGGGCTTTCCGTTCTTCCCCTCCTCCTGTCCACTCGAAGGTCCTTCGCTCTTGCTACTCACGGCTTTGCTTACAGCCTCGTCCTTCCTATTCTCTAGCAGAGAAAGACCCTCAATCTCTATCACCATCTTCCTCTTGGTACCATCGTCCGCAGGCTGCTTGGCTGCAGCAACTTTCTCCTGGCGCACCTCCATTGCAGACGCACTCTTGCTCTCTGCGCTCCTGCATTCCTCCCTAACCACGCTTGAGTAGATGTCTTCGTTTTCCACGCTATTTCCAAGCCCTCGTTCCTCAAGTCTGTGAGCATCCGTGGTTGCAGACAGCATTATTTCCTTCTCGATTCTTCTTGCCATCGAGACCTTGCTTTTGTACGACTCAGAGCTTTTGTCAAGAACCTCCATATACTCCTCTTCATCAAATCTGCTGTCTATATTGAAAAGCTTTGAGTTTGCCTCAAACTGGTTCCAGTCCTTGCATTCTTCTTCCAGGGATTTCTCAAGGTCGGCAGCCTTGGGCAGGACAGCCTCGGGCATTTCCTTTGGCCCTCCAGAGATTTCGGAATCTGTCCTGAACGAGGACCATCCAGAATCCTCCTTTGCCCCACTCCCCCTCTCGGATGCGTCCTTGCCTTTCTCCGCCTGCCTCCCGTTCATCTTCGTCACCGTGATTATGTCGCTTTCCGAAATGGAAATCGTAGGAAATACAACCCCAGGATTCGTCTCGAAGAACGCATTCTCTAACTTCACCTTCCCGTCCTCATTGGAAAGAAAGGCGCCTATTATCCTGCTTGGGTTGTTCTTGAAGCATATAGCAATCGTGTAATTATCCATCTGCTCCTAAGGGCTACCCAAGGTTTATTTTTCTTTCCGCACAAATTCCTGTGAATAAACATCGCCTTCTCCACCCACATTCTATGGACAGTAGCTTTTACGACCTGCAGGGAACTCTTGAGAAGAAAGGAATTCCCGAGTTTCCGTCTCTCCTGCCGCACGAGCTCAGAGACCCAGAGATGGCCCACTGCATAGAAAAGTTATATGGAAACGTGATCTGTGAGGTCTCCAGAAACAACGAGCTGATTCCGATTCTCTCTTCTGTAACTGCATTGCCTGCTAAGGTTGATCTGAAAGAGGTGGAGCGGGCCTTAGCGGGATACAGGCCAGTAAAGGGAGATTTCTTCAAGGCTGACCACAGTCTGCACTCCCGGCAGCCAGAAAGGGACGAGTGTCCGGGCTTTGTGACGGGGAGCGGAAACAAGATCGTTAAAAAGGAGCAGAGAGACAAAAATGAAGTAGACAAGGAGTGCAATGTAGAAAGCTACATAGTTGACAGGGTCCGAAATGAAATTCTTGAGAAGGCTGTGGATGTTGGATGGGACGATATAATCGGCCTGAGGGATGTCAAGAAGACAATCAACGAGATTGTCCTTTGGCCGATGCTGCGCCCAGACTTGTTTACAGGGCTCCGGGGTCCTCCCAGAGGCCTTCTCCTGTTCGGTCCTCCTGGAACAGGAAAGACCATGATAGGAAAGTGCATTGCAAGCCAGTGCAAGGCAACATTCTTCTCGATAAGCGCATCGTCCCTAACGTCGAAGTGGGTTGGAGAGGGAGAGAAGATGGTCAGGGCTCTGTTCCACCTTGCAAGGTCAATGCAGCCTTCTGTTGTGTTTATTGACGAAGTCGACTCGCTTCTATCCCAGAGGAGCGACAACGAAAACGAAGGGAGCAGAAGGATCAAGACGGAGTTTCTGGTCCAGTTTGATGGGGCTGCAACATCCAGCGGCGACAGGATTCTGGTTATCGGTGCAACAAACAGACCCCACGAGATCGATGAGGCGGCACGGCGCAGGCTGGTAAAAAGAATCTATGTTCCCTTGCCAGAGCATCTGGGTAGGAGGCAGATGGTGGAGCATCTGATCAAGGAATACAGAAACACACTTGGGCATGCAGACATGGATGAGGTGGCCAGAATGACAGAAGGATACTCTGGATCCGACATTTTTAATCTGTGCAGAGAAGCATCTCTGGAGCCTCTGAGAGAGATCGACGACATCAAGGACTTCAGAAGCGAAGACACAAGGCCGATTTCTCTCGAGGACTTCAGAAAAGCCACGAGGCAGATAAAGAAGAGTGTTTCCGAGAGGGATCTTGAGATCTATTCAGACTGGAACTCGAAGTTTGGGTCTGTATCCTAGGTCCTATCCAGCGGCTCTAGATGAAATCAGCAGAGCCTGGGTTTACCAGGCGGTAGCTTTCCCCTCCTGGTGCATGTCCCATCTGCACCTCCGAAAATAGAAGGATGGACTTCCTATTGACCATGGAGGCCTGCCTCAGGAATTCGTGCTCGAAGTTGTTAAACTCATAGCCAAGCAGTATAAATGTATTGAAACTATTCAAGTGGTCAACAACCGCCTGGAATGGCTTCTCCTCTTCTATCACAATCTTCACCCTGTCTCTAGATTTTCTCAGTAGCTTGAGTGAGGGCCGGATTTCAAGCTCTTTGTGGATAACTAGCGTGTCTGTGGTGTGTTGCAGGAGCGCGTATACTGCATCGACAGCATTCTCTGTAGGGCCACACTGGAATCTTATGTACTCACAGGAGAATCGCATTGGAAAGCCCTCCATCCTCCCGCTCACGAGGTTAGGGTCCTCCACTTCCATGTGCAAGTACCAGAAGAATCTAAAACCAGTTTCAGAAAAAAAATAAAGTGCTCTGTGCACATGACAATAATGAATGGAACGACGCTCTTTCTCATAATATGCAACGAGTTCTGCGAGAGGTTTTGCTTCTATGGACTGAAGTCTCTCTTGTTTTCCTTCACAAGGTCGGAGTACGGGTTCACCATAAAGGAGTCAACCGTAAATCTCCACTTCTTTATCTCCATGAGCTACCTATTTACTCTTTTTGGAGGGCTTCTATCAGACATGTTTCTGGGGAGATACAGCACCATTGTGCTGCTAAGCTCACTGTACCTCACGGGAACCTCGCTTCTCACGTATTGCTCTATTGTGTCCGGGTCTCCAGGACTGATGGTGGGAAGCCTGCTCATGATAGCTGTTGGAACAGGGGGAATCAAGCCCTGTGTTGCTGCATTTGGGGGAGACCAGTTTGGCCCTGATGACGCACAGGATCTCAGAAGGTTCTTCGACTTCTTCTACTTCGCAATAAACATCGGGAGCATGGTCTCCATGGTCTTGACCCCCACCATGTCGAGCGTTGGCTGTCTTGGAAAGCAGTCTTGCTATCCGCTGGCATTTGGAACGTCAAGCACGCTGCTCGGCGCCTCCATTCTTCTGTTCATCATCGGAAAAAGGTTTTATGTGATCAAGCCTGTGAGGAAGGAGCAGTTTTCAAGGACATTCCACTCCTTGGTGCAGAATCTGAAGGAGTTGTTCCGGAGGCAGTCCAGAGACAGTGAAAGGAAAACCCAGGGCACTTTAAAGACCGTGTCAGAGGCAGCCTGCATATCCCATGAGGAGGACGACAAGGAGAAGACCTTGAAGATACTGAGGATTCTGGGGCCTGCAGCATTCTTCTGGATGCTCTCCGACCAGCAGTCCTCCTCGTGGGTGGAGCAGGGAACGAAGATGGAGACACACCAAAGCATCCTTGGGTATGGAATGGATATCTTGCCTTCGCAGATGCAAGCATTCAACGCAGTGTTCATCCTGCTCTTCATTCCACTGTTCTCGAAAATGATCTATCCGCTGATGGGACTGGCGGGAGTTTTCTCGTCTCCAGAGGAAAAGATGGGGTTCGGGATTGCTCTTGCATCTCTCAGCTTCTTCTGCTCGGGATACCTGGAGTACAGAATAGGCCTACCTGCACCTGCAGGGCAAAGGCTGTCGATAATGTGGCAACTTCCTCAGTATGTTCTGATGACGGCAGGGGAAATAATGCTAAACGTGACCGGGATGGAGTACATGTATACAGAGGCGCCAGAGCCAATGAAGTCGCTAGTCTCGTCGATGTGGCTGCTGACAGTGACTGCAGGGAATCTCCTGGTGATGGTGCTGACGTTCCTGGATCCTGTGGCATTGTTTTCCTCGCGTGCCCATGACATGTGGAGCTTTGTGGCATACGGCACTGCAGGACTTCTTGCATCCAGGTGCATGTTCCAGGCATCAAAAGCTGCCAAAAGAAATAGAAAGTAATGCCTGCTGCATCCGGGAGATAGTGTGGACAAGGCCGGTCATTTCTTCCCGGCGAGACAACCGGTCCATAAGATTGGCCCCTCTAAGAGTATTTGGAAATCCAGGCACCCATAGATGATAAGAACAACATTCAAGACCCTGTGCCTTCTCCTTAACAACATCCTGCTACTGCTGGCAAGCTGCGTTCTGGGGGCCCTGATGTCCTCCGTGAGGGACTCCAGGAGCATATACAAGAATGCGAATAAACAGGTGACCTACATGCTACTTCTTGCAAATGCAGGCCTTGCCATCTTCACCCTCGTGATAGTCCAGAATCTCAACGACGTGTTTCTTCATCGGGTTCGGTCGCCGAGAGGCGTTGAGATGAAAATGAAGATCCTGTGGATAATACTCTCGATAGTAACGTTCTTCTACGGAGCCTTTCATCTGCCGCTGGTTGCATCGGACATGAACAGACTCATCGAGATGGATATCATGGCTCTGATGACCGTCGTGGTCTTCGTCCTACAGGTAAGTGGAAGTATTAATTTTAGATCGCCATGCTCTTTGTCGTATACTCGATGCACCCAGACCTGTTCGGAATCAAGCACAGCCAAGAGATCCAGAGATACATAGAAAGGGTTAAGGCCGAGCGCCGCGAGAATGAAGGGGTTGATGGCCAGCCCCTGGGCAGCGCCTTATAAGAATAAACCTCATTTTGCTTGACATTGACGGAACATTCTCCAAGTCGAACTAGAGATACAGGGACTTTATTAGATAAGCAGCCGTGCTAGGTGCTATGCCTCTCATCTATTTTCCTCCTAATTTTCGACAGAAAGCTACGGTACTTCAGCTGATCGCATACCGGCCACTTACAAGAGCTCCTATCCATCTCCCTCACCACAGTGCGGATCTTCTTGGCGATGTTCATTCTATATCTCTCTTCCCTCACTCCAAAGTCTTCTGCACGGGAGCCTATAAAGGTCACCTGAGAGTCCAGTGCCGTGAAATCGTGGCTCATCACAAGCTGCAAATAAAACTTTTTATTTATATTTATGTCTCAGAGATTAACAGCCATTTCCGACAAATGGAACAGTACTTATTTGGGCAAAATTAAGTCCTACTTTCCAACGCCAGAGCGCCTCGGGCTGGATCTTAGTTCCTCTCTGCCACTACTCTCCAGTATGCTTAATTAAATCAGATGCGCCCTTTGTTTACTTCAAACGGCCACCATTAGAAGCTAGGTTTCGATGTTTCAGAGGCATGTTATGATTCTCTTCACCAAAACAAAGAATGCCAGCCATTCTGCTTGTCCTTGCAACCGTTGTTGCCATCTACTTTATGATAGGGTACAGTGCAAGACACGGCATAAGCATAAGAGGCAGGAAGATCCTTATAATTGGAGGCAGCAGCGGGTTGGGTCTCGCCTTTGCAAGGATACTGAAGGAGGCGGGAAATGATGTCACAGTAACATCAAGAAGCATGAAGAAGCTGGAGGCACTGCAAAGAAGATGGGGACTCAAAACCCAGGTGCTTGATGTAAACGCCGCAGATGTCCCGGAGCCGACAGACTTTGACTACATATTCTGCTGTGCAGGCGTCTCCTATCCCTCATACTTCATCGACCAGCCACTCGAAGTGTTTGAGGAGACAGCAAATACAAACTACCTTGGAACTGTCGCCATGCTAAAGCACTATGCAGCAGTTAACAAAAAGCCTGTGAAGTTCATCATGATAGGATCGACGCTGGCGCTGCTTACATTTCCGGGGTTCTCCTCGTACTCCCCGTCGAAAACGGCTCTTCTCTCGCTGTTCTATACAGTTCGCGACGAAATGGGGAAGATAGGTGTGGAGCTGTATCTTTATAACACTGCGTCCATCCTGACACCCGGATTCGAGAGGGAGAATAGGGCAAAGCCTGCATACACAAGGGCAGTCGAGGGAATGGTATCCCCGTCTTCTGCCGAGAAGAGAGCCACTGCATTTCTTAATGGGATGAAAAAGAGGAGGGTGGTGACCTCGGACGTCTTCACATACCTATGCCAGATAAGGTTCGAGTGCGAATGCTTTATTGATTATATTCTCTTTCCTATAGCCGTTGCCGTTGTATTCGCTTCACGGACCTATGTCAGGTGGAAGTTCAGAACCTCCGAGAGGATGGGCCGTATGGAAGGGAGCAAGTGCCCACCATAGGCAACTGGCCTTAATCAAATTTAATAGAACCGTCAGACATAACACACAGCTTCTTGTTTTCTAGTGCTATCTCCTCAAACAGTCTACTAACCAGGCCCCAGTTTACAACCTTCCACCAGTTTGCTACATACTCAGATCTCACATTCTTGTACTTCAGGTAATATGCATGCTCCCAGACATCCAGTCCAAGTATCGGAACGGTGCTGGAGGTCTTCATGCATATAGCATCCTGGTTGTATGTCTTCCTTATCACAAGAATGCCCTCGCTCTGTCTATAGCATAGCCACACCCATCCGGAGCCAAATAGCGACACTGCCGCATTACTAAACTCCTTGACCATCTTCTCCTGAGATCCAAAGGATCTCTCTATGTACTCCAAAAGCCTTGGGCTCATAGGCCCGCTGGTTCCTGGGGGACACATCATCTTCCAGAACAGACTGTGGTTGTAGTGCCCTCCAGAGAAGTTGAGCAGGTCTCTCCTTGCACTGCTCTTGACTCCCCTGATCCCCCGGCCCTTGGTCACGTAGTAGTAGAGGCTCTTGCCCTTGATGCTGTTACTCCTGAGTGTCTTCTCGAGGCTATTTATGTAAGCCTGGTGGTGCTTGGAGTGGTGCGTCCTCATTGTCTCCTCGTCGATAATCGGCTCAAGTGCATCGTATGGATAGTCGAGTTCGGGTAGTTTGAATTCCATGGGTACTACATTTCGGACCATTTAAGAGCAGCGTTAAATATCATGTGTTCAGGGCCTCCTCTCCATAAAAGGAATATGAGAAGAAAGTCTGTGTGTATACAAATACCTAGAGACCCAAGGACAGACAGGACCTCGTTCATAACTGAGATGCCCGAGGCAATGTCCGGGAGAATTGAAGAGCCAAGGTGGAAGGAGGTGGTGTCTGGACTGAACGATGTACTCTATGAGTCTGAATCTCCATCTCTGGTGTCTTTTGTCAAGACCATATCCATTATCCCGCTCCTGGTGGGCAGCCCAAAAAATGTCTTTGCAAGGGTCGAGGAATACCTGTCCTCGGTGAACAAGACTCTGGAGGGGCATGGGATCCAAATAGTCCATCCTGGGTATCACCAGTATGTCGAGCTCGAGGTTGAGATGTGCCAGGAAGAGTGATGCAAGGGCTTATGGCGGCGGTGTCTTTGTTTTAATATGCCAAGCGCTGTAATTGTAAATTTTTTCTGATCCTCCGAATGTACAGGAAGAACGCCAACTTTGTTGAGTGCGAAGAGGAGGTGCTGGAGTATTGGAGGAGGAACAAAAGCTTCGAGAGGAGCTGCGAGAGAAGTAGGGGCCGGGAGAAGTTTACCTTCTATGATGGCCCTCCGTTTGCAACGGGACTGCCGCACTATGGGCATCTCCTTAGCGGGACAATCAAAGACACCGTGACAAGGTTTTTCTACCAGCAGGGATATGATGTCGACAGGAGATTTGGATGGGATTGCCACGGACTTCCTGTTGAGTACGAGATTGATAAGAAGCTGGGGATAAGCAGCAGGGCGGAAGTCCTGGAGATGGGGATTGGCAAGTACAATGCCGAGTGCAGGGGGATTGTGATGAAGTACAGCAGCGAGTGGGAGGCGGTTGTGGAGAGGCTGGGGCGCTGGGTGAGCTTCCGGGACGGGTACCGGACCATGGACATGACGTTTATGGAAAGCGTCTGGAACATCTTTAAGGAGCTGTTCAGCAGGGGGCTAATATACAGAGGGTTCCGGGTGATGCCGTTTTCGACTGCCTGCTCAACACCATTGAGCAACTTCGAGTCGAACCAGAACTATAAGGATGTCAGCGATCCATCGGTTCTTATTGCCTTTCCGCTCCTCAAACCCCTTGGGGGCTACATGCTGTCGCTTGTCGCATGGACAACGACACCCTGGACGCTGCCATCGAACTGCGGGCTTGCGGTGAATCCGGGATTTCTGTACGGGGTGTTTGAACACAAGGAGAAGTTCTATCTGATGCATGTGGACAGGATTGGAGAGTACTTTAAGGATGCCAGGATTCTCCAGAGGGTTTCAGGCCGGGAGCTTGAGGGGCTTGAGTATGAACAGCCGTTTGACTATTTTGAGGAGTACAGGAAGAAGGGATTCTTCAGGGTTCTCGCCTCTGGATTTGTCACGGACACGGATGGAACGGGTGTTGTTCATTGTGCGCCTGGGTTTGGGGAGTGTGACTACAATGCGTTTGTTGAAAAGGGCCTGATACGAGAAAACGACCTTGTGCCCTGTCCTGTTGATGAGAATGGAAGGTACACCAGCGAGGTACGGAGGTATGCAGGGAGGTACGTGAAGGACTGCGACAAGGCGATTCTTTCCGACATCAGGGACAAGGTTCTTATGAACCAAAGGATAGTGCATAAGTATCCGTTTTGCTGGAGGTCTGACACACCTCTGCTGTACAAGCTTGTTCCAAACTGGTTTGTCAAGGTCAAGGACCATGTGGACTCCCTCCTAAGGAACAACGAGAAGATAAACTGGGTGCCCCCGGATATCAAGTACAAGAGGTTCCATAACTGGCTGGAGAATGCAAGGGACTGGTCTATTTCGAGAAATAGGTTCTGGGGGACGCCGATTCCTCTGTGGGTCACCGAGGACTATAGCGACATGATATGCATAGGATCTGTGGGCGAGCTTGAGGAGCTGAGCGGAAGGAAGATCGATGACATACACAGGGAATTTATTGACGGGATTGTCATACACAGAAATGGAAGGGAATACCGAAGAGTTGAGGAGGTTCTTGACTGCTGGTTTGAAAGCGGAAGCATGCCGTATGCACAGGACCACTGGCCATTCTGCAAAGAGAGCGGAGTTGACCTCGGAAGCCTCTCTGTATCTGGGGGAGAAGAAAGGAACAAAAAGCTCGTGAAGGAGAACTTCCCAGCCCACTTCATAGGAGAGGGGCTTGACCAGACAAGGGGATGGTTCTACACACTCCATGTGATATCCTCACTTCTGTTTGGGCAGCCTGCATTTCTCAATGTGGTTGTGAACGGGATAGTGCTTGCAGAGGATGGACGGAAGATGAGCAAGAGACTGAGGAACTATCCGGACCCATCCCACATATTCAACACATATGGAGCAGATTCTCTAAGAATGTATCTGATATCAAGCCCCGTTGTTGAGGCAGAAAACCTAAAGTTCAGCGAGGGGGGAGTCAAGGAGGTTCTGAAGACGCTGATAATTCCATGGTACAACTCGCTAGGGTTCTATCTGGAGAACAGAGATGTGGAGCCTGATGGGAGATCCCTGCCCATGGATGGCTGGATTACGGCTTCCTTCGATAACTTTGCTTGGTCTTTGACCAGGAAAATGAGGAAGTATGAGCTTTCCTCTGTGCTGACCCTGGCACTAAGGTTTATTGACGACCTGTCGAACTGGTACATCAGGATGTACAGGAAGGAGATAAGGGCCGGGCACCATGCCGTTCTTGGAGAGATCTTGAAGAAGTTCTCAATCGTGATGGGTCCATTCACTCCTTTCTTCAGCGAGTATTCCTACCAGTCGCTCAATCCCGGAGAAAGCGTCCACTTCCAGGAGTATCCTGTGTGCAAGAATGGGACACATCCGTTTGAGATGGCCAAGAGCATCATAGCAGCAGTAAGGCGCCTCAGAGAAACAAACTCGATATCTTTGAAGACCCCGCTGAAAAGCGCTACGCTGATGAGCAGCAGCAGCCTATACGAAGGGATCAAGGATTACATCGATGCAATCAAGACGGAGTGCAACGTTCTGGAGCTGCTTTACAAGGAAGAAGACAGGTCTATGTTCGACATTACAGTGAAGCCCAACTTCTTGTCTTTGAAAAAAGACAAGGCCACCATGAAGAAGAAGATGAAAGTAATCCAAGGCCTCACCGGCGACCAAGCATACTCTCTCCTAAGCTCTCCACTGGTTGTGGATGGCCTCGAGATTCTTCGGGATGACGTGCTGATCGTAAAGAAAATCCGATGCGAAGGAATCGCCCAGGAGTTTGGAGACTTCAGCATAATCATTGACAATACCCTGGATGAGGGCATGGTTAAGATGAAGATTGCAAGAGAGTTCCACAGCTACATCCAGAAGCTTCGGAAGAGTGCAGGGCTGAGGGTCGGCGATGATGTAGTGGTGGATATCCAATGCCCAGACCTGAAAGGCATTGTAAGCAAATACTTCGACATCTCGTTTGGAAGTCTAGGCGCGCTATCTGGAAGGGGAGAATATGAGTTTGATGGAACTTTGTATCCCGTTTCTCTTTACAAGAAACTCTAGCCCGGGCTGTCATTAAATGCTCGTTTCCCAACCTGTTTATTTGTCAGTCCTCTTCAGAAGAGACACGAAATCGGACATTCTTCTTTCGTAGTCTGTAACTTCCTCTTCCAGCTTTCTCTTTTTATCCGGGTCGAGCTCGGCATCAGCCCTCTTTCTAATCTCATCGATCTTTGATTGCAGCTCATTCACAGGAAGTATGCACCCATCCCCAATTCTGTTTTGGAGAACGTCGATGATCCTCTTCTGCCTTTCTATTGTAATGCTCTTCTTTTTGCTGGATTCCAGCGTTTTCTTAAGCGCTTCCCTTAAAACATCGTAGTCTTTCCTCATCCTTGCATTCTTATTGCTAAGCTTTGTCACCGCTTCAGAAAAGCTGGCATTCTCGCTTCGAACTCTATCCATCTCATCCTTAAGCTCTCTGTAATCCCTGGAAACTCTCTCCCATTCTCTTGCTTTCGATCTCAGATCCTGACCCTCAGACTCTGCTGCTCTAATCCTTTTCCAAGCACCCTTAAGGACACTCCTTAGGATGTTTGGCATGTTGCGTACATCGCTGTCCCTTACATCTACATCGACCCCAAGATCCTCAATCGCATCCATGACGCCTTTAACGACCAGGGCATTTGTCCTTCTCTGGTCCTCCATCTCTCTCGAGCACTTGTCAAGCTGCTTCACAAGCTCGCTGTTGGCCTTTGCATATCCCAGCTCCGCCTCGAAGCTTCTGCTCCTCATCTCAAAAAACATCTTCCGAAGCCTGTGGCTCGTCTCCTCAATGTCCTTTAGATCTTCAATCAGCTCGTGTATCTTCCCTAGCACATTCCCCGGTGAGCCCAAGGCTCCATTCTGCACAGTGCGGTACATGTCCGCAGGAAAGCAAGGGTCCCTTTCTTTCAGTTCCCCGCATATGGTGTTTCTAGCCCTCTCGAGGTCACCCGAGCACACCTCCCCAAGAACATGCTTCACAAATGCTTTGTCGAAATATTCTCTTCTAATCAGCATGTCAATCTTCTCGTTGAGCTTCAGATAGGTCTTGTATATGTTCGACAGATACACACAATCTTCTCCCTCGTCGCTTTCTATGGATGTGCTCCCAAATCCAGACACCACCTCCTCATGGTCGTCAGAGATGTTGCTGTCCAGCACCCCGTTCTTTTCGTCTATAACAACCTTAATATCAGACAGAGAAAGCATCTCCAGCCCGTTCACAATATACTTCCCGAGCTGCTGGGACGTGTTCGGAGACACCAAGGTGCTGTCATGTGCATTTTCGCGGAGTGCTGAAGGCTTCTTCTCGTTCTCGTCTGCAAAGAGTCCCATGTATCCAGGGATCCGAGCAAAAATTCTGGCCATCGGAAGACGTGTTGAGGCCGGGCAGGACCCCTGGGATGGGGAGCACAGGGACAACAATAACAAGTGTGGTGGCGCACATAGACCACGGAAAGACATCGCTCATAGACAGCCTTGTTGCATCCCAGGGACGGATATCAAGGACGCTTGCCGGGTCAATCAGATTCCTCGATACAAGAGAGGACGAGCAGGCCAGGGGAATAACCCTGAAGTTGGGTGTCATCTCCCTGGAACACGGAGGATGCAGATACGTGTTCATAGATACGCCAGGCCATGTTGACTTTGAGTCCCTGATCCAGTCAAGCTCAATATTCTCCGACAACTTCCTGGTTCTTATCGACGTTAACGAGGGAATAACACCGAGGACCTATTCGCTTGTGAGGTATGCAAAGGGGAGGAGATGCGCCCTTGCCATAAACAAAATAGATAAAATAGCCTTTCCACAGGAGCTTCTGGAGAAGACGCTTTCTGTGATATCGTCGATAAACGGGCTCATTGGTGAAGATACTTTCGGGTGGGAGGACAACAACGTCATATTGTGCTGCGCCACCCTTTGCTATGGGATCAGCAGAGAAACGTTCCAGAAGGTTGTTGGAAAGACTGGGACTCTGAAGGATGCAATCAACCTTCTGTTCCATGTGTATAGGAGAATTGAAGAGAAGGATGTGGATAGGATATGCGAAAGATTTAAGGTTGTTGGCAGAAGCAAAAAGAGCATCCTCTCGACCATGCTTCCTCTATCTGACTGCGTGTTTGGTTCGGTAAGCTATGATGCCGAGGACAGCACAAGGTTGTTTCTCGAGTCTGGTCTAATAAAGCTGAGTCCGGTACCATCGGATAAGACGCCTTCGCTGATGGGAGTCACTGTTTATGGAGTTCTTAAGACGCCTCTGAAGTACACCCGGGCCTCTTTGCTTTTTGTCACAAGACTGTTTCATGGAACTGTGAGGGTGGGGGATGTTGTATATTCTGCAGACGGGAGTACCATTTCGGAGTGCACTGTGGAGAGTCTATACCTGTTTGGAATAAACGAGCTGGTTGAGAAGGACGAAGTGTCTGGGCCTAATCTTGTTTGCATAGGGGGCAGGCTCTTGAAGAACTCGCTTGTGACGGACGTTCCTGTGGGCAGGATGGATGTTCTAAGCAGGATAACACCCTTCTACAAGTTCAAGATTGTGCTGGACGACATTGACAAGCTCGACGAGCTGAAGGAGGTTTTCCGCGTGATGTCGTGCACAGAGCAATTTTTGAAGGTAAGGCTCAACAAGTACAGGGAGATGGAGGTCTCGTGCACAGGAAAGGTCCAATCGGAAAAGATAGCCACAGACTTGGCTGGTCTAGGCTTCAGGTTTTCGATTGTGGACCCCGAGGAGCAGTTCTGCGAATATGCTGCAGAGCCCTCTGACGGGGTCTTTGCCTCAGAGGGACTCAGCTTAAGGATTTCGATCTGCAGGGCATACGAAGGAGAAGAAGACGGCTCTGCTTGCTTCAGGAGATGGAGAGATGGAAACGGAAACCAGTTTGTCCTCATGTCTGGACTGTACTTCGAGATAGCTGCCAGCGTGCTTGAGATGTTTGTCTCAAGCGGGCCGCTGATAAAGGAAAGGATATACGAGACAAGGTTTGTGCTTGACCTGCGGGGAGACGCAGAGACGATGGATTCTGATGCGCTGTATTCGTTTCTGAAGAGCTCGCTTACTTCTGTGTATCTTTGCTGCTCTCCGTCGATTGCACCGACATTTTATGAATGCAGCATCTCGATCCAGAAGGAGTTTATTGGAGAGACATACAGGTGCCTTTCAAAGTACAGCTATACTGTTCTTCAGGAGAACTACGAAGAAAAGACAGGCTTCTATGTCCTGACGGTGCTCATTCCCCAGTTTTTGTACCCGGGCTTTCTTGAGGACATCAGGGTAGGGACAAAGGGAACAGCATATCTCCTGGTGGGAGACGTGGGATACAAGCTGATGCTAGACTTCAGCAAGTATGTGGACGGGATAAGAAAGAAGAAGGGCTTGTTTGTGGAGGAGAAGATTGTCGAGGAGCCTTCGAGGCAGAGAACGTACAAGAGGTAAAGCCACGGTTGATATTAATAAAATCTTTATGTGCTATCACTTTCAAAGAGATACGATTTCAGGGTTACCGAAATTAGTATGCACATGAGTGTAAATAGCCCTATCGCCGTCCTGTATGAAAACACGTTTGTCTCCTCCTCCTGCAGGAAACAGCCTCCAAATCTTGTGCCGTTGATCTTTATCCCGGGTGTTATCACCTTCACCAACTTTCTGTTGTTTGCAGGCCTTGGGGGAAGCCCTCTGCTCTCCTTCTTTGAGTCCACAGCCAGCACAGATATGACCTCCTCAATCCCCATCCTGCACCTGCATGTTGGACAGAACTTGCATCCTCCTGTTGACTGCGACCATATGTATATGCATCCCCAGCAGAACAGATGTCCGCACGGGGTCAGCACTGGGCCTTCTGGCTGTGAGTAGCATATACTGCATGTGTACTCTCTGCATGGCCTGGTGCTGTCCTCCTTCCTGCCATTGCCTTCTATCCCTGCGATGGCCTCGACGGCTTCTTCGCTCGATCCATCAGGTTTTTCTGGTTCTCTCCTGGTTTTCATGGGATAACCCTTCCCCTTGCTCATGAATCTACTCGACATGAGCGTCAGGTTTGTGGAGGGGATCAATTTACTCTTGCACCACGGGAGGTGCAGCATGGATGCCTCAGAGGTGGAGAGGCTGATGCAAAGAATCAACGAGGTGCAGCTGCTTGTGAGAGACTCGGAAAGGAACTTTCGGCAGATTCTCAAGAGTACTGAGGAGGGCAATGTTAGGCGCAGTAGTGTTGTGATCATAACAAGAGATAAGGTGCCAATATGCATCCTTGGAGAAGAGATAGCTAAGCCAAGCATAGAGGACATCGACATAGAGAGCGTTGAGTGCAGCCACACACCATCATTCCATGAGTTCATGCCGTTTTCAAATACCGTGTTTGTGAACACCAAGGCCCAGTTGCTAGCAATTGATAGGACGATTACACAAGCTGCAATAGAGGTGTTTGACCACACGTACAGATCATACGAGGGATTTGTGTGCTTTATCTCAGCAGGGGACACAAGGGGCAATGTCTACGTAATAGATGCAATCAAGCTTAGAACAGTCATTCCAAGGCTGCGGCTACTTGGATGCAATGTCCCGAAGATAGTTCACTGTGGAAACTGTGTCCAGAGGCTTCTCAAGGACTTTAAGCATCTTGGATGCTACAGAAGCTACGAGATCCCTTCAGACATGGTTTTTATTGATTGGAGAATACGTCCTGTTCCGGAGTTTCTCCTCGAGGTCCTATGTAAAGGAGTCTGCAGAATAGGAGAGATGCTCACCAACGGAGTCAAAATGAAGACCAGCTGCACCAAGGAAGTCGATGAGGTCGAGGACATCGCCTCAAGATACAGCATCTCGAGCAATAGGGATGTCCTCAGAGCCCTCCTGAGGCTGAGAAGGTTTCTTGCAAAAAGCAACGACGAGTCTGTGCACTATGTCATGACAGACGACCAGGTAGTCAAGCTATTGGAGATCAGGCCAGACACACGGGATAAGCTGCTTGGAGGGCTTAGGAGGCTCTCGCCGCTGGCAAAACAGCATGTGATGGACTTTCTGTATATATTCAGCAGCGGAGGCAGAGGATTTCTGTTACAGAATCTCACGATTTCAGGCAGGGAATGAGGCCCAATCATTCTTCATGCTGAGAGGAATCCCTTAATCTGAAACGAACCAAATAATGTATTTCAAGTAAATGGCGCTCTGAGATGGATGGCGGGCGACAAGGAAAGAAAGGTTGATGTCTCTCAGAACGTGGCGTGGACGCTGCAGCGGGGAAGCTGGATAATACATGTCTTGGTCATACTTCTTCTGAAGATGACGCTTTCGATGGCATTCAACGACGACCTGGGGTGGCAGCTCGCGCTGGTCATCTACAACATCTCCACCTTCATCTTCTTCCACATGATTCCCGGAGATCCCTTCAATGACAGATATAGCCTCTACACATTCTGGGAGCAGCTTTCGGAGCAGCTGGAGGGCACTCCAGACCTCATCTTCATAGCACTGTTCCCGCTGATAGCATTCACGGCCGTGAATTTCATCGTGAAGTGGAACATCTTCCTGTTCTGGATATGCATCACAAGCCTATTTCTTGTGACCATTCCCAAGTTTGGCTTCATGCATCTCAGGAGAATCCTAATATTCAAGGAGTAACTCTACATATATCACAGCAATAAACCCGTGCTATTCCGTCCTGTCCATCACAAGTTCCTTTTTCTTGCTGTAAGACTCTCCTCTGTACTCTACACAGCTCAGAACATCTGCAGCAAGCTTGGACAGATTCTGGAGGACAAGAATCTCCACAAACTCAAGGAGGAGGAACTCCTCGACATCGCTGAAGCTTCCCTTCCTGGAAAGAATGCATTCAACAATTCTGTGGATGTCTGTGTACTCCATGTGGAACGCTTCCTTGAAGAGCCTTATCGACTGGTCGGTAAGTCCCTTGCGTGTATAGAACTTCATTGCATGCACCTTAATCTGGAGGTTCCTAGGGTTTGTTTCTATGGCCTTCTTCAGAAAAAACTCTGCATTTTCTAGCTTTTCCGTCTTGGTGTAGACCAGTCCACAGCCGAACATTGCCCTGTAGTTGTCTCCAAGCATCTTGAGCGACAGGTTGAAGTACTTCATGGCTATGTCATACTCGTTTCTCTGGATCGATTCATATCCAAGGAGTGTGTAGGTGTAGGAGTCCTCTTCTATGCACAGGCTCCTTTTGAAGCACAGAACGCTTCTTTGGTAGTCGCCCTGGTGGCTGTAGAAGTTCCCCAGCGCCTTCCAGGTGTTCGGCGAGTCTGGCGCGTGCTTGATCAGGTTCTTGCACAGCATCCCGAGCTCGTAAACATCCTTAGAGTGCCAGAGGATGGTCGAGTAGTAGTCCACATTGTGCAGAAACATTGGATCCTTTCTCCTGACCAGCTCAAAGCATGCTTTGCTCTTGTCATTCATCCCGAGATTGAAGTATCTCCGTGCAGCATTCGAAATGAAGTAGGATCCAATCCCCGGAACATGCTCCATGTACTTCTTTACGAGGGACGGCGACAGACTCTCATGGAACTCAATGCTGTCAGACACGTACTCTTCTTCTATCCCCCTCCTCCCGGTCTGCCGGACATTCTCCTTGTCTCTTTTCTGCGGAACCTTGTTCTCGAGCAAGAGGTTTTCCACAGGTGAAAACAGGAAGCTCTTCCCAAAAGACCTTACATAGTGCCCAATGCCCTCTTCTCTGTACCCAGATAGAGTGCATAGGTCTCCAAGGAGAGACTCAAAAAACTCCTCGTCGCCTGGGTCGACAAACATCTCCTGTATCCTTGCATCGACATCAGGATCCCTTTCAACCTTTCCCTCGAGAATAGACTCCAGGCTTTTGATGGCCTTCTTGTAGTCCTTCTTCTTCTTGTAGCACAGAGACTCGTAGTACTTTGATGTGCATGTGTTAAGCTTGTGAAGATGGAAGAGGGCACGGGTGTATTCGCCGTTCAGATAGAGCACTATGGACATGAGCATTCTGTATTCAGGCTTGCACGGGAGTAGGCATGCCGCTAGAAAAATCGCAGTCTCGTAGTCCCTATACCTTATCGACTTGCATATCTTCCCAATCAACTTCGAGTCCATTTGAGGGCAAGCCCCTGCTGTTTCAAGACTATTGCCTAAGGATGTTTATTCTTCTGCAGACTACCCTCCAAAGCACTCGAGAAACGCAATGGAGCGGAGATTCTGCTCTTGGAAGTACACTTCGTCGTCAACAACTGATGCAAGCGCCTCTATCCTCCCGGCAAGCATTGGATCGTCCTCTATGTCTCTTTCGTACAGAGAAAGAATAACTCCAATGCATTCAGAGAAAATGGGCACAAACTCCTTAACCGTGAAGAACTCGACTATCACATCAAGGACACCTGCCAGCTCCTTCCTGCTCAGATCCTGGAGCGCACGCACGAATCCCCTTTTTTCATGGATGTAGCTCATCGCTGCAAACATCTCCTGGACATCTCTTTTTTCCATCGCATGCATCATCGACTTCTTGTACTCAAACCTGTTCAGCCTCTTCTCCAGGTAGGTAAGCCTTTCCACCGGATTTCGGACAATATCAACCCTCACCTCGTCGTGCAGGCCATCCCCCTTGTCCTTAGGCACCATGGGACTCTTCTTCGGCTTCTCCTTGACCAGCTCCAGCACTCCTCCATCCTCCAGCCCAAGATACACAACATCGTCGAAGATGCTGATGTCCAGGATTCCTCCTCGGACCCCAACTCTCGATATCATCTTAAGATCCGTTGTGAACACCCTTACGTTTGCATCTAACGATGCCGTATAGAGCCTGTGTCCATAGAACACCATCGACGTCACCTCCTTGATGTGAAAAAACCTCCCAATCTCAATGCCTCCCGAGACATCGATCACACGGACCTCGTTTCCAGATGCAAGGGCTATGCGGCTGCTCCCCAGCGCGCAGATCCTTGATATTCGGCACCCGGCATTATACTCGACCACCCTTGAAAGGGTCTTCAGGCAATGCCCCCTAACGAATCCATCATACGACCCCGAAAACACAATCCCATCCACAATGTCGATGCTCCGGACATAGTCTGTGCTGTCGGATATGGTGGCAACAGACTCTGCCTTCGACAGATCAAATATCTTTATCTTCATATCATCACTGCAGCTCACCAGCATCGTCCCATCGATTCTTATCTCGTTGATCCTGGCCTCGTGCTCGTAGTACTGCCTGACAATACTCTTCATCTTCCCAATCACCTTGATGTGCCCGCTTTCGTCCCCACATGCAGCCAACTCCCCGCATACATCCACAGCACTTACATCTCTATCAAACTTCGCTATCTTCTTTCTCCTGCCTTCACCCTTCCTGATCAGCAGTGCACAGCCCTTAGACCCTGCAACAACCCCATCCTTGCCGCTGCACAGGCTGGAAATCGGGTCTTCCTGCTCATGGACGGGATCAAAGCTTTCTCTCTCGAAGTCCTCTATCCCAAAATTATTGCTTCTGAAGTACACCATATGGGTCCCGGAGAAGCACAAAATAACTGTCCAAACCTTCCACCTGGGATGGATATCGAGGACTTGATCAAGAGTGCAGACAACTTCTTCAGAGGCAGGCCGAGCTCAAACCCTATGGTTTCATCCAAGAAGAAGGTCCTTCGGTTCGCCAAGGACAACGGAGTGGATATGAACAAGTCCTTAATCAAAGCCGAGGAGTTTCCAAGAAGCGCATATGCAGACGAGCTGGAGAGGTTTCCGGTTCTTCGAGATTAGTAGTAGACCACCGATGGAATAAATCCATGAATACTAAAGATGCTTTTTTCAGACTCTCTGCCAACTAGAAGGTCGTCTGTAAACAGAACCAGATGGCCTTGTATTCCATGAAGCAAATTCTGGACAAGGACACTGTCCACCGGGCAGGGGCACAAACGTCTTCCACCGTAGCCGCCATCCAGCTCAAGAAGCCTCTTGAACATCTCTGTGTTAGTCCTTGCTCTATCGACAATCCTGTTGAAGACGTCATTACTTCCGAGGTCAAGTGTGCTGCCGAGTAGATGATGCTCCAGAAAATCCAGAGGTCCACACCTGCTTCTTTCCGCCCCCCTCTTGACTCCAAGATGCTCCTCTAACAGGGTCCTCAGCAGCTTGTGAACCACCTCGTTGTCATCCTCCACTAGCAGTGCTATTTCTGTGTCCCTACATCCAACCATGCTTCTGTCATTAAGATTTGTGCTCCCGACTATGGCTGATGTCCCGTCCGCAATGATCACCTTCGAATGCACATAGATCTGCTCCTGGGCGACTCTTTTCCCGTCAAAATGTACCTTCCTCAGAGACATAAACACAAGATACTTGTCCGGGTCAACTCCATGCCCTCTTAGCACCTGGTACAAAGACTTTTCCCCCTTCGATATCGACTGCTCTTGGATCCTGATGATCTCTACTGCAGGCGTCGGACTCACCATAAGGCCTGCATCAAGTGCAGGGAAGAGGGGAATCACAACATACACCTTAAACTCCTCTCCAGCCCTGTCAGCCTCGATTATTCTCTCTGCAAGGACTCTCCCAACCGTGTTCTCCGGATACCCAGGTGCAGAGCTGCACCTTGTAATGAAAAACTGGTTTTCTATGTATATGAATCTTCTGGAGCCCCGGATCACCTCCGAATACCCCCTTGACACCGAGTCCTCATCAATCCCAAGCGACCATCTTCCGACAGACCTCAGCACCTGAGTTCTGACGAGTCCTCCATCTTCCAAGGAGTCCGAAGACATGCTGTCTATTGCCCCAAGCTCCTCGTTCGGAACCAACAGCTCTGTCCTCTTCCCCCCTCCGTCCTCAGAGACAATGAAGTTCCATCTTTCAATGAAGTGCCGAGATATATCAAACGCAGAACTTCCAACAACCTTACACTGGACGTCATGCCATGGCATCCTCGGTAGATCGGAAGGTTCTAGCCCGTTCTCCTCCTTTTCATATGCCTCCAAATACCCAGCCTGGTGCTCCTTACTGACCAACGGGTGCTCCTGCGTGTCGTACCTTCCAAGCCCCAGGTCAATTCCTCCGACATATGCTATTCTCTGGTCCACAACAACCACCTTCTCATGGTGCGTCCAGTAGATAGGAATGCGCCCCATGCCATTTGGATGTCTAAGGACCTCAATCCTCCTGTGGAGCTTCGATAGGAACTCATATGTGTAGTTGGAGTCGATGTTCAGTGCCCTCAGAACCTCTTTGTACACCAGTATCCTTATCTTCACCCCCTTTTCCGCCAGCTCTTTCAGAACATGATCCAGCCTGTATCTCTTGTCCAGTCCCTTGCCCACGGGCTTCACCCGAAGATACAGCGTGGGATAGATCCACCACCCGGCGATGAAGACCTCTCTTCTTGCAAGGCATAGCGTGTCATAAAGGTTCCAGAAGTAGCTTTTTCCATCAACATAGAAGTTCACGACATTTCCCCTTCTCACGGGACTGAAGGATGTAAGCCTGCTAGATCCCCTTATCCTTTCCTCTCCTTCCAGAATCTCTCCAAACAACCGGCGCACAGCCTCATGCCTGAACGACTTGATCGTGTATCTCTTCCCACCCTTGTCGATAACCACCTTGCTATAAAACACATTCATCTTGTACTTCACATTCAGGTCTCCTCCGTAGAACAGGACATCTGCATCTTCGTGTCCATTTTTGTAGTCAACAAGCACTAGATGCGACTTTTTGCAGACAACATACATCTTTCCTGAGCTTCTAGACACCCTATAGCAAGAGCCCGCACACCTGCCTCCATCCAGATCTGTTATGTCCACATGGAACTTGTCCTCAAACATCTTTGTCCCGCTGAACGAGTGCCTGGATATTCTGAAGAAGTCATAAACCTTTCCAATGTCAAGGTACCTCGATCTGTGGAGAACAGCCCGGAGAAACTCCTCGATGCTGCTGCATTGCTCTTCCGTACATATATCAGGCTTGTCCCTCCGAGAGTCCATGACCTCTCTGTAGTGAAGGTATGCATTCAGGGAAAACAGCTGCACTATCCCCACATTTATTCTCCATCTCTGCCTCCCATAGCTCAGGTTCACCACATAGCTTGTGGGTGACGAAGATGCGCCGTCGACACTCGCCTTGACCTGATCGAGCAAGACAGGGAACACAGACTCCCGCGACAGGAACCCAAGTCTTCTGAAAGGGACCATAAGAACAGACCCAAGCAAGCTCGCGTAGGTATGTCCTCTCCTCAATGCCAGAGATGTGTCTTCGCCGCTGGTGTGCATCAACCCTTGAGGCATTCCATCTGCCGACGCTTTGTCTGGAATTTCCATGACTGCAGGATCTCCTCAAAATGAAATATAGTTTAGGCCTAGAAGATGGGAGAGAGTTGTCCTGGTGTGTCAAGCAAAGATGCTGGGAAGGCAGAAGAGTGCAAGGGGTGCCCCAACGTGGGCTACTGCTCGCAGCCGGTGCAGCAGGATCCAGACATTAAGGCCATCCAAGAGAATCTCAGCGGAGTAAAGGCCGTCATTGCCGTTATGAGCGGTAAGGGGGGAGTTGGAAAAAGCACCGTCACAAGGAACATAGCAGAGTTGATGTCCTCCCGAGGCATTGCAACATGCATTTTGGACCTGGACTTGTCTGGGCCAAGCATCCCAAGGCTCACAGGAACGGACGGGCAGTTGATGTGCGAGACGAACGGCAGGCTTCAGCCGGTGGAGGTGCATGGGCTTCTGAAGGCTGTTTCTGCCGGATATCTGCAGGACCCGTGTGAAGAGGGCGTCGTGTTCAGCTCCACCCTCAAAACAAGCGCCATGAAGAAGCTACTAAAATGGTGTAGCTACGAAGGCACGGACGTGTTGCTCCTGGACACTCCCCCCAACGTGACTGATGAGCACCTCGGGATGGTGAACTTCATAAGGCCAAGATTCGGGATTGTTGTTACGACGCCGCAGAAGTTTTCTCTGCAGGACGTGGCCAGGCAGGTTGACTTTTGCAGGAAGGCAAGGATAGAGGTTCTTGGGATCATAGAGAACATGAAGAGGTTTACCTGCCAAAAGTGCGGCCATTCGAAAAGCATATTCAGAAGTGTCGGAGTTGAGTCATATTGTATGTCCAACGGAATTGCATATCTAGGCTCAATCGACCTTAAGCAGGACATAGCCAAGAGGTCTGACTCAGGAGATACCATTGAAGAAGAAGTCCTTGGAAAGATAGTCGATGCTATCATGGTAGTATGCAGCTCCAAGGCCTAAGGGGCACAACCATCCCAGCAGAATAAATAAACCTCGGACAAACATGTGTTAAAGATATTTATTTAACTCCTAGCATTCCACAGTCTCTCAATCTCTCTGCTATGGACCTAGCAGCTCCATTCGTCTGGCTTATCATCTTGGCAGACCCCTTGTCGACAAAGCAGACCTTGTTGAAAAACGGAAGGAGATCGAGATTGTGCACTATTGCTATGACTGTCACCGAGCCCTCAGAGTCTATAATGTTTCTTATGATATCTATCTCCGCTTCCTTATCGAGGTTAGAGGTCGGCTCGTCCATAACGAGGATCTCAGACCTCTTCAACAGGGCCCTTAGTATGACAATCTTCTGTCGCTCTCCCCCGCTGATGTGCCTCCCACACTCCCCGACATTCGTGAAATACCCCCTCTCAAGCCTCATGATGCTGTCGTGAATGTTGAATCTCTTTGCAAGCTCGACGACGGCATAGTCAGATACACTGGGGCTTCCATACTTGATGTTGTACATCACAGTCTCGTTGAATAGAGATGAGTTCTGGGGCACATATCCTATGGTTCTCCTGAACGAGCCGTTCTCTATTGCCTTGATGTTGATTCCATCAATGCATATCGAGCCCTGGTAGCTGTTAAACTTTAGGAGGGTCTTCAGAATCGTCGACTTGCCCGACCCATTCGACCCCACAATAGCCACCTTGTCTCCCTTCTCAATCGTGAGGTTCACGCCTCTGAGGACCTTCTTGTCCCCGTAGTACGAGTGGACGTCGTTGAACACAATGTTCTTTCTGAATCTTGCCACAGACAGCCTAGCACTCGTTTTCAGGTCGTAGTCCTCCGAAAGAACCTCCCTGGCATTCAGCATGGCCTCTGTAAACCTGCAGTATGTAAATCCAAGGTTGTTCAGATTCATGAGCAGGATCCTGCTTGTTGTTACATAGAAGATCAGCATCTTCCCGTCCATCTTACTCGAGAGAACTCCATATGCGCCAAGCGCAATCACAGAGGCATTCAGAAACGCAAAAATCAGCTTCTGGAGCATATTCAGAATGTACAGCCCTCTGAACAGATTCGTTCCAAACCTCTCTATCTCCATCAGCTTTGCATCATATCTCCTCGTCTCAATGTCGTAGTTGTTGAACGACACTACAGACTCGTGGTTGCTCAGGGTGTCGTACACAATGTTCGATGCAGTGTTTTCTGCATTGTTCAGTGCTCCTCGGATCCTGTTTCTTCTTAGAGCTATCGATATCGTCATGGTCCCGTAGACACCCACTGCAAGGATAATGATGAGAGAGGCAAGCACCCCAAGCCTCAGATACGCTTCAAGCCCGACAAACGCAAGCGAAGCCACAACTGGGAACAGGTTCTGCACAGAAACCTCCACAAAGTCGCTGATCGCCTTGCTCTTCCTGGTTATGATGCTCTGGATCGTTCCAGACCCATAGGACTCGAATGTCTCCGTCTCCATCTGAATGAAGTACTCGAAGGTGGTTCTTAGCGTATATCTGTAGACATACTGGACGGCACTGACAAACACAAATCCCTGCAGCTCCGTGAACATGATGCCCATCAGAGAAACCGCCAGAAACATGGCTATCCTGCCGCGGGGAATGCCCTCAGAGTCCAAGCCGTCCGAAATGTGGCTTATGCAGCTCGCCACTTTGACCTCGAAATACTTCCCTGCAAAAATGCTCAGGAGAACAGGAAATACAATGATCCTCACCTGCGGAATGCTGAGGATGTACTTCCTCACAATAATGCTCAGAGTCTGAAGCTCACTCACCTTCTTCTTGCCACCCATTGATGCGGATATTTTTCGAAAATATTTATTAACTTGTTTGAAAGGCGATCTAAAACAGATCACCATTCCAGTCCCCGAGGATCATGCATCCTTGTTTTCCCTGGCCCTGGCCATCAGAACAGACGTCTCCACGTGCTGTGTAAGAATCTTCGACTTCTGCTCTAGCCTCCGAAGAGCCTGGTCGCACTCCACAATGCTGGCCCTCAGCAGGTCAAACTTCTCCTTCAAGCTCATTCTGGGGCTAGCAGGGGCTTACATCAACACTTCCGGATTCCTGAAGGATTGCTCCTCCCATTCCACACTAATCCAGACAATGCAGCTCTTCCAGGGAAGGCGGGCCGAACACGTAGGAGATTTCCTCAAAAGATTGGTTTAATTTCAAACTTCACAATAACCTTGTATATGTGTATTAGTACTTGCACTCGTCATCGACAGAGTCCGAGGGCTCATTGACATATATTACTCTCTGTGCCCTTGCTCCCCTCTGCGGTGGGATGTACACGTCGCTTGGATGGGTGTCCACATCGATGTGTGTGGAAATGGCGTCATCGCTTGTCTCGTCAATCCCAAAGATTATCGCTCCGTTGACACTGGGCTTGGAAGCTATGCATGTATCCACATGCTGGCAGACATAGGAAAGCTTGTCCTCGTCCCTAGGACTCGGGAACCCTTGGTTGAGAAACAGATCCTTTGCCCCTGAAATGGCCTCGGATATTCCTGACTTGATGAAGTCTATTGTCTCTTCTGTTCCCCTCCACAACACACCTATCGACCTTGCACACTCCTTGGGCTCTCCGATCACTATCTTGTCCATTATGTTTTCATTGTGGGTTGGGCAGCTCCACAGGAACAGATGGATTCCTATCTTCCTGTCCTTGTATGTATTGAGGAGGTGGTTGTGCACAGCACTTGTCCTTGTGCCCACAGGCTCCACAAGCTCGCAGGAGCTGTCGAACCTCTTCGTTGGCACGAGCTCGTTGACGTCGTAGTCCTTTGCATCAAACCCAATCTTCACCTTGAACTTCGACAGATAGTCGTTGTAGGGTCCTATCACCCTGCTTTTCAGGTAGTGCTCAACAGCCTCTCTCTCGTCCTTGCAGTCGGAGAATGCAGAGAAGATTGCATCTATTGTTCCCCGATCAAAGTGTGCGTACATGCTGACCAGATAGATCTTGTCGTCCTTTGTGCAGGCCGGATCTGCCTCGAAGCCCCCGAAGTTGTATTCAGACGCCAAGGCAAGGCCTTCCCGGACCAGGCCAATGACAAGCAGAAGAGGAGTTGATGTCATGAGAAACATGGTTTTGGTGCTTCTCCCTCGGGAAATATATAAATATTTTGCTTGAAACAGATGTTTTGGCTCCAAGGGCTTTGTTTTGCCACCTCTTTCAAACCTGATTCACTTCCTCAGTCTGAGGTATCAATCCCATCCCTATCTGCCACAACTTTCTTAACGGTGTTCAGGATGTTGAACAGCACAAGGCTATTCCTGCTTTCCATCCTGCCGACAAACCGAGAGAGAATCAGCTCCATGCCAGACATAGGGGAGAGCAGAAGACTTCCGGGAATCTCTTTCCTATTGATGTAGTGGTAGTACCCCACCTCCTTCCGCTTGATCCTGCCAAGCGCATTCCTGACCCTGAGTCCGCTGATCTTTGAGATGCACGACTCAATCGTTTCCTCCACTCCCGATCCTCTACACACAGATCTAAGGGCAACTACAGACTCCGTTTCTGCATCCGCCTGAAACACAACCATGTCAAATCCCGAAGACCGTGCAGCTTCGACGACCTGCCTGGGAAGTGGGTTTATCCTGCCGGCGCAGTGGCTGTCGTCGAGGCTCCAGAGTCCCGATCCAGCATCCACCTGATTGGAAAAGCCGATGCCTTCAAGAAAGGCCCTGTGCTGCAGAAAGCACCTAGACATCACAGTGAACCCGTGTATGCTTCTGTTCTTCAGCCTACTGATTGCATGTGCCATTACAAGTGACGAGGACGTTCCATCCAGATAGAGCAGCACTCTGCTTCCAAAGCGGAGCTTCCTGAAGCACCTGAAGACCTTGCGGAGGAATTGGCTTTCGAAGCATGCATTGCAGTAGTCCAGATTGCTTATTCTGATGTTTGGAGTGTCTGTGCAGGCTGCACATCCATGCTCCATGGGATAAAATTTTCGATTCGAGGCTGGCATTTAATGGGCACGGAGCATACAGCAGCAAATGTTGAGAAGATAAAAAGCGTGATGGATGCGATAATGGGCGACCTTGAGGGATATCTTGAGATGTACAGAAGCCATGCAAGATTCCTCAGGGGAAGGATCAGCAGAGACAAGCAGGAGGGGGAGGTTCTTCTGCAGACGGTGACATCCACGCTGAACGAGATGAAGGAAAGGAACGAAAGGCTGGTTGATGAGAGAAATGGGCTCAGGTCTCGGATTGAGCAGGATACAAAGGACCTTCGGGCCTCCGAGGATGAGAGGCACGAGCTTATGAACCAGATCAAGGAGCTTGAGATGGGCAACCTCGACCTGAAGGAGGTTCTTAAAGAGAAGAGGGGGATTGAGGGGGCTTTTGCAAAGAAGATAGAGCTGGTCTTCGAGAGAAACAAGCAGAGAGAGGCTCAGATGGAAGCGAAGGCGGGGTGGTTCAGGAGGTATCTTGGGATAGAGATCATTCCGATGAGGGAAAATGTGATTAAGGTTGTTTTCAGCCGGATATGCCCTGAGGACAGTGTGGAGTGCTTTGTAACCCTTGATCTGTCAGCAGACGGGCCTGTCGTCGACCTGTTTCCCCGGATGTATGGCCTTGAAAGGGCCAACAGTCTGTTTAGGGAGCATAACAACTTTCACGACTTCCTTCGGGTGATTAGGAGTGGGTTTCGGAGAGAGTATTCTGGGATGTGACCTGCTCTCTGGACGATTAAAATGATTTGCTTTAGGAATCTGTGGGGCTTGAAGAACAAGGCATGCAGACGAACCCCAATGAAAAGCTACAAGCTTGTCTACAAGCCCGAGCACGGGGAAAAGAGGTTTCTGTTTACAAATGTCGACATGAAGGACCTATCCTCGCCTGTTGTGATTTCCCGGGAGAAGCCTGTGCAGGAAGAGGTTGTATTCAACACAAAGAAGAAGAGCGAGCAGGTTGAGTATGAGGATGAGGAGTACAAGAAGCTGAAGGAGAAGGAGGGGTGTCTTCTGGTGCTTGAAGACGCAGAGAACAGGGCATACTCTGGTAAGATGCAGGATCTGGGTGCGAGTAGCTCATGCTACTTTGTGTTTATCAATACAGGGACGTGTCTGAAGGTTGTTCCTGTCCGGAAGTGGTACAGGTTCAGCCAGAGATCCCAGCTGGACATTATCCAGGGGTATGATGGAGAGGGTGCTGGAGACGAAAATGGCGGGGGAGATGCAGAGGGGACATCGTCCGAGGAAAGGGAGGAGATTGACTTTGACGACGACTTTGACGACGACGACGGGGAGGAGACAAACGTCTTTGTTGTGCGCGAGAAGAGGCTCAACAGTGCAGGGCGGCGGATGAGGAACATCATGGAGAGCTATGAAGAGAAGGAAGAAAGCGAGAGCTCTGAAGAGGCAGGAGAGAGGGACACAAAGGATGCCGAAAAGGCAAGCAGGGTTCTCACGAAGGATGCTCTCAGGAACATGTTCAGGGGCGGCCGGATTGCACTGCGAGATCTTCTCCGAGGAATAAAGGCGCGGTTTGGCCTCAATGAGGAGGAGAAGGAGCTTGTGAAAGAGTTTATTGGGGAGAACTGCACGTTCGAGACCGACGGGGGGAGCAAGGAAAGGTATCTTGTTCTGAAGAAATAGAGTGGGCCTGATATTTGTGGATTTTGCGCTGGGCCCTGATGAGGCTGGTACTAGAGCACAGGCTGATGAAGCATTTGAGGGAAGTGGGATATGAAGCTGTTGAAAGAAGGGCCCTGGAGGTTTATGCAGCATCTCTAGAGGCCTATATGCTTGCGTATCTGAAGACGATTGGATCTGTCTCGAGACATGGACTGAAGTCGCACTCCACCCTGCTGGACGTGTTGTGCTTCATAGAGGGGAAGAAGTTTGAGTTTTCCCCTGTTGAGAGGATTGAATATCCAGAAGAGGTTGCCGAGGAGGAAGAGAAGTTTGTCAGTCCCCTGTCGTCGAGCATTGAGAAGTACATCCACATATATGACTTCATGCCCAGCTTTCCGCCGACACATGCATTCCGGCAGACGATTGTTAAGGCTAGCAGCAAAAGTAGCAAGTCTGTGAATGTGAAGAACAGGCTGGAGCAGAGCCTGAGGACTGAGGGAAATCTGCTGAAGCTGATCAAGGCATCTGGGTCACTTCCACCGTTTGTTAACTTCCTATACAGGAATGGATGTTCTTAGTGGATTAAAGATGAGTTGTTGTTTTATGTCTATTGTCTAGGGATGCCTGGGCCGGTAGGTTTTGAAGACCTAAGATGGGAGTCGATGTGTGCAGCGTGTAAGCATTGGTAGTATAGTGGTTATTATGTGAGCTTCCCAAGCTCATGGCCCGGGTTCGATTCCCGGTCAATGCATTTTGGCCCTGGATGCATTTGGCGGGAACATTTCCCTCCAAGGCATGATATATTGGGCTTGGCAAGGAGAGCTCAATGATAAGGAAGTTGCCTGAGGATGTCGGGAAGAGGATCAGGGCACAGCGGTCTGTCCAGAGCATCTATATTGTGGTGAAGGAGCTGATCGAAAACGCCATTGATTCAGGATGTACGTGGATAAGGATACTGGTGGATGACGCCATAACTGTCGAGGACAATGGATGTGGAATTAGCGATCTTGACAAGGTTGGGGTTGAAGGAGCAACCTCAAAGGAGTCCATGGCATACTATGTTCTGGGCTATGCTGACAGGGTGGAGAAGTTTTCCTATGGATTCAGAGGACAGGCCCTCAGCTGTCTTGCGGAGGTGTGCGACCTGGAGATCATTTCTAGATCGGAGCATTCGTTTGCGCTCAGGAAAGACTTTTCGACCAATGCCATTTCGAAGTGTGCCAGGGAGAGAGGCACGACAGTCCATGTTCGGAACCTGTTTAAGAACTGCCCGCTAAGGAGGCCCATGGCAGATAGCGGCCTGAAGAGGGACCTAGGGAAGATCTGCAGTCTGATTGAGTCATATCGATGTGCTAACAAGATAAACTTCACTCTGTTTCACAAGAGAAAGGTTCTTCTGAGCTGTGGGGGGTATGAAACGGTAAGAGAGTACTTCGAGTCCAACTACCCCTCCTTTGCCGGGAAGTGCATGGAGGTGTGCAATGGGCAGATGGATCTCTTCATGCTTCCTGTGTGTGTCAAGGAGCCAAAGCAGCTGATGTTCTCGGAAAGAAGGCCCATTTCTAACAGAAGGATACTGAATGCAGTAAAGAGCGAGTTCGGTCTGTATGTTGAGGGAAGCCCGACGTTTGTGCTGGTGATCAAGGGATATGGGGACGTAAACGTATCTGCAGACAAGAGTGAGGTGATATTTGCAGACGAGGCAGGGATCCTGAACCTCCTCAGGTCGGAGATAGGAAGGTTCTTCTCTTCAGAGATGTATCTGAACCCTGCGAGCGCCGTTAGAAGACAGAAAAGCAATGTGCAGGAGAGGAGCGATGCTGGCGAAGACAGCCGAGAAGACCTAATGGCCAGAGGATCCTCCAGAATCAGCGAAGACTTTCCTTTTCTGAAGCCTGCTAAGACAACCATCCCTCATAGAGAAAAGGCGCAGCAACGGAGTGCTGGGCCGCCTGAGGGCATGGAGAGCAGCAAAGAGTTGCTGCCAGAAGAGACTGTGGGGATAGAAAACACCAAGGTAGAGACCGTCTCCTCCAGTCCTTTGAAAGAGCATGAGTCTCCTCCAGAGACAGAGAAGAAGAACGAAGAGGTTGGAAGCAAAGAGAACTTTGCAGCAGGGGCATATTCGTTCTTCAGGAACGATGAGCTCGTCCAGTCAAAGATTTCGTTCTCAAAGGGGGACTTTGGCAGACTAGAGATCATAGGGCAGTTCAACAATGGATTCATCATCACAAAGCTGGAGAAGAACAAGAAGACATATCTTGTGGCGGTGGATCAGCATGCAGCCGACGAGATCAGGAACTTTGAGGACATCAAGAAAACATTCTGTCTGAAGAAACAAAGCGTGATATCTCCCGTGAAGCTGGATCTCACACCGATTGAGGAAATGGTTGTTAGCGACAACGTAGAACTGTTTGAAAGAAATGGATTTGTTGTAAAGGACGGGATGCTCGAGACCGTTCCTGTGTATAAGAACCAGACGTTTGGGATCAGGGAGTTTCGAGAGCTCCTTGAGGATGTGAAGAATGAAGAGTACGAGTTCAGAAAGGCCCGGAGTATAATCGCATCCAAGGCATGCAGAACAAGTGTAATGATAGGCGATGTGCTTTCCATGGCAGACATGAAAAGAATAGTAAAGAGCCTTGCATCCCTAGAGAGGCCCTGGAAATGTCCACACGGCAGACCCACGTTCATGGTGCTGAACGAGGCAGAGGCATAGTCGAATCATAGATATGGATGTTTATTTAACCGTTGAAGCTTTCGGTTCCGCGAGCCTCGTCAAGGAACAGCTCGAAGGCCCTCTCGACGTCCCCGAGAGCTACTCTTCCATTCCTTCTGCTTGCCCTCATGCTTGATATTGTTAGCAGGTTCATAGAATACCTCAGCCCGGATGCCTCAGAGATAGAAACAAGCCTGTCCACGGCGTCGTCGTCAATAAGAATGTCCTCTTCGAGAATCCTGTGCCTAAGTATGGCCTCGAGATCTCTCCTACAGTGCTTCTCCATGGAAATGATCAGGGCACGATCAATAAAGTCTCTTGGTATTCCATACGGGCTTGGCTCGTCAGTCCCTCTTACAATGCATTCCCCCTTGTTGGTCGAAACAAGGATTACCGGGCAGAAATCCTCTTCCACCGCCTTGTTCAGAAACGCAAAGCTTTCAATGTCCAGCATGTGAACCTCGTCGATAAACAGGACACCCCGAACTATCTCTGCCTTTCCCTCGTTGATCCAGCCCCATACCTTCTTGTTCACCTCGTCTCTCGTCTCTGCCCTGATTTCCCCAGTCTCTCCGCTGAAAAGTGCAAGGTACCCCTCGGCCTTGCTGTTAACAACATCGATGTCGTGCAAAGATATCTCCTGGGTCTCCTCTGTGATCCTTATCAGCTCCCCCTCGGGGCAGGGAACAAATCGCGTGTCGGTTCCCACCACATCGCTCCTCTTCACCATGCTTGTTCCAATCTTGTACACCCTTCCCCTTTCCCTGACAATCCTGATGACATCCCCTGCACTCACCTTCTCCTTGTCAAGCTCGCCTCGCATCTTTTCTCCTATCTCAAACGAAGACTCCATGTCGACAGTCTTGAGGACAATCCTCCTTCCGCTCAGGCTTACAACCTCCCCCTCAATAACCTTCACAGACTCCTTGATCCTTAGCCCAACAGATTTCCGGAGAGCCTGGGTGATTGCTTCAGACTTACTCATCTCCAGGCTGTATATCTCTGTTCCACTGATCGAGTTGAAGTGAACCCCTCCAAGGCTTTTCGATAGCCCTATCGCCAGTGCAGTTTTGCCACTTCCGCGGTCTCCCTTGATCAAAACAACCTTCCCTCCTTTGTTACTCTCCACCATCTTCCTTATCACCGCCATCGCCTTCCTTGCCTTTATCTGCCCAACCAGTCCGTCCTTGTCGTACTCAACCTCGTCTCCATCGCATCCAAGCCCAGCTATATGCGAGTGGAGATTGATTCTATTCACAGTCTCGACATCCCGGATCTCCATCAGGGCAGGTCCCGGAAAATTTTCTTCTACAACACGTCCTTACCAGGAAGTAATTTATTTCATCCCAACATCTTCAGAAACACACCCTCTATCTCCCTCTTCAACTTGTTCAGTTTAGGCTCCATCTCCTTGTCGGCCATCACAAACTTCATCTTCATTAGCCCATAGAACACATCCTCGGTCTCCTTCCTGATCGTAGACCAGCTGAGCTTGTAGTTCGTTATGGCATTCTTGGAGTTGTCAAAGTACAGGATGATGTTCCGCAGCATCAGCCTTGTCTTTGTGAACGGGCAGTAGTTGTCGTATCTCGAATATCCGTTCTGCTGCAGAAAGTCCTCCTTGATTAGCTTGGATATGTCCAGAATGAGCTTCTCGGTCTCGGAAAGGGCATTCTTTCCCACCAGCTGCACAATCTCCGAAAGATCGTCGTCCAGCTGCAGAATCTCTCGACACTTTGTCCTGTTTACAATAAACCCGGGGTCAACCTCCTCGTAGTATGGCTCGAGGTTCGAGAAGTACTTCGAGTAGCTCAGGTTCCAGTTTATCGACGGAAAGTGCTTTCTCTGGGCAAGCTTCTTGTCAAGCCCCCAGAACACCTGGACAATCCCAAGCGTTGCCGATGTCACAGGATCAGAAAAGTCCCCTCCTGGCGGCGAGACTGCCCCGACTATGGTTACAGACCCTGTTCTCCGAGGAGACCCTAAGCACACAACAGACCCTGCCCTCTCGTAGAAAAATGCAAGCTTTGCGCCCAGATATGCAGGATATCCGCTATCGGCAGGCATCTCGGCCAGCCTTCCGCTTATTTCCCTCAGCGCCTCTGCCCACCTCGATGTCGAGTCGGCCATCATGGACACGTTCATTCCCTGGTCGCGGAGATACTCCGAAATCGTTATTCCCGTGTAGATCGACGCCTCTCTTGCGGCAACAGGCATGTTCGATGTGTTTGCAACAAGCACAGTCCTCTTCATGATGCTGTCGTCTTTTCCCCCAACAGTCAGCTTTGGAAACTCCATCAAAACCTCGCTCATCTCGTTTCCCCGCTCTCCACACCCGACATACACAATTGCGTCAGAGTTTGAGTACTTCGACAGCGACTGGGAAATGACGGTCTTTCCGCACCCAAATGCCCCCGGAATGGCCGTGGTTCCTCCCTGGACACACGGAAATAGGGAGTCCAGGATTCTTTGCCCGGTGAACAGCGGGTGCGTGGCATTCTTCTTCTCTTCAATCGGCCTTGGAATCCGAACAGGCCACGTATGGTACATAAACATCTCCTCCTTTCCCTTGCCTGTCTCAAGCTCCATCACAACATCCTTGAGAGTGTAATTTCCCCGGCATGCTATAAAAGCAACCTTCCCGCTTTTCTTTGGAGGAACAAGGATCTTTGTTTCAATGAGACTGTTTTCGTAAACCTTTCCAAACACATCTCCTCCAACAACATAGTCCCCGGCAGAAACCGCAGGCACAAACTCATACTCCCTCTCCCTGTCGAGCGCCGGAATGTTCACCCCCTTTGGAATGAAGATCCCCCCACTGCTCTCTCGAATCTCCCGCAGTGGCCTCTGGATCCCGTCGTAGATGCTTTCAAAAAGTCCAGGCCCAAGCTCTGCACACAGCGGAAGCCCGGTCCTCACAATCGTGTCTCCAACACACAGCCCGCTGGTATCCTCGTACACTTGGATGGTGGCCTGGTCCTTGTCGATCTTAATGATCTCTCCTGCCAATCCTTCACTTCCAACCTTGACCAGCTCATACATGGCACACCCAATCATATTGCATCCAACAACCACAGGCCCACTTACAGAGTAGACCCTTCCTTCCACCCTCTTCTCGGGCTCCCCTATGCTCAGCTCTGCAAATGTTTGCTGCACAACATTCATCGTCACCCTCGTGCAACCTAACTTTTTATTTCTCCAATTCTTCTGCTCTCGCCTCCTAGGCCTGCGAAAGCTCCGCCCTTCCAAGGCCCTAAATGTCTCCAGTACACCTCCCCACAATATCAACAAGCTCCCCCGGGCATTCCTCCGCATCCGCCACAAATCCGCTGCAGAGCCCCTGAGATGCAGTGCATCTCTTCCTAGGGTCAAAGGATAGCAGGTTCCTTACGAAGGAGGCTGCCTCCTCACCATAACACTCGAAATCCCCCTCGAAGCTTGCCTCAAAGGTGCTGGGCCTCCTGATGTTTTTGAAGTGGGGAAGGTCTAGCCCCTCGAAGTCAGCGTCTGTCGGATATCCCAGCAGCCTGAAGATTCTGTCCAGCTGGTCCATCTCTCCCTCTCCGGCGAGGATCGGCTCCCCCCTCAGCATCTCCCCGACAACGCATCCGACAGACCACATGTCAATCGATTCGTCGTACGTCTCAGACCCGAGCAATATCTCGATGGGCCTGTACCACAAGGTAACAACAAGATTGGTCATCTGACTCTCAATCGCCCGCGCCAGCCCAAAGTCTGCTATCCTCAGGCCCCCGTCCCTCATGAGAAGAATGTTCGACGGCTTTAGGTCTCTGTGCACTATTCCAGCACCATGCAAAAACTTGAGTCCCTTGAGCATCTGACATGTGAGGAACCTAGCTGCCTTCATGCCGATCTTCCCGACACTGTGAATCACCGATCTTAGGTCGGTGTCACAGCACTCCATCACAATGAAGAAATCGTTGATCTCGCATCCTTCAACCACCTCCTCGATCTCCATTATGTTTCTATGCCTTATGTGCTTCAGAATCATCACCTCTCTTATGTACAGGATCGAAAACCCATTGGTGTCGTAGCACATTGATGGATTCATCCGTTTAAGAGCAAACACCCTGTTGTCTGTCTTGCGCCTCACCCTATACACGTTGCCAAAGCTCCCTGAAGAGATCCTACAGACCTTCTCGTAGTTTTCTATGCTGTTGCACCTGCCTCCACTCCTCATCAGCATCCCTTGGGATCGGCCTCTTTGGCTTATCAGCATCGACAGAACAGGAAAATGGCCTTAATAGTTTAATGTTACTCTCCTAGCCTCACAGCTTGATGAGAGAGATCCTAGGCCTCTGGGCTTTGTTTCCCAGCCCCACCACAGCACCTCCTTCCTCACCAGTACTACTTGAGGTATCATCGTAGCTCACTTCGCTTTCCGATGGATATAGAGCAGAATTCCCCCCTATGCCTCCGTCTGCAGGGCGAGAACTGTTGTGGCCGGTGAGCTCACCAGCCCCGCTCACTCCCCGGAATCTTTTGCCTGAAAAGGACTTTGTCTCTAGCCCACCAGTCTTCTGCGGGCTACTGTTCAGCGGAGAAGTCGTCTCCTTGCCTACTGCTTCATTGGGCCTCTTATCAAGTGCTAGGGCCAGTGGTTCCTTGCTTCCCTGAGTATCTCTCCTGGCATATGTGCTTTTCTTCTCACTACTGCCATGAGGCTTCTGGGAGGCAGATGCTCCGGTACTTCCAAGCACAGGCTGTGTGTCCTCGTTCTTCAACTCTTTATCTTCCCTTAAGGACTTACCTTTATCCAACGCTTCCTTGTTACCTTCCTCCACCGATGTGGAAGGCTTGATGGCAGAAAAGCTCTCGTTAAGGAACTCTCCTATGAGCTTCTCCAGACTTTCTCCGTTTGAAACAACGCCTCCAATCGTGTTGTCAAAGCTGCTGTTCCCCGAAAACCCAGGCGTCCCCAGTCCAACCCCTTTAGAAAGAGAGCTTTCCACCTCTGTCTTCTTTTCAGGGCCGGTGGACGGGCTGGATCTGTCTGTGGTGGGAATATTGTGACCTTCGGAAGTAGACGTCTTGTGATGCAGATCGCTAGAATGCTTTGGATAGAAGATATCAGCACTGTCACTGAGAGGCTGGCTCTTTCCAGGTGGCTCTGGAGGGCTGAGAGCTTCTGTGGTCTGGACTCTCTCCCCCAGGCGATATGGCTGAGTAAACAGAGTTCTAGGGCCTAGTGGAGACCTCTCGGCATAACGATATGAGTATTCGGGCTCATGGTATATGCCCTTATCTCCAGAAATCCCCTCTCTCACCACTGCAGAGTCGGTCTTCGTCGAAGACTTAAGCTCCCTGACAATCTCAATGGCCCTGTCCAGCTTCTTGTTCATCAGATCCATCTTTTCCCTCAAGGCATCCATCTTTTCCCCCAAGGCATTCATCTTATCCACACTCTTCTTTTCGATGTACTTCCCAACCATAGATGTCCTTGTCCCGAACAAAGACATCCTTCCCCTCTCAACCAGGCCTGCAGACTTAACCGAGTTTCTCTTTGGCATCATGAAGTCTGCCACAAACAGAACCATGATTATTCCTGTCGTCATGCTGCCGAGCAGAAGAATTGTTCTCTGGTTCTTCATCAGATGCTGTAAACAACGCACCTTGTTTTATACCCGGCTTGAGACGCTGTTTCAGATCTCCCGTTTCATCCCACCTCGAAAGAGCACGAGGTGCACTCCCCATGAAGGTGTGTGTAATCGGAGGAGGTCCTGCAGGACTGTACACAGCAGCCTCCCTACTGGCAAGAAACATCGACGTCACACTCCACGAGAAGGAGGCTGAGGTGGGCGGGATGTACAGGTACTCTCTGCTCCCTGCGTCCAAGATGTCGCCATTTGCTAAGCTGCTGGAGCACAAAAACTTTTCTCTAAAGCTGAATTCCAAGGTCGATCTCGGGAAGTTGAAGACAATGGAGAAAGAGTTCGATGCGTTTGTAATTGCCACCGGATCTGACGGACCAAGAAGGCTGGACATCCCGGGAGGAGAGCACTGTGTCAGCAGCCTTGACATAGCAAAGTCGTGGACTGGAGAAGAGCTGAGATATACAGTGGGAAGAAAGGTCCTGGTTGTTGGGATGGGAGATGTGTCGATGGACATTGCAAGATTTCTTTTTGGATGGCAAGGTCCTCAGTTTCGATTTCCAAAGAGCATTCTGGAGAAGGTAAAGGACGTTGAGGACGTAACCATTACATCCAGAAGAGGAGTCTCTGGAAGCGCATTCACAAACTCCGGACTGAGAAGCGTACTCGAAATCCCAGATCTTGGCTTCCATTGGTCGGAAGGAGGGAACACGCCTCAGAACCACAGGCCCAGACCAGAGAACTTTGAGGAGACGTCCAACTGGGCCCGGGAGCACAGAGACAGCGAGGAAAATGGCAGAATCAAGAAGTGGTGGGAGAGGAGAATGGGACTTCTTGGGGCTGTCAGAAAGGGGGCTAGAAGGCTTAGACTGATGTTCAACACCAACATCAAGTCGATAGAGAAAGTTGGCGCCCAATATAAAGTGAAAATGGAGCAAGATGGAGTGCAGATCGAGGAGTGTTTCGACTCTGTAATATCGAGCATAGGGTTCAATAGGACAAAGGAGAAGGCTCCTGGAATTGCGAAGGCAGTGTACCATGTCGGGTGGGCCAGGCACCCGAGGGGCAATGTAGAGAGGGCCAAGGAGGATGCACAGGATGTCGTAAACAAGATAGTTCAAACAGAGAAAATCCAATGACCTGGTAGGGCTTCCATGAAAAGAGAAGTTCCTGTGTCCACTATGTCGTATCTGGTCTGTGGAATGATCGAGTATCTGATGGAGCAGAGAAGCGACATAGAGGCAGATCTCAAGTCAATAGGATACGAAGTCGGAATAAAGCTTCTCGAGCTGTGTAACTTCGAAAGGGAGGTACGCATTTCAACACTGCTCTATAGAGCTACATTCGACCTTCTGTCCTTGGTCAGCGACAGCGACAGGCGGGTTGAAAAGGCCAGGGACGTCGACAGGACCTACCTCCTCACAGACTCCGACGGACTCTTTTCAAGGTTCATATCCGTTCCAGACGAGTGGAATGGGTTGTCTGCAGACTCGATCGTCTGTGGAATGATACAAGCTGCTCTGATGGCTTCTGGATACGACTCCGAGGTCACGGCATTTCCAGAGCCCTCAGAGAACCTCCCGAACAGGGTCATCTTCCAGATAAGGATATTGGACCTGTGACCCATCCCTATACTAGGCTCCAAAATAAATCCACCTATATCTTAGACTTTATTTACATTCTTGCTTGAACCGATTCTGGAAGCCACAAATTTCTCCATCTGGTTCACTAGATCCTCAGAAGACGCATAGGTGCTACAAAAGCCATCGTCTCTCTCATCGTTCGAGGAGTCTCCAGACGCTTCAGATACATCCAGAGCTTTGCCATCATATCGCCTTGCCCTCCTTCGTCTTTTGAACTCCTCTTTCGCCAAAAAGTCGTAGTCAAGCGTCCACTTCCCTCCCTTTCCCCGCGTCCCAGGATCCCGCGGAACCTTCTTGAAACACTTGTTCAAAGACAGGTTGTGCCGTATGGAGTTCTTCCAGACAGGATTCGCATGCCTGTAGTACTCAAATGAATCCTCAATCCACCTGTAGATCTCGCTGAGCGTAAGCTTGCCTGCAGAACTTGTCCTTATGGCCTGTGTTATTATCTGAGCATATGAAAAAGTGGGCTTTGCTCTTAAGCCATCACTACTGTCTCTCCCCATCTCGGGGACCCTCATGCTATCGCTCCTCTCTCCTGCCTCTTCACAGTCACCACAAAGACGCCGGGGGTCAATGCATATATCAGGACTTGTAGGCCTCACCCTGTCTACACATCTCATGTAGAATCTGTGGATTGCCTCATCACCACTGAGGCTGGCGTCCAAGAGCTCGTACGGAAAACCCTCCGCCAGCACCTCATCTCCTGTAGATCTCCAGAGACCTCGGACATCATCCCCTTCATCAAGCCCAATGTCTAAAAGTTCCAGGGAGGCCATGCTGCAAATCATACCTCGGGACAGCCAGCGAATATATAAGGTATTTTTGCACTTATTAAAATTGGCATATAATAGTACATATTTGGATAGAATCTATCTTTTTGATAAATTTTTAGGATTTTCATTAATATCAATCGAGTTGATTAAGTTGAGACCCATTTAATAAAGGAGACCTCATTAACCCGAGTTCAGGACCCCAATAACTCCGGATCCTCCGAGGGCACGTCTGGAAGTCCCATACCCATATCTTCCAATTTTCCTGGTGGTTTTTGCGAGGGTTTTATAGGATCGAATATCCTATCAAAAGCAACACAAGCAAATATGACCACGAGAACCACGATAAAGGCTAGCAGAAGCTGATGGGATTTCTTCCTCGACTCGGACTCACCATCCTCCAATGTATCATCATCAGACAGACGGAAGCGCACAGAGGGGACGAACCTCTTATGCAAAAATGAAATGCCAACAAAACTAAGCAGTAGTAGAGAACCTAGTGGCCCGATGATCAAAAAAAGAGCTTGTATGAACTTTTTTCTGCATCCAAGATAGATGAATGGAAAAAAGCAAAAGGATGGAACATCAAGAACAAGATCCTTAGGAATGACCTAACTACCTTGGGAACAAGGCATATAAAACGAATTACCCAGGATCCCACCTTAGAGAATATACTGGTACTACCCGTACTACCCGTACTATCAAAAAAGTTACTAATAAACGCATCAATTTCCTCCTGAGGAATGGATCCTTCAGGAATAACACTGATCCATAAAGTAAGGGCTCCAAGTAAAGCCCCGGCTCCAAGTAAAGCCCCAGATAGTTGAAACATAAGCACCATGGTTGTATTAAAAACTTTTCCAAGAGTTGATAGAGGACTGGCCATAGACCTGAATAACATGGAGGATACAGTACCTCCCAAAGTGTACATAAGTACTTGTCCAAGGAACGCATGGTCCATACTAATTAACCCAAAAGCATATATAATTCCAAAGAAAATGCAGTACTTCAAAATAGATACGAGAGTATCAGAGATCAATGAAGAGAACCACACCTCTGCAGCACCATATAGCTTTCTATTGGATTCCTCAGTGACATAGTGTTTATCGTTCATCAGTCCAGATGGATTCATTACATAATACAGAGAAAGAGACAGCATAGATGCCTTAATAGTAGCGATAGAAAAGTCCTTGTATATATACTTACCGGTAACAAGGAAAAGAGCCATGGCGATGGGCATAGCAAGACTGTACAAGATTTCCCGATTCCTCCAGTCTATAATTATCTGCCTTATGGCCATCTGGAAGGACACATAGAGATTGGGGATAAAATTAATCTCTGTGTCGTCAGAGGTTCTGAGCTTCTTTTCTTCCTTCTTTTCCTCATTCATTTCCTTGGCTATCTGCTCAAGTTGCTTCTCGTATTTCTTCGACATCTTGGACCCTTTCGTGAAAAGGCTGAAGAGAAACTCCATGTTAGTCTCTGGCCCACCGTCGTTGTGGATTCCCTTGGTGCCCAAGAACTTGATAAAATCACGTGAAGGCCCTAGATATAGCTTTTCCCCGTTGTTCATGAACAGGAGGTTATCAAAGGTATTGTAAAGCTCTGCCCCTGGCTGGTGAACAGTTACGAGCACGATGGAATTACTCCTCCTGGCATAATCGCGGAGGAACTCTCCCAACTTCAGTGCCAGCCCGGCGTCAAGCTCACTGGTTGGCTCATCAAGAAGCACTACCTTTAGCTCTCCCTCCAGCAAAAGCATCTTGGTAAAGGTCCTTGCAAGATTTGCCCTTTTCTGCTCTCCCCCAGAGATATTCTTCATCTTGTTGTGCCTAATATGGCCTATGTTAAGGAGATTCTCCAATACCTCATCCATCTTTTCCCTGACACGCTCTTTGCTTTCCTCTGGAAGAGAGGATACTACATAGTAGTAGACAAACTCTTCAACAGTCAGTTCGTCAATGATGTAGCCCAGCTGGTCTCCATATGCAAATTCATAAGGAAACTCATCAGGATTTCTTTCTTGCCCGTCTACCAGGATTCTTCCTCCTGTTCTGGATCCGCTCGGGACTAGTCCTGCAATGGTCTCCAACGTTGTTGTCTTTCCGCTTCCACTGGTCCCCATGAATGCATACACATTCCCAGACTTAAAGTCTGCAGTCAGACCATTAATTAGCCTAGCATATTTCTCGTTGGAGGACAAGTTCTGGTTCGGAACATCAAGAGTTACTCCTTCTAATTGAAGTGTGTGCTGTTTCATTTTCGGGGTGCACTGGAATACTAATTTATAGTGTAATTTCCCGATATTCCTAACGTGGAAATTACATCAGACGATATGCTATTCATGCCCCAATGCCATGAGCTCTGCTTTCCATTCCGGGAAAGTTTGTGCAAGCAACGCATACCTACAGACTGGCAGATTAAAATTACGGGATGAGAGGACCCCATGAATATGCTTCCATCGAAGTTCCATGTTACTCTGAAAGTTCTTGAAAGCTCGGAGGACGGGGTCTCCAAGGACACCTATGAGAAGGACTTGAAGAGCATATGCACTCTTGAGTCTCAGGAGCATGTCTCCTATTTGCTGCATCACTTGAAGGACTTTGACAGGATGGATAGGCAATTTTACATAAATGTGTTTAAGGAGGGAATTAGTCCGGTGTGGGAAGACAAGAGCAACATGAATGGATGCGACTGGAGTCTTATGCTTAAGAAGGAGGTATGCCAGAGATACTTCGAGAGGCTTCTTGTAAGCCTGTGCACCGGATACTTCAAGACCTTTGAGCCTACGGGGATGGTTGGGATACATAAGGACAACAGATTCAAGCTCAGCATATGGTCGAGAAACCTTCCGTCGACGGCCGACTGTGGTGCGGTGATCAACGAGCTGAAGGCGGCGTTGGAAATAGACTTTGTAATTACATTCCACTACAAAAACCATTCGAAGATACTGGCATACCACAAGTCTCTTGAGGCGTGAAGCATGCCACAACTGTGGAATGCCGTGTGTCTGCCACTAGCATCAATAAAGAGGGTGTTTTCAATTCTTAAGCGCGCATGACATTTTTCTATCCAGAAGAGAAGACGTGCTGGTCAAGAGTGTGGTTTATTCCTATATATCGTCCAGGTCGAAAAAACTTCCTCTTCTTTTGAAGTTGACAACAGGGCTCGAGCTTTTTTCCTCCATCTTCTTAGCAATCTCGATGTACTCGTCGTAGACTATGGGCCTTCTTGTGGCATAGAAGTGCTGCACCAGCATGTTCTGCAGGCCTTCTCCCTTCTCCTTATTTATGTGCTTCAGAGTACAGAGGGCTTCCAGCGATCTCTCGTCCAGTATCCTGCGTATCAGTTCATCTGACTGATCCATGGGTCCTAAGGTGGAAGCTATTAAGAGCAGCAAAGCTACATCCAGATCTACTCTACAGTTTATTATAACCATGACTCTCAAGAGACTTCAGGAACACACGGCAAAAATCAAAAGAGGAAATCTCATCATAACAAGCTGCAAGTGCCTTTGGCGGCCCCCCTGCCCTCATCCTGATCCAGAGCATCGTCAGAATCTCCTCAAGATGCATTTTTCTTTCTATCATAAACTTGATACTCTCAACCACCGTGGACGAGACAGCATCCATTTCGTTGAGGTTGTCTATCAGGTACACCCAGAGGTTCTTCCCTATTCCAAGGTCGGTCACCTTCACAGATGTTCTGTTCTGGAGAGCAGTTCGGAGCCTGAAGAAAGAATTCTGCCCTTCCACAGGCACAATCCTGTCTCTGAATTGGTTGATGAAGTTCTTTATGTGGGGATACTCCTGGGGACAGCAATATGTCAAGTACGAAGAGTACATCCTGGCATGCACAGGGTTCCTCCTGAAGGACTGCATAATCTGGGTGATTGGATACACAAGCCTTGTGCTATAGAACCCGCATCGAAGGGCCTCCATTACAAGAACAACCCCCTCCTCAGAGTCGAAGAACCCGGAGACAAACTTGTGGGTCAGGATCTCCAGGAAGCAGGATGTAAACCCAGGAACTCTGGATGGAGACAGAACCTCCAGTATCGAGTAGACCAGAGATCTGTTGTTGGGGGTGTCCTCAATCACATCGAGGGTCTTGATAATGAATCTTGTATAGAGCTTGAAGAAGAGGTAGTTCCTTTTTCTGTACGCCTCCAGAAACACAAAGAGACTGTCCTTGATTGACTCGTAGAGCCTGTTCTTGATGAGCCCTGGGAGAGGATCTATCTTCAAGTAGCAGTATGCAGTGGGGATCCGGTGGTGCCGTATAAAGTGGTCCCAGGACACCTTGAATGCAGATCGGATGTCTAGCGATGCAGGGTAGTCCGTTCTTTCCATAAACTCGGGAAGGAACATCTCAGGAACCGTTGTGAATCTGCAGTTCCGGACATATTCGTCGTACTCAGACACTCCTTTTGCTTCAATGTGCATCATCAAATTGCTGATCTTCTGGAAAAAGTCGAAGACCTTGGGGTTGTCGCTGTGCCCGGCAAGCATCTCCAGAGTGCAGATGAAGTCGTAGACCGTGCATATCTGGACCTCGGCCGTTATGAGCGATGCCAGAAGCGCTATCACAAAGTCGAGATTCCCGTCAGCAAGCGGGATCTTTGATAAGGCTTGGTCGTACTCCACAACATTGATCAAGTTGTGCTCTATGAACTTGCCGACAAGGCTGATGCTGAACTTTCGCGGGTCGTTCGAATAAATAAGCCAGCCCAGCACTTCCTTCTGTGTCTTAAACGATATCTTAAATATCTTTTCCATGCATCTAAACAGGAAGTCCTCCTTGCTGCCGCTTTTTATGAGATGCCCTGTGATGTATCTGCACAGCCGGATACACTCCTCGTCCTTGTCCTCGCTGCTCTCCACGCTCTCCAGTATTCTCCTGAACACCTCCTCCTTTCCCTCCTTCAGGAGTCCGTGCCATTCATCGGCTATGACATTCTTCTTCGAGTATGGTATCTTCTTGCTTAACTGCACCAGATGTGCCTTTATCTCCTGGTATTCATTACTGTCAATCGCCTTAATCGCTATCTTCTCAATGTGCCCTGGGTCTTCAAGAAGAGACAGCCTGGCATGGCTCGCCTTCCCGATGCTGTACTCCAGGCTGCTATAGCACGAGCTGATCGACTCGCTGACCTTCGAAACCCCGGCCCTCTGGATAAGTCTGCAGCAGACATCTTGGTTTTCCATGGCTATCTTGAACACCTTTTCCGTGGAAAAGTCCAGAGAGCAGAGCTTCATGAAATACGAGACATTTCCAGAGATGCATGCCTTGATCGGTTCCTGTGCAGAGACTAGGCATAGAAACTTTGTGAGATTCACAACCATGTTCCTGAAAAGCACATACTCCATTCCCTTCTCAACACTCATCGTTTTAAAGAGCGCCATTCCAGTCTGAATCGCAACAGAGCAGGCTTTTTCCACAATCGCCCCGCATATCTCCCTGACACTCAGGTCCAAAGCAAGCGATATCACGTGTCTGACCACAAGATCGCTGTCCTCAATAATGTACTCCGCAAGATACTTCCTGGACTTGAGCCCGAGACTCTTGAGTGGCTTTGGGACAAGCTCAACCGAGAGATGCCTGAATAGACCCTGAATCTCGTCCCTTACCACCCTCGGAGTGCAGCTATGTATCTCAGACAGTAGATCCAGGATGCTCATCACCCACGGATTGTTTGGAATAAATACAATCCCACATTTCCCCTGCCTCAGGAAGCTTGATATAAAGCTCACTCCAAATAGAATCCTCCGGCACTCAACAGACTTCACAACAAACTTCTTGAAGTCAAACTGCTCGGAAGTCACAATCCTGTTTTTGGCAAGCATCACTCTCCCAAGAACAAGCCCCAGACTTTTGGCAACCTTTACCTCACTCCTGCATCTGTAGTCCAGCAACATTTTGAGAAACTCAAGAGACTTCCGAGAAAACCTCAGGTAGAAGTCCTTTCCCAGCCTCTCCACGACCTCCACAAATCTTCTGCAATCCTCAAAGGCAGTGCTCCGGATGATGTGCATTATTATTTCCTCCCCGCCTACAAGGCCTTGCTCCAGGGCTTCCGAGAGCCTGTGAATGTCGTCTCCGCGTCTTAGGTCCAGGGACTTAATCACTTCTGTAGCCCTCGACTCGTTCCTGGCATCACACTTGAATATCAGTCTTACTATGTCTTCCAGCTCCAGCATAGGATGAGTTTCGGAATCCATAAGAACTAGCTCCTTCTTGATGAGGATGTTGTTGACTGTCTCTATTTCCTCAACCTCAGACAGGATCGATGGATATGACGGAAGAAACACCTCGAGGCACCTGAATCCAAACGAGTATTCCCGCTCGTTCTCAGGATGTTTCAGAGACCCTTTTATGTACTCAATCGCCATCCTTAAGTATGGCTTGGGGAACACCCTCTCCTTGATCAGCCCGCCGTACAGCAATGCAATCAGGTCGGAATTTGGAAGCTTGTACAGCGACCCATAGTTCTCGAGAAGTGCTGAAAATATCCGGGATGCCAGTTCCTTGCTTAATGCATTTCCTCGGAGAAATTCCTTGATCTGGTTGATGCTGCTTTCAATCCCACGCTGCGAGTTGATGATCTGCGAAATGAAGCTGCTTGCTTCTTCCTCGATCCTTATCTCCTTACTCCTCTGGGCCCGGAGTCCGTGGGGGATCCGGGACTTAAACTCGTTGTACACCACAACAGTCTCAGGCTTCAGTATCCTAATGTATTGCTCCACAGCCTTCGTAAAGGTTCCCATAATCTCGATGTTCAGCGGAAACATCTTTTCAGGCTCCTTGTGCTTTGACACCTTCGAATCCAAGTACTGCACCAGAGACCTAACAAAATCATCCTTTCGGGTCGTCAGGTTGTTCGACAGCCAGATCCCGAGATTCAGGTGGTCTCTGATCGAGCTTAGCACAATAATGTCAAAGCAAAGCTCAGGCGGGTCCAGCAGCTCGGAAACAAGAGGAAGCATCTTGTGCTCCAGAAATATGTCGAGGAGGCGGGACACCGGTATTCCTTCCTTGGCAAGAACTAGAGACTTCTGAAGCATCATCTCGGGGTGACTCCTGAATAGCACATGGAAAACAAAGCTGTTCGGCGCCCCCTTTGCAAAGCCCATCAGGAGCTCCTCAAAAATCCTGGAAAACTTTGGCTGCACAAACCCAAGCCCCGCTGCACACCATTCAGGCGACTTCCGTGCAATTAGCTCAATCAACGGGAGCGATCCAAGCATCCCAATGCACTGGAAAAGCTCTACACAGTTGAAGTTGCTCTCATACCCCATCACATTCTTGAACCGGTGGCCCCTTGAATCCTCGATGCTAACAATCCTCGTAAAGAACACGTTCGAGTACAGCTGCGTCCTCTTCTCGTCGCTCTCGATAATAAGCCTCAGAAAGTATATCTGTGCTCTTTCATTCTTCCACCTCTTGAAAAATATCTCGTACGGAACAGTGATGATCCCGCTGATATAGACCCAGCAATCAATGATGACATACAGAGACTCCAGAGTCCATATACTGAAGTTCACATCAAGGAAGCATGAGTAGACGTCCCTCCAATTGATCTCCTCAAGATTGCTCTTCATTGCCCCAACAATTGCAGAGAGATTCCATTCCCTGTCCGGAAAGTCCGCCATAAACAGAATCGCCCTTGCCACCTCCTCCGGCACCACCTCCCGCCTTCTCCTTATCCTCTGCAACGCATCGTCCATAAAGCTCCGATCCACCTCTCGAGGATCACTTTTCTCAAGTACATCTTTTATCTCCTGCCTGTATATTTTCTCGTCCATGCGCAAGTGATCCTTTATTTTCAAGGTGTAAAATTTGTCTTTTTATTCAACACCCAGCCATATAACACCCCGCGCCAAGGGCATATTGTTTACATCCATGTTCCCCGCAGGGAAACATTCGGAATTGCCCCGCGCCCCAGCAAAGAATAGAAATAAAGCACAGAACCCTTGAAATACTCATGATTTAATCTCACCGATACTTCTGGAGAACCAGCGTATTCCTTCTCCTCCAACATGACCTGATCGATCCTCCCTTCGACTTGTTGAATTTGACTCCCTTCCCGAGTCCTCTGCTCTTCCTGGACGCCGACGTAAGACCCCTGCACTCCCTGTGCTTCATCGTGCCCTTGCATATCCAGTTGATCTTAGGATCGTTTCTTATGGCCTGGTGGTCCCGGTCAACCATTATCACCTCATAGTACTTGTAGGCTGCATCTTGCCCCACCCAGTACGAGTTCAGGACTCCGAGATTCGAGCACTTCTTGCCCGCTATCATCTCGGCACTGGCCTGCTTCCGAAGAGACGGCTTGATCTGGTTGATCCCTGCATTCACGCACTTTCCCCTGGTATTTCCATTGTGGTAGTTCCTCTTCATGTTCCCCTTCTTCACCCGTGCAATGTACAGCACATATCCCTGCTTCGCCTTATACCCGAGAGTCCTAGCCCTTTCGAGAAACGTGGGCTTCTCAACACGGAAGCACTCTCCCCTCTGCCTGTACTCGCACACCCGGATCCTTAGCAGATACCTCATCACATCAGACTGCTTGCGCCTGTGGATCTCCCTGAGGTAGTTGACAGCTCCCATCTGGGGTTGCAAATTTTTCATTATTTCCACCCACGCCAAGTCCTCGCCAAACTACTCTTTTGTTCAGAAGGGCCCCTATTGTCTCTTCCCACCATCTCTATATCCTTGTCTTCGTCCTTCTCCTCTCTCCTCGTATCTTCTTTCCTCACGATCTCCCCGTCGTCCCCTTCCTCCCTCCTTTCTTCCACTCCATCCCTCCCATCTCTGCCCTTCTCCAGACCCTCTTCTTCCGACATCACGGCTGCCCCGCCTGCCTCTTGGCCCGTCTCCGTCCCCATCCTTCTTAATCTCGCTGAACCCCCGCCTCACTCCCCTATACTTCTCGTCGGTCCACTCACTCCCCCCACGCGCAAACTCACTCTTCCTTTTCTGCATATTGCAGTACTCCTTCCATGTCATCTCGTTGAACCCGTAGTTGAAGTAGTCCGTAATGTCTGCCCCAGGCTTGTTCCAAGGCTTATCTGTAAAACTCTCTATGTCGTAGTCAAGGATGTTCTGTCCCTCGGTCTCCTCCTTCTGCTCCTCCTTCTCAGGCACCTTCTCCACAATCAGCTCCAGGTCAGAGGACGTGTTCTCGTCATCCTGGTCTCCAACAAAGAACTCTTCGTCGTTCTGCATCCAAAGGGCTCCGAAAACATCCATTTGAATCTCCTCTCCTCAGGACTGGAGCCATCCTCAAGCCGCTTCCAAACTCTTTATCCCTGCCTTCTTTGCAGCCCCAATGAGCGACCGCTTCTGCAAGGAGTGCAACAACCTCCTCTATCCAAAGGAAGACGACAACACCCTGTTCCTTGCATGCAAAAACTGCGAGCACATTCAGGAGGCAAAGTCGCACCGCCTCTATGTGAAAAACTTTAGGCCCAAGCATGCGTCAATAGAGCTGTATGCCAGGGATCTTGTGCAGGATCCAACGCTTCCATCGGTGAAAATCAACTGTGGGAACTGCGGATTCAACAAGGGATTGTACTTCCAGCCCAGGGGTGGAGAGGAAGACGTTGCATTGAGCATCTTCTATCTGTGCTGTAGATGCTATCACCTGTGGACATAATGTCTGTCTGCCAGAAATAATTCTACTCCAATAAATCTCTCCGCCCCTCTTCCTCGCTGTCTGAGCACAGGTCCAGATATCTGCCTCTCGATTCCCATCGATCCTTCTTTTCGGCCTCTTTCTCAACATACATGCCATCAAAGATGTAAATCCTCTTGATCTCCATTTTTCCGTCTTCCACCGCCGTGTTCATGCCATCATGCATCCTCTCTTCAAATGGATTGTATCTTCTAGTCTTCTGTTTTTCTCCATGCTCCCGGGACCCACTCCCATCAGACTCACGGCCCTCGGCCTCTAGTTTTCTGCACAGATAGCATCCGTCTCCACAGAGATCGTCATTCTGTTCCAGCACCGTCATTAGGCCTATCCTTTCCCTTTCAGAGCCCACACACCCGATGGCAGTCTTGTGAACCATCAGCTCCCCAGGCACAGGCTTCATGTACAGCGGGGAGTTGGCTAGGCTTCGAAGAAAACACGCTTCATTGATGTCGGACGGGTCTCCATACGTGTCACACTCTCCTCCGCAATAGGTAAATTTCTCTATCCACACAAAAAACCTCCTGCTTGCAAAGCTGTATTCATAGTAGAACTCGTCGACTGTGATGTAGCACCCCTTCACATCTTCAATTCCACAAGCCACCTCTCTTCCAAATTCCTCAATGGCCTCTCTTGCCAGGACAGCATCGATAAAATGCCTCGAGTCAGATACACACACTTCAAAAGACGAGTCGCTTCTTCTCTTCACAACATCTATCATTTGTGCATTGAATGACGTCTTCTGCTTCCTCTTCCAGCGCCCGGCAGTGTTGTATACCTGCTCGTAGATTGTTTTCTCAATCCAGAAGTCCCTAAGAAACAAGAGCATCCCTAGGCCATCCTTTCAGGGAACTCAATTTCTCACAGGAAAGCATCAAAGAAGAAAGACATTTTCACAAACAATTTATTTAGCCTGTCACTAACTACTGCTGCACCATAGAGTAGACATAGTCGGAAATGCGGATTCCTCCAGCTCCCTCAGATGGATGAGTGCAGCTGACCTCAATGGGATCCTCGTTTACTCTCATCAAGAGGACCTTCGTTAGTGCACGCTTAAAGCTTGACCGGATGAATCTCCTAAGTTGCCGGGCTCCATAGATCGAGGAGAGGACCTTGGTAACCATGTCTTCCTTCACAGCATCAGAGACCTTGAATGTTATGCCGCGGCCCCTGAGCTTCTTCTCCAAGTAGCCCATCTGATATTCAAGAATCCTGTGCATGTTCTCTCTATCAAGATTGTTGAAATACAGCACCTCGTCAATACGATTGACAAAGGGTGCTCCAAACCTGTTCAGCACTATCTCCTCAATTTTCTTCCTTTCATCGTCGTTAAGCTCACCACGAGACCGCATTATTATCTCCTGGCCTAGATTCGAGGTCATGATCACCACACAGTTTCTGAAGTCCACGACAGCCCCTTTTCCATCCGTGACCCGTCCCTCGTCCAGGAGTTGGTACAGTGTATTCAGGACAGTCTGGTGTGCCAGGTCAACCTCGTCCAGCAGAATCACATTGTAGGGCCTTCCCTTGATGGGCTCCGTAAGCGTTCCACCCTGGTTATACCCAACATACCCTGCATTTGCTCCAATCAGCTTTGTTATACCCATCTCATTTCCATACTCGCTCATGTCAATCACAAGCATGTCCTTCTCATTGTCAAACAGCTCCATCGCAACCGCCTTGGCAAGCTCTGTCTTTCCAACCCCAGTGGGCCCGAGAAGAAGAAAGGACCCAACCGGCCTGTCATCGTCGTCCAGCCCAACCCTGGACTGAAGAATCGAGTCAACAATTGCATCCACCGCGTGGTCCTGCCCAAATATCCTCTTCTTTATCCTCGAGGACATCTCCATCAGCCTTTCGTTCTCTTTGATCGTCAGCCTCTTTACATCAATCCCCGTCCATCTGCTTATGATCTCTGCAACATGCGAAGGGAGAATAACCACCACACTCTCGAGCTCGAGCCTTTTGAGCTCACTTTCAATCACAGGAATCACGTTGGTCTTGAGGTCGTATGCAACATATGTGTTTCTGTCTCTCTCCGCCTGTGCAAGCCTTAGCTTGGTGTCCTCCAGCTTCTTCTTTAGCTTCTTCGCCTCTATTATGTGCTTCTTATCCCTCAGATATGCCTCCTCCATCGGCTGTAGGCTCGCCTTCACCTTCTCCAACTCTTCAACCACTTCCTTAAGCTTCTTTAGAGTCTGCTCGTCCTTCTTTTGAGAAAGGTCAAACTCCAGGCTTGTCTTCGCGATATCCAAACCCCACGCCTTTGACTTTTGATTTAGAATCTCCTGCGGCTCACTCTCAAGAGCTATCATCACGCTGGCACAGGCAGTGTCCAGCAGGTCAATTGCCACATCCGGAAGCCTTCTGTTAGAAATATACTTCTTCGACGAGTTGACTGCATACACAATAGCACTGTCGGCTATCTTCACACCGTGGTATGCCTCCAGTCTCCCCTTGAGTCCTCGGAGCATCGTGATCGAGTCCTCAATGGACGGCTCGTTCACAACAACCTGCACAAACCTTCTTTCAAACGCCGGGTCGTTCTCAATGTACTTCCTGTACTCGTCATGCGTTGTCGCCCCAATGCATTTGATCGTCCCTGCTGCCAGTCCAGGCTTCAGCATGTTTGCCGCATCCATCGCCCCGTCCGTCTTTCCTGCGCCCAGCACAATGTGGATCTCGTCAATAAACAGAATCACCCCAGGTGTTGTTTCCGCCTCCTTGACCAGGGTCTTCAGCCTTTCTTCAAAGTCCCCCCTGTGAGACGTCCCCGCAACCATCGATCCCACGTCCACATTATAGATCCGGGCACCCCGAAGCGTAGGCGCCTCTCCGTTTGCTATCAGCTGTGCAATTCCATTCACTATTGCAGTCTTCCCAACCCCCGGCTTTCCAACCAATATTGCGTTACTCTTTGTCTTCTTCGACAATATCTCAAGAACCCTGCGGATCTCCTCGTCCCTCCCAATCACAGGGTCAAAGACATTCTGCCTGGCCTGCTCAACCATGTCAACAGCGAATCTCGACATCACATCGGTCCCATCGTCGGCGTTTCGAGAGTCGAACCTCTTGTTCTTTGTCTGCTCTTCAACCTTTTTTCTTATGTCCTCCGAGTTGGCAATCAGCTCCCTGATGCTCTCCACTTCAAGAAGACTCAGCACTAACGCATTCACAGAAACATACTCGCCCTCCCCCTTACTTTCAGCCGCCATCAGAACTTTTGCAAGTGTCTCTCCGACACGGGGCTCCGTGCAGTTATACTGCTTTGCAAACCCCCCGATTCTCTTTATGAGTGCATTCTTGACGTTGTTCCTCTCTGTAGGACTCAGCACGTTATGTAACACAGACGTCTGGTCGCTTAGTATCGCCTTCAGAAGATGCTCGGGCTCGATGGTGTTGTTGTTATTTGCAAGCGCCTCGTCCACACACATCTTCAGGGCATTCTGCGCTCTCTCAGTATACTTCCTTGTAGTCATGCTCGTTTGACGCCGCAGATCTTAAATATTTTTAGTTGTTCAGACTCCTGTGGTTTTTTGGGCACTTTTCTAGAAAAATCCCGAACAGCGCAGACTCTCATCCCGCTGGAAACAAAGGCAAGAAACAGATCTTTATAACCTCTCTACTTTATTCCTTTTTCCACATCTGCTATCTCTTGAGGCAGGCTGGGGCCAGAAATGCCATCATGCATCCCAGGATGGATAGCAGGGCACGATCCTGCTTCGGCGGGCCGACTGCCACGGCCATGAACATCGGAATAAAGCTGTATACAAACAACGATGGCACCGAGAAGACAGAAAGCATGGCCATCACCAGCGTCAAGGACGTGTAGACCAAAAAAGGTGTTCCATCAACATATTTGATGTAGTCGTCCCTTTGGATCTCATAGCAGGCCATTCTATGGGTGATAAATCTCCCATCCCAAAACCTCCCATGCTCTACCTGGTTGGATTTGGATTGCACTCGTACAAGGACATAACTCTCAGGGGACTGGAGGCTGTCAAAGGCAGTGCCACGGTGTATCTCGAAAGCTACACATCCATCCACGGCGAGTCGCTGGATGCGTTTGAAAAGCTCATAGGGAAGAAGGTGCATCTTGCAGACCGAGCCATGATGGAACAGACAGACAAAATAGTTGACGAGTCCTGCAGGGAGAACGTCTCCCTACTTGTTGTTGGAACTCCGCTGTTTGCAACAACCCACTCGGACATAATGATAAGGGCAAAGGAGAAGGGCGTGGATGTGGAGGTGATTCACAACGCCTCCATCATAAACGTGTTGGGCTGCTGCGGGCTCTACTCATACTCCTTTGGAAGAGTAGTGTCCATCCCATACTTCACAGAGAGGTGGAAGCCAACAAGCTTTTACGACAATATAGTGAGGAACCACCAGAGCAACCTTCATACACTATGTCTCCTGGATATCAGGACAGATGAGGACAGGTTCATGAGCGTTAACGAGGCCGTCGACCAGATTCTGGAGGCAGCCGCCATTACAGGGTCTCCGCTTATCAACGAAGACACCAGGATCTTTGCAGTCTGCAGATTCGGATCGCCTTCAGAAGAAATAGTCTACGGGAAAATCGGGGACCTGAAGCTGAGGTCGTTTGGGGACCCCCTGCACTCATTGATAGTACCTGCAGAGCTGGACAGGGTTGAGGCGGAGCTGGTTGGATCCCTATTTAAGTAAACCAATCGGCACAAAAGCAAAAAGTACAACGATTTATTGAGAAAATCATCATTATCACCCTGCTTCAACTAACGGGCTATCTTTCCCGAATATCCCACTGCCGGAGACGGGGTGGCTCCTATTCCTGGTGCCTGCGGGTTGTTTGGGAATGAATGGGAGAACCCTCTCATTGTATGGTCAGGCTGTCCAGCCGGGATCCGGGCTGCAGGAGCATTACTGACGGGGCCATTATTGGCAGGTAGCCTAGCCCCAGGCTTCAGTGGATTCCGTCCACTACTTGGAACCATGGGCCCCGGAACCACGTTAGCCGGTGCTACCGCCTGGTTGGACGCCGGCCTCCTCCCAGAGGATGGAGTCGTGGTCGGATTCCCCTTAAACTTAACCTCTCCAAGAACCTGGATCTTTCCAGGATCGTTTGGTACGGATACAGAGACCTGTGTTGTTCCTGTGGGCGTCTTCTTGGTTTCGACTTGCTCAATAGTCTTCAGGTTGGGAACAGTCATCTGCTCTAGTATCTCCCCACCAACCGTGTTGGGTTCGTGGGTCACCGTCGATATGTTGTTGAATATCATCTCGGTGACCGATCCGGTGTTGGCCGTCTTGCTGTCAGGTAAAATGCTTGCTATCTGGTTATAGAAGTGTGTTTCCGCGACATCCTTACGGGCACTAGGCGGTGCCTCGTTGTAGCTTATCATCTCCTTGATGCTACTGTCTGGGAGCTGGGAAATCATGTTGAGGAACGACTGTGTAGAGATCCCCATGCTTCTAGCATAACTCTCCGCCTTGCTTATGATGCTGTTTCTGACCCGGGCCTCGACAGTGCTGGAGGGAGACAGGTGCTCGTTGATCAGCTCCTTATTGTACTCGTCAACGATGGCCGCCTTTTCCCCGTCAACCTTTCCGTTGAATGCATTCCTTTTAGCCAGTGCCTTCCCATTCCCTATCTTCTGGATCGTCGAGAGAACGCTGCTTACGAAGCTCTCTTCAGAACCCTTTACAGAATTGGTCACTGCCATGTCCAGCGGAACTTCCGGTGTTTGCTTCTTAGCCTCCTCACTCACCGCTCCGACACTCGAGGATCCAACGCTTTTCAGACTCTCAACCGCTTGGTCCATCGTCATGATCTCGGGAACCCCATAAGGCGAAGAAACCTCTACAAACTTGCTTCCGTCAGGATTTGTGTACACCTCCGTGGTGATTCCCTCCAGATTCTTAGCCTTCTTCTCTTCCTCAACCCTAGACTTCATCTCAGAGGCCGCTGCCACCTCAGCCTCGTGGGCCATCCTTCCATTCACCATCGGCCGCATGTCCTTCACAAACTCGATCCACGGCGTCTGTATAAGCTCTCCATCCTCAATCTCGAGCTCGAAGGCATGTCCGATGTTCAGACTTTTCTCTTCATTGGTCATCGTCGATGTGGGAACAGGGTTCAGAGGCGAGGGAAGAGGGAGGGTAAATCCACTGGCATCGGCCTCGTAGTATCCGACACCCTTGTCAAGGCCTGCTCTTTCCCCAGTATTGAACTTGTGCTCAAGTAGCGAGGTGTCGAGCTTCTGCTTCTCCATAATCCCCTTTGCACTCTCGGGATAGAAGACCTTTCCTTTGTTGATCTTCAGCGCCTTTGCAGCCTCGGAAATATGCATGTATCCATCCTCCATCTCAACCACGTTCAGCCCACTCTCAACAGGCGTTCCAATAACCTTGTTCCTCACTTGGTTTCTCCTATTCCTTTGCCTGCTCTGAACAATGGTTTCCTCCTCGGTCTTTGGTTCTTCGTTACTGAATCCCTTCAAAGGAAGCTTTATCTTCCCCTCGGAAATCCCGACTCTGCTGGTCGTTGGTGGAATAACCTCCTTGACTTCAAGATTCGATGTTGCAGTTTCCCTTAGCAGCTCCTCAATGTTCGATTGATGAGCTACCTCCTCCTCATACTTCTTGTTCAGCTCGTTGAGGTCAGACCCAACAACATTGAGTCCGGCGTGAGCAGTTGCCATGTGCTCGACAGCTTCCTTGACGGAAGAGTTCATTCCCATGGGCCCCAGCATTTTCATCACCTCAGCCTTCCTAGCCTCTCTTTGGTGTCTCAGCGTTTCTGCCATTGCCCTCTCTGCCTCCTCCCGGGCCTTTGCCGCCTCGGATATGTCTCCGGTGCTTTCAAGAACCTTCGAAAACACACTCTTTCCCTCGTTGTTGATGATCTGCTGCTCCGCCGCCTTTGCAAGATGCTCCTCCGCTGACTTTACAGCACTGTTCTCGTTGGCCTCCTTCTGGGCCTTCACTGCCTCCTTCTGCATCTCCTCATTCCTTTGGTTGACATCCTTGATGGCCTTCTCCGTGAGAACCTTCGACAGGAAGTTGAGGGCATTTGTCTTGCGCCCGCCTGGCTTGAGCTGCGTTTTGACATTCTCTAGGTTCTCGTGTGCCTTTGCAAGATCCTCTGCACTAGAGGCCGCCACGTCCGTCAGAATCTTCTCCTGCACAACAGGATTGTCCAGCCCCTCCATGCTTGCTGCATCCTTTAGTGCTGCTGCTTGGCTGAGCTTCTGGTGTGCCCTGTTGACAGGCTCGACTATGTGCAGCTTGGTAAGATAGCTGCTTAGATCCTGGGCGCGGTCAAGCTTCTTCGAGTTGATTGCCTCTTCCTTCTTCTTCAAAACCTCGGGCCGGAGCCCAGAGGGTGTCTTGACCATCTCATTTGCACTTGTCTCCTCGATCAGGGACCTGTCCGCAGCATTTTGCGCTGCTACCTGGCCTCCTCCAGCAATCGCCGCAGCTCTGGTTGCATGCTGGTAATTGAGGTCAACCAGGCTCATGGCCTTTTCATATGCAGCATCCGGAGACAGCCCACTTGCCAAATTCTCGTTGTACTCGTCAATCAGGAACCCTGCCTGGCCGGCCTCGAAGTTTGCTCTCTCCACAGGTGCTCCCTGCCTAATGTACTCCTCAAACACCTTCTTCATGAACATCTGCCTGTCTGTGTCTGAAACAACGTCTTTGGAATTTGTAGCCCTTGCTAGCTCGGCCTGCGGGATGTATACCGGATTCACAGGTGGTTGAGATATGTCATAGGCCCTCTTCGTCCTTAGCATCTTCCTAACATTGGCATCTTTAATCTCGTCTGCAACGGCCTTTGCAACAGGCAGTGAATGTCCTACGGAAAGCAGTGAAGAATACGCCTCTTCTGCAATCCCGTCATCTATCGGGTTCTCGTTCCGGTTCAGGACATTGATCTCTGCCTGCTCCTCGTTGGTCCTCCCGGTGGCCACTCCGTTCGAGACGTACACGCCAGTAGGGTCGGAGTAGTCTGGCGGACTCATTGTGTCAACAACCCTGGCCTCCTCATTGACTTCCATGGGAGAAGACTCGGCAGGTTGTATCACAACGGGTTCTGTGATGCCTCCGGGAATGGATCCCCCCACAGACTCTGCAACATCAGGGGTTATTGATCCATTTCTGTAGAGCATGTCGAGGGCGTCCAGATTCCCATGGGCTGCCATGTTTGCTAGATCCTTCTCCTCGTGCGTCAGGTTCTCTGGGTCGTTTTCATGGGTGCCAATCATGTTCCGGATCAGCTTTGCGTGCTTCTGGTTGTGCGGCTTAATGCTGCCCCCATGCGACCTGTGGACCTTGTGGTGATGGTGGCCGTCCTGGCTGTCGTCATTGTGGTTGTGGAGCCTCACCTTCACACGAGCATTACGGGTGGACCTATTTCCATAGTCCATGCCGCTTGCGTTCTTTCCTTCCTTACTGTGGTGGTGGTGGACGGCATGCGAGCTTGATCGAGAACCAAGATCGCCTCTTGCCACCATGCTGTAGAGACAAAGTAGAAACAGTAGCATACAGTTGTGGCATTTTCCCACCAGGTATTTAAATATTTTTCCTAAAACGCTTTCCTGACAATGTTTTGAAAACCAAATCCCAGGTCCAATCGCTAGAAAAAGGTTTTGGCTCCCGCATGATGTCTTTCCTTCATTGGACATGGATGAAACACCTCCAAGTAAACTTCTGCATCGGAGGCAGGGGCTGCATCAGATGTAAACATCCTGACAAACAAATTAAATTTATTCAGCTCTCAACCTTCTTAAGCCCCACCTCCTTGAACTTTCCGCTGCCGTCGGGAACGAAGCACTTGAACTTCGAGCTTCCATATCCAACACTAAGGCTGAATCCCGAAAAGCTCCACGAGAGGCTGTAGCATGGCTCCTCCAGGGTTATCTTCTGTGATTCATATTCCTCTCCCCTCTTGGTGTAGATGACTACGGTTCCGTCCTCCGAGCAGCTTGCCATGCAAAACAGCTTGAAAGAGTTTGCTGGACAGGCAGCAACATCCCTCACAAATCCCTTGTGGTCTCTGAACCTTGCAGCCTCTGAGGTGCCGTCCCACACGGCCACCGAGTAGTCCATTCCCCCGCTTACAAACCCGCTCTCAGTGGCACTAACAGATGAAACCCCAAATCGATGACAGAAGACTTCCGATTCTGTTGTATTGAAGGAAGAGTCAATGTCCAAGATCCTGACAGTTCCATCGGAGCATGCACAGAACAGGGTGAACGAGCTTCCATTCCACCTTCCGGAGATGTCGTTTACAGATCCGCTGAGAATCTGCCTCTCGCTCTTTTTGTTGAACCTCCCTCCCTCGTATTTCCAGATGATGACCTTCCCACTGAAGTATGACGATGCAATGAACTCGCCCTGGTTGAGAAAGATGGCCTTCGTCGCAGGTCCGGAGTCTCCGTCCAGCTCTAGCTCCAAATTCAGCTCGTAGGGGGGGACGGACGAGCCCTTGGCGAACACACGGACCATCCCATCTGAGCACGCCGTGACTATCTTCTTCTGGCTGAAGTCTGTTTCGATACTATGGATAGTATCCTTGTGGATGTCCATTGGGGCTTCTGTATTTCCGAAAACAAATAGAAGATATTTTCGTGCCTGAAACGCAGATCCAGCGGGCGGCGGCGTGGTGGTAGCAGGATTAGTCTGGTGCCGGGGGCTATGGAAGACCTCTACTACAGAGCGTGCCTAATGATTTAAGAACTGAAAAATTTTCACCCTAAAGATGGCCGATTTTCACATTAGTAAAGTTCATGAGCTTATGATGAACCAGAAGAACATCAGGAACATTTCTGTGATTGCACATGTCGATCACGGAAAGAGCACGCTGACGGACTGTCTTGTGATTAAGGCAAAGATAGTGTCGAAGGACTCTGGAGGAGGGAGATACATGGATTCTCGTGAGGACGAGCAGCAGAGGGGAATCACCATCAAGAGCTCTGCGATATCTCTACACTTCCAGGTTCAAAAGGATGTTCTTGAGGCATACACAAAGGAGGGAGATACGAATGGAACCGAGTTTCTCATCAACCTGATTGACAGCCCTGGGCACGTGGATTTCAGCAGCGAGGTTACGGCGGCGCTCCGGGTGACCGACGGGGCGCTTGTTGTTGTGGACTGTGTGGATGGGATCTGTGTGCAGACCGAGACAGTACTTGGGCAGGCGATGAACGAAAGGATAATTCCGACTCTGGTTCTCAACAAGCTTGACAGGGCGATTCTTGAGCTGGAGTATCCCCAGGAGAAGCTCGGAGAGGTCCTCAGAAGAAGGGTGGAGGGGTTCAATGCCAAGCTGAGCACTCTGGGGTATAACTTCAAGGTGGAGTCGCTTCTTCCTGAGAAGAATGAGATTTCGTTTTGCTCTGGGCTGCAGGGATGGGGATTTACATTGAGGCAGTTTGCAAGGTTCTATCTTGAGAAGTTCAACATGAACGGGTTTGAAGGAGAGAGGAAGCTTACAAACTTCCTGTGGTCGCACAAGGTGTCCTGCACCTCCGACGACCCGTTTGATGCAAGCATTAAGCACATAGCCAAGCCGAATCCGGCCCGAAGCCCGTTTGTGGTGTATGTACTGAATCCCATCTACAAGGTTAAGGAGCTGTGCAACAACGGGAAGGTTGAGGAAATCAAGGAGTACCTGAAGTTCTACAAGGTGGACTTCAAGGGTGTAGTGCTTACGGGAAGCGGAAAGTCTCTTTTCAAGGAAGTCATGAAGACGTGGCTTCCGGCAGCAGACTGCATTCTGGAGCAGATAGCGCTCAAACTCCCATCGCCACTGCAGAGCCAGAAGCTCCGATACGACTATCTCTACGAGGGACCTGCCGACGACGAGGTCGCAAACGCAATCAAGATGTGCGACGGCAGTGACGAAGCACCTGTCTCGATGTATGTCTCGAAGATGATTCCCTCGAATGACAACCGATTTATAGCATTTGGAAGAGTTTTCTCTGGGAAGATATTCCCTGGAATGAAGATCAGGGTCCAGGAGCCGGGATACTCGCCAGGATCCGAGGAGCTGTCGAACACCTCCCTGATACACAACAAGTCTGTTCTGAGGACTGTTGTGATGATGGGAAGAGGATACAAGGATGTGCCGAACTGCCCGGCAGGAAACATCATCGGGATTATCGGAATTGATGACTGCCTGAAGAAGACCGGAACGATAACTAACAGGGAGGCAGCACACAACATCAGGTCGATGAAGTTCTCTGTGTCTCCTGTTGTCAAGGTGGCGGTTTCTGCCAAAAGGCCGGAGGATCTTGGGAAGCTGCAGGAAGGGCTCAACAAGCTTGCACAATCGGATCCCCTGTGTGTGGTCGAAAGAAACGACAAGGGCCAAAACACCATTGCATGTGCAGGATCCCTGCATCTCGAGATTTGCCTCAAGGATCTCCAGGATCAGTATGCCAAGGTGCCGATTATTGCAGACGATCCACTAGTGACGTATTTCGAGGGGATATCGTGTGCTGTGTCTGATTCTAAGATGACGAAGTCGGCAAACAAGCACAACCGAATTTACATGACTGTTGAGCCACTCGACCAGAACATAGTCGACAATCTGAAGGACGTCAAGTCGGACCAGGCCAAGACGATGGCAACGAACTTCCGAGAGAAGCTGGACATACGGGATGATTGGATCAGGAAGATATGGTGCTATGCCCCCGAAGTCAACCCCCTTAATCTCCTTGTTGACGGAACCAAGGGAATTTCAATCATCAACGAAATCAAGGAGCATGTCAACACTGGATTCAGGGCCGCTGTTAATGACGGACCACTGATCGGTGAGGTCATGCGTGGGCTTAAGTTTGAGCTCAAGGATGCCGTCTTACACGCCGATGCTATCCACAGAGGCATTAACCAGCTGCTCCAGCCTGTCAAAAACCTCTGTAAGGGGCTTCTTCTTGCTGCAGGCCCCATTCTCTATGAGCCGATATACGAGGTGGAAATAACCACTCCAAACGACTACTCTGGAGCAGTTACCACGATCCTTCTTTCGAAGCGAGGAACTGCAGAGGACTTCAAGACGCTTCCTGGGAACGACACGACGATGATCACCGGGACGCTTCCAGTAAAGGAATCCTTTACATTCAACGAGGATCTGAAGTCGGGATCAAGGGGAAAGGCTGGGGCATCGATGAGATTCTCCCACTACAGCATCCTCCCTGGGAACCTCGAGGACCCAAATTCCTTGATGTTCAAGACTGTCGAGGCCGTCAGAAAACTTAAGAAAATGAATCCTGCACCTCCAACACCAGATTCCTTCTTCGATAGGCTTTAATAAAAGTTATTGAGTCATTTGGAAATCCCTCTCTATTGGGACTGGGCTCCTAGCGAAGAGAGCTTACACCTGCCACGTTCTCTACTCTCTGTTTTTGAATTGCTCCATGTTCTTGAGAAACGCAAACTTCGGGTCAGACTCCGTAGCTCTGATAATAAACTCAGACGACATCCTTGAGGAGCTCTTTTTCCGGGCCTCCTTAAGTGTAAGCCCTACTATTTCTGTGAGAAACATTTCAATGGCCTTGCTCGCAACAACAGGCACAGAGGCACCTATCTTCCCTATGTCCTCGTTCAACTGCATTATCCTCTTCAACCTTGATATCGGAAATCTCGTCAGCTTCTTCTTTTGGGATTCCTGCTTGGGCATTGTTTACCCTTCCTGTCTTGAGACTTTAACAAAGATAAGATACCGAAACGGCGCCACAATTCTCCGCCCATCACACGGAGCTTTATTCCCCTGATTTCAGATCCCAGAATGGACAGGGAGGCCTTGCAGCATAGAGTGCTGATCACAGTTAGCAGATCGTCGCTGTTCAGGGTTGTTGAGGGCATTCTGGAGGAAGGAAAAGTATCTTCTATGGCAAGCAGCATCACAGAATATTTATTGAACAATAGGTACAGCAGGGAAAGGGCTCTTGAGCACATATCGGTCTATCTTGAAAGCGAGCTTGAGAAGTCTGGAATAGATCTAGATGATGGTGTGGATGGTATCTCGTTAGCCATTCTGTTCGTGTATGAAGAACTCCTCGAAAACAAATCGGAGTTCTTCTCAAAGATCCAGGAGAAGTCCGGACACGCGCTTCATCCTCCAAGCTCTGACTCAGAAGAGTAGCTCCTGCTCAAAACTTGATGCTCTTATAAAGCTTTTCTCTCTTAGCTTTTCCTCTTTTAGTTACCTTTGCATCCTCCTTGGGGGCTGCTTCTACTGCAGCAGGTGCCTCTTCAGCAGCTCCGCCATTGCTTACTACAACCCTCTCCTCAAAGTCCTCCATGTATACAGGCCTTGTATACTGATTCTCATCGTTGTAAATAGCCTCTGCATCCTTTTGCAGAACCTCACTTTCTGCTGTTTCAGGGCCAACCTCAAATAGAGGCTCTCCCCACCCCCGAGGTTGGTATCCATAGGAGCATCCTTCTGGGATGGGTGCATTCAGCCCGGGGATCCTTGCGTCTGGATATGACGGAGGCATCCCGTGCTTCTGCATGTTAAAGAGCCATGGAGGTGGTGTGCTGGAGTCGATCCCCAGTGCCTCCATGAGGTCGGCACTTATTGCTCCTGGAAAGCATTTCTTCTCAAAATAATCATCCACAGGCTCAAAGAATTCACCATACTTACTGAGATACGGTCTCGGCCCCAAGGAAAAAAAGGCCTCGTATAGAATCCGCTGGTCTACCAAGGAACCCCCAACCCTTGGATGCAGCTTTTCTCTTATTCTTTCCCTAAGGCTCATCCCAGCCTCTCTTTCCCTCATCATCCTTCTTAGCTCAGGAATGCCGGTCCCAATCACGTGACGGGGAGTCACATACCTAGGCTTATGGTATCCGTGTGGAAACATTCTTCGTGAGCTTGATCTCCAGTGCCTAGGAACAGGGACTCCGCTGCATCCCTTCATCCGGTTGTGGGACATCGGATCCGGGCACGTGGCATCCTCGGTCTCAAAGATCTCCGGGTATGGAACAACAAGCTTGAGCTCCTCGTATCTATGCTGCAAGGCTCTTCTCTTCCTTTGCCTCTTGTTTGAAGGGCCTCTGTAGGGCTTCATCCTGTGAACAAAACCATATTCACCGTCGATCTCTGCCTCCATGTGGATAGTGGGTGCTCTTGATTTCATTCTGGACATTCATGCTATGGAGAGATTCAGATTCATAAGAAGGCTCAGCAGAGGGGCACACGGGACAGTATATCTCCTAGAGACAGAAGCTCCAACAAGGGAGAAGGTGGCTTGCAAGTCGATGCTCAAAAGATACAGGAGATATGCAGAGAAAGAAGTCGAGATGCTGTCTTCGATATCGCACAGAAGAGTAGTAAGGCTTCTAGACTTTTTTCCAACAAAGTCCGGACTGTCTATTATTCTTGAGTATCTAAATTATGGAAGTCTGCATGAAATGATAGAGTACCTCATGGAAAACGGATACAGGGTAGCGGGGGATCTAGTATGGTCTGTCCTGGCACAGGCTGCAGATGGCCTGAGGTACCTGCACTCCAAGCAGATTATCCACAGAGATGTAAAGCCATCGAACATTCTCATGAACAGAACTCTGGTGCAGAAAGAGGAGCTACTTGAGTTCAAGCTTTGTGATTTTAGCTTAGCAAAGAACCTCTGCGGGAAAGAGAGTGTATGCGGCATTGTTGGGACACCCTCATACATGGCGCCCGAGGTGGTGTCTGGAGAGCGATACAGCACATCGGTGGACATCTGGAGCCTAGGGATCTCCATATACGAGCTATTAACTCTGAGAAGGCCTTTTGAAGGAAGGACCAGGGACGAGCTCTTCAGGATGATTGTACAGGGAGGCCTTCCGCATTCAATATGTGCTGACAGAGAGATGGAAAGACTAGTTAGGAGATGCCTATCGAGAACCAACAGGATATCTGCCAGAGCAATCACCAGCGACGCGAGCGTTAGGGTCCACCTTAGGATGCTCGAAGCTAAGCTGAGGAGGGGCGAAGAGCCCTCGTACGATACACTGGACAGTACGGAATGATGCGACAGCGTAGTCTGGGGTAGAGCTTAGATTCTGTACTGATGTAATAAAGTGTCAGCGGAGTGGAACAAACAATCCGATGGAAAGCATCAGGTCGGTTTCAGGTGGAAAATAAAAAAAGTCTGTTACGATTTGAAAATGCATGGCAGAAAACATCCAGCACAATGCTCGCATGTAACATGCTCGAATGATGCAGACATAAGGAAGATATCAAAGGTTCTGCTTATCATCCTGATGTTTATGTTCCTGGAGCTTTGGGGGCATTGGAAAACAAATAGTTTGTCGCTCCTGGCAGATTCTCTGCACCTGCTTGTGGACATATTTGGATTCATAGTCAGCCTTCTTTCGTTGAGCTGGGCAAAAAAGCCTTCGAACAAGAGAATGACCTTTGGATATCACCGGATAGAGATTATCGGATCCATGGTTTCCATCGGACTTATCTGGGCAGCCGTGGGATACCTTGTGATTGAGTCGTTTCACAAGTACCTCCATCCTGCCGAGATTGATGGCGGGATGTTCTTTGGGATAGCAGTTGTTGGGTTCTTTGTGAACTGCATCTGCATTTATGTCCTTCATTACGATGAGTACCAGCACAAGCTCAAGCACAAGAACTTGAATATCCGGGCCACCTATGTGCACGTGGTCGGGGACCTCATCCAGTCTGTTGGCGTGATAATCGCCGGAATGGTGACATACTTCTACCCATCAAAGGCGATTGTAGACGTGATCTGCACAATGTTCTTCTCTGTGCTTGTCCTGATATCCACCGGCTTTGTGTTCAGGGACGGGGTCTACATACTAGCAGAAGGAGCACCTACGGATCTTGACATAGACGGGATGAGATCAGACATCCAGGACGTGGAGAACGTTTACAAAATTGTTGATTTGTATGCATGGTCTATATCCATGAACAGAAGCGCTGTATCCATTAGGATACTAGCCGATGACCTGCTGATTAGCGATTATGAAAACATCCTGCTGGAAGTGAATCACATAATCAAAGGGAAGTACCTTGTGGACATAGTGGTCGTGCAGATAGACACGCCCAACACCTTCTATGGAGACAGGGGATTCGTTGTCGATGGCGTTGCGATGGATTTGAAGATGCTTGAGACTCCCGGGATGCTGATTCCCCAGGCTTAGTGCTTCACAAAAGCATGTGCTGGATTAGGCAAGACATTTCCTCTTGAGGAGGATATCACACTGTCTCGAAACTTGAGAAAATGGCACCACCCCGGAATGCAGATGGGAAATGGGATCAAGAAAAGCCTTTACAGACAAAGAGCCCACGCCAATCCATTCAAGGACAGCAACATCACCGTTCCTCCGAGCCCTCAGCTTATAGACTGGTCTTCTTACTTCAGAATGAATAGAAGGCCGGATTTCGTTGATATCGGGTGTGGATACGGAAAGTTCCTTATGAAGGTTGCCGAGAAGAATCCAGAGCACAGCATACTGGGCCTCGAGATCAGAGACAAAGTGTGTGAGTATGTTAAGGCAAGGATAGAAGCCGCCGGGATTCCAAATGCCGGGGTCATGAGAACAAATGCATTGATTTTCCTCCCGAACATATTCAGTAGAGGCCAGCTGACCAAGATCTTTATTTTATTCCCCGACCCTCACTTCAAAAAGAGGAAGCAAAAGGGGCGCATTGTGTGCCGGCAGATGATGGAGATGTACGAGTACCTGCTAGCGGACGGGGGAAAGTTGTATATATCTACCGACGTGAAGGAGTTGTTTAACTGCATGATGGAGGCCGTTCTGGGACATGGAGCATTCAGGGCATTGTCTGAGAACGAAGTGGATGGAGATGAGTTGTTCCATATGATTTCTAGGGACACGGACGAGGCGCTGAGGGCCGGAGCCAAGGCAGGAAAGGTGTTTTCGAAGGTTTTTGAAATAAAGAAAGATTGGCACTACTCCTTTCATCTTCGACTCCAGAGGAGTATTGGGCAAAGCAGCTCCTTTTGAAATACTTTTTGGAGTAGTAGCCCCAATGGGAAACGACAAGGCGGTAGTAGAGCTGCTCTTTATTCTGTCTCTCTTGAGCCTTTCGCTAACGTTTTTTCCGGGGCTTATAAGAGACTCGGTGAATGAGGTGGGGTATTTCAAAGGAAGTAGGGCTGCGGAAAGCTTCAATATTCTAGGGATACCAGAAGGAAGCAGTGTGAGACTTTATACCATATATGGGAGTGCTGGGGACATTGATATCGCAGACATTCCAAACAAGACCCCGATTACAGAGGCAATACATGATCTGCACAGAAGCAAGGCGAGATTCACCATTTACATCGATGTAAAAACAAGGAACATGTATATATATTCCCAGTGTGTGGTTCCAAAATACATTTTCAGGATGAAGAAAGTGCCGAGTGGGAATCTGTCTCCGATAGAAACAATCAAGGCACTGGACAGCAGCTATCTCCCAGGTGGGTCCATGGATCTGAAGCTGGTACAGACATTGGTGTACCTTGGGCTCAAGGGATGCTTGGAAGACAAGCTACTTATTCTCTACGAAAGGATGCTTGTCCTTATCAACGAGAAGAAGCAGATGCTCTTCTTCGATCTGGATCTCGGGAAGATGTTTGAGATGATGTTCAGGGAGACAGATTCCCGCCAAAAGAGTGAGAGAAAGGACTGCCTGAACAGGCTCCTGTTTGTCCTTAAGACGGAGTCGAACATACTCTTTCTCTACGATCCTAGAAACGAACAAAGAGGGTTTGGGAAGAAGATGGCCAGAAACACTCTTGCAGGAGGGCTCATAAAGCTTTTCCCCTCATCAAGAGACATCAAAATAAAAAATAGGGTGGACAGGGATAGCTATATGGAGCTGGCCGGCATAATAAGCGACAAAGAAAGGAGGGAGGGCATGAATGTTTTGGAGAAGCTGCTGATAGACTTCGTTAGGCCTGACGATTCTTCGCTTTTTTCATAAGATCTGCCGCAGGTATTGCCTCTTACAATACTGGTGCCCGCGCTGTTCAAGATTCTTATAATTGACATGACTAATTAAATGAAATAATACCAATGGACTTTACCTAAAAACAGGAACATAGCCCTCAGAATGTTTACTATGCATTTAGCTAAAGTATTTGCTGCTTTCATAGCTGGGACACTTGGTATGTGGCCTGCGCTAGCTGTAAGTACGGAGGAGGCTGTTAAGGCCAGCTTATTTCCCATGGAGGACTTCGAGATCATGGAGATAAGAAAAGCCTTTATTGAAAGGATCACAAGGGTACGGGAAGATGCTTCTAGTGGAGATTTTCTGGATTCCCATATCGATCTTAGTAAAGCAAGGATGCCATATCAGGAGAGCCGCTCAGTACTAGTTATAGATGTCGGAGGAACAAGTCTGAAGATAAGTGAGGTTGTCATCGACCTTGGTTCTGACGAAAAGGGAAACTCTCCGTCTTTCCACGACATAGTGGAATGTAGCCCATCTTTCTACAGATATCCTGACACCTCGGGTGTTTCGGGCCAAGACAGGATAAGCTGGAACGAGTGGGTTGCAGACCAGGTTGTTGAATTCTATGGCAGAAACCCTCCAAGAAGTAAGGTTAATGCATCTCTGACATTCTCCTATCCTCTTATCCAGACATCTGTTAATAACGCACAAATAAAAAAGACAACAAAGAACTTCTGCTTCAGAGAGGACGAGGCCACGTTTACCACGGACATAGTCGAGGCCCTCAACTCCTCGCTGAGGAGCAGGAAGATCAACGTCTGTGTCAACTGCGTCTTAAATGACTCCACAGCAACATACATGGCAGGAGTGCTCAGGGGATATAAGAACATAATCGGGATTGTTCTTGGGACAGGGACAAACTCGTCCTTCTGTGTGAAGAAGGGCAGAAGCAATGAGGTGGTACTATACAACTCCGAATGGGGATCCACAAGAGTTCCAAGGAGCATGTTAACAGAAGCAGACCTTGCCGTTGTTGTGGACCTGGAAATGAGAAAGATTTCGCATAACATCATTGACGTCTTAGCAGGCGGCTGTAAACTTGGTGACATCGTTCTTCACAAACTTAGAAATACGTATCCTGAAATTTATGAGGAATACGCAGAGAGGGAAGAGGTGCTCCATTCGATGATCCACTCAGCCATCACCGGATCTGGAAACGGCGCACTGGCTAAAAGCCCCAAACTACGCAACGCACTGATGCCCATAGTTCGTGACTTTAGGGCCAGGGGAATGAAGATATTGGCATCCTTAATAGGTGCTGTGGTCGAATCCACCATGGATAATGCAAACACAATCACGCTCGTTCTGAACGGAACAACCTTCTCGAATGCAGGCCTCAGAGATGCTCTTGGAATGGAGGTAAAAAGGATGCATCCGGATATCGAGATCAACCTTGTCTTCCTTAGTAATGCCTCTCTGGAAGGATCTGCACTTGTATCCCTTATGTATTCCGAGTACCCCAAGGTAGAATGTGACTTGGCACCACTTGCCGCTCCAGTCCTTTCATTTGCCGATCAGACTCCTTAGGAAATCAGCCTCCTCTTTGTACTTCCCTGGATCTGGGGTCTCAAGGATTAGCGGAATGTTGTCAAACACCTTGCTGTTCATAATGAACCTGAATGCTTTCTCCCCAATCATTCCTTTCCCAATCGATTCGTGCCTATCTTTTTTCGATCCTAACGCCTCCTTGCTGTCATTAATATGCATGGCCTTTAGGAACTCCAGGCCGACCACCCTATCAAATCTTTCCATGACCTCCAGAAACTTCTCCTCCGTCGTGATGTCGAACCCGGCTCCAAATAAATGGCATGTGTCCAAGCAGACTCCTATTCTTTCCCTGTCCTCGATTCCTCCTATGATGTCTCGCAATTCCTCAAAAGAGCTCCCAACTACGCTTCCTTGCCCAGCCATGTTCTCAATCAACACGGTAACTCCCTGCACCCTTGACAGGGCTGTGTTCACGTGATGGCCGATGCTCCTCAAGCATTCAGCCCTACCTTTTCCCTTACTGCTTCCCGGATGCATGTTATACATCCCGATTCCCAAGGACTTGCATCTTTCTAGATCATCAACAAGACATTCCATGCTCTTGTCTACCAGGTCGGGATTTCCAAAGTTAATGAGGTAGGACCCATGGGGAACAATTAGCTCAGGATGCCGGACGTGCGCTCGGAACATTTCTGCTGCACCTTGCTTCATCGGCGGCGTGAGATATCTTCTTTGGCTCTTCAGAAATATTGCACATGTGTCCAGCCCAAGCAATTCCATTTGTGCCTGGATTGTATGAATCCCCTTGCTGATCGATAGATGTGCACCAATCAGTTTCGTCATTTTGGCAGAGCCGCTATCCCCACCAAAATCTTTAAAAATAAATCCGGGTGTTGCCTCTACTGCAGATGCAGGACTTCTTGAAGGACTCGAAAAGAATCCTGAATGACATAGAGACATTGAACTCATACACAAACAGCATTGACTACCTGAGCTCCCAGAAGAACAGCTCTGTCCTCAGCAAGGAGGAGGAGCAGGGGCTTAATAGGCAGATAGATGTGCTGAACGAACGGTTTCGGACACTTTCAAGAAAGATCAAGGAAAGAATAGACAACTTCTCCGAGGAAACAGCAAACCTCGAGAGGAACAGCAAGAAGGACCGGTTCTACCATGAAACAAGGAAGATCCACCTGCATGCCCAGTCGAAGAAGCTCACGGAGGCCATAAACAGATATAGGGAATCGCAGATCAAGCACCGCGAGGACGAGGTGGACAAGTTCCGGCTCCAGTACATCATTGCGAAGCCAGATGCCACTGAGAAGGAGATAGAGGAGTTTATTGGAGACGACGACGGAACAAAGGTTGCCTCGGCATATGCATTGGGAGCACACTCAGCACAAGGGATCCTCAAGGAGGCGGAGAACAGAAAGAAGAACATTAAGAAAATAGAAGAGATGGTCCAGGATATTGTGGATCTGCTGAATCTCATCAGCCAGGAGGTTTCAAAGCGAACAGAGGTGGTTGAGACGATAAATGACCAGCTGATCACCGGAGAGGAGAACACTGCTGCGGCAAATGCCGATCTCGAGTCTGCCCTGGCATACCAGATAAGGGCGACCAGGATCAAGAGGATATTTGTGTACGGGATCTTGATTATTGCAATCATATTTATAATGTACTTTGTCTTCAAGACCAATTTTTTTGGAGCTTTTGACAGGATCCATTATTATTAGTCCAGGAAGAGTCCCTGCGGATACCTCTGATTCCCTGTAAGTAATTAGAGATGTTAAATAAACCATTCTATTTTAGCTCCCAGGATTTGTTTGATGCTGGGCTTGGACACCAACAAGACAGTAAGAGAGGGAGGCAAGACGTGTGTATATCTAAATCTGCCGGAGGACTTTATATATGACATAGATAGCATAGCGGTTGAATATGATGAGAACGGGCAAGGTGTGGAGATAGTCAACGACTTGATACCGGGATTCATCAAGGACAACATGAAGAAGTTCTTTAGGGGAGACCTAAGAGAGTATATAGGGTTTCTGGAGGAGAACCTGGAAACGTTCTTCAAGGGAGAGGTCCCGAAGATGAAGGAGGCAGAGAAGTCCGAACAGGTTGTAAGGCCGTTTGAGCTGCCAAGAGACTACAAGTTTCCTGTTGACAGGAGATCGTCGATGAACATAAGTATTGAGATTGAAAGAAGATATATTTCTATTGTTTCCTGTGAAAGCCTCAATTTACAGGTTGGATGTAACAGGTGTGGAAGAAACCTCGAGACGTCCGGGCCTGCAGAATGTCCAGGATGCAGGTCTAGATTGGAAGTGAAGTACATCCCCTCTGTCGACTCTGAATTCCTGGGGTTTCTTGGTCTCCGTGGCTGTAAGTTAATCTGCTTCAATCCTTCGAAGTACCAGCTTTCTTGCGACGGATGCTGCATGAACTACGAGACCAACGAGCTGGGGATAGGAGACGCCTTTAGGATGAAGTGCTATGAATGTCTATCGAGCATCTTCTTGAGGATATCTAGCATAAAACTCATAGAGAGAAAGAAAGAAGCCCTTACGCCAGGACAGCCGCTTCCAGGTAAGGGCACATGCAAGCACTACAGGAAATCATACAGATGGTTTAGGTTTCCATGCTGCGGCTCCCTTTATCCTTGTGACATATGCCACGATGAGGAGAGCGGGCATGCATGCCAGATGGCAAACAAGATGGTTTGTGGACTGTGCTCCAAGGAGCAGGGAGTCAATAAGGAATGCCCCTGTGGAATGAATTTGAAGAAGTCCACGTCGTTCTGGGAGGGGGGAAAGGGCAGTAGAAATAAGGCAACAATGAGCAGAAAAGACAAGAAAAAGTATACGAAGTAAAATGAAACGGCGTTCAATGTCTTCTCAGGAGAAGAAGTACTGGTTGTTCTCCTTTTGGATTCTATCCTTTGCAGACCCAGGCTTGTTGACCCTAGGCCTTAGGTTGCTTGAATCCCTTCGAAACGTTACGTCAAGGCTCTTAAGGAAAATGTTCATTCCGTCCAGAAGACCCATGGGAGGCGAGGCAACGCTTGAGACCCCGGGTTCTCCCTGGAACACCACCACCTTGTCTGCAAGATATGTCCCGACTATCAGGTCGTGCTCAACGATAAATGCTATCTTGCCGTTGGAATATATAAATCTCTTTATGATTTTGGATATTGCTATTCTCTGGTCGGAGTCAAGAAATGCCGATGGCTCGTCGATGAGATATACATTCGCATCCTTCCCAAGACACATGGCTATTGCAATTCTCTGGAGCTCGCCCCCGCTCAAGTTCTGGACCTGCTGCTCATAGGTGTATTCGATGCTGAGTGGCTTGATAACGTCGTTTACAAACGATTGGTCCATAAACGAGGACCTGATCTTCGACATAAAGAGCTCTCTGACAGTGCCCTTGTACTTAGGGAGTATCTTTTGTGGCTTCAGGCTATAGCTCAGCTTGGTAAACTCGTCTCCTCTGTCAGGCTTTATGAGCCCAGCAATTAGGCCAACAAGCGTGGTCTTTCCCATCCCGTTTTCCCCGAGAAACACAATGATCTCGGAGTCGCTAAAGGATCCCTCCTTCACCTCAAGCCTGAACGACTCGTACGTCTTTGTCATCCCTCCATACCAGTACTGGGCCCTCTTCTCGGCATCCCTTGTGGGTCTCTCTGAAATATCAAACTTAAGCTCTGAAGGCCTGAACCTCATGTTCTCTGTCGGAATGTACCCGTCAAGAAAGATATTGATTGCAGACTTTATGGCATACGGCGCCGTGATCACCCCGTATGCACCAGACTGCCCATACAATACACATCCAAAGTCACTCATCAGGTCGAGTATCGCGAGATCGTGCTCAACAACAATCACGTAGCTGTTGTCCTCGCAAAGCTCTCTAATCTCCTTCGCAGCCGAAAGCCTCTGCTTGACGTCGAGATAGCTGGACGGCTCATCAAATATGTAAACATCGCTTTGCTGCATGCATGCCAACGCCAGGGAAAGCCTCTGAAGCTCTCCCCCGCTTAGCTCCTCCACATCTCTATCAAGTATGTTTCCAAGGCACATCTTTTCTATGTAGTAGTCCTTTCTTTGCCTTTGGTCCATCTCTTCAAGTACACTTCTAACAAGCAGTCTGTTGTCCGTATCTGTCTCGGTACCGTCCAGCGAAAGGCTTTTCACCATGCTCTTCACTTCAGGGCTAAACCTCTTCTTCAGCAGCTTTGGAAGCCTGTCAATGTACTGGATCTTGGATGTTATTCGCAGCTGTCCCTCGAGAACCTTAGTAAAGTATCCCTGGAGCTCAGACCCTCTGAAATATCCCAGAATCGTCTCCCAGCCTGGTGGGCTGTCGTACTTGCCGAGATTGGGCTTTATCTCCCCAGACAAAATCTTCAGTGCGGTGCTCTTGCCAATTCCATTCGTTCCTACCAGTCCAAGCACCTTTCCAGGCCTTGGAATCGGGAGTCTGTGCAGCTTAAATCCATTCGTGCCATACCTATGGGTTATTTCCTTGGTCAGATTCGTCGGAAGATTGATTATTGAGATTGCCTTGAAAGGACATTTCTTCTGACATGCAGAGCATCCGATGCACAGAACCTCCGATATCATGCACTTCTTCTCTATTCTGATGCACTCTTTTCCAGTCTTGTTCACAGGACATGCTTTCCTGCATTCAGATGCACACTGCGAAGGCTTACAAAGCTCAAAGTTAACAATGGCTAGTCTTGTAAGATTCGTTCTCTCCTCACCTTTCCCCATTTTGTGGGGATTCAAGCATCTGAAACCTCAAATCCTGGGTGGGATACACATGGATAAGACTACTGACACAGGATATCATTTATTGCCGAAAAGATAGAGTTTGTAGATACAGGTGAACTTTTTGTTCCCACCATTGCTCTTGACAACAAACTCAACAGACTTGACTGTTCTTCCTTCAAACTCAAACGTCTGGAACCCACATACATCTGGGTCGTACTTGAATTCTCCCACAAGCAGGTGTCCATCAGGGCCCTGGGAGAAAACCTCAAATTCCTGCACTGCACTGCTTGTATCCCTTGTAACGGGATGATAGATCCCAAGCTTGCAGATCTCAACCTCCTTGTCGAAGTCGACTGAAAATCTGCAGCTGGATCCCTTGAATGTTAGACACTCTCCAACACCGACATTCTCGTCAAATACCGTAGCCGGGTCCTTGTGCTTTCGGAACCCCAGAAACCCATACAAAAACAGCTGGGATGTATCCTCAATCCTTATCCTTGCTCCTTCCTCAATCTTTGCATAGTTCACCTCCTTTGTGCTCTTCATCGTCTCCATTTGCCTGCTCATTCGGGCACTCTCCTCTCTTAGTATGCTTATCTCCTCCATCAGATTCATCATCACCATCGAATCTATTGGTCTTTTGGCAGCCATGTAGAAAAACAAGGCATATGAGATGGCAATCGCTATGTAAACCGGATATCCTCTTATGTTCCTTGCTCCCAGCTCGTATCTATTCGTCTCCACAGGCTCCACGCTTTTGTTGGCCCTTGCTCTTGGAGCCGGCGTCTGGAGCATAACCATCTCATCCACCCCAAGGTTTAGTGTTGAGTCGGGAGTTCTTTTCACCCGTAGGCGGTCTCTTCTGTTCATGCACCCATCAGGAAATGAAAATTTAAAATTCCAGGACACAGATCTTCGGTGTGTCTCTGCCAAATATCTGCAACCCCGCGTACAGAGCTCTCCTACTTCCAAAGATACATAGTAAATGCAGCCATAATAAAAAAGGCATTGACATAGAAGTATGCCATCAGCTTCGACCTGACACTCAGATGATAGGCCCTTGAGTAGTGAGTGATTGATATGTGTATGATGGACGACACAAACAGGTTGAAGCCTAGAACAAACTTGTATCCAGATTCCTCGCATACACTCTGTAACCCTATATTCGAAATAGTCTTGCACAAGGATGACGACAGTGAGGCCAAGATATAGAACAGGTATGAATATGACATAGAGCCGGATGCACCCAGGAGGTATATGAACGCCACCGTTGCTGTCGATGTTAGGAGCGCCAGGGGAACACATCTGTCCTCGGATATAATTCTGGATATCTGCAATCCAGCAAAGGAAGAAAGTATCTTCGAGCACCCTTCAATGTATCCATGGACTATCACGGGCTTATTTGGGTTTGAGTGGTAGGACACCGAGCTGTCGAACCTAGAGAATATCCTGATTACCGTGTAGGAGACAAGGCGCACTGGCTTTGCTACAAAAAACAGCACTCTGTTGATCTTAATGCTGTTCTCTGCCCCGTTTTTCCTTTTTTCAAGAAATATCCCTGCAGAGTAGAATGAAAGACATATATACAGAATGCTTGCAGACGACGAAAGCAGGGATGCAAGTATGACTCTGTAGCTGTATGTGTCCACAATCCTTTTCCATGCCTCTGTGGGATTCCATATATAATCTATGAACTTTTCCTCCTCCCTCCGAGGAGTCGAGGCGGGAAGTAGAAGAGTGGTCAGAAGTGCAAGAAACAATCCCAGGAGAGAGATCGATATATTCACAAGGTGGTTTCCTCCACACATTATGATGTCCTGTCCGATCCATGATGAAACTACTCCTACGGATGTCTTGATGTTAACCACGGTCGACAGAATCACCTTTCTATCCTCCTTCTCATCAGCAGTGGAGTTGAGAATCGATTTCATCACAACCCCAAAGGATGTTGTTGCTCCATGCAGCACATACACAGCAGCCGTTAGAAAGCGGTTCTTGAACGGCATGAGCAGAAATATCAGGTACACCAACATCTCGGCAAATGTATCGGCAAAGAGACTTACTTTATTCCCCAAAAGCTCGATTATAAGGAATGAGGTAAGAGAGATGACAATAGAGGATGTAAAGAACAATGGGCTGAAATTGTTGTGGAGCTCCTTGTTGTGGAATCCCTTTTGCTCGACGAGATACGGGACCATGAATGAGAGGAATGGGGTAAAGGACTTCAGGGCAAAGTATTGGTACAGCTTAGTCGTCCATGACATTATCTTTGGGGCTTTGGATGAGCTCCACTAATAGGGCTCCCGAGAAAATTTTTGTTTTGACTGAGCATGAACCACATCCGCACACATAGGGCCGTCGCAGGTATCTGGTGGTGTCCTCCTTATGAAGATGATAAAAATAGTCCTGAAGTGAGGGCAGCATCTATGGGCTTAGAAAGCAGTGGAGGAATGGAGAGATCACGCAGGCAAAAGCATAGGGGAGCGCTCAAATGCATTTCGAAAAGAACGATTGCGCTGAAGATATCCTACGATGGGCGGAGATACAGCGGGGTTTCTCCTCAAAGTGGAAGGGAAACCATTGGTGGATATCTTGAATATGCCCTGAAGTCCACAAGATTAGGGGAAAAGCTGGTGTATGCCGGAAGAACGGATGCAGGGGTAAGCGCAATAGGTATGATAGCATCCGGGGTGCTGACATCAAGAATTGAGATGCCCAACAGAAGCTATGCTGTTGCGGAGGACGACTATAAAGAATATAAATACGACGTGATGCTGAACAACCATCTTCCGCCGGATATACGTGTTGTTGGGTGGGCGCCGGTGCCAGACACATTCAGTGCCAGGTTTACGTGCATACAGAGGCAATATCGGTACTACTTCCACAAGAAAGGCCTTGACATCGATAGGATGAGCAAGGCAGCATCCGAAATCAAGGGGATGAGCAGCTTCTACTGCTTCAGTAAGCACTCAGACAAAAACGCACGGTACGAAAGGACACTGGACGAGTGTAGGGTGGTGGACGATGGGGACCTGTACTATCTGGACATAAGGGCGAGAGCATTTTTGCATAACATGGTCCGGAAGATAGTGTGGGCCATAAAGAAATCAGGAAGGGGAGAGAGCTATGACGTTCAAAGAATAGGAACATCAGAGCCATATCCGCTAGTTTTCTGCAATGCCGTATATCCCCACGAGCTTTCCTTCATTACTAACCATCGATGCTCTGAAGAGTTTCGCCATAAGCTAGAGAGCGATCAAATCAGCTGTAAGATATCAAAGATTAGGGTAGAGCACCTTGACAACGGATTTGCTAAGGAAGCAAGGCATGAAGAGAAAGCACATAAATAAAAACTTTATTCCCGGACCTTTTCAATGATCTCCCTAACTATTGTCTTACCCTTCTCTGTTAGCATGTCCTTGGGATGCTCGTTTATCCATCCCATGTTCTTCAGATTCTCGAGGACAGATTCCCCTATTTCCGGGTAGGCCCCTACATATTTGCTGGGCCTACATCCTCTGTTCTTGAGAGACCCATACCTCTTTGCAAGAAACTCGGATGTGACAGCTCCCTTGATAGAGATCTGCCTCACAATCGAGGCCATCCTCGTAAAGTACCAGTCTTCTTCGATGGGTGCTTGCTCCCTTCCCTCGCCAGTTTTCATAATGTCATGGTCCTGGAGAGGAACCACCTCATTGGTCGACTTGAGATAGGACTTAAGTGCCTCGTTGAACTTCTCTGGCATAACCTCGTAGATGCCCTCAATCATTTGGGGTGAAAATTTTATCATTGTCAAAATCGTATAGCCTTCCACGCAATTAGGTAGTATGGCACAAAGCCCCAGATGGTGCCCTCGTACTTCATATCGACAAGGTCCTGTGTGGTCCCGCATGTGGTGGACGCTCAGTCCGTGCCTTCTACAAATAAGAATATAAAGATATATGCCGATGATATTTTGTACAAGGATTCTCCCTATGACGAGGGATTTGATCTGTCTCTGAAGGACTTCTGTGCGATTTCCGGGATCAAGACATGCCTTGGGTTTAGGAACAAGCCTAGTATCCTAGTTTCAAAGAAAGGGCACTACAAGCTTAAGGCCCAGAGATACAAAGAACTCCTTGAGGTTCTAAGGCCAGATTATTATGCAGACTTCAAGACCGGCAAGATCACTGTGGAGAGAGATGAGCTGATAGAGCCCAAGGATGTCAGGGACCTTGTGGAATGGTTGAGCAAAGGCCATCTGCTGTTTGGAACGGAGTTCATTAATGACCTTGTCTCGCAGGGGACGATGCTGAAGCTCAGTGGATGCAGGCTTGAAGTGTGTGGGATATTTGACTGCAAGTGCTGTGGAAGCCTGTCTCCTGGATATCTGGAGTACCTCTGGAGCATCAAGGAAATGAGTGCATTCACATATCTTGCAATACATAATTACAATACTCTCGACAGGATGTTTGAGGCCCTGGGACGTGGCGAGTTATGCCCTGGAGAGATAGAGATTGGATCATAACTCGGGCTTCTGTATCTCCGAATCACTGATGGTGATTCTCATCTCGGTTCTCTTATTTATATCTGGGCAGGATCGAAGGTTTAATAAACTGAAAATGTTTACCCCAAAATGAGTTTGAGTGTTGTCTCTGTGGATCAGTTTGTAAACTTTGCCCTATCAATAGCATCGATGAAGATTTCCGGCAGGCCAATGTTCCAGACGCCAAAGGCAATATGGATCCTAAGGGGGGTCTATCTATGTTCGAATCTTATTCAACTTATGTTCTCTTTCTATATAATGCGAAAGATCAAGAAGACAAATGATTGCCGCAAGGTCAAGATAAAGAAGGAGGCCTCTCTTTTCCGCGATGGAAGTGAGGAGGAGGAGGAGGAAATGACCTATGCCAGCTACGACGAGTCTGAGTTGACCAAGATCAGCAGGACAGCCGTAATTCAATTTTTGATTATCTCTGTGCTCCACTTCAAATGGAAAGTCATCCAGCCGCTGTTTGTCCAGTCATTTGTGCCGTTAAGAAACCTCTTTCTCAGCCCTCTCTACACTGCATATGTCTGGAACAGACCTGTTCTAAGGCCGTTTGAGGCGAACATGCTGTTCCAAAAGATACCTGCTGCACCTGAGAAGAAGAGAATCAAGGAAGACTGATTAAACAATCCATAAACGCCCCTTCTTCTCCACAGTACCCCTTTCCCGGAAGAAGGCCGGAGCTGCCTACTTTCTCTGGGAAAATAAAAGTTTAAGCTTGGTTTTAATCCCCCGTATGGAAGATGACGTAATCCAGGAAAAGAACGAACACATCAATGCAAAGGAAGAGGATTTGAGCACTTCGGAGAATCCGCGAGCAGGCCAGTATGGCGAGAGGGACATCATCCAAGAAGAAAAAAGCGTAATTCGTGTGAAAGTCCAGCAGAAGAAGGGAACAAAGAAAGTGACCATCATTGAAAACATACCGATGGAGCTTAGGGAAAGCCTTCTGTCTTCCCTCAAGAGGGAAATGGGCTGCGGTGGAATACTCCTCGATGACAAATCATCGATCCAGCTGCAGGGAGATAAGACGAACATGGGGATTGTCACCTACCTAAAAAAATACATTAAGGACTGCAGGGTTGAGCTGAATGGAAGAGTTAGATAAAGCTCTGTCCACTCAGCCTAGGGATGGTGCTTGGATTAAATGAATGTCCGTACCATTTGCCATCTTTTCTCCACTCCAAACTAAAAGTTCACTGTTATTTTAATAGGTCAGTTTGTGAAGTCTAGGGGCTCAAAAAGAATTTTGTCAGGGGCTTTGAACACTCGAGACGTCTTGTGCTTGAAGAGCTCATTAAGGATGTCGAAGTCGTATCTTCTGCCTATCCTCTTCTTGTTTTTGTTCCTAACCTCAAACCCATGCAGCTTGTGCTTTGAGTTGCACATTTCATCTTTTGTCAGAATGTCCTTTTGGGGCCTGTGCTCGTGTAAGTACATGCAGTCCCCGTTCTGGCACACCGCATTCCTTAGATAGAATGTGCAGTACTTTGTTGTCCCATATGTACATTTCAGAACCTTTCCGTCCAAGAGACTCTCGTCGACCTCCTGGATACAGGTCTTTGCTTCCTCGTCCGTGCTGTATGTGATGTAGGCACTGGCAGTAGACTCAAGCGAAGACGTCCGTTTATTGACTACTATTTTCTTAATTGCCCCAAACTGCCCGAAAAACTCGTGCCTGCTCAGAACACCTTCGTCTGCATACTTCTGCGGTATGCATATTATATATACAAGGTTCTTTTGCACCACCCTTATGTTCGAAAAATTTCCTCCTCCCTGTCCAGAGGCTATCAACATCGATTCTTTAGGCATCTTTGGGGATCGTTTGCAAAATTTAATATTTATCCTCAAATACCAATAAGTTACTCCAAATCCACCGCCTAAGCTTGCCTGTCTTCTCTCGCATCGCTTTTAGGCCATTTAATAATTACCAGAAAAGATCCAAAGTATTAGTAACCGTGCTAACGCCATTTAATCCCTAGACATGGAGCTCCGCAGCAAGATGGCACGTGGGGCGAGCTTTCCTGCATCAGGCAGGCTGCTGCAGCGCTGCTTTAGTTCAAAAACACTTTGGCATCGATATTGTACACTGCCTTTCCTGCCTCAAGAATCCATATCTCGACGTTCTCACCGGTCAAAGCATCGTCTTCCGGATGCGCATTTTTCAGGGCCATAATTCCAATCCTCACAAGCTCCTCAACACCCATCTTCTCATACTCCTCACAGTATGCCTCCAGCACGGTTCTGGAAGATTGCGCCCTGCACCCTATGCCCATTCCCTTGACCTCCCGAACATGCCCCTTTGGATTGAATTCAACCAGTCTTATCCCATCATACTCCGTCATGTAAAGCCCCGAGACTCCATAGAGCCTCCTCCCGTCGAGTATTGTTCTCTCAAACACGTCTCTTAACAAGTCCTCAAACACATCCAGGAAATGGATGGCCCTTCCCTTAATAACCTCCTCTCTGACGCTTTTGTCAATTAAGTAGTCCACAATCTGTAGCCCATCATTGGTGATCCCAGAAAATGTAAACAAGGACTTTCTATCGATCGAAAACACCTTCTTTTGGATGTCTGCAAGCCTCGATCTTCTTTCGTTGTGGGCTATTAGGACCCCAACACTCCTGTTCTTCAACCCAACGGCCGTACCTCCAAGCTCTGTCGTTTGCCGGATAAAATCTAGCTGCTTCACACATCCCTCGGGATTGAATATCTTGAACATGTTGTACCTTGCCTGAGACCCCATTAACTGGGGTCCAGCTCTTAAAAACATTAAACAACATCCTATTTATTTGGATCTCAATCTCCCCTACGATACAATAAACCTCACGTGCTCCTGCAGTACCGGAATATCTACGCCCTCAACAAACTTCCTCAGAGACTCCGAGTATAGCCGAATCACATCGTCCATAGGGCCTCTTATGCTTCGCTCCATGGCAGACTCGTTGAGATCCCTGAGCTCCTTGAAGATCCTTTCCACAAAGTTGAGCATCCGGAATGCTTCGTTAAAGTAGAGAGAGTCTGCCGTGGTCGCCTTCAGGACCTCTTTGAAATATCCCTTGATCCTCTCCTCCAAGTCCTCCATTGTCTCCATCCTCGGAGGCTCCTCAAGCCTCTCGAATATCCCAAACCCGTTTCTGTTTGTAAACAGCTTGAATGTGTCCTCTCGGACTATTAGATCCATCACCCTGTAAAGCATCATACAGGGGCTCCGAAGCTCCCCATCTAAACCCAGGCCATATATTACAGGTTTATTTAAAATGACATGCATATCCGCAGAAGCGCCTGGCTGGCAATCTCGTCCATCTCATCGAAATCTTCCTCGTCAAACGCCTCCGGTCTCGGGATATATTCGGGGAGATTCTGAACACTGCTGCTCCTCCTTGTCTTTTGCTTCATGCTCACATGCGGAGAAACTACAGAGCTGTTATGGTTGTTCTCGTACTTCCCCTGCCCCAGGTCATGGTTCTTGTGGAACTCATCGATAGAGCAGAACATGCTTCTCCTCCTCATCTTTTCGCTTCTTCTTTGTATCGACGAATTCCAATAGTTCTTTATTGCATTATCCGTCCTTCCAGGAAGGTACTTTGCTATCTCAGACCATCTATTTCCAAACTTCGAGTGGAGCTCAATTATCACACCCTCCTCTTCCATAGTAAACGGCTTCTTTGTAATCTGTGGGTTGAGATGGTTGTGCCACCTTTCTCTGCATTGCTTCCCAACCCGGCTCCCCAGCTTCTTCGCAATGAACGACCAGTTCTTAGGCGAAAACTCCTTCACCAGCTTTAGGAGTCTCTCGTCCTCCTCATGCCTCCATGGACCCTTAACAAGTTTGGTGCCTGTGTTCTTTTGATTCAGTGATAACTGATCCAACGAAGTCATAGAGCCGCACGGGATCTAGGGCTTATATCCTTTTGTTTACAAAAATTAAATTCAATGATATATTTGACACAATTTTTGCCATAAGGTTTAATCACATCTCAAATTACTAATGAATTCACATAGGTTGTCACTCACTCCATATATCAACTTCATTTGCATATCAATCTCGCTCCCACTGCCCTTGGTCTCCATCCCACATCCTCGGCCTCCCATTGCCTGAGCTTTAACAAACACCTCGCAGCCAACCAGTGGCGGGAAGTTGCATAATGAAAATTGCTCATTTTAGGCCATGGTTCTAAATCTCAAGCTTCTCTTAAATACAACGCCTTCCTAAACCGGTAAGTTTTAATTGTTGCGGGAAAAGTCTGTAAACTCGCCACCAAGCCTAGAACACCTAAGCTGGTTCTATCCAAATGCTTGATCACACAACAATGCAATCACTGCTGCAGGGCTCTAAGGCAAGCCGGCCGGCAACACAAATTAAATAGTACATCTACCTCCATCAAACCCTATCTCTATAATACTCATACTCTCCATTTCTGAAGGACTCCACTACGTATGAAACAATCCTTTCGACATCCACATCCTTCGAATCCAAGGTTCCTATAAACTCAATAAGCTGCTCGCCCTGGAGCTCTAGTATCCCCATTGCGAAGAACTTGAGGATGCCGGCAGCAAAGAACATGAATATGGAAAAGTCGAAGAACAGAAAGAAGTCCCACATCCTCAGAACCAGCTTGATGTCGAATCTTGTAAACAGCGTCAGGTACCACCCAACAGCATAGACTCCAATGTCTATGTTCTGGTGCAGCAGGTGGCTATACACCTCGGGTATCAGGGCCTTGAAAATCTCATCCTGTATCTTCTGCACGCGAGGAACTTTACTCAGCTTCTTATCAAACAGGGCTTCTAGGTGGTTGTTCCTGATGATGCTGACCAGCATTTCAAAGGCCTCCTCCTCTGGAAAGTACATCAGAAGCAATGCAGCAGCGCTGGACATCCCCTGGCAGTATCCAACCTCAGGATTATAGTTTGAGTATGCCGTAAGAATGTTAAACAGCTCGCACTGTCCTCTGCCATATTCGCGGCTGAAAAGAAAGTGCCTTCTAAAGGTTCTCTGAACATCTACATGGATCTGGTGCTCGTACCCGCTTTTCCTAGAGATTAGAGCCGAGTAGTCGAAGTCTGAAGTTCTTTGAGTAAACAGCCCCCACAGCCTATACTTCAGCGAAAGAGGAATCCCCTGGTATATTAGCCTTCTTGCGCTTTCGCTTCTGCGGAGCCTCTCTCCACTGTTCTTGCACCTTGTTATAAGATCATACCATTCGTTTTTGATGGAGACGGGGTTGTCTTTTGTCTGGGAGCTGAAGCTGTCCACCACAAATCCATACTCGTTTGTGCAGAAAACTTCCTCGGATATCCCGCTGGAGTTGTAGAGCTCCCGTATGTGTCTTTCATTCTTCATGTTGTTTTCGGGCCACGTTTTTATAAATAGAGGATCTGAAACATTAGGTGAAAGACAGGCAACTGCTCGGGGATGGAAGTAGCACTGATTTGGATGCACTTGTACCACAATGCTGCGGTTGGATCCCCGGGAAAACTAAATCCATTACAGGCACGGCCTGAAACACTGCAAGAGATCTGTCGTAAATTCGAAGAGTTTCGGTAAAATACATGCATCACAAGAGTACGGTCAAAAAAACATTCAAGGTCCTGTTCTTCTTTATCCAGGCACTGGGATTCATATCCGGGATTGGGGTGTTAATAGTCGGAACCACGATCTATGCAACGGCCCATGAGATACTCCAAATACCTACAAAAATGCTTATGCTTTCGTACGTACTAGGTATCCTAGAAGTTCTATCGGCAGTGCTTGGATACACAGCACTGGCATCAAGAAGAAGGCTCCGGATGCTTGTCTACATCTCCACCACGCTCATTCTCATGAACGTGCAAGCTATAATGGCTGTAAAGAGCACAGTCATCCATGAGAGATCGCGCGCATGGGCGGACTGGAGGTGGGACTCGCTGAACGAGGAGCAGAGAAATTTTGTGCAGTCGAAGTTCAAGTGCTGCGGCTTTTTAGACTCAAGCGACAGGAGTGGATCCAGCTGTGGAGGGTCTGATGGATGTGTGGATGCCGTGTACAAGCTCTCCAAAAGCACGGCATCTCTTATGCAGAGAACGCTGATGTTCTCATTCTTCTTTGAGTCGGTTGGAATGGGGATCCTGAGCATGCTGAGGCTTAGAAAGTGATTTGGCTAGGTTTTGAGATTGAATAACGGGGGAACTAGCCTTTACCCGGTTGTGGCCTCTGGCGGTTTGGCCCGGAGCAGTGCACAGATGAAGAAGATCTGGGCTCTACTTGAGTAAGAACTTATGTCCTAAAATTTTTTCCCCCTACAATGCAACACGAGAATAGAAGGAAGCGAATTCCAGGCATTCATCCATATTTGGCGGTTATAGGGGAGCTAAGGCAAGAGCTTGGAAAGGTGACTGCATCGATAAACGACCTTAGGGACAAGATCTCTGCTATTTACAAACAGGAAAGGGAAAACTCGCCAAAGAACAATCTGTATAAGAAGTTAGATGATCTAAGCAACGAGATCAAGGCGTTGAAGGAGAACAGGTCCAAGGTATTTAACTCGAAGAGCGAAGTACTGGGAGCATACGAGAATGTCAAGAGCGAGATTCAGCCCGAGAAGGGGAAGAAGATGATGAGTGCGCAGGAGATTGATGGGCGTATGAAGGAGATAAATCTTAAGCTTATTTCCAGTAAGTGCGACTTGAAGACCGAAAAGATGTTTGAGGCGGAGATTGAGAATCTTAGGAAGCAGAGAAAGAACATTGGAATGCTGGAGCAGAAGAGCAAGCTTGCTGTAGAGATGAAGGGTAAGCTTGATGTGCTGAATGCAGAGATCAAGGAGCTGAACCAGAAGATAGCGGAAAGACAGTCGATCGTTGACGGAATCAAATCCGAGCTGAAGGAAATCAGCGACCAAGGAAAGCCTAAGAACCCTGTGGTTGACGGGTATGAGAAGAACATCCAAGCACTTAAGAGCAAGAGAGGGGAGATTTCCGAGAAGATAAAGACACAACAGGAGAAGATCCGGGAGAAGGAAATTGAGTACGACAAGTTCCTCGAGGAGATATCTATTGCACAAGCTCTTGAAAGGCAGAAGGAGGAGATAATGCAGAGGATTCATGGTCTTGAGGAGCAGAAGAATATCCTTTCAAAGGAAGAGTCCAAGCTTGATCCTTCGAAGTTTGATTCAATAATATTTAGGATGGGATCTCTCTCTCTGTCTGGAGAGAAGGTCAGCCTTCCAGTTGACCTGGCCCTCTACTTGAGCCAGCACAAGATCCCGATTCCGACATGTGCCAACCAGATGAAACCAACGATTGAGGTCCTCAAGTCTCAGAAAGAAAGCTTCTCCAACCAAGTGACTGAAAAGAGAAAGGAATTTGAAGGCAAGATTTCTGATCTTGAAAGAAAGATAGCCGAGGAAAGAAAGATCTTGTTGGGCATGCCTCCCACTGATGTGAGACTGCTAAAGTTCAAGCGCGATTAAACCTTAAAACTTTAGTTGCTTTTATGATTTAGATTTATTGAGTTTCGAGGTGCGAGCAGCGAATATTAGTCTTTGAGAACCCGTGGCATTTGATGTTGAATGTTTCTCCTTTAGTGCCTGCATCTTCAGCTATTGTTAGTATCGTAGTTAGAGCAGCGGAGACTTTTCTTGTTTATCCTGAATGTTAATGGGATTGTGGCAACGGCTTCTGGGGCCGGAAGCTCTGAGGGCTTGGGCGAGTAATAGGCCCCTGCATACCTCTCGTTCATCTTGTCGAGTGTTATTCTTGTTAACATTTTCTCTTCTTTGTTTTCTTCCCCTGCGGCATATTTTTGTTTTATATACACCATTGATTTCCAAGTGATCTGGTTGGTGCAATGGCCATCTGTTAATGGAGGTGGAGGATTCTATTGGCGCAGGCGGGGCATAAAGTCCTCTGTGTAGCCCCGAGATTTTTGCTCACCAGTATAAAATAGTGAAAAATGCCACCCCTACTTACCATGTGGAGATGAGGCAGCCTTCACTGCTGCTTGCATCGTGGATGTCCAATTCTCACGACACAAAATGGAGCAATGGGCATCCATTTGGGCAACAGCCTGCCACCCAATTTCTTTTCCGGGAGATCAAGCAAGACTTGCTTTCTCCTTATCATCTAAAATGTGCCTGCCTACTCCTGAGCCTTTAATGCGAAGCTGGTAGCGGTTAGTATTCCTGTGAACAAGGAAGGATGCTCATGAGGCCCTGTTTTCCAATGTAGAATCCCTTGTAAGATTCGAGGCAAATAAACAGGTCCAATCGATCTTCTGCAAAAAGGAGGAAGTCCTTTTCAAATATTTATGAGAATACCCTTCAAACTCTCCAAGGCAAAAGTTAGAAATGAAGCGAGAAGAAATAGACGACAGTAGTGATTGCCGCATCCGCTATGCAGACTTCCGGGATAGTGGGAATAGACCTATATCTGCACCACCGGTGGACAAGTTTTTTATAGAGGACGAGGTGGAGCTTGGCGATATCCAAACAGATCTAAACTATTCTATTTTTTACAGAAGGAACTGCAAAAACGAGCCGCGATTGCAGCCGCCGAGCTTCTTTATAAGAGGGCAGAGCGGGTACTGGACAAGTCAGTATGATGACTTGATAGCTAAGGCATTTTCTAATACAGGCTTTCTCGACATAAAGACGATTGGAGAGCTTTCCTCTGGATCTGAGAGTAGCAGGTCCCTTGCAGAAAGAATCGATGAAGATTATCCCGAGTCTGAGAAAAGTAGCGAGTACAAGGGAACCTCTCGGGCAACAACGCCGATAGGAAACATGAATGTGCTGGACACGGAGACATTCAGTGCCATGCTGAATCTCAAGGGAGCAAAGGGAGTGGAATGCACACAAGGGGGAGGAAATCGTAGATCCTCATCTGCGATTGGAGACATCGGGGGGATTCCCATGGATAGCAGGTTTCTTCGGGAGCTTCTAGAAATACACGAAGAGCAAGGCGGGAAAGGATGCAAGGGTGTACCTGGAGGGCCATCGATGAAGGACATATGTGTGAGCATAAGCAAGGATCAGGAAGGAAGTAGATGCATACAAAGGAAAATGGACAGCATTTCCAGGGCGGAGATTTCGTGGTTCTTCAACAATATTGTAGATGCAGCACCGGAGCTGTCTGCCAACTTGTTTGGAAACTATGTCATCCAGAAGATCATACCTCTCCTAACTGAGGAGGAAAGAGCGAGGCTGATTGCCAAGCTGGCCAAGCAGATCAATCTTCTTTCTGTTCATCCGTACGGATGCAGGGTAATCCAAAAGTTGGTGGATGTCTCTTCAGACGTCGACTTTATTTTGGAGGAGGTGAGAGACAACCTACTGGAGCTGATAGAGGACCAGAACGGAAATCATGTTATCCAGAAATGCATAGAAAAGTGTAAGGACAGAAACATCATTCTCCAGCAATTCTCAGAGAATTCCTTATTTCTGGCGACCCACAAGTATGGATGTAGGGTTATCCAGAGGATGCTGGAGTTTTGCAGAGAGGACGAGATCAAGAACATTGTAGAGGTTCTTATAAGCAACATAAAGACTCTTGTTGACGACCAGTACGGAAACTATGTCATTCAGCACATTCTGGCTGTCGGAAAAGAAGACGAAAAGAACCTAGTCATTGAAAAGATCATTGAGAAGAGCTACGAGCTGAGCAGATGTAAGTTCTCAAGCAACGTTGTTGAGCAATGCGTCAAGCTTTCAAACAACGGGCAAAGGGAACGGTTTCTGGCTAAATTCCTGGAGCCCGTGGGATCCAAGCCTGGGATGTACTCGATGTGTGTTGATATGTATGGAAACTATGTGGTGCAGCGCCTATACGACTCCTCTGGGGAGAACATACGGAGGGAGATGAAAAGTGCATTGAGACCTTTTGTTAGGGATCTCAAGAAGTCTCCATTTGCAAGACACATCCTCTTCAAAATCAACACATGACGACTTCCGTGTAAAATTTGGGAATAAAGGTTTATCAGATTCTTCTTTTTTCAGGATATTCTTTTGGGTTTGTCGGGAAAATACAATCCCGATGCCCACCCCAAATGGTCAAGGGCCTAAGCAATAGGGATGCGGTTGTAGCAATGGTTCTTGCAATGATGGGGACAGGGATAACCTTTATGCCGTATGCATTCAAATCTGCAGGATACCTTAACGCAATATTTCTCATGACGTTCTTTGGAATGGGAACGGCAGTGTCGTGCTACTGTATTTCCTATACAGCCAAGCGCTCAAAGCAGGACAGCCCCACGTATTCTAGTCTGGCCTCTAGTATTTCCACAACGCTTGGGTATGCAGTCAACATCTCTATCTTCTTCAACGGGTACCTTGCAGCCGTCAACTTCTATAGGTATCTGTCTGATCTGATTACCAGGAACTCACACTACATTCGAAGTCTCACGAGCGACTATGAAAGATCCAGGAAGATCGTTGTTCTTATCCTTGCTGCTCCGTTTCTGTATCTGTCTTCAAAGAAAACACTCTCAGGACTCGTGGTCACATCCTATTTAAGCATTGCATCCGTCTCATACCTGGCATTCCTAATGGTCTATCTGTTTCTTACGGTGGGAACCTCATGTGCAGTTGGAGAGGCAAAGGCGTTCAACGGATCTCTAGGAGAGGCCGTTCCCTTCTTTATCTCTTCTATGGTGTGCCAGGCAAACATGGTCAAGATATACACAGAGATGAAGACCAGAAGCAGCAGAAGTATCATAATTGTATCTCTGGGTGCAGCCATTGGTGGAATGCTCATCAACGGCCTAATCGGCCTTTTCGGATACCTTGTGTTTGGAGATGGGGTCAGCGGAGAAATCATAACAGAGCTCTCTGACATGGACAGTTTAATCAACAGGCGCCTCAGAGAGGGGTGGGATAAGAGCAACATCATGTCTGGGATGGCAATCTATGGAATGATGCTGACATTGTTTGGAGGATACCCGGTCCAAGTCAATCCCGTTGTGGACATGATACTCAAGCTCCTTCCTGGAGAGAGAAGGACGGAGATGAGCAGAAGGATAATAGTAGTTCTGCTGTTTCTTATAGCCATGTCCTTGAATCTTATGGAGGAGCTCAAAACAAAGGTTATCAAGAAGTTCCTCGGCGCTACATTCTCGAACTCGGTGGCATTTGTATATCCGTTCATATACTACTTATCCACAAGGAAAGAAAGATCCTTTGTTTCATCATTTATGTGTATTCTTATGATAGGAATGAGCATTATAGTAAGCATCTACACGGTCTTCAGGTTTGCTGTAGACGGAACGAAGTAGATCAATAAAAAGCTTTATTCAACAACAGATATGGGCTAGCTTATGAAAGGACCTGTGCATGATATTATATTCCTGTACCCAAACTTAACGCATAGGAGGGGAGTGTTCTTGGTATAGTACGTTCCCAGGCAGCCTCCCTTGTGGTCGGTTCTATCCCAGAGCCTGACACTGTTGTCTGCACCGCAAGACGCAAGTACACTTCCGTAGAAGCAGAAGGACACTGAAAACACAGTGTTTTCATGGCCTACATATTTCCCTAGGAGCTTTGAGCTTTGGATGTCCCAGAGCAACACCGTTCTATCCTTGCTCCCACTGGCCAGGAACTTACCGCAGTGCGAAACGTCCATGCATGTTACCGTATCAGTGTGTCCACAGAAAATCCGAACAACAGATGCCGTGCTTATGTCATGCATCCTTACCCTGTGGTCAGAGGACCCTGTAAACAGATAGCTCGAGTTCGGATGGAACTTCACAGCAGTCACATCGCTGAGAGAAGATATTATAAGTCTTTCGGGCTTAGATGTCATAACAGACCATACAATGGCCTGTCTGTCTCCCGCCCCACTTGCAAAGAAGTAGTCATTGGGGGCAACATCCACACACCAGACAGGGAATGCATGGGCTTTGTAAACAGCAAGTAGACACAAAAGATCAAGGCTCCACAAGCACACAGTGCAGTCCTGAGAGCTCGAAACAAGAAACTTGTTTGACGAGAAGAACTTCAATCCATACACAGGCCCGGAATGTCCAACAAGCTTGTAGCTACTACCAACTTCCTCAAACTTCTCCTCATTCAGTGTCTTGATGTCTGACTTGGCAAGCTCGGAGCTGCTCTTAAGCTTTTTCAGAGACTCGTTAGTCAGCGAATACACCTCCACATAGCTGTCCTTGAATCCACACGCCATCAGCTTTAAGTCATTACTGATCTCTGCTGCTGTAAGACCCTCATATGTGTTATGTATCGTGTAGCAACAGATACTGGGGAGATTGTTCTTGTTCACGGCCACTCTTTTGCAGAGGTCCTTTAACTTTTCGATCTCAGCATGGATCTGGGATGCGTTGGGTTTGTAGACCGAATCCTTCGGCTTCATTTCCCTTTGCTTCCTCAGCTGCAACACGTATGTTTCAAGATGGTCGTATCTGTACTGCTCGTCTCCGAGGATTGCATCCTCGCACTCCCTAGAAACCAGAAACGTGGTCAGATCGATTTCTGCATCAACAACGCTTGTCTCAATCCCCTGCGGCCTTTCCTCGCTCTTTGGCCCAACATACACCTTAATGTCCAGGTGCTGATTGAGTATCTTCAATATGTATGTCAGATTCCTCTCCTCAAGAAAGTTTATGAGGAGGTCGAATGCATACCTCCCCATGGACAGATGGTACTTAGAGTTCTTGAAGGTGTAGGCAAAGTTGTTTTCATGGATGTGCTGCACCGTGTAGATGCTTTCAAACTGCTTTATCTCTTCGGACTTGTTATAGTGGTCGCCTCTATACTTCTCAAAAAACTCCTTCGCCTCGTCGGTCTTGTTCTGCTGTATCAGGTCGAAGTAGATGTGGATGAATAGAGGGTACAGAAGGGGAAGAAGATCATTCTTGAACAGGTCCAGAGAGTCCTCGATCCATGTCTTAAGGCTGACATAAGATGTCTCCATCTGGTCTTTGGATAGAGTCTTTGCAGAAATGCTTTCCCTAATATTTTCCGACATGCCGGGGTTTCAATTAAAAAATTTAGTTGCTGTGCTAGAACAGGACGCCATAAGTAGCGGTGGAGAAGTTGAGTAAGAGGCAACGTCAAGCAAAGCATATTGCTACCGTTAAAAGTAATGGAGAGTAGATAGAGCTCGACGTTTATTTTACTCATAAAAGTATATGCTCACTGGTGGTAGAAACGGAGACGGTTATGGTTGTATCTCCCCTCCTCCCCTGTGATAACACTTTCATATGAGGGAGGTGGTTCGTTGAATGAGGAGAGAGGAGGAGCCGAAGGAGCAGGTTCGAATGAGGAGAGAGGAGGAGCTGAAGGGGATGGTTTAAAGGGATGAGCCTGTGGATATGCCTGAGGTGATGTTTGCGCAGCATGTGGACTTGTTGACTGCGGGGGACTGTGGAAATGTGAACTTCTGGTACTTCCAGAAACGTAAAGAAATACCATTATTCCAACCATAAGAATAAAAAATACTAAAAATATCAGAAAAATAGCAATGTCTGCGGTGGACACATCAGCCTCGGGCGATTTTTTCTTTGAACTCTTCGAGATTATAATACGGAATGGCGCCTTTTTTTTGTTCTTTTCTTCGCTCTGGTTCTTTTCGTTGTCCATTTTTTTTGCCATAACCCATAAAAGTATTTCAATTTTAATGCTTGAAATCTAGAAAAATATGCAGACAAGATTGGTAAGCTGCCAATAAGGAGAATTTAATTATCAACGCCATCAAAGAAATCAACAATGATGGAGTATGCCTTGTCTGAAACTGTTCTGTCAACACTATCCTGCAGTCCCTCTATTGCATCAACTATATCCGCCTCAACCATCTTCTCGTATATGGGGTTCTTACCATATCTGAGCTCCCATTGCTTTCCTCCGTTCAATGCATATCTGAAACAATCAAGTATCTGGCACTGCATTTCCGGAACATTGGGGACGACATCCAGGTAGCTTTCCAGGGCATCGATGAAGCCGTTATCCATCAGAATCTTGAGCCATTCAAACTTTATATCGGAGCTGCTGGGGAGATTATTACAGTGGTACATCAGATTCAGCACTGCCCAGCATGCCTCTTTCCTTATGAACAGTTCATAGGAAGACATTGAGTCAATAAGCAAAGGCGCAAGATCCATGTCCATAACAGCCTTTGCATGCTCGACGGTCCCAGCGGTGATGTTCGACAGTGTCCAGCATATTTCCTTCCGAAGTCTTGGCTGCTTCTTATTCTCCAGTCTGTAGAATATGGGTCTGAAGAACTTCAGAAACCCCATTCTAATCAAGGCGCTCGTTTGATCGTCGGATCCGGTAACTATGTTTCCTATCATCCTTATTATCGGAGATATTGCACACAGGCATATCTTTGCGTCTTCTGCTGAGTAAGACATCCCAACAAGTCTATTGGTGAGGGCTTCTAAAAGAGAGTGTGTTCTGCCCATTGTGCCGCTGTTGAGTACTATGTCACTGCATTCCATGCTTACATCTACAATGTAGCTGAGCGCCCAATAGGCATCGCTAACCACCTCTGGATCTCTTATGTTGATTAGCTTAAAAAGGATCTCAAGTGACTTCCTCATGTTCTGCTCGCTTGGCGGCGGATTCCTCCCTCTGTTGAGGTTGGAGAGAAGCCACGTAAGATTCCTGACGATTTTTATGTGGATGGCACTCTCATGAAGCTTCAGAAGTAGCCCTAGAACCGTGTCAAGGGCCCCTGTTTCAAGTATTATGTCTCTCATTCCCTCAGAGTCCCCTGCTATGTTTCCCAGGGCCCATACACTTTGGTCTAGGACAGCATCGTTTGTGTCCAGAAGCATCTGGATTAGGAGAGGAACTGCCCCACAATCAATTACAACCTTTGTCTGCTGTGTGGTTCCCGACGATATGTTTGTTATGACCCATGCAGCCTCTACCCTAATCTTATTTATTATATCCATAGCAACACTAAATTCAGGCATATCCCGTTGTATGTTTGAGACAGGAATTCCACCCATCACCATTCCAGATGACGTTAGAAACGATATGTCCATAAGCTCTATGAACCTAGGAACACACCCAGAGTCTATGACTGGCTGAATCGGAGGAGAGTCTTCAACGCTTAGTAGCGATCTGAACTCGTAAACACCCTGGTGGGCTTGCTCCAAGTCATTGCTAAACAGCTTTTCCTTCATCGGGATGAAGTTTGAGATGGCAGATGCAGAAACAGAGAGATTCCTCTTTTTATTCAGCAACTCCTCTTTCTTCTGCTGCCGGAGCTCCACCTGCTGCTCTTCTCTCATCTTTCTCCTGTTCTCTGTTGTCTTTCCGTCAAACATGTAGGACCTAGCCATTTTGATGGGTTCAAAATTTACTGCTTAAAGACATTCAAGGAAAGGTGGATGTTGGCAATGGTCGCTGGCGGAGTTGTCTTTCATGGATCTGGAGTCTATTGGAAGAGGCTGCTCTGAAATAAAACATTTCTTCCTGCCACCCTAATCATCATGATAGGCGGGCTGAAGAGTTGCATAGAACAGCCATCTTTGCCCAAGCCTTCTACCCTTCTGCCGCAAGACAAGGCGTGTGATACGGGCGGGAAAAGGATCTTCCTTGACGTACAGTCAACTACGCCTGTTGATCCCCGGGTTCTCGATGCAATGCTTCCGTTTTACACAACAGTATTCGGGAACCCACACTCAAGGACACACCGGTATGGATGGCAAGCAGAGGCTGCAGTGGAGAAAGCCAGATCCCAGGTGGCCTCTCTTATAGGCTGCGATCCCAAGGAAATAATATTTACTAGTGGAGCAACAGAGAGCAACAATCTGGCGCTTAAAGGGGTTTCCGGCTTTAAGCTCAAGGAGGGAAAGGCTGCTCATATAATAACGCTGCAGACGGAGCACAAATGCATTCTTGACACATGCAGGAATCTGGAGGAGAACGGTGTGGAGGTTACATACCTTCCTGTTGGAAATGATGGTGTGGTTGATATTGATGACGTTAAGAAGAGTATAAAAGAGAATACCGTTCTGGTGTCTATAGGTGCAGTAAATAGTGAGATAGGGACTGTCCAGCCACTGAAGGAGATTGGAATGCTGTGTAAAGAAAGGGGGGTTCTTTTCCACACGGATGCAGCACAGGGAGTCGGGAAGATCCAGATTGATGTTAACGAGATGAACATAGATCTTCTGAGCATGTGTGCCCACAAAATCTATGGCCCGAAGGGGATAGGAGCTTTGTATGTTAGGCGAAGACCTCGAGTCAGAATGGTTCCTCTGATCAACGGGGGAGGGCAGGAAAGAGGGCTTCGGAGCGGAACCGTTGCATCTCCCCTGGTAGTAGGGTTTGGGAAGGCTGCAGAGATATGTTCGAAAGAAATGAAGCGAGACTTTGAGCACATCAAAGAGCTTTCAAAGAAGCTAAAGAATATGTTCAAGAAAAACATTGAAGGAGTGATCATCAATGGATCTGAGAAAGGATTCCCGGGGTGTGTGAATGTGTCATTTCCATTTGTGGAGGGAGAAAGCCTTCTAATGCATCTGAAAGACATTGCACTTAGCAGTGGAAGCGCCTGCACATCTGCTTCACTAGAGCCGTCGTACGTACTTAGAGCATTGGGCAGAGATGATGAGCTGGCACACTCTTCGATAAGATTTGGAATTGGGAGGTTTACAATGGCCAAAGAGATTGACATAGTAGCAAATAAGACTGTCGAGGCAGTCCAGAAGTTGAGAGAGATGTCTCCCCTCTATGAAATGGTTAAAGAGGGAATAGATCTGAGCAAGATCAGTTGGACCTCGTGATATTAAATCCTGTTCAAAACTTCATTTTATTCACGGATCATGGGGTACGCCCTGAAGGAAGCGAAGTCCTTTTCATAATGTAATTGTCAAATATTGATAAATATGATCCACTTTGGGCATGATGGTTAAGAAGCCAATGAAGCTCAACAAAGCAAGAACGCCATTGGTCCATTTCGACGCGAAAAAAATATATAATCAAGAAAAATATTGAGTGCTTGATCATGGGATATATTAGTATGAATAGTACCAATCTTATCAGGCCTTATGAAGGCACCGAGCTTAACGATGCGGGGAGGAAGTACAAGAAGATCGGAGAAAGACTTCTTAGAGAAAAGAAGCTGGGAGTCGTCATACTGAGTGGGGGACAGGGGACTAGGCTTGGGTCGGACGAGCCCAAGGGTCTGTTCAAAATCAAGGGTAAAACATTATTTGAATGGCACATGGAGACGATAAAGGAGCTAATAAGCAAGTACAATGCAGACATAGCCGTGTTCATCATGACATCCTCGTTCACAGATGAGGCCGTCAGAAAGTACTTCCAGAGTACAGACTTTGGTCTGAAGATCCAGTTCTTTAAGCAAAGAAACTCCTTGTGCGTGGGAACTGATGGAAAGCCCTTGGAGTGGTATGACGGGCATGCCGAGTCGCCATATGGGAATGGAGACATCTTCAATGCCATACAGCAGGTCAATCTCGAAGGGATTGAGGCCTTGAACGTCATTTGCATAGACAATGTTCTTGCAAAGATCCTTGATCCCGTGTTTGTCGGGGCATTCTACAGCGATGATTATGATATTCTGAGTAAGTCGGTGACCAAGGAGGAGAAGGAAAGCGTCGGAGCCTTTCTGATGGATGAGAGGCTTAAGATCAAGGAGTATAGTGAGAACGATGCTAAGGGAGAGGGAATACAGGGCAACATATGCAACCATATCTTTAAAACTTCATTCATCAAGAAGATGAAGAATATCAATCTTCCAGAACACAAGGCGTTCAAGAAGATCCCATACACCATAAGCGGGAAGCTTATAAAGCCAGTCAAGCCTAACGGGTTCAAGAAGGAAACATTTATATTCGACAGCTTTGAATACACACAGAAGAATGGCGTGATGAATGTTCCTAGGGAAAAGGAGTTCTCGCCTTTGAAGAATGGAATGGACTCATCCGTGGACAATCCGGTAACATGCACGATAGCGGTTGAGAGGCATAGAATCAAAACAACAATCCAATAAACCCTAGCTTAGACGGTTCTCTTGGGAATCCCTTGGGTTTATGGTGTTTTATGTCCTGCACCACCACATCACAAAGCCCTTGAATGTTAGAGCAATAGTTGGTTGCTAATTCTAATACTAGAACAAACTCCCGTTGAACTCCGGCTTATATAAAATAGGCCCAACCCATTCCCAGGCCCTTCTGCCCTCTACACAGGATTCCCTTATGTTAGAGTTTGCGAGGATCATGCTCTCAACCTCCCTCCAGACTCTTTTATCAACTCCAAAGCAATCCTTAAGCTGCTCTATATACACGTAGCTAGGAAAGCTGGCATTTCTTGTAGATACATATATCTGCCTCACCAAGACATCCGCAATATCCTTCATTATTTTTCGTGCCATGTGCAGTCTTTCCTCCTTTTTCTTCTTAAACATCCTGATCGCTCTGACCACACCCACCATAACTGCCAGTGGCGTAGATATCATGAGTATTCTTCTGAGATAGTATCTAAAAAAGGTTCGTGCAGACACCCTTGTGTTTACAGAATAGACCATTCCGTTGGAGATGACTATTCCAACCTCCTTCTTTAGTCTTTCTGCTACCTCAGGGTCTTTGGTCAGAAGCTCAATTGGAACTGCCTTGGTAGGTGCCATTTTGTACATATAATCCCCGCTTCTTCTCTCCAGTGTCTTTCTTAATTCCTTGACTTTCTTCTGTACTTCTTTTTCGCGTCTATTATCTTTTGTACAATAATTCCTAAAAATCCCGTACCTGACCATGAATCCTTTGTCACATACCAATCTCCCATCGACAACTCTGGAATGCTCCGGCAAGGGGATACAGGGGAGCTTACCATTCGGACAATATGGGCATATAAACCGGAAGTATATGGCTGCTGCGAATCCAATAGTCGATAGAACAACAAGACACCATCTACCCTTTCTGCCCTGAGGCTTGGGCCTAGTACTGCTTCTTGTAGAGTTGCTAGATACTGATCTGGGAGAAGAATGCCTGGACTTCGAATCTGGCTTGTCCAGAGTTGGATCAGAGGTGAACGCTCTTTTCCTTAGCTCCGAATTGCTTATTCCTCTGTCACCTCCTCTAGAAGCGGAAGGACACTCCTCGGAAGATGAGTGGATGAAAGATGATGAAAGGGAGGAGCCGCTGAAATCAACAGTAGAGTTGTTGGCTGCAGAGGAGTCTATGATCAAGCTTGATGCACCCAAGCCCTTGTCTTCTATAGAGACGCTTCCTTTCCCTTGGACGGAAGAAGTACTCCCCACATAACTAAACTTCTTTAGAGAAAAGTTTTCCGAGGGACTCCCATCGGGTGCTTTTTCGCCTTTCCGGGATATCCTGGTGTTAGACGCCGGTGGCTCTTCAGAGCGGGTCTTCTTATTGGGGCTTTCGTTCCCACTGCTTGCACCAGGAATCTCGGAGAAGGTGTACTTCTTTTTTGGCGACGAGGCCTGAAATGGATTATCCATAGAGATGTTTTTTTTCCTGCTCACCAGCACATTGATGCGATCATGTATATTTTCTTTGTACGCGTCTAGTAGCTCAGATTTCTTGGCCGTTATTGGAGGAATGGCTTCAACCCCGTTTTCGTACATGATTCTGCGCAGCTGTGTCTTTGTTAGCTTTGTGTAGTCAAAGTCCTTATTCAGGTAGTCCTCTGGCACCATGTCCCTGGGCATCTTTCTAAGGGTGGCACAAATTTTGTTTATCACGGAGGACTTCTGAGCAGCAGACGTTTGTCTTTGAAATGGCGGTGGGCTCCTTTGCCTCACGAGTTAGCAGCTCTGCACAATTGGTTTATTTACCTTAAACCTCTGGGATTCCGTCTAGGAGAAAATCAAAAAAATGTCGATGAAAATTTGAATCACTATCGTTCCAATGAAGACGATTGGTGCCCTAACGCTCGACATAAGCCATATCTTAATCACATCGCCTATTATCCAGCAACAGTAGACCTCCTTTGGAGACCTTTTAAGCTCGTCCTTTCCATTCTTGGGGCTCTTTTCTTCTCTTTCCAATACCAGCTGGAAAAGATTGACTCCTATTTCGAGGGCTGATGAAAGCCTCCCGCAATGCTCGTAGGTTCCATAGAGTACTCCATACAGATTTACACAGAATATAAACACGCATACTATCCCCAGAACACTTCCCTTGACCCCATACTTTCTGTAAAGCAGCCTTGTTGTTCTGTTCCCAAGTACCCTTGCTTCATGCGTGCTCAACGGCCTCTTATTCATGGCTATCAGAGACATGTGCAGCAGAATGGAAAAGATGTACTGTGCCAGAAGGAACTCGGAATATCTTTCGAAGCTGTAGTGGAAGACTTTGAGTATGTTCGACATGATGAAGAAGGTCGATACCAGTGGAGAAAGGAGGATGTCTCGTGCAAGAATCTGTGGAATGTACCCGACCACCGGAGAAACAACAAATCCGATGTATAGCAAAGGATTGTCCGCGCTTAGTATCTTTGCCGGATTCATAATGTTTTTCTGGGATAAACAATTATGCAGATAGGAAATCAACAAACCCCAGGTTGCATCGATAAGAACATGTCAAGCAAACCGGTGCAATTCTTTATCCCCTATGATAAAGGAAATAGTAAAAAGTAGGATACTACAGATGTCCAGTGAGTATAGCAAGCCCGAGGTTTTGTTTCTTCTGGACTATAATCTCGGTGGAGGCAAGGAGCTCCGGTATAAAGCATATGTCCACGTACTGAAAGCACTGAATGGAGAGGTGAGCATGGAGAACCTTATTATGGGATATTCTGTGGAGCTGCTACAGGCAGTGCTGTTGATTGTAGATGATATAATGGACAATTCGAAGATAAGAAGGGGAAAGCCATGTTACTATCTCAAAAGAGGAATGAAGACAGTTAAAGATGCATTTTTTCTTCTGGGAGCCATAAGAAAGCTGCTAAGCGAAAAAATGAAGAAACCCTATTCGGATTCAGTATTTAAGACCTGTCTTGGGCAAACACATGATACTATCAGAAAGACAAGATCGGAGTACAGCCTCGAGACCTATGTTGCCATAGCAGAGAGCAAGACAGGAGCATACACCTTTTATCTGCCAGCAGTTCTCGGATATGTAGCTGCCAACAAGGCGGAACCTGCATGTCTTTGGGATTTTTGCAATCTCGGAGCTTTGATCTTCCAGATGCAGGACGACTACCTGAATTTTCTTCCGGAAAAGTCTAGCAAGTCCATGAACGATCTCGAAGAAATGAAGTGTACCTGGTTTACCTCGAGGATGTCACAGATGGATAACCCGGCAGTCGAGAAGTATTTTTTGGATGGCGCAGTATGCTCCGAGCTGCTTACCATAATCAGAAGCCTTTTTGGAGAGTATTCCTCTACTCTCGACAAGCTTTTGAAGAAGCTCCTCTCTATGGTTGGAGAGGATCAAAAGGAGGTATTTAGAGTTTTTATTTCGTTCCTTGATGCAAGGAGAGAAATTTGATGGCATGGGGCTTGTGTTTATGATATCTTCCTTTGGATACTTTAAAGTACCTATATAGGCTTAAATTCCTTTGTCTTTTTATCATTAGAGGCACAGCTGTATTTTTATGAGGATGCCAACCCCCAGAGATGAATTCTAATTTTTTCAACCAGCAGAACAAAGATGATAATACTCCGAAAAACCCATTTTTGAATACGCCTTTCGGATCCCAACAGAATACCTTTGGAAGCCAGATGAACAAACCCAGCATATTTGGGAACCAGCCTCAGCAGACGGGAGTGTTTGGGGCTCAACAGGCTGGGGGAGTGTTCAATCCCACACCGTCAGCAGGATTCGGTGGAAGCGGGCAGAGTTTCAGCACACAGGGGTTCCAAAGTAAACAAGACCCGGGTACAGTATTCGGATCTCAGAAGCCGCAGGCACAGACAACTCCCTTGTTTGGAAAACCTGGAGATTTTCAGCCGGCAGGAAGCTCCTCGATATTTGGAACACAGAATGCCTCGCAGGTATCAACAAATCCGTTCAAGCCTCAGGCAGCAATTCCATCTTCCTCCGGCGGATTTGGCACACAGCAATCAAACAGCACATTTGGAACGCAGTTTCAGCCTCCAGCAGGAAATGCATTTGGAGCACAGGCAGCCAGTCAACCTGCTAACCTGTTTTCGAGCACTATGCAAAGCTCATCTCCTATTGGAATTCCATCTACTCAGAACCTAGGGAGTATAGGTTCCCTGGGAACAACACAAGCAAGCGGGTTTGGAGCTCCACAGTCCCAGATAGGAGCTCAAGGTCCAGGCATCCAGGGACAACAGGCGGGACCAGGGAATCAACAGGCCTCGAATTTGTTTGGTAACACATCGTCGGTTACAGTACCCACAGCTGAGACACAAAATGTCTCGTCCTCATTTGCTTCAACGCCAGGGGCACAGCTCAAGGGTGACGGAACATTTAGCTCCTCAGCCCCGCTGTCTGGTTCACAGTCCTTGCCCCAGGCGTCTGAGCCAAAGGACGCAAGTCCCTCTGGAAGAAAGCCCAGGATATCTGCATCTGTTTTCAATCACCCGGTGGGAGAGAAGAGCGTAAGTTTCATACAGATGACGCTGGGAGAGATTATACAGCAGCAAGCAAGAAAGCTTGAAGAGAATATAAAGGTTTTCAAAGAAAAGGCAAGAGAGGTTTTTGAGCAGGATGAAAGGATAATCAGATCGCTGAACAACTACAAGCTAATTAGAAACAGGATCGAGGAGGAGGAACGTGTGATTGCAGAGACAGAAGAAAATGTCGAGTTTTTTGAGAGATGGCTTTGTAACTTTCAGGAGGAAGTTCCTCCGAGTGCAGGAGACGAGCTCTTAACATGCATTAAGGAGTTTGAAAGAGTGTGTGACAAATACAACAAGACTATTGAAACGCTTAAGGACGAGGAAGATGAAGTCATGTGCCTGGTGAATGAGAACTACAACCTGATTACCACTATCGAAGAAAAGCTCGAGATTCTTGAGAAGTATTGAATAAACCTATTTATCTATTTCGGTTCTGGAAAGGTCTTGATGAGCCGGTACGGGAAGAGGATAGACAGGCTCTGGCACTAGTTCCTCTTTTCGGCAGATTTTTCTAGATTTTTCAAGGGATAAAATGGATGGTGACTCTGGCCCTAATGGAGTTTGTCGGAATTGATATCGGCAACTATAAAACAGTGATTGCCTCTTCCAAGGAGAATGGGAAGGTATATGGCGACGAGCAAGGGAAAAGGTCTATAAGGACTGTAATGGAGCTTAGTACGCCAGTGCGCAGGTTTGGAAATGGGGTGACCAACGACGTTGAGCAATCACTTGACTTGAGGAGTAGGAGCTTCCGGGATGCCCTAGAGGACAAGAAGGGATGGGGGAACCTTGCGATGTTCATGAAGTATATTGATAGGGTTGTGAAGAAGAACACTCCCACCCATCCTCCAATATGCATGGCCGTTCCTGCTTACTTCAAAGAGAGAGAAAGAAGAATCTTGGTGGACATTGCAAATACGATGGACTTTAAGCTTGAGGGGCTTATTACGGACATATCTGCAATAGCGATGTTTGCATGCGTTAGAAGAGAAAATATGCCAAGTGAGTTCCTTCTGTTTGATTTCGGGTTTTCAAAGACTACTGCTGGGCTTTTTAGCTTTGAAAAGAATGTCCTTAAGCCGCTGTATATGAAGACTGTGAGGGTGGGATCTATGCAATTTGATGAAAAGCTGATTGACATCATTGTTGAGAAGCACTCTCTAGAGAAAAGCCGCCTCGTCCGAGAAAAGATCAAGAGGAATCTTGACAAGATTAAGACAACATTGAACTCCACGAAGTGTTGCAATATCCAACTGTTCATTACGGAGAATCCTCTGGAGGTGATTATCACGCAGGAGGAGTATAGGAATGCAGTTAAGAGCTATCTAAGCGATTTGGACTCGTTTGTTAGTTCGGTTATAAAGGAAACTGAATTCAATGGGCTGGTGGAGGTTGTTGGAGGGAACTCGATTTCGTTCCTTATTAAGGAGATGCTGAGGGATAAGGTTGAATATCAGGTAACGTTGGATGTTTCAGATTCTACTGCAATTGGTGCGGCACTTGGGATGGCATGCATGTCTTTAAGGACCAGATATTCGCTTCATGATATTGTGGGAAGGGAGATTTCGATCCGAATCCAGGGGGAGGATGTCAGCCCAACGGTGATATTCAAGTCGACGGAGCTGGTTGAGGGAAATCCAAAGATAGTTACATACAACAGAAAGGAAAGCTTTGTGTTGGAGATTCTGGAGGACGGAGAAGTGATTTCGACTCTAAACGTTGTGAAAGGTGAGACAAAGGAGACAAAGGCGATCCATGTGTCTTTTTCGATAGGAAAGTTTGGAACGGTTTGTGTGAACTCTGTGGAATGTGAAGAGTCTGTCGACTATGAATACAAGCCCTTCAGGATATCTGATATTGATCTGGATGATATCAAGGCATTGGAGATGAAGTACAGAGACGGAGAGCTGGGGCTCGAAAGAATAGGAACGATGAGGAATGAGCTAGAGACTATGGCTGTAGGGCTGGGAGATGCTCTGTATAACAAGTTCGGTAAGATTACAAACGACGAAGAATTGAATACAGTTAGGGAAGTAGCTATGGATTTGTTTGATATGCCACAGTCTGAAACTGTAGGACAAGAAGAGGAGGTCCGAAATACTATTCTGTCGAAGTTGGAGTTCATATCCAAGAAGCTTAGCGATTATAGGGACGCTGCTGTTGAAGACCTTAAGAAGCACAAGGATATGATCAACGAGTTTAGGAAGGAGTACGGTAGTGTTTTTACGCCTAGCTTCTACAAGCTGCAAGGCCTTCTCTACAAAGTGGATGAGTATCTTAAGGACTTCGACCTGAATCTATTCAATGTGAAATTGTTTGATGAAAGCTTTATAATGGAGATTAAGGGCGACATTCAGAAGTATCTAGAAAAAGCCAAGCTCGAGATTGAAGAGAAAAGAAAAGAGGAAGAAAGGAAAAGTAAGAAGGAGAATGCTCAGGAAGGCACTAGCAGCAAGCCTGAGTCTAAAGAGGAATCAGAAGCCAAGGAAGACAATGATGAGGAATCTGACGTTGCAAGCATTGACGAATAAAATATGACATAACTTAGCTTTATTGAATGAATGTCTCTTTGAATCCTAGAATTCCTGCTATTGGGAGGACTGCTTAGGCTCTGTAAACATTTCACCTTTTTCATCGAAGCCAAGATAGTTCTTCCGCATGAGGTTCTGATACATCTTCAGAGTTGTTGTGAACACCAGGCCGGCCAGCAGGAACATGATTCCCCCAAGCAATGCCCTTGTTCCAAAGTCCTTTGTGACTGGAAGGGTCTCTTGATCCTCCTTTGGGATGATCTTCTCTTTGATATTGAAGTTAATTATCTTCCTCCTGCCATCGTCGATGACCCTTTTCTTTATAAGGAAGAGGTCTCTGTATCTTCTGCGGTCGACACTGTTGCGTGCCAAAGTGTTTTCAATCTTGCTGTGAAGGTCTGGGCTCATGTCGGCCATCTCCCGGTGGATAATGTCGCTGATGTTCTCTGGATTGATCTTAAACTTTCCTATCCTAAGTGACTTGATGGCGCCTGCAGGAGATCCCGGATTGTCCGAGGTCAGGATCGGAAAGCCTTCCTCCTCGTCCTTCCCAGCGACAGCTGTTTCCCTTATAAAGTTATTTGGTCTGCTCTCACCTTCAAGTGCATTGGACTCACTCATGGATATCATTGAAGACTCGGTGTTGTACTCTGAATAAGCTTCTCCACTACCTATCCCATCTATGTACGGAATGATGTTCTGGTTGTAATACTCTGCAATTGCAAGGACTGAGCTGAGCATCAGAAAGACACCATTAAACAACATTTTCTTTGATGCGCTTTGGCGATATTTTAAACATCATTGAAACACAGGATTCAATACGGTTTCACATCAAAAGAGTAGGGTATGGCTATTGAAGAATGCTTTAATTCCTGTTCTTTAGCCCTGAGATGATGGGTCTTTTCGCGGCCATTAGGGCGGAATGCTTCCCTCCCAGGAAGGAGTTGGCAGATATTTTAAAGGGATTTAGACCACTTCTGGACACCAAGCTACTTCCAGACTGCTCAGGCACATCTTCTCCCGCATTGTTGGAGTCCGAGCCACTCTCTGGCGGCATGGCTATCCCACTCCCTCCGACGCTTTTTATCTTTTCAGGGATATCAATTGATTTATTCTGGTTGTTCATCAAGGACACGCCAAGCGTCATGATAGAAACGATTAAGGTCAACAAATTTACTAGAAAGCCTATCATTGATCTTTACATCTTCTTCGACTTAAATAGCATTAATGAAACAAAGCCTCAACTACTTGAAACAAATTTGTCAAACAGTATCAAGACACAGATGAGTATGAACACCAGGAGGGCGATCAAAACTAGGAGTGTCTCAAACCTCTCCTGCTTCTGATTCTCCTTGAGCTTGTTTCTGGTATCCGTCAGGGCCTTCTCAATGTCATTGCTGGTATAGTTCAGTCCCATAAGCTTCAGGGTACTTCTATCTAGTATCTGCTGATTGGCATCGGCTTTTCCTATTTGTCTATGGACAAGCCGCGCAGTATTCTCGAGCTCGTCAAGATTTTCGGCGCTTTCTGAGATGTCCCTGTGCTCTTGGACTGTCCTGTACAACTTGTCTCTCCAGTGCCTTACATTGCTTTTAGACGGATCGTCGTATCTTCCCTCCTCGTACAGATGCTTTTCATAGTCCCTTATCATCGCTTGGACAAAAAGCACATGCTTCTTGAGATCTTCTTGCGAAGAAAACTCTGTTCTCGAAAGCTCTGTGTTTATCTTCTCTTCCATTCCTCAGGGTAAGATATGGAAAATAACATGCCTCAGAAAACTGTCTGGACAATAGATGGCAGAAGAAGAAATATTGCAGTATACAATGAAGCCTATTTATTTGTTACGGCTTCTCCCTGGGATTCTATTATCGCCTTTTTTTCCTGGTCTGTGCTGCGGTGCCTGGATATCCGGTCTAGAATGAAGTATTTGTAAACAAACAGCCCAGTGGTGACAGATGCAAAGCAAATGTTTACAAAGAAGAACAGCTTGTAGTTTGCAGCCCTGTCCTCGATAGGAATATCCTTTCCCTTCATCTTGTCTTCAGAGAAGAGATTTCCAAATACAAGACTGGTGGCAAGGGATCCAAGAGCCGTGAAAGTTCCATGGTAGATCATCTGGGAGGTAGACTTGAGATGGGGAGGACACAAGTTCATGGCCAGCTGGACTGCAGACGGTTGAAGCAGCCCAAAATACACTCCCCTTGTAAGCTCAATAAGGCAGCAGTACAGAAATACGTTGGGGTCGTTGTAGTCCAGCAGGAAGTAGCACCCCACTCTAAATATCTGGAACAGTTGAGCAATGAAGAACGGCCAGACTAATCCGATCTTCTTGCTTATCGCTGGGAAGTGATAAAGCATTACAACCTCAAAAATCATTCCGCAGAAGGTTGCTGTAGCCACAGGAGATTCGTTAAAAAAGTTGACTATGGTCTGGAGCCAGAGGGGCCAGGAGGAGGGGAGGTCGTATCCCTTGATCCGTAGAATATCGGTTAGATACACAGTGTGGTATATCGACAAAGCCTGCCTCGTTATCCCGTTCAGAAGTATCATAAGTATAAAGAACAAGTAAGACCCGTTTCTCATCAGCTCCATGCAGTTTGCAGCTATATCTCTTCTAACAGTTCTTCCCTCGCTGGCGGGAGACTTGAGGAGTAGAAACACCATGGTTGCCGATATGGCCGTAGTTGCCAAGGAGTAGTATCTCAAGTTTCCAAATCTAAACTCATCTCCGTCCTTGATACACTTCTCTATTAGCTTGCAAGACAAGCCATAGCCTGCAGTTCCCCACAGCCTCTGCTTTCCATATGCCCTAGCCCCTGCTTCTGGAATTCCATTCAGGTAGTCAAGCACAGCCTTATCAAGCAGTGGAGGAATCCCATTGTTGAATGCCATGTAGAGAAGGAGGTTTATCCAGAACATCCCCGGGAAGATGTCCATGTAGGAATCCACATAGAACATCTGTAGAAGACTACACGTAAGAAGAAGAGCCCCAACCATAAATAGATGGGACCTTCCAAACTTATCATTCATTGTGCCAATAAAGATATTCGTGAAGAATATTGCTCCGAGCATGGGGCCCATATACTTTGCAAGGTCCCCGTCGGTAGCACCAAACTTCTTCTTTGCAAAAACTCCCCTGAACTGGTGGAGAGTGTAGTATTGGAGGTTCACAAAAAAATACAAAACCTTTGGTGTAAGTAGGAATTTTCTGTTTATCTTTCTTATAGACTCCATCGCTCGCTAAACATATTTTTTATTTATAGGTTTCTATTAAATTAAATTTAATATATTTAAACAACACATCAATGTTACGTATGGGATCAAATATCCCTGCATCAAATTAATTTCTGATATTTCCATGGCCGTAAAAAGCTTATCTGGGATTCCCAGGCAACCAGGTCTTTCTTATTTTACAAGGTTTAATTTCCGTTGACAGATTCCTCAATCTTCCCGACAGATGGTCTACGTCCGCTTACATCTTTCTCCAAGACCTTTTTACGCGAAGAAAAAGCACCAAGTAGCTTACCATCCCTAACCTCGTACTTGAAAAAGAATAAAAGGATTGCCATGACTGTTACAAGGATATTGGACATGAAGAACGTCCTAAATGACTCTACCTTTCTCTTTATCGTGTCTTCGGGGGTTAAGGCCTCGTCGTTCTTGAATATATATTGGAAGTAAAGCCCTGCTGTTACTGACCCCAGCGCAGTGAAAGTTCCGTTGTATATCATCTGGGATGTTGCCTTCAGGTGGGGAGGACACATTTTCCCGGCCAACTGCACCCCTGACCCATGCGTCAGTCCGAAGTTTATTCCCTTAAACATCTCGAATAGACAGCAAAAGGCGAACACGTGGGGGCTTGTGCGGGGAAGAGCAAGGTACAATCCAAATCTGACCGCCTGGGATGCCTGAGCCAGGAGTAACGGCCAAAACAGTCCTATTTTCCTGGCAATAGCATCGAAGTAGAATAGAATTCCGACCTCCAGCGAAATCTCAAACACGGTGATGGTGGCGAATGGAAGGCTGTTGAAGACCCATATTCCACTTTTTATCCACGCGGGCCAGGACGTAGGAAGTGTGTATGGCCTTACGTTGAGCACGTATCTGGTATATACCGGGAGATAGATTGTCATTGCAGCACGTGTAAATCCATTCAGGAAAATTATAAATATGAAAAACAAATAGTTTCCATTTCTTGCCAATTCCTTCCACTCGGCCATAGTATTATGGCTAGGGCCCCTGCATTCACTCCCTGATTCTTTCAGGAACATCATCACTAAAGCCACTCCGATAATAGTTGTAGCAAGAGAGTAGTACCTAAGATTTGTGAAGTCGATTCCGCCTCCAGTCATCCCCATTCTGATGATTGCCTCAATGGAAAAGATGCTGATAAAGTATCCCATAGTTCCCCAAATCCTTTGTTTCCCGTAGTCCCTGGAGCTCACTTCTGGAAAGGTGTTTAGATAATCCAAGACAATCTTGTCCAGTAAGGCCATGATTGGCGTGTTGGTTGCAAGGTAGGCGAAAAGGTTTGCCCAGAACATAAGGCGAACGCCCTTTATATATTTTTCCACGTAAAACAGTTGGAAAAAAAAGCAGGACAGAGACAGCAGACTCACCATAAAAATCCTTGACCTTCCGAATCTGTCGTTCATTGTTGCAAGAAGTACATTGGTAAAGAAGGTTACAAACATCAGAAGCCCTACAGTCCCCAGCTCGCTTTCTCCAATTCCAAACATTTCTTTCGCAAACAAAGGTCTGAACTTGTGCAGCGTGTAATGCTGCATACTAATGGCAATGTACAAAATCTTTGGGACCAGCAAATATCTCCTGTTCAGTCTTGAGAGTAAGCTCATTTCAGGGCCTAGGAGATATTCCTTAATTATTCGGCTAAGTAATCTTTGCATATTTTTAATAAGACATCCGTCTTAAGCATTTATTCGGTAAGAATTCTAGGCATATCTCCTTGGACTCCTTTATACCCATTGGCCAGGCCTGGTGCAGGGGCAGGCTTAGAAGACAGAAAATCACACCCCATAGGTGGAGAGCATGCAGAGGAAGATCAGAGTGGGCGTGGTGAACGGAACACTAATCACAGCGATTGTTATGCTTGGCGCCGTAATCATATATCTCTCGGGATACTATAAACTCATCTTTTTATTTTCTGATGACGTAGGGAATGCCATTCTGATGAACAAGGAGGACATCGAAAGAAATATCTATGGAGACGGGATGAAAATTAAGATTCCCAGCAGAAGGATGTGCGGGGAAATGTGGAGGGACTTCCAGAATATGAGGACGGATGCAATTATAATCATCTCTCAGGGCGAATATGTCAGGATCTTCAACATTATTTCCAAGGAAGTTAGAGAGTACAAGCATGACGAGTACATCAAGCATATAAATGGAATGGGAGGATACCTGCTTTTCCTGAATGCTTTGAAGTACGATATCCGAAACTTTCTGAGGAATACGCTCGAAAATGACGAGCGGGATGTAATAGAAGATTCACCCATTATATACGGATGCTTGATACTTCCAAACACAGATGGAGGGCTCAAATTTATGTCTAAATCAAAGATAATGGATGTTAACTGCACATGGAATGACGTTATTGACTATGTCTATCCTGAGGAAGAGAGTGTGAGTATAAAATAAATTATGGAGGTATGTGGTTTTGTTAATATATGTATGATGATTTGCATGGGTCTGCAAAGAGTGTGTGGTGATAAATAAAAATTACCTGGGAAGGGCATGGAGAAAGGTGAGGTACCCTTAGACGGCGGGCTTGCGGAAAAGCTGGAGTCGAAGAGTTGGAAGGATAGGCAGGAGGCATATACTATACTTGGATCCTTATGGAGTGAGGGAAAGATGGCGGATCCAGAAACTGTTCGAAAGCTTCAAAACGAAACTAACATCCCTGCGCTTGAGGCAGCCATAGATGCTCTTTTGCATGTGAATGGTCTTAGAGTTGGCGATGTTAAGAAGGTCTTTGTGAATATCGGGAATCCAAAGACCAGCATCAAGACCAGGATCGATAGCTTAATTGGCAAGCTGGAGGACACTGAAGAGCTTGTGGAGACGCTGTGTGAGCTCCTAAGCTCTAAGTCACCAAAGAATGTTGTTGGAGCATTGTCAGCCATTTGCGGTGTTATCAGGGAAAAGGGATGTGACTTGAAGGTTGTGGGAAGCAGGATAGGGGAAATTATGAGGCATGCGGATAAGAACATTAGAAGCGAGGGATCAAAGCTATGTGTGGAGCTGTACAGGAGAAATGGAGAGGCGGTTTTACCGTATTTGAATGGACTAAAGCCAATACAGCAAAAGGAACTGATGGAGGAATTTGACAAGTGCAACCCTATTGTCGAAGAAGAGGCTAGTAATGAGCCTACACGCATTTCCGAGAACCTCTTTAGGGATGCCTCTGATGACAATTGGAAGACCCGGCTGGAGGCCATGGCTAGCATCAAAAGATTAGCCAGAAGCATTGAGTACAGCAGTGAATTGAACAGTCTTTTCTGTAGAAGAATAGGGGACGTTAATAATCAAGTGTTCCATGTGACTCTTGAGGCCCTTAATGAGCTGAAGCCTAGGAATGCTGAAATTACAAGGGGACTCATTGAAAGACTCAAGGAGAAGAAAGATACAACTTCCGAGAAGATAAAGGAAACCCTTTCGTGCCTTGGAATTAAGATAGATGGAAGTAATGCCGAGTTTTTGCGGCATAAGAATCCTCAGGTGAGACTGAATCTATTAGACTACTCATTGAGAGATTTGCAAAACGATAGAGGATTCATTAAAATGGTAGGGAATTGCATTCTTGACCCTGTCGGGGAAGTTAGGAGCAAAGCAATGGACGTGGCTGTTGGAATATATAAAAAGTATGGGAACGTATTTGACGGGGTTGTTAATTCGAATGCCCTTTTGAGAATCAATAGAGCTATAGGGGAGATGTATAAAGAAGGGGCGCCCGGCAACTTTGAAGGTCTTCAAACAGCATCAGATAAGAAAGTAAGAGTGTCCGAGGCCATTGCTGTCGAGGAAGACAAAGCCTCGAAAGACAGGAAGAGCGGGCCCGCAAGCAGTGGGAAGAATTGCTGCAAAGACAAGGGCCTTGTTTCTAAAGAAGATGGTATTGGAAACAAGAGGAAGCATTCTGAAGCAGGCGTTGAGGTTCTTCTCAAGAGTGTTAGTAAACAGAGAGTTAAGGGAAGTGGATGCAGAGAAGAGGTTTTTACGCCCCAGTTTATCCAGATGATGGACAATGGGCCGTTTCACCAGGTCTATGACCTATTCGACAGTATAGACAAGATTGCTGTTAGTGATTTTCTGATAGATTTTCTTATAGAATCAAACGCCTCAGAAGCATTTATTAATTCTACACTCTTGTCGTTTATCTCCAATAGGTATATCCTGAAAGAATCTGAGTGCAGGAAACTTGCGGAATATCTCCTGTCCAACGAAATGTTTGAGGAGTTGGGGATGATGGATAGGGTTTATCCCGTGACAAAGTTATTTCTGGTTTACCAAAAGATAGGGACCAAGGAGTCCAGTGACGAGATATTGAAGTTGGTGAAGAAGTATAAAATGTTCAGGGGAGACAGGAAGCAGTTTATTGAAGGAATCAAGAAAAGAGGAAGAGTGGAAGTGGAGGATGCAATAAAGGGGTGTCCAGACTTCCTAAGCTTTGTGGATGAGCTTGAGGGAAGCTTTATGTCGATAACAGAAGAAGACTGTGGTGATGCGCAGACAGTATCAGGACCTGGGGAAAGGGGCGATGGCCTTACTTGCCAGCAATCGAAAGAGATTGAAAAGCCCGGAGACAGAAAAGAAGTAGACGTGGAGATGCCGCGTATTCATGACGATTCCTTCGCAGTTGAGGACACAAACATCGAGGCTTCTTTTGAGGCTTTGAGCATACATTCTGTGTCTGGCATCTTCACACCGAACTCGAAGAAAGTTAGAAAGGAAGTTGTGCTTCCAGAAAGAGAGATCAGTGGGCTAGAGTTGGTTCTAGACCACCTTATTGACTCAAACCCGGATGTTAGCGAGGTTGCCTTCAAGAGACTCATGAGTATTATAGATGGCGGAGTTGAGCCCCTCTTGTCCTTTTCGAACTCGATTGTCAGTTCAATCTCTATCCAGCTTTTCGACGTACTCCACAACCCATCGTTTTCGGAACTGATCCTTCAGGCTTTTTTCAAACTCAGCCAAAGTAAGCTTTTCTGCGAGCAGCTGAGGAGGGAAACTCTGCTCAGTGCCAACACAGATCTTATAAAGATAATGAAGAAGCAGAATGCCAAAGGAAGTGATGTTAGACCATCTGTTTTGGGTAGCCTTCCACAAGATACCTCGCTTATAGGCGAGATCTTGATCAACTTATGCCTAAACTCTAAGCCCAGCCTTATCCTGGAGGTGTATCTAGAAATGCTAGCCTCTTCCAAAGAGGAGATTCTCCTGAAGCTTGTGTGGAGACATTCGAAGGCGTTAAAAATGGACGACAAGGAAGAGCTTGTAAGAGTTCTCGATGTATTAATGCGCTTTTATGACGAGAACTACACCTCAATTCTTTCTGAGGACAACGTCACCCTGAAGATACTGCAGCTTCATTTGAAGGAGATGGTTAAGTTCTATAGAAAAGATATATACAGATTTGGAGTTCGTGGTCTTGCCAAGATATTTGTAGGCTCCATGATTGAGAATACCGAGTCTGTCCATCATCCCGGAGATAAGAAGGTTGATTCTAACTAGAGATTTGGCAATAAAGGTGTTGTTTGTGGTATGCTCCTGCCTAGGATCCTCCTGGATCCTGAGGGATAGATTTCTTCTTTTAGGATCCCCATACCGATGAATAGAAGAAAAAGGGAAAGAAGAGAATACTTATTGCAAAAAGAGAGAGAGATGCTTGACAAGGAGGCGGAGGAGAAAAAGCGAAGATTGGGAGAGGCGCTGGAATCGAACACAAAAATTCCCCACGAGATTAGAAAAGATGCACCCATGCTGTTGGACGAGATAATTTACGAGGGAAGGATTGAAGAGGAGCACAGACTTCCAAAGGTAATGGTTACCACATCCAGAAGCCCAAGCTCGCAACTACTACACTTCGCAAAGCATCTATCATTGGTTCTGAATGGCGAGAACTTCATTCGTGGACAGTTGCGTGAAGAAGAGGTGAGCGATGTAGCACATAAGTATGGATATACCTGTGTTATCATTGTTCACGAGAACCGAGGAAGGCCAGCTTCGCTTGCTGTGTCCTACTTTCCGTTCGGGCCCACCATGAGATTTACAATAATAGACCACTTTCTGACAAGAAGAGCCTTTCCTCTTGCACCCAAAGCCTATTTTGTATGCGACAACATGGAAGGAACTGTTGGAATAAAAATCAAGGAGAAGATGGCATTGTTGTTTCCTCAATGTAGCAGGGCCAAAAGAATAGTGAGTCTGGTAAACAGAAACGACACCATTGCATTCAGGCATTATTTAATAGAAAATGGAGACAGAACCACGCTGAGCAAAAGCCTTGGAATGGACCTGAGGGCGTACGAGATAAGGAAAGGAACGTTTGAGATGGATGGAGAGTTTGAATGGGCTTACAAGCCATACATGAACTCCCGAAGGACACGGGAGGAAATAGGATGTACGTCTCAGAAATAATTAAAATTATGACTGTTTGTTGACTTGGACCTCATTATAAATGTGAATGCCCTCCATCCCCCAAATGAACAATACCTTTCTCCTTGGACAGATGCTCAGAGTCCCCCCCATAACAAGATACATGACTCTTCTTATATCAGCAGTGGCTCTGCTAGTATATGTGGATGCCGTGTCCCCCTACAGCCTATACTACTCTCCTTTGTTCCTTAAAAGACTTGAGATATGGAGAGTATTCACATCATTCCTGTACTTTGGGAAGCCAACACTAGACATGTTCATGCATGTGGTCTTCCTGTACCGTTACTCTCGAATGCTCGAGGAGGGATGTGTCAATACTTCCGAATACTTCTGGCTGATTCTTGTCATATCGTCTGTCCTTTTTGCCATATCAAACATCTATGGAATATCTGCGCTTGGAACATCATTTTCTGCAACAATAACATACATCTGGACAAAAAGGAATCCAAGGGCAATCGTCCAGATATTTGGATTTATTTCGTTTCCTGCATTCTACCTGCCATTCATTCTTCCCGGATTCATGCTTCTGTCGCGGAGATCAATATCTATAGACGATGTGCTGGGAATAGTTGTTGGGCATTTGTTCCACTACTTCAAAGATGTTTATCCTAGGTGGGGCCGCGATATTCTAAGTACGCCCTGCTGGGTCAAGAAACTCTTCAATGAACATCCATCGAGCTGCTGCAAGGCCCGGAAAGGCATCACAATCAGGGAGGGAAGAGAAAGGCACGAAAGAAATATGGGGTATAGCAACGCAAGTACCACAAGTGGGGATTCTATGGCAAGCTTGACGGATATGGCAGATACCAAGAGTAGTACAGAGAACAGTGCTGTTACTGAGGAAAGTCAATGCTGTGCAGAATCCTTCAAGGATTCGTCGGTAGTGTCTTCCCAGAAGTCCATGGCTGTTTCCACAGTAGTAGGTTCCTCGACAGAAGCCAAGAACAATTACCTAGATTTTACTGAAGCCCTTTGCGACAAGGAAGTAGTAGCGGAACAGAACCCAGAAAGCCAGTCCAATGAAGAATGGGATGAAAAATGGGGAGACAGTGACAACGAGAGCGAATGTTCGTGATCGTATGTGCTCCCGAATTTTACAAAGCTTTGTGCATGTCCTGCTGATGCAGGACTTTGTGTATCTAATACACTCTCACAGAATGGAGCCACAGACGTCAACTTTGAATATCAACAGACCAAAAAGGCAGCCATCTCTGCCCAAAGCCCATCCATCAATAAATTTTTCTCGACAAATCATTCATGGGAAGATGTACAACAGATCCTTTGGTGGACCTTATAACTCCAAAGTCTCCATTAATTGCTATTAAAATTCCACATGTCCCTTTCTTTTCCCCGTCGAGTACACAGACGAGATCATTCTTCCGTGGTTGAACAAATGAAATCTCTGAGACAGAAAAGGCCTTATCCTTTGTCATGAATAGGCCGTCTCTATAATCCTCAAGGGCCAACTCTTTCCCAAGGGCATGGATCAACGTGCCTTTGTATGGATTGTCCTTCTCATCAAGCCAGTCAATGCCGGGATCCTCAAGAGCACACGCACTGGGGGTTTTGTATCCCGGCGTTCTATACCCCGGCGTCTTATACCCCGGCGTCTTGGATCCAATTGCCTCACTGTATCTTAACGGCTTACTCAGACCTTCTCGCCCAAGAACGGCTATACGACTCTTTTCCACAGTTACAAACTTCATATTGGAGTTAAGCTGTATCCTACATATATTCCTATCAACCTCCTTGACCACACCTCCATGACCCTTATATTCTCCACACTGTATCTGGACTTCTTTGTTGATCAGCGGATCTCTTCTGACCTTCTTTCGCTCCAATTCGTTGGTTTTTTCGTTTTGGAGATTCACAGTAACAGGAGCCTTCAGGTCGTCAATACTAACCTTTAGTTCTTCGGTGAAATCTCTTGTGGCAACTATACAATCTTTTCCCTCTATCTTCACAACCACTCCGTTTTCTCCTTTGTAAGACACAGTTTCTCCTAGGTCGAAATGCTTTACAAGTCCAGAGCTTTGGACTTCAAACTTTCCATCTCTGCTCTCTACCACCGCAATCGTGCCGCTAATGCTTCGGACAACACCTTTCATCCCTATAAGCTCTCCCCGGGTTACCCTGACCTTATCTCCAACAGATATAGGACAGGCCTGGTGGAACTCCTCAAGCTCTTCAAAGGTCGGCTCAACATCAAAATCAATGCTGTTCTTCAGCACATCCTTCTCCAAAAACCCATCCACATATGTGTCGCGCTTGTATATGTAGTACCCCCTGGACTTTATCACGCTTCCGCTTTTAAAGTTCTCTGGATTAAAGAGCTTTTTCTCCCCATCAATCCTTGGAATGGTTCTGATCCTTACCATTTCTCCGTCAGACTCAATTATCTTGGCAAGATCATTTTTGTACTTTCCATTTCTTATCCTTCCCCACTCCCCACAAATCCTCTGCTCGTGATATGTCATCGCCTCAATCATTTCCTTCTGAGGAACAACAGACACGCGACTTCTGCTTACCCCTCGGAGAGATTCCAGGGCATCAACAACATGCTGCTTCTGAAAGGCTTCAACATACAGATATCCCTTTAGTCCGTCCTTACAGATTATGCTAAATACATTTTTAGGATCGTTTTCTATAATCCTCATCAGGATCTCTCTTTCAGACCCCCTCTTGACTCGGACAATAAACAACCTTGGTGACGTATTCTTCGGGACAAGATTTGCTTGCTTGATTCCATGTTCAACTGTCTCCTCCTCAATCTCCTCGTCTTCAGGAATAGACGCGTACTTTTCTTCAAGCTCCTGCGTAAGTTTAGTCCAGTCTCTGCGGGGCACTACCGTTTCCTGCACCTCGTCCAGGTCTTCACAGCTGAGCTCGGAGTCTTCCTCAGATGCTTCCATACTCACATACTTGCTTACAGATCTCTTTGCCATTCAATGGGGCTTCGCACTTAAAACCATTAACTAGTGGAATCCTCGACCCCAATGGAAATAAGAGAGCTGAAAAAACTGAAGAAGGCTGTGGAGCTTAGAGACATCGATAAAATGATCTCGCTTGCGAAAAAAATATCGCCAGAATGTTCTGGAGATGCAGAAAAGATCCTGTCGGAATTCTATAGACATGAGGTGTCGGTGGCCAATGCCGTTATTGAGTTAGTTGCGTACTCAAAGGTATATAAACATAAGATAAAACCACCGCTGAAAGGCTGCTTTTGCTTTGTGATCTCAAATCCAAGAGAAGACTCTTCTCCCCAGTAATAAACCTATGGCTAATTTTCTGTTAATTGCCAGACAAAAGGTATCCCTCAGAATGAGGGTACTGATATCGGCTCCGTGCAATCCTCACAAGAATACAGCGACATTATTAAGGGAGCTTCTGGATATAATTCCTAACTCTTATGTCTGCGACGCCGATCAGGAGTCTGGAGTGAGCATAAAGATAGTTGAGGACGTAGGACCCCAGTGGGTGGTCTTCAAGAACTCACAACTGCAGATAGTTTTGAAAATAGTCCAATACAAATCCAGAGACTACTTGAGAGTGTCAAAGCCCATCTCAAAGGATCACCTTCCCCAGCTCATTGTAAACAATTTCACAACAGACACCGGGATGAAGATAGTCGAATTTCTGGCGGAGATGTTTCCGTTTAGCCAGAGCTCGAGGCAGGTCGCAAACTTTACCGTTCAGGGCGACTTCATATACTTCAGAGTATATAGATACTGCTTTGGAGAAAAAGGCCCGATTATGGAGAATGTCGGACCTCACTTAACACTGAGGCTGTGGAGAATGGTAGAGTATAAGGGGGGCGAAAAAAAGGTCATGAACTTCAAGAAGTTTATCAAAAATTCAAACATACTATGAATTGACCACAAGGATTCTCTCATACCCCCAATAAAGCAGATACATATTGAATATACTACTCTACGTGAAGGGACTTCTCCACCTGTTTGCTGATTTCCCCCATCTTGTCGTTCATCTCTCTTATCTTTTCACTGTAAAACCTTTCCATCTCCTCCTCCTCTTTTCTTAGGGCATTTATCCTGCTCTCGTACTTGTCGTTAAGAATCCTTATCGTTTCTGTTCGAAGCCTGAGATACCTAGCCTCCTTCATTGCTCCGCAATCGTTTTCAATCTCAAAGATCTTCTTCCTATAGTTATTGTAAAACAGATGGTTTGTTTTCATTGTCAACTCGTCGAGATTTGTATATATAAGAAGCCGCTGAAGTCTTTTGAAGTCGTTACTCTCCTCTTGATCTATATTGATAAATCCCCAGGGGTACTTTCTTCCACGGATGATCTCTCCCCCATGTTCATACATGGTTTCACTGGCAATCACAGCAAAAGGCATGCATCCAACTATGTCTGCGACCTCCTCAGTTAGATCTCCATCATTCTCGTTGAGATATGGTACAAAGGAAAAAATATTGTTTTCAGACAGGATCTGCCTTACATTTTCCTTCACATCGGCCAACTCATCGGGCGTGTACATGTCTGCCTTTGGTATGATAGGCACAAGGTTGCAGCTCTGGGAGAGCTCATACATGTTCTTTATTTCCTGATCGGTTAACGTATCTGAAGGAAGAAGATACAGACACACGTGCACTCTGTTGTCCTTGAATGCCTTGTAAAGGCCCTGCTCATTATCGAAGTATTCTCTATTCATAGCATTTATGTAGTCCAGGACAGGACTTATATTTGCTTCGTGGTAAGTTACGATGGATATTTCCAGAGAAATGTCATTTTCAACTATCTCGTTTCTTGTTGCAGTGATATTGTTTGTTCTTTTCTTGTCAACCAGAGGCGCTGCAAATATTGAGTTGATCAATGTGGATGTGCCAAGTCCTCTCCTTCCAACAACTAGTACATTCAGCTCAAAACCTTTAACCATGGAGCTTTCTCGCACCTGGTCTGGAACGGAAGAGAATCCTACATTGTTCCTAATGTTGATGGTTCCGAGATTTCTAACTATCGTTGGTATGTTTTTCATGTTTGTTTGTTTGTTGTGGAGTCTGTATTTATGAGTTGGACTGATATGAATAATCCCCAGAGAAAGGAAGGTGTTACATGGCACAAACAGTAGCCAAAGAAAGTACATTGTCTCGCGGTGGCACTGCATGTATAGCTGGTGGAGCCATGTAAAAAAAGACTGTGGGCTGTACGGGCACTGGCTCTATATGGAGTGGTGAAGCTTTCTTGAAATAAAAGTTTGTTTATGTAATGCCCCATGGAATTTGATAGGATAAGAGAGCTCCAAAGAGAGAGAAAGTGGATGCAATTCTGCTGTGCGATAGTTGACTCTATGGATTCTCTTCCTACAGATAAGGTCCTAAATATCTTCCTGGAAAGTGCAGGGCAGGTTCATCCCAGGTCATCGTGTGAGGTCTTTTTAATGTTCTCAGAGAGATTGAACCCCGAAGATGGCATAAGGATTCTGGCTATTGGAGAGGAGATAATAAGAAACACCATTTTGTATTCCGAGCCATTTGAAGTGGAGAAGATGCTTCTAGAGATGAAGAGGTGCTTGCTTTTAGTTGAGATAAATGATCTCAAAGGCATTGAAAAGAAACTGTTTGAGTGGAAGAGCCTCAAAATGCCAAAGAATGTGAGGACTATGTATAACCTTCTTGGGTTTAAGCTATACCAGAAGATCCGGAATATTGAGGCTGCGTTTACCCATCTCTTAAAGTATATAAATTTATCGGAGTCTGAAGACCTGATGGACACTCTTGTAGAATATGCGATGCTTAGCAAAGAGTTTTTTAACTACACCTTGATAACATCACTCCCCGGTTTCAACAAAATGAAGAATAGGGAGCTGAAGGAGATATTCATAATGTTCAGAGAAGGGAATGTAAAGGGGCTGGAAAAGAGGTATAATAAGTTTACCGAAATCTTTGGAAGCTATGCTGATATAGTCAAGGAGAAGGCATACATGATAGCCCTAATAAACATCTGCTTCCTAGAGGTCGAGAAGAAGGTATCGGTCAAGAAGATCGAGGAGTTGCTGGAAATTTCCAACAAAATGGCCATATACATAGTTCTCAAGTCCTTTGGGCTGGGGTTAATCAGCGGATGGATTGATGGAGAAGAAGGCACTCTTTACTTTGATAGCCTTATTCCAAGAGCACTGCAGAAGGAGGAAATTGTGAAGCTTAAGGAGAAATACGACGTCTGGGAGAAGAAGGTCCATGAGGTCATAGCCATGCTGAAGTAATTAAACATGTTCATCTTTTTCCAGAAACTCTATATTTTTACCTGTCCCTCCGCTTATTATTTTCGTCTTGCTACTTGTAGTTCTTAAGACACTTCCAGGCCCTATTATTCCAAATTGATAGTTAGGTCTGTCTTCCGTCCTTGACTTCATGATAATGCACTTTTCGCTACCGACTAAATAGTAGTCATCGCTATAGCCCTCCAATGACAGGCCATTTGACGCTAATCTGACCTTGTGTGGCACATCCTTGCACTCAAATACATTCTTTCCAGAAGAGGCAAACAGTGAATTGCCGCACAGACACATCGAAGTCACATTTGATGCAAACCCGGCTATTGCGGTTCTATTATTCCTCTCATCCCAAAGACATACGCTTCCGTCCATTGAGCAGCTGTAAATGGATCCGTTGTTGAACATGACGCGGGTAACAGGGAGTCTGTGCCCCTTCATGACTGACACGCTATCTCTTGCCCTGATGTCCCAAACTCTTATAGTGCAATCGGAGGACCCACTGAAGATTCTTCTGTCGTATGTGTCCAGACACAGAACAGAGGACATGTGTCCATAGTATTCTCTTATAAATTCTCTATCGACAAGATCGTAGCACTTGATCAATCCGCCAAGTAAAGCACAAAAAACATATGGATGGATCTTGCTAAACTTAACCTCCTCGCAAATCTCTTTCAAGGGAACAGTGGCCAAAAGTTGCTTTGTTTCTATATCTATTATTCCTGTTGTTCCATCCATGGATGAAGACGCAAGGAATGTATCATAAGGATCCACATCCAGCGACTTTATCCAGTTGTTGTGGATTTTCAATACTGCAGTGAGCTTGTACTTCATGGCAGGGAGGCTATGGAATGCTGCTTTTCTCTCAACGACTTATAAATGGAATACTATCCATCGTACTTTACCTCAAACGGGCTGAGAATGGAAATGAACTTATGCCATAAAGAAGTTCGAATCAGTCCTGTATCCTCTTTCTTGGGCGCCCTCTTGTAGCCCTGTAGCTCTTTATTGCTGTGGAAAATCTTGTCTAAAAGGCTATTCAAATATCTGTAGTTGGGCTTTTCCGCGAATTCCAAGCTACTAATGTGCTGAAAAAATTTTATGAGGTGTTCCTTTCCATGTATCCCATCACAAAGATCATACACAGATAGGTTTTCTTTTATTTCCTTTGTCCTTGCCTCCTGTTTTTTTGACACTGAGGCCCCAGGTTCCATCCACGGCAGCCTTGACTTGTAAAGGAGGATTAAGAGATAAAATAAGCTCTCAAGGTCATCTCTCCTCGACTGCTCTATTCCTCTGTGTGTATTTATCGACATGTACCAGAGAGTCCCTGACACACTCTTGCCTCCCACCTCAGGGATATGGCTTCCATCTCCCCTTAGATACGGTGCAGACATTCCAAAGTCTACAAGGTATATCCTGTTATTATGGCCAAACATGACATTTTCCGGTTTGATGTCCCGATGCAGCCTTCCTTTTCCGTGTATAAATTCAATGGCATTGAGGAGCTTCTTTCCAACAATAGTGGCAGATTTCTTGGTGAAGAATCTCGGATGTCTTTCCAGTAGGTCCTTCAATGAATATTTGAGAAGAGGGAGAACAAGAAAGGTTAGACCCTCATAAGATCCATGGTCGACAAGCCGGGGAATCTTCTCACATCCCTGGAGTTCGCTGTAGGCTTGTATTTCATTGATTATGCTGTTTCTTCCGGCTTTCGGTGCATTGGTTTCTATCTTCAGCGCATATGACTTCTGGTCTGCTTTTTTCTTCACCTCATACACTTTCCCAAATCCTCCCTTTCCAATTTCTCGGCATATAGTGTAGTCCATGATTTCACCCCTCATAACCTGACACAGAGTGTTTTTTTAGAAGCTTTTTTATTCCTTATTTTTGACCAGAAAGCCAATGGTCTTGAAGCTTTTGGAAACGCTTAATGAGGAAGGCGCGCCACCAATGTTCTTTGTACACCAACTACTTCAAAATAAGTATGCATGTTGAAAGGAAGAATTGAAACGAGATCCTGATTGCCAAAGATATTTGTTTTTATGAAAAATGAAACCCACAAACCTCATAATGGGTGAAATCGGCTCTGATAGTGCAGCAATTAAAAGAATAAAGAAGGAGTATGCACTACTTGAAAGCGACAAAGGCGACCAGAGAAAGAAGGATTCGACATCAAAGTACATCAGGATTGTTCCCTTTGTTTCTGGAGACTTGTTTACGTGGGAGGCATACCTAACAGCGCCCGAGGAAAGCGTCTATAAGGGAGGAATTTTCAAACTCCTTATAACATTTTCTAACGAGTATCCTTTCAAGCCTCCTAAGATAACATTCCAGACGCCCATCTACCATCCAAATATAAATTCTTCTGGAATGATTTGTATAGACATCCTTGGGAAGGAATGGTCTCCAGCGCTTACGCTGAATAGCGTCTTGCTGTCTCTTCTCACCCTTCTCGACGATCCAAATGCAGATGATCCCTTGAGGCCGGAAGTTGCAGATATATATAAGACGAATAAGGAGGAGTACAGATTGAGGTGCCAGGAATCTGCCAGAAAAGCCATGGAGAACAAAAAATAAAGGTTTTTGAACATTGGGGTTGCTGGGTCTTGTACTATTCGAGGACACGGCGGACTGTGAGTGAATCCATAGTGGAAATTGTATTCTGGCTCTAATCCCCAATGCCGGGGTTTAAAGATGGAAATATTGTGTCAATGGAGCTAGAGAACTTCCAGACGTTCAAGAAGATGTCTCTCGGTTTCTGCTCGTCTTTCAATTTTATAGCAGGGCCTAATGGGTCTGGAAAAAGCAGCATAGCGAATGCGATGGTTCTCGTGTTTGGAGGTACTCCCAAAGTGATAGGTAGAGGCAAGACTGTGGGAGAGTACGTCAGGTTTGGGGAAAGAGAGGCGAAGATAGAGGTGGTTGTATGGATTAAAGGAAAAGAAACCAGGCTGTGCAGGTGTATATCCAAGGATTCCCAGAGTAAGTATTTTGTCGATGGGAAATCATATAAAAAGACGGAGTATGAAGAATTTGTAGGGAGGTTTAAGAAGAACATCGGGAATCTGTGTCAGTTTCTTCCGCAGGAAAAAGTTTCTGAGTTTACAAGGCTTCCTCCTGAAAATCTTCTGGTGGAAGTACTATTAGCCGTGGGAGAAGAAGAGGTATTGGAGTATCTGAAGGAGCTAGAAGATCTAGAGGCCGAGAGGGACAGATTGGTGGAAACGCTCGAGTCATGCACTCGAAAGAAAGAGTGTATAGAACGAGCCATTGAAGTATTAGGGAGGGATGTCGAAAAGGTTTGTGAAGAGGGGAGGAAGAGGGAAAGGATACGGGTTATGCGTGAAAAGCAGGAATGGATGCATTACAAGCATCACACTGATGAATATGTTGCGATCAAGAAGGCTGTAGGGTTGCTACGGAAGCAGATTGAAGTGAAGAATAAGGAAGTCCTGAAGATCGAGGACAAGATAATAGAACTAAAGTCATCTGAAACTTGCAAGGAAATGGACGGTCTATGGAGTATTCTTAGAGAGCATGATACAAACCTAGTTAAAGTGGTTGAAGAGCTTCGAGACATCCATCAGGAAACTGAGATGCTAGGAGTTGATGAAGAGTCGCTCAAAAACAAGAGGGAAAAGAGGATGACAAATCTAGAAAGACTGAAAAAGGAGATTTTAGATCTTCAAGACGAAGTGTCTAAAGTGGAAATACCTCCGCAGCCTCGGGGACCAGATGAGGCTAGAATCGAGGTTCTCGAGGAAAAGATGTCTGGGCTAATGAGAGCCCGGGGGAAAATCCAGCACGAATCTTCTGAGTTGAAGCGGTTAGTGGACGATCTTAGCTTAAAAAGAAAGAAGTTCCATGAAATGGATGAAATGCGGCTCCAAATGCTTAGAAAATATCATCCAGACACGCACAGGGCTGTCTGCTGGCTGCGAGAGAACAAGCATCGCTTCAAAGACGAAATAGTAGAGCCCCCATTTGTCCAGCTAAGGGTAAAAGACGCTAAGTATGCCCTTGAGGTTGAGAACTTCCTGGGATTTCAGTCTTTGTCCCCGTTTATCTGTAAGTCGTCAGAGGACTTCGAGACCTTTGTTCGTATTATGAAAGATGAAAAAAAGTGGATGATTAATGCAATTGAAGCCATAAAAATGGACGGGAAGATGGGCATAAAAGAAGAGGCTATATCTAGAGAGATGCTGAAAGAATTAGGGTTTGAGGGGGTATTAAGTAACTTTATAGAATGCAGAGATGAAGTCATGAATTACCTGGTAGTGGCAGGGCATTTCGACTCGATTCCTGTTTCAAAAGGAAGTGTTGACGAGAGCTTAGTGTTCAGAAAAACAAATATAAAAAGAATGGCGGCTGGAGGAAGATACATTGAAATCAAGAAAAGTAAGTATGGCTCTGAGCATGTTATTATCTATAATCCCTTAAAATCACGGAACCTGTTCTCGCAAAACCTGTCTCTTCAAGAGCTTGGGGAGATTGAGGATGACCTAGCCAAGAAAAACTCAACAAGGCGGGAGAACGAAGAGAAGCTAAAGAAAGTTTTGAAGGATTGCGAGGTTGTTGACAAAGAGCTGCAGGAGCTTTACAGAGAAAGAAGTTTGCATAACTCTCAGGTGATGGACATAAAAAGAAGGGAGGCGCGAATTCAAATTTTGAAAGGGTCTATGGACAGGAAAAAACTCGAGTTGGAAATGCTTGAAGATACAAAAGATTTGGATGAAGAAGAGAGAAGAATTTATGAAGCAAGGAGGAAGTTAGAAGACACATGGAAAGATAAATGTGATGAGCTTGACAGACATCTATCGGATTCTAGATATTTCGATGCATTTTGCAATGCAGTCAGGTTATTTAGAGAGGTCATGAATGTCAATAAGAACATTGAATTTTTGGAAGAATCCAAGAAGGTGATGGAGGAGACAATAAGAAAATTAGACGAAGAGGCTGCTGAAAAGAAAAAAGAAGGCTCCATATTGAAGAGGAAGATAGAAGAGGGAAGGATGCGGCTTGAAAAGATCGAGAAAACAGAGGAGTATGATAAAATATTAGCCCAACTTCCAGATACAATAGACGAGCTTGACGACGAGATAATCAAGGAAAGGGCACAACTGAAGCTCTATAATGTTGATCGTGGGGCAGTGGAGCAGTTCGAAGTTAGAGAGCAGGATCTAAGGAGTCTCAACAAAGACATTTCTAGACACTCTGAAGGGCTGGAGAATATCAAAAAAAAGGGCTCAGATGTAAAGAACGTTCTGATCGAAAGGATTGAGAAAATGGTATGCAGCATAGATAAGCAGTTTAGGAGTCTCTTCAGAAGGGCTGGAGGAGATGGGAGTGTTGTGTTTATTAATGATGGCCTTGATGCTTGTAAGTGGAGGCTTAGCATAATGGTCAAGTTTCGTGACAGCGATGGCCTTGAGGTTCTAAACTCTCACAGACAGAGCGGCGGAGAGAGATCAGTTTCGATTATTCTGTTTTTACTGGCCATTCAAAGCTATCGGCCCTCGCCATTCCGGCTCGTAGATGAAATAAACCAGGGAATGGATAGGCACAACGAAAAGCTGGTCCACGATATTTTAGTTGCACTTAGCAAGGAGGGAAATGAGCAATTCTTCATGATTACACCGAAGATAGCCCCGGGGCTGAGCTACAGCCAGAACATGAAGGTGATTATTCTTTACTCCTCTCAAAGCTGTGCAGGACAAGAAGGTTTCGTAAAATACAAGCTGAGGATGCTTGCATAAGAGCGTTGCTTCAACGGCAATCCCTCGCCGGTGAAAGCAAAATAAAAGTACATGCCTCTGAGAGATTATGGCGTGGCTATCACTTGTTTATATGTTTCTTGAGTATATTGTTGATTTCATCGACCATTCCCTTATATTGTCTTCCATCCCACGGGCCGACCACTTTAAGGCCGTCTCCATCGAATACAAATGATTGGTCTTCGACTTGCAGCACTACAGAAGGCCTCTTTCGCGTGTCCTTGCCAGTTCCCTTGCTGGAGGTGGCTTTGTTTTTTCTAATTATTATGGTCTTTCCCGTATAGTTTCTCTTCAGCCCCTCCGTAAGAGACAGCAAGGGTAACTTCTTTGCTTCCATTGAGATCGAACTAAAGGCTTCCATAAGTTTATGGCGCATCTTTTCGAGAATGGACTTCTTTATCCCTATTAGCTCAGCGGTAACACTTCCTTTGAGGTTTTGGAGATATCCTTCTCTCATCGGGGACCTAGGGGAATACATAATAAATACTTTCCCTCAGAATGCTCAGATACTGATAGAGGATTGTTTTCACCACCCTCAAAAAGAAGGTTATGGAAAAGGTTCCTATTGAGGCTTACATACGTATAAGACCAGGGAAGAGTTCCTTGGAATACACAGACAAATCTGTTCTGGTGTCAAGAGAGACTGGGGAAATTGTAAAGTATGAGTTTGATGGGGTTTTCGGACCTGAGTGTACCCAGGAGCAAGTATTCGAGAGATTCAGATGTATCGTTCCGAGACTTATGAATGGTCGTAACCAAACACTATTTTGCTACGGGAGCACGGGTGCCGGAAAGACATACACGATGGTTGGGCACGAAGGGTCTTATGGGTTGATGTACAACTTGGTGGAGGAGGTTTTGAGGCACGGAGGCTTTCTTGTTTCTTATATGGAGATATACAACGAGAAGATTTATGACTTGCTGGAGCCCAAGGAACTGGTTCTAAGAGAGTGTAATGGGACAATAGTGATTTCAAGTCTTTTCACTAAGCGTATTGAGAACATGGAGGAATTCGAAGAGATGTTTATACGGGGAACCAAAAATAGAACGACGGCAGAAACGAGGCTTAATAAAAATAGTAGCAGAAGCCACGGAATATTGAGGATAGGGGTCGGAGAATACAAGCTAAACCTCATTGATTTGGCGGGGTCTGAAAACAATAGAAGAACAGGCAACGAAGGAATTAGACTCACGGAGTCAAACAGCATCAATAGAAGTCTTTTTGTTCTGGGAAAAGTCGTGAATGCCATTCTAAAGAGAGAAAGAAGGATACCTTACAGAGACAGTAAGTTGACGAGACTGTTGCAGGACTCTCTTGGCGGTGGAAGTTTATGCTATATAGTTGCCAACATTGTCAGTGATTCTTCTAGCATGGGGGACTCTATAAACACGCTTAGCTTTGCATCTAAGTCCAGGAACATTGTCAATGTGTTCGAGGTGGAACAGAAGCCTAGACACACAACCTTCAAAAAAGCAGAAAGCAGCGCAGATGGAATAGAAAAAAGAAGACCTCTGTCTTTGAAGACAAATATGAAGTTCAACGTTCAAAGGGAGAGAGACATGCCCATCAGAAAGAGAGAGAAAGAAAACAATCCTTGTCTGGAACCGTTGTCTACTGATGGTTCTTCTCCAGTCGTTGAAAGGAAAAAAAGAAAAAACACGGCTTCCGAAAAAAAACGTGAATCAAACAATAGGAAGCGTACAGAGATAGATAGACGTGTGTGTTCCAGAAAGACTGGACAAGCCAGTAACGGAAGCTCATTGATTTTTAAATCCTTTCTTGAAAAACCCGACATTGCATTGTCTCCACGCACAAAGGAAAAGAGCTACAGAGCCTTCCTAAGGAGAGCCCAGGAGCTCGAGGAAGCACAAAAATACAAACTGGCACTGGAAGACTATAAAACAATGCAAAAGTTCTGTGATAATGATTTCATCAGACAGAAGATAGAAAAGATCAATATGCTGTTTAGAAGGTCTCGAAAAAAGCCTGAAGTCTCCCGAGAAAACGTATTAGGAATCCTTAACAAGGGGAACTTCTTTGACATAAAAAAGCTACCCAAGGTTGGAGACAAAAGAGCTCAGGCCATTGTAGACTTTGTAAATGGTGGAAACTTCTTTGAAACACTAGAAGATTTAAGGCTTCTGTTCAGCGAGAAAATAGTGGATTCCATCCTTTTCTCTATAGATAGTGGGTAGTTTCATCTATGCTTGAGGTAGAGTTGTATTCGACGATATTCTTTCAATGTGTTTCCTGGCTGAGATGAGTCGTACAGGAAGTCCCCATAAGATAAAATAGTCCTTTAAGTTTATTCTATTTTTGGAGGTTGCCTTTTGCATTCGGGATCAATGTGACGCCGTCATGGGGAATTCTTTGATTGGCTCCTTCCTTAAGAGAGCTCTGACGGACTTCACAGTCGCTACCTCTCTTTTCTGTACGGCTCTTAAGAAAATCGAAGTCGTCGAGAGAGAATCCGTCAGGAAGATCTTCAAGAAACGAAGAAGGTGCCGTACTGTAGTCCTTATTCTGTTTGGCAGAGCTTATATCCGGATTGGGCGAGGGCTTTTCAATTATTGCCGTGCTGAATAAGTCATTACAAAATAAACCATCTGTCCTGTGGAGATCATACTCTAATTGTTGGTCTCCAGAGGAAAATAGCTTATCTTTGATGTTGAATGCAGGAAAGGCCTGATTCAGGAATCCGTTTTTCTGTATTTCCTCAAATTGCTTATCATATATACTCGGGGATTTCTGCTGGGGTAGAACGGTAGATGTCCTCTTATGAGGCTGCTGATCGAGAAGTATGTCCTGCTGTGGCATGGGCCCCCCTTGACCGTACACCATCCCCATTGGTAGAACCTTATTTTCTATGCCCCTTAAATATCGCGGATTTACTTCTGCCCCCATTCTTTTGCTGTTCTGCCGTGTATGGCTTACAAATCCGACCATTCCATGGGGTAGCATGCTATTTCTTGTAAGATTGTTGATGTACTTGTTGTATGTAAACAAATTTGTTTCTCTCCTCAGGTCTCTCTCCAGTGCATCACAAAACAAAGCATCATGCGGAACGCTGTACCAGTAGAAGACCTTCTGTTTCTTTTGGGTCCTTATACATCCATTCTTATACAGGAACTCCAGAAACTCACTCCTAGGGCCCTCAAGCGTTGCATCTATTCCTGGCTTCAAATTTCTCAAATCTGAGAACACCCCCTCCTCAAATTTTTTCAAACTGGTGAGACATCTTCCAGCATTTTGGAATCTCCATACCAATATTTTTACTATATCCGTCCCCGTGATAAAAAAATGCATATTCCATAATACACAATGAATGTAATCCCCATTTTTTAACTGAAACTTCTTGATTCTTTCGCCATCCCGGAATTCCTTTGGAGCATTGGCCAGAAATTCAAACAGCTCCTTATCACTCTGAGCATTCATCTTTATTTGTTTACCGCTATTTGTTTTTATATCTAAGACACAAAACAAAGAATTGTTTATCTGTTTCATATCAGTATCTCTCTATTCTACAGCTCCATGCCTGCTTTTCTTCCCGCTTTCGACTTCTTCTGTTTCTCAACAACGTTATAATTAAAATTCCACGGCAAATCAAGGGCTATATTGAAAGTAATCCTTATTGCCAATAAATACTAAAGAATATTTAACAACAGGATTCAATCCATACTGTTCCCTCAAAATAGGCATAAGATAAAAAATGATGTAAAATCAAGCCCCAGAGCACGCTATCAATAGCAAGCAGACATAACTCTTTCTCCTCAAGATTTTCCATAACGGGATAATCACACCATGCCTCAGGTGATGGCTTAAAAAGGGAATGGGCTCCTTTCAACCCCCCTAGTACTCACCAATAAAAAATACTTGCAGGCTACAGAAAATATATACTTGAGATTCTAGCAGTGGAGTATGAGAGCTTTCAGATACACATGGATCCCGTGGATTCGGGCTGTTTTGTGCAGCCAGGAAGGATCTGATGTACAAGAGACACTTACCCTACTTGCAGGTATAGAATCTCTACCGGACGAGCTTAATCCAGACAGATTTAACGGAATGAGCGCTGAGGAACTTTTGGAGTTTATAAGGCAGCAGGCAGGTAATATACGGGATGCAGCTGATAGAGCTGTAAATGGAAAAATTGCAAAAGATCCTGGTAATATTCCAGAAGAGGAAGGCATTCATGGAAATAGCTCCAGTGAAGATGATCTAAGTTGTTCATGGGCTACAGATTCACTTGATCCGTTTTGTCCCGATCCCTACCAGAAAACATTATCTGAACTTGCAAAAGCACTTTGTTATATCGCAGATGATCTAGTAAATGGACGTGTCCTGGTACACGAATATAACCAAAAGATCCAGATTTTTATGAACATTATTCTTGAGAAAACTATCGAAAAAAGCGGAACAGAAGATAGTCCAAATGTAAAGGATATAAGAAATTCACAAGTCTCAATAATTCAGGCCATGAGCATATTGGAAGTACTGTCTAGTACAGTATACTAAGTGTTAACAACTAGCATTAAACTGTAGAATACATGCATATAAGGTGGTATCTAGCTTTTAAATTTAGCCCTCTTCCGAAGTTAAGTGATGAAAACAAAAATCAAAGCTCTTATAACAGGTAATTTTAGATATGAGATCTCAAAAGACCAAGTGATAAAAACACTTATGAACGAAGAGATATCCATAAAAACATACAACAATTTTATATTCAAAACGTTGTTAGGGTGCAAAGGTCCGTTTGAGGCTGTTATCAGGCCTGCAAATGCATTGAACACTAATATCCTCTTAGACAAGGAATTCATTAAGAACTTATTTTTAGTAAATAGAAAAGGAGAGGAACATGCTTCGGACAAAAAGACTTTATTCGAAAAGGAAAGAGTCTCAATAGGATATTATGCCGATACACTGCATCTGTCGTATAGGTTAGTAAGCAGGATGATGACAAAGGATGAAGTGCTGGCAAGATTTAAAGAGTACTCGGCCAGATTGGGGCTGAGTAGTAATATTGGAAGGGAATGCGCCGAATATTTAAGAAAAGGATTGCAAACATATATTCAAAAAATAATGAATAGGTGTAATGGAAAGATAACAATTCCTACTCTTAAAATCAGTTTGGGGAAATATCTACGTTTATTTAACGGACTAGACATGTTTTAAACGCACATCTTCCGCATAATATTCACAAGTACTTCCTGTTCAGCACTACAATTTCCTTCAAACAAACATCCCATTAATGCGCCATTACTGTTAACAAATACATGCATAAGTCCACATGATGCCTTTTCCTCAATCATTATTGGATCCACTACAAAGCGACCACTGTTAAATAAAGCAACTGTTTTTGAGGTGGGAATGTCTATTTTCCGCCTTTCACTTCTTCTAAGATCGTCTATAACAGGCATATCAAGGTTTTTGAATAAAATACTGAGGCCAATAAAGAAAAGGTCATACACATTTCCGTCATTGCTTAGTATATTAAGCTCTATCCTTATGCCGATTTTATATGAAGCTAACAGCTCTAGAATCATAGAACTGACAATGTTTGGAATTGCAATTTTAGAAAACTCTATAGATTCCATCGAAGATTCATTTGTATCAAGCCACTCTCCAGATATATTCTGAGTCATCAGTGTTTCCATCGTCTCTTTGAATTGAATAGATACTTCTACTTCAGATTCTCCACGCCTAATCTTGATGCTTCCATCGCTCTGTGCTATGTTTGAATGAACCACATCTGTCCTTCTTTCCTCCTCACTTTTTCTTGTGTCGGCCCGGAGCCCGGAAGCTATCTCGCTTCTCACAAGTGCAAGCTCGTCGCGGCTGAAGCCTTCCATGGGCTTTCTGCTGCAGATCTATTTACAGAGTCTCTACCGAGGCAAGCATTAATTTTCTTTAATTTTAGATTCCGTCTTGGCAAACGACCCGTCGATTCTCTTTTCTATTGCCCCGCTGCTCCTGCTCCTTCTTGTGGCCATCAGCCTGGGAAACGTCCTTGCTGCAGTGATCCCGATCACCGCTACGAGGAGGACTATGGACAGCGTGTGGAGACTTGCAATTATGTCGTTTCCGTCGATGAGGGAGGAAAAGACCATTTTGCAAGTCAATGGTTTCCAAGATATACTTAGCAGCTTATTTTGAAATGGACGGAGGACGCCCATTGGTCAGGGGGCGGGCGAGCTGACCACTAATCTGGGCTGTCTGCGCGGGTTGAGATATTGCGGGCAGTGGTGTAAGTGTTGCGGGCAGGGGCCCTGGAATGGGACGCCTGTGGCAAGCAGCAAGGGGCTGTGGCGAGGTGTTTGGAAGGAATCTTAGGGCCGAGCTCGAGGCGAGCGGCAGGCTTCGGGATGCTTGTGCCTCGGTGGCAAGGGAATACACAAGGTGTGTGTCCTTTGTTCGGGGCACCCGTGTGTTTGGTGCCGGGAGCAGGGTGCTTGAGGCGTCGGTCCGCGGGATGAGGCTTTCAGACGCGTCGATAGAGGCAGTCCTCGGAATGGCCAGGGGCCCCGGGCTCTGGCCTGCAGGGGCTCTGGGGAAGCAGGGCGGGATGCAGAGGAGGCTGGACACGATGTTTGGGATTCCGCAGTACTATGGAGGAGTCCGGGGCGGGGAGTCTCGCGGTGCGCCCGCTGCAGATGGAGGGTGCAGGACGCAGAGGGTGGATGGAGGGCTGGCGGTGTACAGGACGGGAGTGGGCCAGAGGATGCGGTCCCTGTGGTCGTGGATCTGGTCCCTTGGCGGGCTGGGGCACAACGACTCTGTGATAAGGGAGATTGAGGACTGTCTGGTGCCCGGGATATTCGGGAGCATAGGATCTGGCGGCGGGGCGAGGCATCTGTGTTCGGAGAGCGGGGAGGCAGACGTATGCAATCTTGGCAAGGAGATGGAAAGGAGCTGCGGGCCTGGGGCAGAGGTGGTTGACATCAGGAGGATCGAGACGTCCGGAAGCGCCAGGGAAAAGAGGTTTGAGTCGCGCCTTGAGGTTGAGGCAGCAGGGAGGAGCGGCAGGCATGTGTTTCTTGCACAGGGAAGGTTTGAGCCTGGGGGCGGCAGAGGAGGGTGGCGCCTTTCTGGGCTTACGTGGGCCAGGGTGGCGTGACAGACTCCAGGGAGGATGACGGAGGAATAATACGGTTTATTCGTTGTAGGCAAATATAACCCTCGGGAACTTACTCATTCTTGCTCTTTGTCTCCTTGTCTTTCTTCTAAGCTGTGTCTTTGTAAGGGCCCGTCTCTTGCTCCTGTTCAGCTTGGGTCTGAGCTCCTTCGGAAGCTTGGAGACAGGAGTTCCCCTGTACGCCTCAACCAGCTCCTCAAGAATCTTCTCGCGCCGGACAGTGAGTGCGCGGGCCAAGTTCTTCTTGGCCGTCTTTATGTCGTTCGCGCCGACATCCCCGCTGTTCTTCTTCTGCCGGAGGGCCGCCAGCTCCGCCTTGATCTCTGCAGCCCTCTCCTCAATCTGCTTGATGCCCAGCTGCCTGAGAGCCGATGCCTCGATCTTCATAGGGCTTCGGAATGGAAAAGATTTGAGAGCAAAAATCGGAGGATGGCCGGGGGGACAGGGCAGAGGGATGCCGGGACGAGCCTAGAGAAGCAGCCTCGGGCCGACGAAGAGAATGTTTTCTCCCCTCAGAAACAGCACCTTGTCCTCGGAGCCCTCGACAGAGGAGCATGTCAGCATCAGATTTATGTGCTCGTCAAATCCCTCCAGAGTTCCTGTGTATGCCTCTCCACTCTTCGTCTTGACCTCCACCCTCTCCTTCAGATACATCTTCAGAAAGCAGAACGGGTCGAGCATCCAGGAAAGTGGGGCTCCGGGGCTGGGGCTTCTTGTGGGCCCGCAGGGAGGCGCCAAGGGCAGGGTTGCAGGCACTCCTCGGCAGGGATTTATGGAGCGGCCGGGCAGCCCTTTATGAGATACCTGGAGCTGGGATGCATATCCAAAACAAACAAACTCTTCCAGAAGCTGCAGGACCTCAATCCCCTGCTGAACATCGAGATCGAGGCATACTCCTGCAAGTCGAGCAGGCGGCAGAGGGGGAGGTTTGTGGAAAAGCCCCTTGGATACCTCCTGTCCGCGCTGGAGCTCCGGTTTCCAGACTACGACTTCTGCGGGGAGTCGTGGGGGTCGTTCAGGAGGAAGACTCTGGCAGAGGTCCTGAACGAGATGACGTACTCGATCAGTACGACACACAAGAACAGCGACGATGTGAAGGAGTTCGTGGGGTTTCTTGAGGTGATTCTCCACAGGTCTGTCTCTCTGGGCGGGTGCGAGATATTTTCGTACGAAAACAGGATGGGGCCGTTTGAGGACTGCCTCTGGTACTTTTCGTTCCTGTTCTTCAACAAGAAGCAGAGGAGGGTTGTGATGCTCAATGCATTTATGAGCAGGAGCTAGCGGTGGCAGGCTCTGATGCATGGCTGTGTAAGGAAATCAAGTGGGTTGCCGGGTTTGCCGGAGTTCTTGGCGGGGGGAGCGTCGGTTGTTCTTCCGGAGGATGGCGGCGGTGGAGGCCTTCCTTCTGTCTGTTGGTGCACTTGTCCTCTGCTCCTTGTCCAGGAGGTTTCCTTCTTCTTTCCTGCGGGGTGGGGATATATGGAGTACTCGACTGCAGGGAAGCGTGCCTCCTGGGCAGAAAGGCTCAAGGACGGTTGGGAGTAGGGAGATTGTGGGGCTGTTTGTGCTTCTTCTCTTCATTTTGCGGGGCTTTCTTTCAATGGAAGAGGCAGATATAGGATAGCGGATGGAGTGGGGAACAGCCCAGTAGGATTGTAGTGGAGCCTGTCTTTATGATGGAGTTGGCAAGGACATTTGACTGCAGCCTGGGCAGGACTCGGGGTCTGTTGGAGGTGCTGCGGAGTTTGTTACTCTTGGGACAGTGCTCTGCAGCACGGAGAGCGTGGTCTGCAGGCTTGGATTACATGATGGCGGGCTTGGGCATCAAAAGTGGCAGAAGTGGTGGCCGGTGTGACTGGGCCCGAGGATGAGAAATAAATGTGGTAAGTTAGTGTGATTAGGTTTTGCGGAACCTCTTGCTGGGCTTTCTGTTAGTGTGGGACTTGTGTTTGTGCCATTCTATGTGGGCAGCGGTGGTGTTGATATGGGATAAGGAATGCTGCTGGGGTGGGCGCGACTGTGATGGGGTCTCGGCTTTCTCCTCTCCTGGGATGCTTAGCGGCGTGATATGTGCGGGTAAATGATGCTATGGAATATTAGATAATTAGATAATAAGCGGTGGGTCAATGAGGCTCTGGAGATGAAGTGTCTTGAAAGGGAAGGGGAAAGGAGCGGCACAATGGATGTTTGGAAGTCGGACACCCTCTGATGATGAGGACATGGATGGTGTATGTGGTTGGGTTGGTCGGAGAGCTGTATGGCTCTCAGGTGGAGGAGACCAGAGAAATGAGGGAGATGAAAGAGGCACTTGAAAGGCTCTTTTCCCGCAGGCTGAGCGACTCTGAAATAGAAATGGTGGAGTCGCTTGAGAATGGAGGAAACTTCGAGACAAGGGTGTTGGTTCCGGTTATTTTCCACAAGGATAAGGTTGTTGTGTCACCGGCAGCGAGATATCGGGATATTGAGAAGGAGGAGAGGGTGTATGTGGAGGAGGTCATTAGAAGGCTTCGAAGTCTGGTGTGGCATTCGATGGTATACATATATGTACCCAAGAATAACGACTGGATTATGGATTTAATATGTAAGGTTTCGGGGATGAGTTCGCCGCAGAGATTGGATGATGTTGCTCTTTACAAGGATACGGGAGGGAATTGCGGGATGAAGTTTGTAGACCTGGTGAATAAGATGTTCAAGCAGAATGCAGACATGCTGAAAAAGTTTGGGGACTTGCTTTCTAACGGTGCAGAGACAAGGATTTTGGAGCTCCCGGATTCTTTGAGTGAGGATGAAAGAAGAAGAGAGGTAGAAATGCTTCAGAGAGTTAAGGAGTATGGGAAGATGCTGTGTACCGAGGATAAGCAAAAGGAGATAGTTGAGGCACAGAAGATAATGTGCGATGCATGTGAGCAGATCTGGAGAAGGGAAGAGGATAGAAAAGAGTTTACCATGGAGATATACTCAAGATATCTAAACATGAAGGTGATGAGAGGAGGTGTGGAAAGGGATGTGGAAGATCCACTAATTGATCATATGGACCATTACATGCTGATAAGTACGCATAAGAAGTATAAGTGTATGGACGTTGTGGCGGAACTAGTCAGAAAGGTGTTTGTGGAGGACAAGGACATTGAGGACTCGGATGTCATGAGTGCAGTGTGTTCTGTTAGAGAGAGAAAAAGGTTGGAAGAAATGAGAGAGATGGAAGAAAGAAAGAGAAAGGAGGAGGAAAGGGCCAAGAATGAGGAGGAGCTGTTAAGGATGGTAGAGAGGGAGGAGAGGGAGAAGAGGGAGGAGAGTAAAGGGAGAGGCAAGAAGAAGAGAGGTAATAGGGGTGCAGGGGAGAGTAAGGAGGAGAGTAAAGGGAGAGGCAAGAGGAAGAGAGGTAATAAGGGCGCAGGGGAGAGTAAGGAGGAGGACCGAGGGGAAGAAGGGGGTGTAGAGGCAGAGGATCCGCTGGAAGAGATGGCGGTTGGGGAAGCTTGGCGCAAGAAGAAGGGATCGGGAGAAAAGAGGATAAGTGAAGAACACCATTATAAGGTGCACAGCCGGGTTCTCCGGTGGAAGAAGGATGCTGGGGAGATCAAGCGTGAGTTGGATGAGGGCTATGAGAAGAAGTGGAAAAATAGATCGATTGAAGAGATTAAGGAGCAGAAGAAGGTGCATGATATAGTGGAAGTGATGAAGCTCCTCAGGGATAAGGAGAAGTGTGACAGGTTT